GAAGAAAAATTAGAGGTTCATGAGAGGTAATGTTTGAGCAAGCGTGGTTCTGGCTGGCTATTAAGCTTATCGTGTGACCTTACAGCGAACCCGTCATTAGTTATTACATTGATATTTGGACATGCTTAATTAGTGCTACAAATCGCGGCGGTGGTACTAAGTGTTTGTTCAAGAGCAACCACCGCGACCGCAACATGCTCGACGGCAGGAACCTCTTTCTAGGCAACTTCGAAGTCCCGGGACGCGGGACGATACTTTGCCGTCGGCGCGTAGGAGCCGCAGTTCTATGCGGCGCTGGTGCGCGGCCTAGGGTTAGCGCCGGGCGAGCTGCCCGACCGCGACGACCGCGCTAACTGGCCGGCGCTGCGGGCGGCTTTTGCTGCGCGGTTCAAGGAGAAGACCCGTGCGGAGTGGGAGGCGGTCTTTGATGGCACGGATGCGTGTGCGACGCCGGTGCTGGAGCAGGATGAGCTGGAGCAGGCCGGGTTTGACCAGCGCCCGCCGGTGCATCTGGTCGATACGCCCGCCCGGCCCATTGCCGCTGACGCCGGGGGATGGGTCGGTGGTGGACTAGTCCCCGGGACGGGAGGGACGGAGACCCTGAAGGCGTGGTTGGGCTGGGAACAGGGCCGGGAGTATACCGTGCGCGAGGATGGGGCGTTGTTGCAGACGGATAAAGCGAAGCTGTAGATAGATACTTTTTGTACATTGTTTGGGACGTGTGAGACAGATGACGGAGGCCTAGAGGCCCTATAAGGCTGTGCAGCTCAGGCCACCTGAATGCTACCGTACTTGGTACTGTAGTACTTGGTACGCAGTAAGGTCGATGTAACCAGACCAGAGTCAACAACGAGTCATTGTCACGTCATGAGTAACATCGACCGCTAGTACCAGATCGACGGAGTGGTTGTATGATGGTAATTAGTAAACGGACGATTCCGCTGGCTTCCGGTTATCGACGTCACAATCTCTTCTTCATCAGGTCCGAGTTGAATGCTCCTGTCCATGGATCTTGTGGTGAGAACAAGAAGAGGTACAATGTAGTAGGTAGATAAGGTACATCCTGATGTGCCTGATCCCTCAGGTTCCTGAGATGTTCCATACGGTATCGTAATGTACGGCCACACGTGTCGCGTGGCGCAGCACTCCGTGTCTCCGCTTTTGCACCCGCCCAACCCCGTGGCTGTGCAGTGCTAGCCGTATTATTGGTATTGTGCCTCGTATTCGGTACCACCGCCCACTCTCAGCTTCCATCTTTTTCGGTATCTTCTTCCACTCCATCATCGCCGTTTCGTTGTCTCTCCTCCACCTGTTCCTTCATAACCCTCCCTCATTTCCTCTCCCTCTACTGCATCACCTCCTCAATCTCTCCTCCCCTCCCCTCTCCTCTCTTTCTCTTTCCCTCACGCACCTCCCCGTCTGGTACCGGGGATTGATCCGTGTCCTCGTCCACCCCCCTATCGCCTCACCCTACCCGGTATCTCCGATCATTGGGTATCCTCGTATCGCCAGAGTCAATCGGGAGGCTCTCTCGTGTCCACATCGTCTCCTGACGAATCGCTCAAGCTCGCCCTTCTGTCCGAGCTCTCGTCGACTTTCCACCGACCTTCACGCACTCTCGCCGACTCTCCTCCAGCTCGCCCACGCATTGTCCTTCCCCGGGAGTATCCCGCTTACGTCGTTCGCCGGGGACTCGGATTATATCTACCCGTGCCAGAACCTGGTTGATGGCTGAGGTGCAGCTTCAGCAACCCTCCACCATGACCGACTATCGTCTTCCTCTCCATCAACCGCCGCCTTCCAGAAAACCTGTGCCCAACATGCGGTCGGGGTATGCCCCTTACCAGGCATATGACGGCCCTCAGCAACAACTCTCCCCCCATCCTTCGGTCGCCTCGCTCGCCCACAGCCGCAGTCGGACCTCCTCGTCTCAGGTGCTGCCCTATGCCGCCCATCAACAACCCTATGCCTCCGGTCCCTCGCCGCAACACACCATGACCGCTCATGTCCACTATCCCCCTTCTCGCCGTCTTTCCAGCGCCACCACCTCCACCAGCTCCACCGGCAACGCCGGCGGCCCCATGCCCGCGGCCGGCGACATCCGGCGCAGCACTTCGTCCCGCTCTGCCCAGTCGCAGCTGGGCTACGTGGCGCTCATGCGGCGGCAAAAGGCCACTGTCTGGTGCGATCGCGCCCAGCCCGAGGACCCCCGCCTGCGCGCCCAGAAGATGGCCGACAAGAAGCGAGCGTACCTGGAAGTCCACGGTGCAGGCACTGGCGGACGCGCCAGCACGCTGGCCAGCGGCAAGATCAAGCACTCCAAGGGAGGCACCGATTTCTCGCCTTCGACTCTGGTCGGCGCCACCGTCCCCGTGCGCCTCAGTGCCAACGAAATCGGCGACGCCGATGAGGACGCCCGCAGCGACAGCGGCTTCCCCTACCGTCGCACCGGAAGCGGTCGCAGCTCTCTGGGGAGCGGCTCGCGCTACCCCAGCGGCTACCAGCGCACGCCGCAGGGCACCATGGGCAGCGGCAGCACGCCTCCGAACGAAAAGTCTGATCTGCCCGAGGTGTCGGAGCATCCGCCCGCCGAACGCGAGGCCGACGCTGCGCACCACGACGACGCCGCCCGTCGCAACAGCTTCGGCAGCGACCAGGAGGAGAGCTTCGGCATGGTGGGCGAAATGGCGGCCCCGAGTGCCGCCACCACCGCGGCCGAAAAGGCCAAACGGGCCGACGAATTGCGTCGCAGTGGCAGTGTGGACGAGCGCACCACCACCATGACTAACGTGCGGCTGTTCGTCGCCAATCCGGATCTCAGCGATTAACGGGCGGCCATGAATATAGTACCATATGATCTGAACATGCCACAGATGATTTATTTTATGCAGTGCATGGCTCATCTGATTCCTTTCTTGTCTCATTCCTTCGATTTTCATTTCACATCTTTCGTCTTGCACCTGAAGGTGGCCTGGTCATACAAGTCTATCTCGGATTGTTGAAGGCATTCGGCCTATTGTTGAACCTCTGTGGATCAACTGGCGATTGCATTGTGCTGGTTCATGTCTTTATTCCCCTTGTGCGTGTCGGCTTCTTGATGCATTGGGTGTCGATGCATGGCGTATGGCTGAGCAGTAGTAATAATAATATTGTACATATGTTATTCGTACATGAGGTCTGGAGTCTTAAGGGTTGTTGTATTCTACCTAGTAGTTATCCTCAGAATGTTATGAAGAGATGAAATGTACATTGGTGCATCTTACTAATCCTCACGTGCCTGACGCGCCCAGTCGCGCCCGATCAATTAACGCGTTCCCGTCAGTTGCAACTCCAACCCGACACTCCATTCCATTCACTACCTTAGGTCTCATTCACACTCTTTCTGTCTCTTACACGCCCCATTGTCCCATCATCTCTGGGCAGGGACCATCACTGTCCCATCCACCTCCCAGACCCTCAGTCCCTCCTCTACCCATTGAGAACATACAATGGAAGTCACCATGGACACAAACCCATCCCTCTCCCTCCCCCCACAGCCCTACCCCCCCTCACCACACGCACAACCCCCCAGCGAGTCCCGCAAGCGCTCCATCCACGACCTCACCGACGCCTCACACCAAGAAGACGGCCGGCCGTCCCCCCACTACACCGCCGAGACCGAGAACCAAGAGAACACCGCCCCTGCCGTCACACCCGGCGACGCAGACGCCCCGGAGCCCCTGGCCACGTCCATGATATCGAAACCCACAAACCCGAACACGGACACGAACACGCCCATGGCGGACCCGGCTTCGAAAGAAACTACCGTCACCCTCGCGGAGTCGACGCTCAACACAGTGCCTGTCGGGGCGGCGGGGCCCGCGGCGAAGAAGCGGAAGCTGTCGCCGGCGAGCCGCGAGGCGAAGCAGCAGGAGAAAGAGGCCAAGGAGAAGGCGCGGCTGGAGGAGCGGGCGAAGAAGGAAGAAGAGCGGCGGGCGAGGGAGGAGGAGAAGAGAAAACGCGAGGCGGAGCGGGAAGAAGAGAAGAAAAAACGGGAGGAGAAGCGCAAGGCGCGCGAGGAGGAAAAGGCCGCCAAGGAGGAGGAGAAGCGGAAGAAGGAAGCCGCCAAAGAGGAAGAGCGTCGGAAGAAGGAGGAGGATCGGTTGAAGAAAGAGAGGGTAAGTTTGACGGGTTGCGGTTGGGGGTTTGTTCGGAGAGGAGAGAAGCTGACTGATGGGTGCAGGCTCAACCCAAACTTAATGCGTTCTTTGCGAAGCCCAAGGTTCCCGTGCAAGCGTCCAGCGCGGGTGTCAATGCGTCGCCGAAGAAGAGCGCCGAGGGCGCCTCGGGACAGTCGCTGCAAGAGGCCAAGGCTGTGTCGGACTATGAGCGTGAGTTCCCGGAGTTTTTTCTCCAGTCGCATACTCGGGTGGCGCCGCCGCATCGATTTGAGCGCGATGCGGAAGCTCTTCGTCATATGAGGGACAAGCTGGATGCCTTTCTGCGGTCTGCCGACGCCCAAGGCGAGGCTCCTAGCTTCCGGCCTTCCGAGCTCTTCAAGTTGATGCCGTACAAGCGCCGTCGGGGCCAGTTGCCTGCCTCGGTCAAGGAGATTCTTCTTCGCATGCAGAATCTCAGCGACCAGGGCACCTCAGATGCTGTTCAGAAGCAGCAAAAGCTACTCAGGGATGTCACCATGAAGTCGTTGAAGTTTGGCGAGGACGTGCGTCCCCCGTACCAGGGTACCTACACCAGGAGGCTGCCGGCATCCTCCGCGCACAAAATGATGCGCAACCCCTTCCACCGCGGCCTGCCCGAAACAAACTACGACTACGACTCAGAGGCGGAGTGGGAAGAGCCCGAAGAGGGCGAAGATCTCGACTCGGAAGAGGAGGAGGAAGGCAGCGAAGACGGCGAGGACGACATGGATGGCTTCTTGGACGATGAGGACGATCAGCTCGCTGGAAAGAGAGGACCCATTGTCGGGGACCTCGAGCCGATCTGCACTGGCATACGATGGCAAGAACACGGGGTGGACCCCGAGCTTTCCGTGTACAAGATTGAGACGATATCCGACGCGGTGACCTTCCCCATCGACCCGTTTTCCACCGTATATTGGCAGAAGCCGAAGGCGGCGGACCCGGTGCAAGGGGCCTCTGCTGGACGAGGCCCGCTGGACACGTTCATGGGCACTCCGACATCCGCCGGTGCATCCACGCAGGACGGGGCTGCGCTGGCCGTAGTGGTGCCGACAAAAGCCAAACGGACATTCCCGCCCGACCAGCTTGAGGAATTCAAACAGGTGGTGAACGGCAGCGATCTTACCAAAACTGGACTGATTGAGATATTGAAGAAACGGTAGGCTTCCCGCCCGCGGAATGTGGTGGCCGTTGCTAACTCTGCTCTAGTTTCCCGAAAGTATCCAAGGAGGTATTGAAGGACACGCTAAACAGCCTGGCCACCCGAGTGGGACAGAAAGAAGTCGAGAAGAAGTGGGTGTGCAAGTGATCCGCATGAGCGTTGAGCATTCTCGTGGCTTTTGCTTCCGTCGGCGTTCCGGACTGGCATCATCTTTAGCGCGCAATTTATGGGATTTTCTTCGCCCTGTTTACGACCAGCTACAGCCTATCAATACAAAAGACGGTACATGTGCGTCTTGTGCATCTTGTGCATCTCGGACCTCCCTATGTATTCTACTCATGGAAATCCCACAGCCATTTCATCCATCCATCTCGGCTCCGATCAACAAGGGGGGTCAAGCAAAATGAGAGTGAAACAATGCATTCCGAGATGTTGGGTCTAGCCAGATCGGCTCAGATTAGCACCCCCTAGATCGGAAGGGATGTAGCTCAATCGCCCCAGTTTCATGCATCAGCTTGATAAGCCCTGTTAACGGTTTCCGCCACGTCCTAGGTATCATGTCCGAGGTTGCATCCCAACAATGCGCCGTATCGAGGCAATTCCTCAAGGGTTGTTCACACTCTCTGTACCCTCCTCTCCCCCTTGATGTACTTGACATGTCAGGAAGGGGGAGGGATGGTGATTTCGTGGTACAATGGATCCATTGGAATGCCACTGGCCACTGTTCTATGGTCCGTCGAGGTGTGTCAAGATTGTTCCCGATATCCACACATACCTCGTGGTCCCCAAACCCTCGGCGACTGGCTGGTCTGTCATGAAAGACGCCTCACGACGGGCCTCGACTGGTCTGGTTGGCAGCCACTCCATACCCGACGGAGTTCTCCAACTGTTGGATCGAAGTAACATCCTGACATCTGCTCCAATTAGGGTATCACGTACAGACACTGGTAAGGCCAGGGTGTAGGGCGGTTGGAGGCGCTGAGCAGACTGCTACTATACCTCAGGGACTGCCCAGGTTAGGATGGTAGACAGTAGCACCAATGGATGCCTGCTGCCTCGTCCAAGCCCGAAGCCAGCAACGGAGAATTTGTTTGTGTTGCGAAGAGACCGTTGCACACAAGCCATCAAATTCTTGGCGTACCGTCTGTTATGCTCAGCGCCATCGAACGTGCGCTACAGGAGACTAGGCAACTACAACTCTCCTCCCTGCCGTGGCGGAGATTATATCCGATGCTGCAGGAGAGCAAACTCACCAGAACACCGCACAGGCCGCGTACACGGACGGCTTAATCTGACAGTCGATCAACAATACATCAAGTCCTGCGGAGACCCATCTGCTTCCGCAACTCAATCACCAACGGACTTTACCCAGTAGAGGGACGAGGAGATCGCATCAAGCATTGTGTGTAACCTACTCGCCACATTATTGCCGCATGTAGACGGCTGGCATGTATACACATTCTAGTACCGATGCAGCTGTGATGGCGGGCGAGACTCCATATGGGCAAGAAGGATTCTTCGAAAAACAGGGAGGCCAGCAGAGACAGGCTCCCTCGATTCAGTCGTCGGCGGATCGATTGTTGTATGTTGTTCTGTGGGGTATGGGCCCTTGGAGATCCGTACGACCAAAGTACCGGCCACGAAAATACCCATACTGGAGATGTACTTTTACAGGCCCGTCCAAGATCTATGCTGTCTTCTGCAGTGGTTGTTACAGGATCTTGACAACGACCGACGCTCCAGTGGACACTGCTATCGGACTCTAGTATAGAGCGCCTGATAGCATGGCCACAATGCAACCAGCGGATACTACATCGCCGTTGTCCTCCAGGAGCGATGGAGAAGCCGCCGACGAGATCTTTGTGCCCGAGACTCTTCTGGCCGCTGCGGCGTCATCCGAGGCCTATCCTCAGACGCTTCGATGGAGTTTCACGCCTCTGCATCCCGTGGCCGCTCCGGCAGAGGAGATTCACGTCCAGAAGCGGAGACAGTCGTGGGGAATGAGACCCCTGGAGGGACCAGAAGGCGTATACCGCCATTTCAGTTACTCCTCGGCCGTCGAAGATGGCCGAGGGCCGTTACCACCGGTCCGCGAAGACGCTGAGAGTGACCGTCGCTCCCAATCGCTGAGCGAGAGGTCGACCGCCGGCAACCAGCGTTATGGTCAACCGACGAACAACCACGAACATCGTTGGTATCGACATTCACGCGGGCTGTCGGAAGATTCGATCTTTACGGCGCCGATGCGCGTCTCTCGGGTGCCCAATGCGGTGAGGAAATCGCGAAACAGCAGTCTGAAGAGTCTGTATGACCGAGCCAAGCTGGTCAATATCAAACACCAGCGCGAGGACTGGCTTCGCTATACGATCGAGTACGGCGCATACACTTTCTTGGTTCTCGTGGTGTATTTCGTCCTGGTGGGATTGCCGCTGTGGAAGGGCGCCGTCTACTGGCTCTACTGGATCATGCAGCATAAACTCATCTTCCAGGGCGGCTGGGCCATTTTCATCTGCATGCTTATCTGGTACGTTTGCCATTGCCATCTCCCGTGTTCTCGACTAACCGCCGCTCGCGCCCGGCCCCAGGTTCTCCTACTCCCCCCTTCTCACCCGGTTCGAACCCGATCCCCCCGGCCCGGACTATTACCATGTGCGGCATATCGCGCCCGTAGCGCCCAGCGCGGCGCTTGTGATCCCCTGCTACCGGGCCGCCCCCATCATCGGCCGCACGCTCGAGGCGGCGCTGCAAATCTTCCCGGCGTCGCACATCTACGTGGTGGCCAACGGCAACTCGTCGATGCCGCTCGACAACACCGAGGACATCTGTCGCAGCTTTGGCGTCAACCACATCTGGTGCCCCGTCGGGTCGAAGATTGTCGCGCTCTTCGTCGGCTGCTACGCGGCCAAGGCGTTCCGCTACGTGCTCCTCATCGACGACGACTGCATCCTGCCGCCCAATTTCCCCGTCGTCACGGGCCGGCTGACGGCGCCGGTGCAGTGCATCGGCTACACGATCAAGTCGGTCGGCCCCCCGGACTCCCCGCGCGGCACGTACTGCCAACAGGCGCAAGACCTGGAGTACAAGCTGGCGGGGCTGCAGCGCTGCTTTGCGGGACAGGTCGGCAGCGCGACGTTCCCGCACGGCGCCATCTCGCTGTGGCGGCGCAAGTTCCTGAAACACACGCTCGAGAACCACCCGGGCTTCTCGATCAGCGAGGACTGGTTCCTAGGGGATAGCTGTCGGCGGCTCGGCGGGCGCATCCAGATGTGCAGCGCCGTGTTTGTCGAGACGACGACACCGTCGCGGCTGATCTCGGTGCATGGGGGTGCGAAGCGCGGCGGGTTCGGCGAGACCACCGTGTGCAAGCAACGGTTCCTGCGGTGGAACTTTTTCGTCACCCACAGCATGTGGTATAACTCGAGCTATCTGTTTGGGAGCTGGCGGCTGGGGTGGTGGGAGTTTGGGACCAAGGTGTTTGTTTTCCAGGAGGTAAGCCGTTTTTCTGTCCGCTCTCGCAGTTCAACCCGCTAACGGACGGTAGCTATATGAAACAGTGCTGTACATGCTGACGCCGTTTGTGATTCCGACGTCGATCGTGGTGGAGCCCGGGTTCACGGTGCTGATGACGATGGCGTCGTGGGGCCTGTATCTGCTCAACGCGGTGATCTTCAACGAGGTGCATCTGCGGCGAAAGGGAGAACGCGTGGACCCGTGGGTGGTGGCCATATACTATGTAAGTCTCTTCCAGTTTCTTCCGGGTGTGCGCGGGACTCGCATCTGACGTGGATAGATGCCGTACAAGCTGATGATCGGGATTATGAACGTCGTCAGCTGCTACTGGTCGATCATCAAGTATGCGCGGTACTTTGCGCGGCGACATCCGAAGCTGACGGAGGACCACAAGGCGGTTGGGATGGTGCTGCGCTTGGAAGAGTTGACTCGGGGGGATGGGGAAGACGGGGGACAAGGGCGGGAGGGAGGAGGGTTGGGGAGGAGTATGACGGTGCGGTCGGTGGGGTATCGGACGCGGACGGGACCGATGTTGGATATACCAGAGTTGGGATAGGAGTATGTACGGAGTATAGAATGTATGAGTAGATCTAGATGGGATATATGGGAATGTATACTCCTATTCAAGTCAACGGATATGAATTACTATATATTTCCTCTTCATCGTGACTAATCCATTACACTGACTGCATAACTATACCTTATGTAGTCCATAGCAACCTTAAGATCAAGCGTGGAGCAGTGACAGACGAACACGTGCCACCAGTACCTAGACCTGAGGGTAAGTATCTGATACCTAAAATGTAGTAGAGCCCTAGGGCAAATCCAAGTACCAGTACAACACGGCCATTAGTGCGCTTGGCCCCGTCGAGGAGGTGCACCGGCCAATTAGACGGCCCAACGCGGCATCTTGCTGCATGCACTGCCAGCACATCACTGCACTTGGACGGTCAGGATTTGTATCATCTTGAGATGAGATGATGGACAGGTCGTTATATGTAGATATAGTATGCAGTTGTAGTATTCTCTCTCTGGAAACAAGTAAAAATAAGTCAATAACTTATCTACGGAGTAATATTAATAGGCACGGTACCGATCGATCTATAAGTTGGGTCAGGTACTGGTACCTGACGGGGCTCATCGGCGGGGAAGACCAGCAGGTACCAGTACCACCCGCTGGAGCCATGCATCTGTCCGCTTCGAGTCACCGCCTGTATATTAGACTCGTAGTCCCTATTATTCTATGTATAATACTAGTATGCTCCCCCGTGATTGACTGACTGACCTTCTGGAACGCTGGCCACCCCGCGGGCGATTTGTTGTCGAATCCTCTCTAGCCTGCATGTCATCGCAACCATAATCCATCATCCATCCCCTCTTGATCTCTTCCTCTTCTTCCTTTCTTCTTCCCCCTTTTCTCTTTCTTCCTCCTCTCCTACCTGTCCTTCTCCTCCCTCTCTTCTAATAAACATGCGATAGACCTCGGGCATCAGCCACGTGCACCTGGGACCTGCCTAATGGTGTCCATCTCCCATCGCCCGTCCACCTCCTCCCATCATGCTCGTCCCGTCCAGCCCTCTCTAATCAGTACCATCTCCCTCATCCTCCTATCGCCTTCTTCTCCTTCTCTTGTCTCCGCTAACCCTCGTAGATTGTGCCTCCCGGGTGATGGGCCCCATCACCATCATGTTTCCCTTGATATTGACCCCCGATCCTCCTTCCGCGCCCACCACAGGTGAGTCGGCTGCCTCCGACCATCCCACCTCACCAGAGCCATCGCTCTGTGTTCGCCCCGTCTCCTTCGAGGACTTGGCCGTTCGCTATCGCCAGAACCTCCACAAACAGGCCCGGAGGAGGAGGTTGGAACACCGTCTGCATGCCACCAAAGTCTCCCTCGGAATCTCCGCGCGCCTGGTGCGCGTCGGCGCCGCCGTCCAGCGCGGCCTGGTCGAGCGCCTCAAATATGACGACAAAGTCAACTTCATCGCCCTGTACCATACCTTGTTAGACCTCCAGGAATCTGGCGACTCCATCCGCCAGCTGCACTCTCACCGTCATGCTTCCTCCGAAGACTGGTCCTCCGTGGATGCCACCTCTGACCGCGCCCCGGACTTCTTCCTCCAGTTGAGCCCCCAGTCCAGGACCGATCTCGTCCACATCCTCCGTTTGGTGCGATCCGACGCCCACTTCCTGTATGAGCGACTCTGCTGCTTGACCCCCACCCAGCTGAACGCCCTCGTCGCCGCCTCCACCCCCGCCTGGGAGGCGGCCGAGTTCACCTTTCCCTCGGGCCCTCGATCCCGGACCCATACCTCGTTCGCCAAGCGTAGTCCCTCCAATGCGCTCCCGTTCAAGGACCACATCCTGGCCTTTGAGAGGACCGATCCGCTATCCACGCTGTTGTTTAATGTTTATGCGTCCCCCTTGCCTGCGGACTCCCCCGAAGCCCGTCTGCGCTTGGATGTCTGGTCGTCTGTCTGTGCAAAGCTCATCGCCGATGGCGGCTCTAGGTACTTTCCGCTCATCACCCACATTCTCGCCGCCTGGACCACCGGCAGCGAGTGGAAGGCCCGCCCCAAATTTGAACTGTATCTCATGGACATCCTCCAAACCGGCGCCTTTCTTTTGGAACATGTAGACACCCCGCCGGGCCTCGCCTTTGACGCGGAACCTCCAGACCCTTTACGGACGGATGTTGCCGAGGAGTTCTTCGCGTCCGCCGTGGATGCTTTGTTTGAATTGCTGGACGATCCAGACGGAGGCTTTCCCCACGCCGTCATGGAATTGAGCTGCGCGATCATGGCAAAATTGGACCGACCCGACTGTCGCGATCGTTTTCTCGAGATACTCTACGTCCAGTGGTTCTTCTCCAAATTCCTTTGCGGCGCACTAACCTATCCGGAGGTATTTCCCCACCCCTCCGAGCGGTTGCATGGCCTTTGATCTAACACGTGTTTAGGCCCATGGCCTTCTGCTGGACTTTCACATCAGAAAGGATGCGCGAGAGAAACTGCTCGGACAAGTTGGAATCCAGGCCTACTCGCAAGTCTTTGCCGTACTACGATCCATGTGGGTATTTCCCTGAACGCCACCCCGCTTATGGCTGACTTGGTTTGACCCTCAACAGGCACCATTTCTCCATGGCTCGTCCTACGGTTCGGCAACATGTCGAGAATATGCTCCGTCGCCTGAGGGAGACGGCGCCAAAACAGACCAGCCCACAGCCACCGTCCACAAAGGTGACCAGCCAAGAGTCACCGGCAGCATTCTTGATGCTATCCTCTGCTGACATTCTCACCTTGCTAAATGCGCTTTTCCCCCGGCGAAGTGCTCCTGCGTGCCAATCGCCAACTTCCCCATCCCTTCGCCTCAATCCGCTGCAGCCTCTGCCCGAGCAAAGCACGGCCCATCCAGTGTGTCCTGGGTTTTTATCCTTGACAGACACACCCTCTCCGCAGGCGTCCCAGCCCAGGAACATCTTCCCCGTGGACATGGATTTCCTGTCGCTCCCGGAGAACAGCCTCGTTCGGAACGCGGACCGAGTGCGGTTTGAGCTGTCGGATGACCCGGACGTCCGAACTCACCTGGAGACCCCTTCCGCCGAAGGATGGACCATCTTCTCTGTGTCTGGGACGACGAACGGTCTGTCATGGGGCCTGTTCTCGGATAGCCAGTACTCCGGTCTGGACAGTTCCTCGGTGCACGAAGCCCAGTCCACCGCCCTAGGGATGGAGGACAACTTCGAAGCCCTCCAGACGGCTATCGTGAAACTGATCCAGGACAATCCCGCGGGTGACCATGTTGACACTAGCCAGCCCGCTCATCTCTTGCAGACAGACAGTGCATCCCTGAAGGACCGATTCAACCGCGCGATGGCCCATTGTCATAACAACTCCGATTTCATCGGAGCCCATTACTGGTGGAATGCCCGTCGACAGCTCCTTCACAGTGTGGCCAGCTCTCCGTCCCGTTTGGCAAATGACTCGTGGATCCTCGAACCCATGCATACAGCCAGCGCTCGGTCCCTCCAGGCCTCACGTGCCGTGATCGAGCGCTGCGAAAGTGACTTTGTTGTGCTCGACCGCCACATGCACCGACTCCAACGCACGGTGAACGAGATGATGGCCACGGCCGCGCGGCTTCGCGATAAGATGTGGTACATGACCGATGTGAAGAACTCGATGAGGTACGAGGATGCCAAAAATGTGGCCCTGGCGCTGAAGACCATGAGATACTCTGCTCGTCTCCACAGGCAGATATCGAATGACGGGCGATCGCGCAGCGGCAACCGGACCTTCGGCGGCTCTCTCCTCCATAAGCCCGAACTCCAGGTGATGAACGTGATGAAGGCGCCCAGCAGCCAGGGGGGTCCTAATAAGCTCTCCGACGAGCAGGTGGATCTGATCCGGAAATGGCTGACCCATAACAACATTGACAACTTCTGCAAGGGCGAGGAGCGCATCCATAGATTCTGCTACGAGGTCCAAGCCAGCATCAACCGGCTCGTCGGCGAGACCATGGCCGAAACTCCGGTCCTCTGGGCCAGCGAGTTGTTTCACAAAGAACGGGCCAAGTACGAGGGCACAAGCACCCGGGGCTTCCTCGGACTCTCTGCTCTCCGGCCCCTCAATCTGAGCAGTGACGATGCCAGCCACTTCTCCCATTCATCCGGCAGCCTGCGTCCGTCCGACGCGACGCCGAAATCCTTCTTCTCGGACCGATGGCGGGTCCAGCGAGAGCCCTCCATCGCGGATACATCTTCGATCGGAGGCTCGCCCGGCAAAGCCGCTTCCATCTCTACTGGTGATACTTACAGCACCTTTTGGTCGACCCCCAACCATGCTGCACATTATGCGCCCAGCGCGTCGAGCATATTTTCCCGCCCACCATCATTGCTGAACGATGCCACGGGCCCGCAGCATGACACCCACGGAAAAGCCGCGTTTCTCGACGAACTACGACAAACGCTGACCAGTCTGCTGCTGAGCGATCTCGGGTCCCCGGTGTGGAGCTGTGGAAGTGAGACGGATGCATGGTTTGGCAATGCCTTGGATCAAAAACGCATCCAAGTGCAGATGAAGAAACGCGCCCACGTCCAGCAATTCTACGCCGAGTACAACGACCGGCTGGTCCGCCAAACAATCCATCGGACCCCGAGCAGTCGACGGAGCAAATCGCTCGACCGCGCCCACCTCGAGGACCCGACAACAGAGCGCAGGCCGCCGTCCTCCACCCACCAGGCTGTTCTCGAGTCTGACGATCAGCCTCCATTTTCCTATACAACGGTCTTCCGGCAGTTGATTGAGGTATTCTCCCGACATGGGAACCCTTTCATCAAGCTTAAGGCGTTACGCGATCTCCGGTCATTGGTCGTCGCATCGCTCTCCACCAGCGACGATCATGTGTTCTCTCCGCCAGGGCGATCGTCGGACGTCCCGTCCCCGCGGACCGCGCGACGCAGTTTCTCGGAACCTCGATCCTTCCAACATGAAAAAGGCGGTCACACTCCGACCTCGCCCGCTGGCGAATCCGCCATCTTCGAGTCGCGGCCGTCCGACTACTCCGCTCCCACGGAGAAACAGATCGTGGATGCGCTACGTAAGCTGCTGCTGGAAGTGAAACCCAAAACGCTCTTCCGCGATCTGCAATTCATTTCGGCGTTCGTTCCCGGCACTACGCTGAACAACACGGACAGTGGGACAGCCTTTTTGCAGTTTGGGCTGGCGGCGCTGAGCCTGAAGGACGAGATCTGCAACAGCATGGTGGAGATCGCCGACAATATTGTGTCCCAAGAGCTCAGCCGGCGGCACCCTCCCCATGGATATGACATGAACCCCCGCCCGGGACATGGCATCGAGGATGCGGCGGGCATGTGGATCATCACGGCCAAGGAAGGCAATCCAGTCGCGCAGCGGGAGCTGGCCATTCTGTACCTCACACACCCGGAACTCCTGCCGCGCGTGACCCTGCCCCTGACGCTACTGCGGGATACATTCAAGGCGGAGATGATGTACCGCCGGGACAAGGACTCCAAGTCGGACCCGCAGAGCATGTGTCTGGCGCTGCACTGGATGCAGCTGTCAGCGAAGGGCGGGGACGAACTCGCGCGGAACCGGCTTCGCGAGCGAGAAGAGTTTGAGTCGATTTCGTAGGGGATTGATTGGGTCCCTGCTTGTGTTATAGTTTTGGCGTTGTTTCGTATAGTTTTTGCGCTTTGACGATGCGATGACGATTGATACCATGATGACCTGTTTTCTTTGGCATGTGAGGCATTATATATTTGACTAATTGGCGTGATTCCCCTATACACGAGTTATTGGGAGGTTTGCTGTAACTGATTTTTAGTTCATTATGAAGATTTGATGATGGATGTAGAGTAAAGGATTTGGTATATGCATTTATCAATTTAATGGAAGAGTTGCTCCCATAGGCATATGTTGTAAGGTACTAGAAGTGCATGTTCAGCGTGGTTGCTACCAACGACGTCATACCCTCCCCACGTGCCTCAACCCCCATCTTCGCTCTTCTCTCGTCTTCTGCTTCTCTCTTCTAACCCTCCTCTCTACCAGCTCTAATCCGAACACAACCATACCCCAGTCCGAATTCCAATCCGTTGTCGATCACGGAGTCGGTTCCGCCACGGAGGGTCTTATCCACAGCGGGTTCCTCAGCCTCATCCGCTGACACGCTAATTTTTCCCTCTGACCTCATACGGATTCTTCTTCCTCTTCTGACGTGCTATCTACCTACCGGCCCATTATAGTACAGATACAGATCTACCGCCATGGCCCACGCAATGACCGACACGCACAAGCGCCCAAAAGGTATCTCCACCCACCCTGTAACCCACCTGTCCGTCCGAAAGACATCTATCTAACCCCGCACAGGCATCCTCAAAAACCCCAGCTCCAGCTCCAGCAGCATCCCGCGCGTAACCACCGCCAACATCGCCATCTCCCCAACCGGCCCCACCGCTGCCGACCCCCTCGACACAAAGGAGCTCACCCTGCAAAACACGCTGCAAAACGCCGGCCGCCGGCGGTCCTCCTCGGGCGCCGTGAGCGGGCGCCGCCAGTCGCTCGCCAGCGCGCACGGCCAACACGACGAGAACTCGCCGCGGCTGAAATGGGACGAGGCGAACCTGTACCTGACGGAGCAGGAGAAGACGGCCAAGATGAAGATCGACGAGCCCAAGACGCCGTATGCGCCGCGGTACGACCCGGCCGAGGACGAGGAGGAGATGCGGCTGGCCGAGGAGGCGGAGGAGAGTCTGATTGATGCGCAGGGGGTGGTGGTGGACGAGCTGGATCGGTCGACCAAGGGGACTGGCGCGGCGAAGAAAGCGCTGGCGGAGGAGGAGATTCCTGACTTGGAGCTGGGCGAGCCGGAGGAGGCGCTTGCGGGTGGTGCTGCTGGTGAAGCGGGGGAGAGGATTGTGCGCGCGCGCAGTCTGAGCAATGAGTCGGGGAAGGGGGATCGACATGTTGTTGTTGGGGAGGACGGCGGTGATGCGGACCATTTGTTGACGCCGGAGGAGGCGCGCGCAAAGCATGAGCAGTTTGAGCGGCGGCGGCGGCAGCATTATGAGATGCGGAATATTAAGGAGCTGCTTGCGTGAGACTTTCTTTTCGTCGTGTGGGTGTGGTGAGACATGCTGACTGGTTGTCTAGGCATCCGGAGAACCTGGACGAGATGGATGAAGATGAGGATGAAGGCGAGGAGGAGACTCCTGCGGTGCCGCCACCGGTGCCGCAGATTCCGCAGAAGTTCTTGAATGGAGAACAGTAGTGGTGATGGTGATGGTGGTTGCATTCTTTTTTCTCTTTTCGTCTTGATTTACGCCTCCATGTCTTGTATATTCTATATTCCCCAGCGACGTTACTGCAGATATGTTTGCACAGATTCTGCGTATTAGATGGACAAACAATACATGTTCTACTGCAATTGACATACGGACTATAGTACAGCTGGAGCGCATGTGTTGCCTGGACATCCCTCGTGCTAAATATAACGTGCATCTAGGAGTATGGGTTCAGGGGTGTCTCCTGGCCAACATCACACTCGCTCAGGGATATATACTCCAGTGTCTGTATATGGAGTATGCTAAAGGCCCACCATTCTCCTTAACCATCGCAGTCTGCAGAACCAGAAATTGCTAATAATAATAATGAAAGTGAAACGAGCATCTCGACCGGCACCTGAAACACCCTTGCCGCTTGCACGGATGGATCGGCTTGAGGATGCCTGGTGGATGTGACCTGTCGAGGGTGACGGACGAGGATTCGAGTGTTGTACTTAGTATAGAAGAGGGATGTTGATTGTCGTGGAGTGTTGATTGTAGAGGGTGGTTGTATTGTAGGAAAATACTCCGACAGTAATGAGAGGTGCCATCAGATAGGAATCGGGAGGGCCCGAGATAGGGGTTTGGTTAGTCTATTGATAGGGTTAGTTATTATTAGCACTCTGTAGTCCCTAGTACATAGTATGACCCTTCTATTCTAAATTTGTTATTGTCATTATTATTATTATTATTATCATCCCCTGTGAACATGTGATCTGCTCTTTCTTCTTCCATCGTCTTTCTTCCGCTTCCCTCCATTCTCATTTCTCTTCTACATCCTCCCATTCCCCTCTATCTCTTCTACTCACCATACATACTCCATCCTCACTCCCCCACTGCCACCATGTCCGAGCAAGAAAAGACTCCTCCCGCCGCCGCCGAACCACAACCTCCCGTCGACAACAAGCCCACCGACGCCCCAGCTCAACCAGAACACCCTCCCACCGATGGCAATGACAAGACAGAACAGCCGGCCACCGAGGCTGCCCCCGCGGAAGCTCCCACAGAGCAACCCAAGCAAGACGACGCCGCCCAGCCGGCCGACAACAAGCCCGACTATCTGGCCAAGAACCCGGCACTGAGTGAATTCTTCGACCGTCTGCCCGCCATCCTCTCGTCCGCGGGCCATAATGAGATGTGGGGCGTCACCCTCAGGGATTCCGCCGACGTCCCCACCGTCAACGTGATGATCAAGTTCCTGCGTGCTAATGAGGGCAACGTCAAGCAAGCCGAGGACCAGCTGATCAAGGCCCTGCAATGGCGCAAGGAGATGGACCCCACCGCCCTGGTCGACACGGCCAGCTACAGCGCCAGCAAGTTTGGCGGCCTCGGCTACCTGACCACCTACCAGGATGCTAACGGCAAGGAGACCGTGGTCACCTGGAATATCTACGGTGCGGTCAAGAAGATTGATGAGACGTTTGGGAATATGGATGAGTGCGTAGTTCACCCCGTTTCGATACGTATTACAATGTGGAAGATCTCCCGCTAACAGCACCAGGTTCCTCAAATGGCGCGTTGCCCTGATGGAAATGGCCGTCAAGGAGCTCAAGATGGACCAGGCCACCACCGTGATGGACTACAATGCCGACGAGGACCCCTACCAGATGCTCCAGGTGCACGACTACCTCAACGTCAGCTTCCTGCGTATCAACCCCAACCTCCGCGCCGCCACCAAGAAGACCATCGAGGTCTTCGCCATGGCCTACCCGGAGCTCCTGCGCGAAAAGTTCTTTGTCAACGTCCCCGCCATCATGGGTTGGATGTTCGCCGCCATGAAGGTCTTTCTCAGCAAGAACACCACCCGCAAGTTCCATCCCATCTCCAATGGGGCCAACCTGGCGCGCGAATTCCCCTCCCCCTTGAAGGACCAGTTCCCCAAGGCGTACGGCGGTAACGGACCGGCCTTGCAGGATAACGCAAGGACCGTGAACCTTGTTGCGGACCCGGAGCCGGCTCAGGAGGCTTCCAAGGATGAGGCCCAGGAGGCTCCCAAGGATGCGCCCAAGGAGGAGCCCAAGGAGGAGCCCAAGGAGGAGCCCAAGGAGGAGCCCAAGGAGGAGCCCAAGGAGGAACCCAAGGAGGAGTCTAAGGCAGAGACTACACAGGAATCCGCGGATGCTCCTGAGAAAAACGATGCCGCTGTGACGGAGGCTCCCGCACCTGCAGCCGAAGCCAAATAAATGCGAAGAACATCCCTTCCTGCTCAAGCCGCACCAACATAAGGTGCTCTAATGTTAATATTGTTGATTGGGCGACTCGTGGCCATTGGTGTTTCTGTTTATTGATACCTCAGACCGTGTACTGTTTGCAGAGTTGGTTGTGCTGTTTCCGCTCCACTCTTATATAGTATTTTAATACAAGAATAATATTTCCTCTGCGTGTTGAATTTCATAGATTCTCTTAATTATTTCAGTCCAATTGTAATGTTGTAGTCAACGTTCATGCATGGCTGGCAGCGTACCACACCTCAGCCAAGTACGGGAGATCATTACTCCCGAAAACGCAACTCCACTCGCCGCAACCTCAGCGCAACAGCTTCCCCAATTCCCATTCATCTTCCTTCACTTTACTTACACTTGGGGCCTGAAGCAGAATGTGTTTCGCTATCGCCAATCTACCCCGATATTCTCAATAATTCATTCTTCCTGGTTTCCGCAGATAGCTACTGGAGTCGCCTCTCCCCGATCCCCTCGCCGACATGTCCGTCTGGAACCCAGATAATATTCGCGACGTCGCCGAGTCCGTCGGCATCGTCAATCTCAACAACGATGTCACCGAGAACCTCGCCCGGGACGTGGAGTATCGCATCGCACAGGTCCTGGAGGAAGCCCTCAAATTCATGCGCCACAGTCGACGTACCCTCCTGACGACCCAGGATATCTCTCAGGCCCTGCGCGTGCTGGACGTCGAACCATTATACGGATACGAAACGACGAGGCCGTTGCGGTTCGGCGAGGCATCGCTGGGTCCGGGACAGCCCCTGTTCTACGTCGAGGACGAAGAGGTGGATTTCGAGAAGCTGATCAACGCGCCGTTGCCCAAGGTGCCGCGCGAGATCTCCTTCACTGGTACGGCTATCGCGACCTCCCATGACGGGGAGTGATATTCGCTAACGATCGCATAGCACATTGGTTGGCCGTCGAAGGTGTCCAGCCGTCCATCCCCCAGAACCCGACCGCCGCCGACTCGCGAAACCTGGAATTACTGTCCAAGGGACCGAACGCCAATTCGACGCTGGCGGCTATGAGCGGTAGCGCGAATGTGGCCGTCAAGCCGTTGGTGAAACATGTGCTGTCCAAGGAGTTACAGCTGTACTTTGAGAAGGTGTGCAATGCGTTCCTGGACGAGTCCAGCGAGGAGTACCGCACCTCGGCGTACTCCAGTCTGCGCGAGGACCCCGGGCTGCACCAGCTGGTGCCGTACTTTGTGCAGTTCATCTCGGAGAAGGTCACCCATGGCATGAAGGATATTTTCGTTCTGACGCAGGTGATGCGCATGGCCGAGGCCCTGGTGCAGAACAAGTCGCTCTACGTTGATCCATACGTATGCATTCCCTTCTTCCGACTACAAGATACAATGACTAATCTACGCAGATTGCCTCTCTCGTCCCGCCCATCCTCACCTGTCTCATCGGTCGCCAGCTGGGCGGCAACGCCGACCTGTCCGAGCAATTCGCGCTGCGCGACCTCGCCGCGTCCCTCCTCGGTCTCATTGCGAAGAAATACTCGCACTCGTCGCACACGCTCAAGCCGCGTCTGGCCCGTTCCTGTCTGAAGACCTTCCTGGACCCGTTGAAGCCGTTCGGCGCCCAATACGGCGCCATCATCGGTTTGCACGCCGTCGGAGGCGCCGAGGCCGTGCGCGTGCTCATCGTGCCGAACCTGCCTACGTACGGTAACCTACTCAAGGACGGCATGGGCGAGGAGGATCCGCGGCGCCCGGAGGCTGAACGTGTCCTCAAGGTGCTCTTCGCGGTGTTGGCGTCCCTACGGGAAGGACGGGCGCCGCTTGCCAACGGCGATGCGGGCACCGTCACGGACGATCTGCGCACGAGACTGGCAGCCAAAGTGGGCGACTTCCTCGCGGGGAAGATCAGCGAGGTGGGGAATGTGCAAATGGCGCATGATATCTTGGGTTCGTAGATTTGCTGTCTCGCGATTTTGTTTGTTGCCTGGGGATTGAGTTTGGCGTTGGGGCTGGGGTGTTGGTCTTGGGGAATTTTTGTCGCATACATTCACCTCCGACGTGTATTCATACCGAATGCGATGCAATTGAGTAACTTGAGCTGTTGTATCTGTACGGGCGGGGTGGAATGATGTAGAAATACAGTACGTCGATCGCGGGCAGACGTTCGGCCGTTCCTGGCGGCGACGTCACCGGGTCGCTTATGTCAGTGGTATTCTGCCGCTTACCCCCGCCCTCTGGGGTGTCGCATGAGCACCTTCAGTCGCCCAACTTACCTCCTTTTTTTTTTCCTTTCCCTTCGTCTTCATCTTCTCTCCGTCCTGTCGAAACCAGGAATTGCGCTTCCCGGTCTTTCACCTCCGGCTTCAATTCTCAGCTACCACCCGCCAACACTGCAGACGAAATACCTGACCTTCCATCGGGGTCTGTGTGTCTCTACCCAATCTCCGCCCCACGATTTTTTTCCGGGCCCACACAGTCTTGTTTGGGAGTCGACAATTTTCCCACCTGAGTCCTTCTCCTGCCCACGTCCATCTTTTTCTTCTCCTTTCTTCGTCTCCTCGACATCTTTGCTTTTCCCATCCCGTGGGATTGCTTGTTGCCTGGTGACTCCTCGTTCATTCTCTGATCTCATTCAGAGCCCTCCTGCTCCGACCTACCCGTCGGTATATCGAGAACTGGTCGCATCGCTGCCTGCTTTGCCGATGTCCAGTCTGTAGCTTCTCGCTACATCGTGCTGTTTTTAAGCCCGATCTTTTCTCGCCTTCCATGAACCCGAAGGACCTACTGCGATTCCTGTCTAAGCCTGCGAAGTAGGTCGCCCATGTTCCCCGTCTCCATGTCGTCAGAGTTTTCGTGCTTCCCCGCTTCGGGGTGCTGCCCGCATGTCCTTGCCTATTCTCCTCCTGCACAATCCCACTCGACCAGGACTGACTGAATGGCTCTAGGCCTCGATAACACGACTCCAGTGTTATACCTCACGCGCCTCTGTCTTCTCCCCTTTGTCCTTTTTGAAAAGCAGATACTCTCGTCTGCTAGACCCGATACTTTGACCGGTATCGGTATCTTCCAGCACGAGGGTCTTCCACCGATAGTCACAATTCCTTTTTCCAGAGGCTTTTTCCTCCTCTCGCTCTCCTTCCGCCCTCCCTAGCAGCCCTTCAGGCTCATTCGGACTCTACCTTCCTGGCTGTGTGCCACCTTCTCTATTGGAATCAGGGCCTTCTCTCTCAGACGGACATCCCCCCCTGTTCGTCTGGGTAGCAGATAGTGCTTCCTAGGCTATTCTATTCGTCTACGGTTACACACAAGAACGACGCGCCGCGTCCTAAGTACTGCCTCGCCGATTATCTCGCCACCCGTGCGCTTCTTCGCTTCAATCGCTGGAGATGGTGTACATTGGGATCCCCCAGAACTACACGACCTCGCCGTCATCCTTTATCGGGACTCCGTCCCTGACCATCAACTATGCGGCCACTCAGGATCTTGACTCCTCCAATGCCTTTGAAGGTTGGTACCCCTTGTGGCGTGTGTTGTTGCAGAGCTAACGTTCATCAGGCCCGGAGAAGCTCCTTGAAGTGTGGTTCGCCCCATCGGCGAAGGATCTCGGTCCCTCCAACCCTGCGGGTCTGAAGGCCGTGTCGGAGGAGATCTGGAAGGACATGCTCGACCTTGTCAACTGCCAAGTTTTGTCCATTGTGTCGTCCGAGGATGTCGACGCGTATCTCCTGTCCGAGTCCAGCATGTTCGTGTGGCCCCACAAGCTGATTCTGAAGACGTGCGGAACCACCACCTTGCTGTCTGGCCTGCCGCGCATTCTGGAGATTGCGGCGCTGTTTGGTGGCTTCCAGAAGTCCACGGCTCCTGCATCACGCGGCATCTCCGTTGCCGCAGCTCCGTACCGCGTGTTCTACAGCCGGAAGAACTTCCTCTTCCCGGACCGTCAGCGGGGTCCCCACCGGAGCTGGAGGGATGAGGTGCGCACCATGGACAAGCTTTTCCTCAATGGAAGCGCCTACATGATTGGCAAGATGAACGGCGAGCACTGGTACCTGTACCTGACCGAGCCGCATACCTTACTGACTCCTCCCGCGTCTCCCACGGAGGAATCGGCGGAGCCGGTAACCGAGACCAAGATGCTTCAGATTCCCGAGCGCGTCGCGCCGCAGACGGGAGATGAAGATGAGACCTTGGAGGTGCTGATGACCGATTTGGATGAGGAGAACGCCAAGCAGTTCTACCTGGACCACGCCACTGCCGTCGCGGAGAAGCAGTACAGCAACTTTGAAAAGGACAATGGCGAGCACGTCGACGTGTTCAGCAACACGGCCGACATGGATGGCGTGGAGTCGGCTCCCGCGCGTACTCTGCCTCCTGAGCTGACGACGGAGGGTCACGCTCTCGGCACCGTGGTGTCGGAGTCGTGCGGCCTCTCCAACGTCTACCCCAAGGAGAAGTTCCCGGAGTCGCGTGTGGACGCGTATCTCTTCACACCCTGCGGATTCTCGGCCAACGGCGTCATCCCCTCCCCGCACCAGGGCATGGGAACGCACTACTTCACGGTGCATGTGACGCCGGAGCCGCAGTGCTCGTACGCGTCCTTCGAGACCAACGTGCCGCATTCGCAGAACGGGCAGACCACGGCCGACATCATCCAGCAGGTGGTCAACATCTTCAAGCCCGGTCGGTTCACGGTGACGCTCTTCGAGGCCAAGCCGGCAGACGCGGAGCTTGACAGCGTGGAGGAGGGTCGGTTCGTCGAGCGGCAGGCGGCGCGTCGGGCGACCAAGATGGAGCATGTGCAGGGCTATCGGCGGGTGGATCGGATCGTGCACGATCTGGATGGATATGACCTTGTGTTCCGCTACTACGAGCGGCTTGATTGGAAAGGGGGGGCCCCTCGGCTCGGAGAGGAGCGCGTGTAGCGGCGTCGTCCATCTGGTTTGTGCGATCTGATATGGTGAGACGATGGTGATGGTAATGGTGGTGGATGATGGGAAATTGCCGTATTGTTTGATTGATTTTGTGTTGATGCAAGCGTTGTTGATTTGAGCATTGCAGTTGTTATTGTTTATTCTGTCACTCATTGATATGATGCGTTGACTTGATAATTTTACTGTAATCATCGGACTGAAAATTGGTTATAGCAGGTAGAATGTGTAGATATTACCTATAATGGTGAATGGTGGTACTTTGGCCAACTGGTCTCGGCAGACTTACCGCAGCGGGAGAGTTTGACCTCATTTGTTCTTCAACACCTCTCCGCCTTCACCATCACCGCGTCTCACGTCGTTATCATCAGGCGCCTACTGCCATCTAATAATCCGACTCGATTTATCTCTGGCCCTGCACATCTCCGCCGACCGTCCCGCAAGCAGCCGAACCCTACGAAAATCCACCAACTCAACCCAACCCAGACTTTGCACCAGACATCTCGAACGATCGAAAGGCACACCAACCAGAGACAGATACAATGTCCTCCCCACCACCCCCAGGCAACCCCCTCAAACGCCCCTCCATCTCCTCGACAACCTCGCAGTCCGCCAAACGCCCTCGCATGCACCCCCTTCGCCAGACCTCCTTCCCGACGACCATCGACACGGACGCGCGCACCCTCGGCGCCACCAGCGACGCCGGCAGCGTCACCGGCAGCTTCACGGGCAGTCTGGGCGGGACGAGCGCGGACGGCGTGTTCCGGACGAGCAAGAAGCGCGGGCGCAAGAGCAAAGCGGAGAAGGAGCGCGAGCGCGAAGACGCGGCCAGCGTGCGCGGGGCGGCCGATGGACGGCTCTCGGTCGACGCGGAGGGCGCGTCGGTGCGTGCTGGTGGTAATGCAGCTGGCGGCGGCGGCGGTGGCGACGACGACGACGACGAGGATTTTGAAGATGAGGGGGAGTTGTTGGGGAGGGAGGAGGGGACGACGGATACGGAGGCTGAGAAGAAGAATCTTGCGTATGTTCCTGACCCCCTTTTTTTAACTATGGTTATGTCTACGACGGATGGAAATTGACACTGGGTTAGCCTCCTGGTCGACGCCTTCAACCCGCTCCAGTCCGAACGATACGACCTCTTCAAGCGAGCCAAGCTGCGCAAAGAAACGCTGCGCCGCATCGTCAACCACGCGCTCTCGCAGTCTGTCCCCGCCAGCGTGGTCACCACCATCAACGGCTTCACGAAAGTGTTTGCCGGCGAGATCATTGAAAAGGCCCGCACCGTGCAGATGGAGTGGGCGGCCGCCCACGACCAGGCGGCCTTGGCCCGGTTCGAAGCCGAGGGCGACGGTGCCACGGTGAAACAGGAGGAGGGCGCCCCGGATGCGCCGGCGAGTCGGCCCCCACGCGTGTTCACGCCGCCGCCCAACCCGCACCGGGGCCAGCTCCTCCCGTCGCACTTGCGCGAGGCGCTACGGCGGTATAAGCGCGACGGGGAGGGCGGTGGCGTAGGCTTTTCCGGGCTGAGTATGGGGAGTATGGGGGTCCGGGGGTCGGTGACTTGGAGTGCGGGCAGTGTTGGGGGGAGACGGATATTTCGATAATCTTTCTTTCTTCATTCTCTACGGAGTAAGATTTGTGTATTATTTGAGGCATCTCTAGGGAATAGTTATGCACATGAAAATGAAGCGGCTGGTTCCGCTCAGGGTTTGGTTTCGTCGGGCTTGGCGAGTCCACTTTCTCTCTCTCTCTCTTTGTACTCCGTATTCTTCCCACTTCTGCCTAGAGACAACTCACCACCACACAAAGAACCAACACAGTCAGATCGACATCAGGATCACGATAGATCAGGCTACGATCAGCTGTTGATACTCCTCTCAACCCTACAGGGCAGACAGACGCAGGTCTACTCATCAGCCAAGCCCACCGGCTCACCTCTCCCATGGCTCTCTCGCTGTGGCGACATTGTGGGATCCGTTGATGCCATTGTCGCCAAGACGCTCCAATGCTCGAATAGGGCTGAACGGCGTCGATAGTCGCTGCGACTCCATCGTGATTCGGGTCGATAGCGCCGTCGGATGGCGTCACTTGTCGTTATCTTCGCGCATTCCCCTTCCTCAGTCATGGCGCAATCGGTCGCTGCAATTGGAAAACCTGGAGCCCGTCCTGATCGGCTCTCCCTCTCGTGACGTTACGTCCGACTGCCGTCGCATTCGGTTCTCCCGCGGTTGGAATGCGTGCGTGCGTGTGCCCGGGAATGGGGAATGTCGCCTCCCCTGATGGCTTGGAGGTTTCAGAATCAAGTGGGAACCTCCTCCACCCTGAAGGGCCCGAGGGGACCCTGATCCAGTCTCTTCTGGCGGTCTCCTGGGCAAAGTGGATGCCAGAAGGATGGGATGGAGCAGCCAAACCCCGCCGGCCTGGTCGTCTCGCAGGCGATTCTGGGGTTCGGCTTGACTGCTGGCTTTTCTCGGCGTGCCTTGTCGAACACTGGACGATGATCCATTCTCGGGCTATTTTTATGTGAGACTCGTTTTTTCCTCCCTCGCCTCCTTTTTTCCCTTTTTAATTCCAAAACTCGGCTATTATTATTATTGCATCAGCCCTGCAGATTACGCCATGGGGGCATGAGAAAAAACAACAGGCCCTGATTGTTGGATTTTTGCACGCCCTGGATAGAGTCTACGTACTACGTACTACGTTCTCCCTGGCTCTCGAAACCCGTCGAAGATCTATTTTTTTTTTTCTCCTCCCCTGCGAGTCATCCATTTTTTACTTCCTCCCCTTCCTGCTTTTCCTTTCCTCTCGCTGCTTTCCGTGGTTCTGTCCGTCGTCGTTCTTGGGTCGGGTCGGATGGATTGAGTCTATTGGTTTTTGCCTGTCGCTCTCTACCTAGCTTGTTCTGTTCGCGTTTTCTGTTCCTTCTCAACATTCCTTTCATGTTCGTCTCTGTGTAACCATCTCGCACCATGGAGTATATGCAGCCGTCGTACCTGTATACTCGCCTGGTCGACAATCTGCCGTGGAAGGGAGGCGACCCCTCGGTCAAAGGAGATCCCCGGAAGAGCGTGAAATGGATTGATGTGAGTGCCGCCTTGCCGTCTTGCAGTCTATCTCTATCGGTGTAGACGAGGAGGGTTCTGACCGAGATAGGGCCTCCGAGGCATCGCATCCTTCCTGGTCGTCCTGACCCATCTGGCTCGCGCCTGGGACTACGATCTCTTTGCGCCGCGCGATACCGAAGACGCCACGCCGCGAGTGCTCCAATGGCCAATTCTGCGGATCCCCTGGCAGGGCCGCATCGGGGTCACCATCTTCGCCTTCCTGACGGGCTACGTGTGCGCCCTCAAGCCCATCAAGCAGTCCCGCGCCGGCGACCGCTACGCCGCCTTCACCTCCGTCGCGAAGAGCGCCTTCCGCCGTCCGCCGCGGCTTATCCTCCCGGCCACCTTTGCCATGATCATCTCGTGGGTCATGGCCCAGTGCGGCGCCTTCATCGTGGCCAACCGCTCCGACTGCTGGTGGTGTCGCTACGCCGCCCCGGATCTCGAGGACTCCTTCTGGAAAGAGGTCCTCCGCCTGTTCAAGAACTTCCTCAGCACCTGGACCACCGGCTACATGGCCTACGATGACCACCAGTGGGCGCTGTTGCCGCTGCTGCTGGCCTCGATGCTGGTGTACATTCTCCTGTTCGCGACCATGTTTGTCCGCTTCCGCTATCGCCTGGTCATCTACCTCATCATGCTTCTGTACTTCCACCAGGACGCCGCCAAAAACACGGGTACGTACCGATCAGGAGGCCTGGCACTATCGATACTGACGTTTGTAGAAACCTTCCAAATGCAAGCCATCTACGGCATGTTCCTGAGCGATCTGTCCTACGAGGCCGCCTGGCGCGACTTCATCGACCGCCACCGCTGGCCGCGGCGTATCGTCGCCGGCATCCTGGCCATTACCGGCCTCCTCATCGCCGGGTACCCGGGCGAGCACCCGGAGTGGGCGACGTGGTCGGACCTGATGTACCAGGCGGCGCAGTACATCTTCCCACCGGACGTCAATATCGGCAAGCGCTACACGGCCGTTGGCGTCGACCTGATCATCTTCGCCATCTTCATCTCCCCGTCCACTAAGGAATTCCTCTCCAACCGCCTCCTCCTCTGGCTCGGCAAGCAGAGCTTCGCCGTCTACCTGGTCCACGGCACGCTGCTGCGCACCGTGCTGTGCTGGATGCTGTACGGCATCTCGGGCCAGCCCTGGGAGGAGGTCGTCGACGAGAACGGCAACCCCATCTACGACGAGGACGGGAACCGCGTCCTGCCGCCCTGGCTGCCCATCCGCCCGCCCTGGGTCGTGGCCATCAGCATCCCCGCCTGGATCGCCCTCGTGTACTTCTGCGCCTCCCTCTGGACCAACTACGTCGACCCCGTCTGCGCCCGCATCACCCAGAAACTCGAGAACTGGATGTTCGTCGACGACGAGAAGGACGCCGCCCCGCCGCCGCTGCCCATGACCTCCCTGCCCATGCCGACGGCATAGCACGAGGGGATTGGGGGAGTGGTTAGAACGTAGAACGCCCTTACGTGGGGCCTTTGCTTCAAGTATATATTTGTATATTGTCTACCTCACTATATATCATGTGCATGCATATCCCCCTGCTGGAATATATTTTCTGTTTGCTGTTCTTGGATGTGGCTTGCGCTAGGTTTGGTTAGACTTTTGATCTGTAAATCAAAACGCGTCCTTACTTCATCGCTACGGGAGAGCCGATAATCACGGGCCCGGGATAGATGGGAATGGATGATCCTCATTTTACTTCTAGTTGCTTCTAGATACGTTCCATTCATCAGTCATATCAGTCCTATTGCCATTTCTGCACCACCACTCCGCCCCGCTTGAACTCGGCCAGATCCCCCAGCACCGCGTTCTTGTCCGTCAGCTCTTTGCTAGGAAACGTAGTCATCAGCACCCACGGGCGCGACTGGCTCGCGGGGCTGGCCGCCGAAACAAAGTCGTAGACGGTGCCGATCGTATGCGAGGTATTGAACCGGGAGGTGAGGCGGGTGCCGTCGCCGAGACGGATCTGCAGGGTGACGGTGGGCTGGGACTCGTCGACCGGGGGCGCTGCCGACTGCGCCGGGGACTGCGCAGACTCCGCGCCCGTTGTTGCAGGCGGGGTGGTGGCACCCACGACACCGGGGGTGGGACTACCGAGCCGCTGGCCCGGCCCAGCAAAGGGCTTGTACTTGGGCTTGGGGCGGACGTATTTCTCGTCGTGCTGCTTGATCTGCACGTCGACCTCCTGGCCCGGCAGCACGTTCATGATGGACAGCGGGGCGCGGCCCTGGCGGATGCCGTCGAGGATCTCGGCGTTGCGCGGGTCGTCGGAGCGGAAAAGCTCGCCATCGTCGACGGAGAAGCCGTCCGTCCAGAAGTGGAGGGTGCGCTGGACGCGCTGCGGGGGCTGCGCCGGCCGCGCGCTGGGCGTCTCGATCACGCGGCTAGGCGCGTCGTCGCCGCCGAGTGTGCGTGCCGTGCCGGTGAAGTAGGAGCGTCGCGGGGCCGAGTCGTCTGCGGGGAGTTGCGATCTTACTTGTCAGCTCTCATTCCCATACATACCAAAGGGACAGTCGAGGGGTGGGTGGGGGCAGGCACCTCTTCGCCTTCTCGATAATCTTCTTCTTCAGATCATCTGGGTTCTGCACCGCCAGCCCGGACTTCTCGCCGCCGGCGAAGAAATCCTGGTTCTCCATGTCGTCTTCGTCGGAGGAGTCGCCGCCGCCGGCCGCGCCGGACGAGTAGTCGCCCAGCGTCGCGAACTTCTTCTTCGGCGCGGGCTTGGAGGACGGCTGGGGCGTGGTCGACGGCGACTGCGAGCCGCTGCCGCTGGCCGCGCTTCCACCGAGCGTACGACCAGAGGGACCGGATTCGGCGCCGCCGAGAGATCGACCAGAGCCGCTGGCGGCGGCGCCTGTGTCGTGCAGAGCTTCGTCTTGTTCGGCAAAATATTCGGTGACGGCGGCTTCGAGGTCCCAGCTGTTGGCGCTGAGGTATTCATGTGCCTGGATCGGTCTTGTCAGCGTTGGAATCGGGTCTGGGGACGGAGGGATTACCTCGCCCAAATGGGTCCGGGTCATGGCACAGAATTGAGCGATGAGCTCGTCCTGGTCAACGCTGGGGGGGTCCATGGTTGGTGATGAGGGAGTTGGAGGAGTGGAGAGCTGAAGAGAGACTGTCAGAAGGATGAGAACAACAATGTACGTCACAGTTGCCGGATTGGTCAGCCGGAAGATCCTGTCTTCCGGTGGATTCCTGAGGCAGCACTTTTGAACGGCTCGATGAGATGAGAATAAAAGATGGAGAGTATTTCTGATAGAGAAACGGGTTCTGTGAGGTCTGGATAGAAGATATGTACTTGGTTGAAAGATACAGAGAGGAGGGTGGGATGCTTACATAACCCATACTCCATGAACTCATCGTCAACTCAACTCCTTCACAACATCAACATCGACAACACCAACACGAACACAACTCTTGCCCTCCACAATCTGCCACCACTCTCCTCCATACCATCAGTCAATCCTCTCGCGCCTACATCCATCCCTCCATCGGCTCGCCATGTCCAACAACGAACCCCGCGAAATGTACGAGTCAGGACTGACCGTCCCCTCCGACTCGGAGAACTACTCCGCCAACAACGAGCTCTCCTCCTCGTCATCCAGCTCTCCCCTCATCCTCTACAAACCTCCGACTTTCTGGAGCGTCCTGCGCGGCGCCGCGATCAACCTCTTTCTGCCGTTTGTCAACGGTCTGATGCTGGGATTCGGTGAACTGTTTGCACACGAGGCCGCCTACCGACTAGGCTGGTCGGGAACCAAGGTGCGTGCCAGCCTTGTTGCTCCGGCGGAGAGACCAGTACTGACAAAATGCTTACAGGTTTTCCCTCTTCACCGACGGTCGAGACCCGCAGGCCCAGGCGTGGAGGTGCGCGAGCTCCCATCGGAGCGGCGGCGGAATGGATCCCTACGAGATACGGCTGCGCTTGAGTGAAAAGCTCAACCCGCTGAAAGCACCTCCGAGCGAAGTCGGAGCAGTTTAGAGAGTAATTCTGTGGGCCCTGCGTGCATGATCTCCTTGGACGAAAATACCTCCTTTCGTTGCTGCATGGTGTACATAGTAGATCGTGACTTGGTCGATCTGTTGTCTGGCGTCTGGCGAAGCGTATTGCATGTCTACCAATCCAATCTTCATTTTTCTGTTTTACGACTGTAGTCCGATATAAACAATCACAAGTAGTACCTATCTTGTGCCTATGGTATCGTCTGGTAGGCTCACCGCCCGGCAGAAACCGGAAAAAAACGCCAACGCCGACGCCGCGGTTTTCCTCCACCAGATCACCATCACATCCAGTTCTCCCGCTCAATTCCAACAATGTTCGGCGGTGCGGGTCTCAAAGGGCGCGGCGCCATGCCGGCCATTGCCCGTCAGCGTTTGTCCGCGTTCTCTCGCTCGAGTCGCTCGGTATATCCCCCGATCTACTCCGTTGTCCGCCAGAGCACCCCAGACTGACCATGGCTTCAGATCTCCTCCTTCCGGCCCCAGGCTGCCAGGTCGCCTGCTCGGTATGGCCGCGTCAATCAGACCCTCACCGGACGTCTCGCCTGGCGGCCGGCGTCCGCCCTACCAGCCATGACCGCCACCCGCTTCAACTCCACCTCCTCCGCTTCCCCTCCGCCCGCCGATGCGGCTGCCGCAACGCCGCCGACGACGACGACACCCGCCTCGGACCTGTCCGACGTATCGGTAGACCTCGCCTCGATCCCCGAGGATATCGGCTACCTGAAGGCGCTCGGCCTGGACTACGGATGGGGGCCCTCGTCGCTGATCGAGTACGTGATCGAACACTTCCACATCTGGGGCGGGCTGCCGTGGTGGGCCAGTATCGTCGGCGCGGGTCTGCTGGTGCGGCTGGCGCTGCTGAAGCCCATGCTGGGCGCGGCCGATACGTCGACCAAGATCAACAACCTGCGCGACGTGTCGACGCCGCTACGCACCAAGATGACCACCGCCGCGCGCGAGGGCAAGCAGACGGAGATGATGCAGGCTCGCATGGAGCTCAACAACCTCCACGCCCAGCACGGCGTCAAGCCGTGGAAGTCGTTCGTGCCGCTGCTCCAGGTGCCGCTGGGTTTCGGCTGCTACCGCGTCGTCAAGGGCATGACCGCCCTGCCGGTGCCGGGGCTGGCCCTGGAGTCCGTTGGCTGGATCAAGGACTTGACCGTGGCCGATCCGTACTTTGTGCTGCCCGCGACGACCGCCTTGTTCATGTACCTGTCGTTCCGGGTTCGTCCCTCCTCCCTTATTCTCTTTTCTAGACTGTCGGACTAATATGCCTATAGAAAGGAGGTGAGTCCGGCATCAACAACCTCACCAACTCCAGCCTGGGCAAGATGTTCCTCTACGGTATGCCCGCCATGACCTTCGCCTTCATGTCCTTCTTCCCCAGCGCCCTGCAGCTCTACTTCGTCGCCACCGGTGCCTTCGCCCTGGGCCAGTCGTATCTGCTCGCCTCGCCCGGCTTCCGCAAGTTCGCCAACATCGCCATCCCGCAAAAGGCCGGCGGCTCCGCCCCCGGCGCCGGCATGTCCGCCGAGGACCAGCAGAAGGCCCTGCGCATGATCGCCGAGGCCATGGAGCAGCAGAAGAACCCGGCCGCTGCCGGCGCCGCCGCCAAGACCCCCGACCCCAACACCGTCAGCTTCATCGACCGCTTCCTCGACTCGCTCAAGCAGTCCACGGATAAGACCCGCAAGGAGGTCACCGAGAAGATGGATGAGCTGCGCGGCAAGGGCCCCCAGAAGAACGCGGATGGCTCCCCCGCCGCGCCGCCGCGGCTCAGCGAGAACGACCGCAAGCTGGCGGATGCCTATGAAAAGCGCCGCCGCGAGGAGGAGGACTGGAAGCGCGAGGAGCGCAACCACGCGCGAAGACAGGCGCACATGCGGACCCTCGCCGCGGAGCGCGAAAAGGCGCGGTCGTCGTACAAGGTCAAGCAACGGTGAGGCTGGCTGATGGATAGAGCTGGGGTTGTATTTTTGTATAATATGGGTGTATGTGTGCGTGCGTCCCCTTCATCTACTGTTTTATGTGATATTTAGAATGGTTCAGGACTAGTGAAATAGAGCATCTTCATTCACGGCATGTGTACAAACTGGGGAGACGGATTTTCCTGTTACAGTCGATATGAGTAGTAATACAGCTGCAACAACAGGAAGTCAGAGCTACTGAGACGCTTTGCGGTGGAATGGCATGGTTATGGCCTGGGCCATCTTGCCGATTAGATTTGGCGTCTTCGCAGGACCCAACTTCACGGCCGCCTTTCACTGTCAGTACGTGCAGACCTGCATGATCTACGGCTGGACTTACATCTATGACATCGCGGATGTACCACACCACGTCCTCTTGAGGCCCACTCGCATCCACCTGCGCACGATCAACCGCCGAAACACTCCGTATATGGACCACAGTGGACTACTCACCCAGGTGGAGTGCCTTCGGAACTCCGGCTTCTCAATAACAGCCCGCATCTGCTCATCCCACGCTTCTTTCCGTTGCCGAACCATAGCCAGACGCCTTTCACCCTCGTCAAACGTCATGGGATCAGCCATTGCGCGGCGCTCTATATGGTCCGGATGCATGTTGAGCACAATCGCGTGCACCACGCCAAAGGCCTGCGACAGTCAGCAATGCTTAACCCACGCAGTGAGGACGGATGCTGCACCGCCTGGAACTTATTGTACTGCTCTATGGAGGTCGGCAGGCCCTCGATAAGGAAGCGGTCTGAGCCGTACGCGGCAAACAAGTGTTTGGAGATCTCGATCTTGAGGATGCGAAACAGCAGCTTTTCCGGCACCTTGCCCTGCGGGTCGTGTGCGATGCGGCTCTGGACATACTCGCGCACATCGTCTGGCCCTTCTTCTAGCAGACTGCGCACCACGTCCTCGGGGACGATGTGGATTAGAGAGGGTCGCTCGCGGACGAGCAGTTCGGCTGTGGATGTCTTGCCGGAGTAGGGTGCGCCTGGAGCATGCGCATGTCAGTGGCTCAATGGCGTGCTGGGCTGATAGGCGAGGACCTACCGGTGAGGAAGAAGATGGAGCATGAGTGCTTTGGGATGCGAGGGTCCGGCAGGCGGACATCAATCCGCTTCTTCTCCTTTCGCGTCTCGCCCAGGGCCATGATTGCTCTCTCGATTGCGAGGTCGTCTCCCGGTATGCCCTTTGTTTGCTGGGGTATGAGCTGATTGACAAAGGATTGTTGGATAGCGCATACAAACACCGATAACAAGGCGATTGTTAACAAAGCAGAGGATAAGAGGTGTGATGCTGTGAGGATAAAGACAGAACGAGTGTCTTCTGGCGGAAGCAGATGGAATGTCTGCACCTGACGCGACAGATGCGACAGATGCAGAAGCCAAACCATGGCAGGCAGTCGCTTAGTCGTCGCTGAGTCGTCGTGGGAGGTGAAGAGCGACACAAGAAGGCCACGCCAGGCAACGGTCTCTGTTCCTCTTTCCTCTCTCTCATCACCTCGCTTCCTCCTTCCCAACCAGCCCAACAGCTTCCCGTCAAACAGTGAGTCGTGGAAAGCGCTATACAAAGCAGAGCTGACCCTCCATAGACTACACAACTCTAACACCGTCAACAAAGTAAGTCAAGCCAGCTCAGCAGATCTCCCCTCTCCTATCCCCGTCCTACTCATGCAATATACATCGACTAACGGCGTACAGTCGACATGCGCTTCCTGATCAACACCGTCGACAGCCAGTTCGTCTGGGACGCGGCCGTTCTCTTCGTCAAGACCGTCGCCATCTTGTTTGCCGTCGAGCTGATCAGACGTGCTTTGGCTCACTTCAACGAGCATCAGCGTCCTCGTCGTCCTCAGATCTCCGGTCCTATCCACGTTCGTCTGATGAACCCCTAAGCCATGCGCTTGACTACCTGTGACAAGATCTTCTTGATCATGGTGAGTTCCTTGACTGATGGCACAGGCGAGGCTAATGTCTCGACAGGTCGCGTTCTCATTCTTCTACGGCTTCTTTCTGCTGTGGTGGTGTCTTTCAGTGGTGGTGGAATGGTTATGTTGGATGATGGAGAAGATTGGATTGAACCGAGGTTTCTATCATGGATAGTCCAGTTTGGGGATAGCAGAACGAATTGAAATTCATTCGTATTGGCTGTTTTATTGACTTCAGTAGCGAATAAACGTCTAGGGACAGCGAGGAAATCGAAGTAGACACCGCCACGGCCTGACCTCGAGAAGGTGCTAGTACGTTCTGGTCTGGTATAATATCTCCGTAGGAAATACCTAATTCATGACCAGCTGTTGGTCAGATCTGCACTAAATACAAAGGGTCTTGAAGATGTTCCGGGTGGCGGTGCATACGTAGTATATACTATGTAATCTGTTGACCTGCGCGCCAGAACGAGGGGAGCTCCAAGACGTCAACGGCTCAAGTTCGAGGCAATACCGGATGAGTATTGGCTGCCGATTGAGCCCACAACAGGGATTTATGAGACCTGGCCAATCTCGTTTCCGGCTGTCGATGTGAGGCGGTGCAGTCGCCTCGTCTTTTGGGTTGATTCGATTGATTCCCCGTTGGGCGTACATTGTATGGAACCACTTGTCTTCAGACGGCGGCAGTTCAGAAGGTACCTGGCCTCCTTTTAACTACTTACGTCTCTTCTCAGCATAAGACCTCTGTTGATAGGGGCCTACCTCTCCCACTCGGTCCATGGGAGCTTCCTAACCCATCCCTTCCCATCCTCTTGTTGTAGCATCTTATATTGGAAGATCCTCGTCTTCCTCCAGACCCCTGATCATGGCAGCCTCAAACAGTTCCGATGAAGGTTTGGGGCCATCCATTCGTATGCCATCACGTATTTCCTGACTGACTGTTCCCCTCAGCGAAATCGCCCATCCCTAACCGTCTACGACCGTCCCGTTTTCGGGTGAAGAGTCTCCTTGGTCGTCCCTGGAGTTGGGTGTGGTCCAAACTGTCCCCCAGTGCATCTCGTCCTAGAAAACCTCCGTCGGTCACCCTCCAACTGGATAGTCATGCCCTGTCGAGACCCTCCCCTCCTGACCGTCTCCGACCCCCATCTCCACGCCCAAGTCTGTCCCATGGCCGGTATTTGATAGCCCCGAGAGTCACCGCCCAAGAATTGGGGATGCTGAATGGGCCTGGGGCCTCATCGAGGACCAGCATAGACCCCTACCCGGTGTTTACCAGCAACGGTGCATCGCCCTCAGACCAAACCACCGCCTCAACGACGCCTTTGCGGCCTTCTTGTCCCGGTAGCCCCAGACGGTCACTGGATGAAGGCGGAACCGCTGTCTCTCGACCGTGGGAAGACGCCCCCAGAGCCAACGATGATGGAAGTAAGGGCGAGAAGTTCCAGCGCAACGTCTATTTCATCGGTGAGGATCTCGGCAAGATACCGATGCGGATGTCCATCGATACACAGTCGCGTTTCAGCGTGATAGCCAGGGACAAGGCCGAGAAACTGGCGTTGGCCATGAAGAAGTGCGAGGAAATGATATGCCCTTTGACCATCGGGTCCCAGAAGAACGAGGCGCCAGTTGAAGGGATGGTTGAGGCCGATTGGCACTTCTTCAACGGGGAGGAAACATACACGACCACTTTTAGAGTCGTCGATATGACGGACTTTGATGTCCTCCTTGGGCGCGATGACATTGCAGAGCTTGGACTTGTGCGGCTCAGCAAGGCTGTTCCCTATCAAGAAGGAGTGGTGCGGCGCCCTGGGCGCTAAAGCCCCTTATTCCTCTCGACTGAGGAGATTGTTGGACACGTCATGCGTCATGATTACATTCTCGTCTGGCACCGCTTTCTATATTGCTTATTTGGGTGGCTACTTGTGCATTGCTTTCCTTTCTGCCTATCCCTCGCTCTTTTGGATACTCTCTTCAGGTGCATTACGATACCCGCTTGCATTCTTGTTACGATGGGGCGGTGGAGGCTTTCTCGATCTACTTCATGGCGCGTTGGAGTACCTAGGAACATACATACGTACATACATGCATGAATTGATACTATTCGCACGGAAATTTCGATCTGTCGCGCTCCCCCGTTGACAACACCGATACTAAACTTCCATAGGGCCCAGGATCTTATACATCCATTACCTACATCAGCCCAAAAAGTCGGCTTGAAAGCTCCTCGCGCTGCAACGTAGTGCAGATTACTGCCCGACTCCTCAGCCGGGTGATGGTGGAAGCGTTTGATTTGGCGACAGAGACAGCCAGCCTCGTCTGACTCTACGGAGAAGCCCAATCCCACCGTCTAATGTATACAACCGGGTAGAGCCTCGTTGGCTTTCGGTATGGCTTGCATGGATTTTGATGAGAGCGTTGCCAATTCGCCGGGCCTGCTCGACGGATGTCCATGGATATGATGGACTACATCGATCACTGCTCCAACAGTCCCTGTGGCTTCTTTCAGCCGCGTGGAAGGGGTATTTATGGAGGCCGAGCGAGCCCCGCAAGCTGGCCAGTCTGTCTGCTCGAGACAAACCCTTTCCGCACCAGAATGGTAAGCCCTCGCCCCGCTTGCACAGGATCGGTCCCTAGCTCTACTGATGCCCCTAGGCGCGAACGGAGCATATCAACTGCTATTGCCGCAACAGGGAAGGGTTCATTACGTTGCTGGGACTGGTCGAGGCGGGCTTCGACGCAAACATCGTCACCAGAACGGGCGCCAATGAGCTAATGTCTTGCGGATACATATTTGATAGCCTGGATGAAGGCAAGCTGATCCGAGCACCGGGCGGAACCATCTATACGGGGACAAGAATAGTCACCGCCGCCATCTACGCGAGTCGAGTAGGGCGCAGGAGCGAGGATGAGAGCTTTTACCTCGTCGACCCGGAGCCTGCACACCTGTTATGCGATCTGGTTCTGGGACAGGATTCCCTTATCAGCAAGAATCTCACTGATAACAGCGCGGCTCCCACCGTCTTCAGACCCAAGACCGATGGTGAGTCCTGGGTGGGTGGCTCCTGGGAAAGTCGAGTATGAGCTAACCGACGAACAGCGGAGAAAAAGAAGCAGCAGGACGAGGACAAGAAGAATGATGAGAAGGTCCGGGCCGAGCAAGAAAAGGTGCGGGAGCAGAAGCGAAGCGAACGAGAGGCGAATCGACGGCGTTGAAGGGATTTCTGATATAGCTAGCTATACAGAGTAGTTCTGCATACTTAGCGGCCGCTTAGGGTTGTGGGTCATAATGACGGGTTCTTAAGGTTCCACTTCCCCTTCATTTCACTGTATGTATACTCCATAGTACGCCGCAGAGCCCTGGACGAACATGCCACATCCAGCCTCGTAAGCCTGACACCACAACCGACATGACAAGTGGCGAGAGGCTTTCTCTCTCGTCCTACCTCATACCTACACATTGCGGTGAGCTGATCATCATCAAACGAGGGGCTAAACAGGTGCCAGTTTGCCCGCTGGCTCACTGCCAATCAAATGTACGCGCCCTGCCTCAGCCTCGTGCGCGCACAAATCTCGCCTCAAATACACATCCTCTTCCTCATTTAGGATGGAATGGACGGAACCGAGTCTCTTCTTCTGAGCTGTCCGATAAGACGGAGATTCTGTGCCCGTAATGCCTTGGAACCCTTCCAGTACGTGTCCATCACCCAATGCCCACCATTGCTGCTGGATCCTCCACCATGGTTTAACCACTACCCCAGACCATACGCCCTTCTCTTCGATGAAGAGCAAGTTATGCGAGCATGGAGAAAACCATGGCGAGCAGCATGATCCAGCAGAATGGGGGAAGCATCAAGTACTTCAACCTCTCCCATGGGGGACGAAGCAGAGGCTGACTGCCCGACTACCACCTAGATCCCACGGGTGAAGCGAAGGGCCCGAATGCTTTTGTTTCCATGTATCAGCAGGAGAAAGCAGCCGGTGGGCTCTCCACCGGGCGCCCCATCAAACCCTCATGTCCATCCCACTGCACCGCCGGGGAACGACGGAGCGTCTCCAGGTTACTATGTAACCGGGGCGCCAATGCAGCGGCTGTGGCACGACGATCCCACGGTGCAGCTGACCGAATCGATCGATTCCATGTTCGCGCAGAGCCCATTGTCACATCAGGTTTACCCTGACCGCGATCTCGCCGACTACGATTTTATCTATGATGTCCTAGTTTATACGGCCAGCGGCGGCAAGATCCGCCGGCGACTCGTTGTTGATTTCCGGACGGATGTTAATATCATGTCTGATGCTGTGTACCGTAGGCTACACATGAAAGCTAGTGCTTACGACGAAACGCAGTCGATCCGGCTGCCCGGGCGCGGCGACGTGAAGCCCCTCGGGACGGTGGTTGTACAGTGGAGTCTTCTTGGAGATAGCAGCGTCTATCACACGCGATTTTACGTCGTGAGGGGCTGGCATATGGACCTGGTGTTGGGGCGGCCCTCAGTAAAGGAGCACCAGCTGTACCGGAAAGATGCTGGGGTAGTTTCTAGGCTCAATACGTCGTATCGACGTTAGCAGCGGGGTTACCGTTTGACGTTAAAAGGGTTTCTTCTCTCTCCTTCTCTTCGTTTCTTTTCATTCCTTTTCTCTTTTTCCTGCTTACTCTGTATCATTTGTCACGAGATTGTGAACTGAGCTAGGTGCCCGTTGCCACAAAAGCACCGAAAAGCCCGTACTCCCGCCCCTGCTATTCGACCAACGGTCTAGGAGAAGGTAGCCTAGCCACGTATCTATCCAACTGATCCGTTGGGCAATACACAACTGACGTTTTAGCTGCATACCATATATCCGTGATGTATGCATCTGTCGGACAGAGATAGATGCAAGTCGACTCTGCTGACACCAGAGATCAGTACCTCGGAGCGGGGGCTTAGACAGCCCAGGATCATGATAATCTTCCGTGTAGTCCAGTATTCGAGTTAATTCCCTAGGGAGCCTCGTGCGCACGATGGCAACAGCTGACGGTCCTAATTTGATGACCACCAGCCTGCAAGGCTGGATACAGGTAGGGCAAAAGGCCCAGATACCTGTATCAACTATCTGCGTTGCGGGGCTAGATATGCAGTGACTTATAGATACGTCTACGAGCTTCCCCTGTCTTCTGGAGGGAAAAGACCGATATGGCCACGACCCCGGCTAAATTAGAAGGCTACGACAAACTCGCAGCACTGCTCTCTTCCGACCCAGGACTTCAGTATTTCCGCCGATTCGCAACTCTGAACACCAAGAACCTGCTCTATTACCAGGCGCAGATTGCGAATCTTGAGGACGATCTCAATAATATTATCGTTGAAGACAAAGCCCTGTGTGATAGATACGAGGGAAAGAAGAACTATCCATTCTCTGTCTTCCACCTAGAGAACTCGCTAAGAGACGATGATGCAAATCAGTGGAAGAAATTCCTGGAGCTCCGGGAGCTGCTTAGCAAATATAGTACGTGTCCTCGTCAGAGTCGTCGCAAGCAAGCGGAATAACCCGAGTTACCAGACGACGCATTGCTCCAACAAGTCCAGCTTCTGCGTCTTCGGGCCCCAGAGCAGGCGGAAGTAGCCGAGTTTAGGGACTGGCTCACGGATAAGGAAGCTGGCGGACAGTTCTTCGTTCTCCAAGCCGAGAAGGACGTTTGGAGTGAAAGGAACCAACATGACCTCATTGCACTGTGTAGAAGACAGGACGGAGCCGATCATTTTACTCGGTGGATCTTCAAACAAATATCATGGTTTCATCGTCTGTGGGGGCATCGTTCTGAGGCATGTATGGACTGACTCCCACAGTCTTGAAGCGCAGTGCTGACCATCTGTAGAAGAGACACGATCCTGAGATGGGCACATGGTCCTACAGTGATCAGAAAATCAAGACCTTCACCTACATCTTCAGCCTTTTCATGTCGGGCCTTTTGCCTGCGTCTTCCATTCTGATCCTGTTCTTCATGAAAGATGCTACCGACAAGATGATTGTCGTTTTTGTCTATAACGTGGTGTTTCCCCTGGTGATCGGGTTTCTCGTAAAGGCCAAACGGGCCGAAATCTTTGCAGCAGCTACTGCGTAAGAGGTCTTTCTTGAACACTGTTGTCAGTATACTAACACTTCTCTCAGGTTTGCAGCTGTCCAGGTCGCCCTGGTTGCCAACTCGGATGGTGGATGTCGCCGTTGACTGTACTTTATTATTATCGCTTAGGAGTATGTGAGATAAATCGCGGTTCGGGTATTTGTCCTTATCTTTTTGTTCCTGGTGAATAGAGAATCATCAAGATGGATGAACAGTATGATCAGTTCAGGGCCCCTTTCAGTATCTACACGTTGAGATAAACTCGATGTACACAATGTAACCAAAGTTTACAAAGTAGACAAAGGAACCGAAAGCCCGGCGCATTAGTAAGATGACGCAGCGAGATCGGCCTTATCATTATCAATCATCCATAATTCTTCATCCTCGCCATCCCACTTCTTCTCGACAATTCCCCTATAGCCTCTACCTAAACCTCTCTTCTCCCAGAGCCATGCCTCTCGACGGAGTCAAGAACATTGTCCTGGTACGTCCACCCCGTCCATCCCATCCCGCAGGAAAAAATTGGAACCCACAACCCCTCCTCTTATCGATAACATGACAAACCCACCCCCAGCTAACATCCACTTACTTGTCCAGGTCCTCTCAGGCAAAGGCGGCGTCGGCAAATCCTCCGTCACGCTACAGCTCGCCCTCGCCCTCACGCTGCAAGGCAAATCCGTCGGCATCCTCGACATCGACCTGACCGGCCCGTCCATCCCGCGCCTCGTCGGCCTCGAAGACGCCAAAATCACCCAGTCCCCCGCCGGCTGGGTGCCGGTCCCCGTTCACAGCGCAACCGACAATGCAACCGGCCCCGCCACCGGCTCCCTGCGCTGCATCTCGCTGGGCTTCCTCCTCCGCGACCGCGGCGACGCCGTCATCTGGCGCGGCCCCAAGAAAACCGCCATGATCCGCCAGTTCCTCTCGGACGTCTCGTGGGGCGAGACCGATTACCTGCTTGTGGATACGCCGCCCGGCACGAGCGACGAGCATATCGCCCTCGCGGAGCAGCTGCTTACCACGGCGACGACGGATGCGGCAGCGGCAGCGGCCGGGGGGAGGCCGCGGCTGGCGGGGGCGGTGCTTGTGACGACGCCACAGGCGATTGCGACGTCGGATGTGCGCAAGGAGGTGAACTTCTGTGTCAAGACGCGGATTCCGACCCTCGGGGTTATTGAGAATATGTCGGGCTATGCGTGTCCGTGCTGCGGGGAGGTGTCGAATATCTTTTCCAGTGGCGGTGGGCGTGCCATGGCGCAGGAGATGGGGATTAAGTTTCTCGGGGTTGTGCCGGTGGATGTCAAGTTTGGTGAGCTCGTCGAGGGCGGGAAGATCCAGGATGGGAGTGACAGTGAGGACGAGGGGGAGACGGCGCGACAGGAGCCAGAGCCTGAGGCGGTGGATGACCGGCCGCTGGTGGAGCGGTATAAGGATTGCTGGTCGTATCCACGGTTCGAGGAGTTTGCGCGCACGTTAATTGCGGATATAGATGGAGCTTAGGCGCATGGTTCTACTCTTACTATCTAGGCTTATGCGGTGATGAATATATATATATACCCATTCATGTTTCGTCAGAGCGGATGGTTGAAATAGAGAGATAGATCGATATATACTGTCATAACATCATGCAACCGGACCAGCACTTCTTGCCTCCCGCTCCAGCATCGCCCGCAAACGCATCTCAGCAGTCTCTTCAGCTCGAGTATCCCCGTCCTGAGTCGCATGCCTCAGCCATCCGAACAGCGCCTGCACATCCGTCAGCACAGATGAATCGGCCCGACATGACGTCCATATATTCTGCGTGCCATCATAGCTTAGATTGTCCGCCCTCGAAGGCAGCGGCAATCGAGACGCAGGGAGAGCCGCCGCGGCGTCCGGACGTCCACCCGCCTGCGCATCGAGCAGCACCTCCGACACAACGGCCGAGGTGGACATCCCCTGGGCGTGGTCGTCCGCGCGTGAGGGTATTTTCTTCCCCAACAACGCCCGGCCCGATGACCGTGGTTTCGACGCAAACTCCCTGGTGGGGGGCGGTGCGAGGCTCGACGAGGGATCCACTGTCTGGTTAAAGGCAACCGATCGGGGCGTGTCGGGCTGTGCCTGGACAGAGGCCGCGTCTCCGCCGGAGAAGGCGAGCATCGACTGATACCCGGCATTGTGGACCGTCCCGCCTGTCTGTCGGACGTGCTCGACGTACCCATACAGCGGGAAAGAGATATACTCCCGTCCATCGGCTACGCTAGTCTCGTCGTCGTATATCACAACATTGTCGGTTCCCTGTCGTTCATGGTCGGAGCTTGCTTCCTCGACGGGCCCGAGTCCGCCTGGGGGAGCGCGGATCTCCCCCAACGGGGCGATGTGACTTCCGTACTCGTTGGCTAAGCTCAGCTTGCTACGACCGCAGATCTCTCCGATCGAGTCCAACGTGGAGCGGATGTTGGGCTCGATCGCGCGGAGGATGTGGTCGATGCTAAAGTCTTGCTCCGACGGAAGTTCCGGCCCTGATCGTCGGGATGAGGATCTGCCGGTTATGATACTGCTGCCGCCACCCACGAACGGGAATGAGCGCCGCAACGGCATCTTGGACGTAGTCTCGGGGGGATCATCGGGGCCGCCCGAGTACGACCTGACAAGGACCGGTTGCGACGCCAGGGTTGATGACCGGCCACTAGAAGAAGGTTGGGTCTGTCGGTTCTTCCACGAGGACAAGGGTTTAGGGGTTCCATTCAGTTGACGCAAGGCCGTAGTACGATGTGCACGAGTGGCTTCATCAAGACTGGTCGACTCATAGCGACCGGGGTGGGCAGAATGTGAGGGACCAGCTGCGTCGGACACGGGCGAAAGATGCGACCATCTCCGACGGGGAAGAGGAGGAGCAGTAGTAGAAGAAGAAGATGCGCCAGCAGCAGACAACCGGTTGGACCTATGATCCATTTCGCTGCAGAAACACACCGGATATGAAATGACCGTGGGGATGAAACACAGCTTCCCTGACCAGAAAGAGGGGACTGCGACTAGACCAACGTCAGACACACCCACACCACTCGGAGTCGCAGCAGCGGCAGATCATCTAATGCTAGCGAGGGATCAAGCGCCTGTCATACGGAGCTGTGGTCGGACACGTATCGACGCCCCAGTGCACCACCGCAGGAGGTGGGGTGGTAATGTCGCTGCATCTGGGTTCACGAGGAAGTCGACGACATGCTGGCATGCATTTTGCTCATGTTGTCTGACTTGAGAGGGCGATGCTGATTGCTGGGGTGTCGGCAAGATGCAGAAGGAGGAAATGCGCTGGCCGAATGGGGGGAAGAAGAAGAAGGCGGCGGAACAAGTTAGTTGGCCTCCGCATCCGCCTGACTCTCTCTCTCTCCTCACTCTCTCCCTCTCTCTGTATGCCACGCTACGCTCGCTCTCTACACCCCACACTCCCAGAGTCAATTCCGGTTCCATCATGAACAAGTTTCGCGTATGGCCCCATTTCCACCCCCGCGTCACCCTCCCGCTTACGCTCGTACCGTAGTTTGGCGACTCCGACGAGTCGGCCTCCGACTTGGACGACGACACCACCGGTCTACCTTTCCCCGAACCGCTCTCGCGCGCGTCATTTCTCTCTCCCGACTTCGATCCGGCCAAGTACCTCTCCTCTCTCACCAACCGACACCAGAGTCTGGAAGATCTCCGACAGGAACTCCGCGAGTTGGACCAATCGCTCAGTCGGGAGCTGCTAGATCTGGTCAACGAGAACTATCAGGACTTCCTGTCTCTCGGGGTTGCACTGCATGGTGGCGAGGAGAAGGTCGAACAGGTCCGAGTCGGATTATTGGCCTTCCAGAGAGACGTGCAAGCCATTCGGGATAAGGTGGAGGCCCGGTACCAGGAAGTCCAGCAACTCATCGAAGAGAAGAAAGGAATCCGACGGAATGCGAACATCGGCCGGGCACTTCTTGATTTCGCTGATCGCGTCGAAGAACTTGAGCGGCGACTGATGATTGGGGGCGACGCATCCAACCATCAAAAGAGCTCTACCGACCAGTTCGACGAGGATTCCGACCCCGGCCTCTTGGATAGCGAGAGCGAGGAGGACAGCGATGACGAAGAACTTCCAAACGGCGCGCATGCTGCCCCGCTAGTGTCTTTAAAACGACTGGAGCACCATATCCAGAAATACGTCTACCTGACCCGGTTATCGTCGCGCATCGGTGACCAACATCCGTTCCTCCTGAACCAACAACCACGGCTGTCGAAGATCCGATCCGCCGTCCTCCTAGACCTGAAGACAGCGCTTGAGCAGGCGAGTCACGCGGGTGAAAAGCGAGATACGAAAACCCTGGCGGTTTTGCGCCTCTACAAGCTGATGGGTGAAGATACCAGTGCGGTCACCGCATTGAAGAACTTGAAATTATAGACTCACTTTCTATCCGGGCCATTTGCCGGGTTGGTTGCATAGCGTCGGCGTTGAGGGTGCTTTGAATTTTAGAGACATATGAAACAATATACCATTATACACAGCGCCTTTCCTAATAAAACATGATTTGTACACCCAGACAGGAAGCTAATTTACAGACCGCTCAAAGACGCAGGATCGGGGGAATTGTCGGATTTGAACTCTCCGTTCAGACTGAAGCCGGGACCGTTGGTCGAGCTCAGCACCTACCATCTCGTCAGCCAACCGTCATATCCATCGTCGAGGGATACCACTCACCACTTCGTAGATCTCCTTGTTGATGCGGTCATTCAAGCCGGCCGCATCCTTCTTGATTTGTTCAATGGTCGCACGCAGATTGTCGCGCAGCTGCTCGGGCGAGAATCCTAATTGACCGATGGGGAGACGGATGACCGCATCACGCTCTCGGTATACCGTACCACCACGCAGCATTTCAACACGAGAGGCAACATCTTCCACCACGGTACCGGTCTTCGCGCTGGGCATCAAACCCCTGGGACCGAGAATCCGGCCCAGTCCCGCCTTGTTCAGAGCATCCAAGCTGTCCGGATGGGCAATGCAGCGGTCGAACTCAATCTTACCGCTCTTCACCGCATCAAACACCTCCTGCTCTCCGACAAGAACTGCGCCAGCCGCGCGAGCCTCCTTCTCGTGTCGCGATCCCGGCGGACAGACCACACAGATTCGCGATTCGGTCTGGACTGAGTGAGGGAATCGCAACATGTTCCGGATGACGGGACCGTCTTTCATCGTCCGGAGTCGCACGTGGACTTCGTATTTCGAGACCGTGGGTTCGCGACCGACTTCGAAAGCGCGGAGATATCTAGAACCGGAAAAAAGACCTGTTAGCCCGGCGTCTTGCAACTCTCTGGAAGCCGCATCAGACAGTACCTCATTGCATCACACAGCGAAAACTGCTCCATATCTTTCAGATCCTTCTGGCGGAACTCTCTGGGACCTTTGCGACCCTTCTTGGGCTTCTCCTTCTTCTTGCCCTTGGCCTGGGGATTGTTCTTGGCTCCGCGAACCTGTTGGAACCCCGACAGCATCGGGGCCATTGTCGACGGACGGAGAGGGGAGCGACATGAGGAGAGGAGACTCCGTGCTGCCGAGGGCAGGAGTTGGCCGAAGGAAGACATGTCGACCGGTGGGGATGAGGTGAGAGGGAGCCCGGGGGAGACCTGATATCCTGGAGGATGGAGCGGATTGAATGTTTTCTGCCCCGAAAGCTGTCGATCGGCCGTTCGGGCGGAAAAACCGACCCGCCGGCGGCATTCCCGATTGAGTCAGACAAATCTATTGCCCCTCCATCCTCCGGTCTTTTTCCCCTCGTTCTCAATTCGAATCCAACTCTCGAATTCGAGCATCATGTCGGACATGCAGCTCGTACTGGCCGCCAAGGCCAACCAGGCCCCTCTTCTTCCCGTTCTTCTCGTCGCAACCTCCATCAACGAGGCCCGTCCGAGCCCCGTCATCTCCATCATCTACGAGGATGCCGCCGTTCTCTCCCAGGGTGACAAGGCCACCGTCCAGTTCACTGGCGTGAGCGGAAAGCCTGTCTATGGAACCGCCAATGCAATCCAGGAGCTTCAGGCCAATTTCCCGTTCCTCAAGGCCAAGGACAGCCAATTGGTACGACTACATGGAGGAGCACGAGATCATCTGAATCATGGCTGACCGCACTTGTAGGAGACCGAGTGGCTTGCTCAGGTTGAGTCCTTCACCACCCTGGACTTTAAAACTCTTGAGCCTCAGCTCCAGCGCCTTAACGCCCACCTTATGCTGCGATCTTTTGTCGTGGGTTATGCGCTCTCCACCGCCGATATTGCCCTCTGGGGTGCCATCCGTGGAAACCGTGTCGCCGTGTCTCCGGCCCGGAAGGGAACCCTCGTCAACCTCACTCGTTGGTTCAACTTTCTGGAGACCCTTTGCCCCTGGGCCACTACTGCCTTGGAGACCTTGAATGCTGCCGCCAAGGAGAAGAAGGAAAAGAAGGGCAAGGAGAGTACCGGTACCGCAAACTACAACATTGACCTCCTCAACACCGACAAGGGTGTCGTGACTCGTTTCCCCCCTGAGCCGTCGGGCTATCTTCACATCGGACATGCCAAGGCTGCCCTTCTCAATGACTACTTTGCCCATGAGAAATACAACGGCACTCTACTGGTGCGCTTTGACGACACCAACCCTACCAAGGAGAAGCAGGAATTCGAGGATGCTATTGTTGAGGTGAGTCCTTGCACATAAGCACAAACTCGTCGATTTATGGCTAATTCTCCACAGGATCTGGCCCTTATGGGCATCAAGCCGGACCGCACCTCCTACACCAGTGACTACTTCGACGAGCTGTACGACTACGGTGTTCGCATTATCAAGGAGGGTAAGGCATATGCCGATGATACCGAAAAGGAAGAGATGGCCCGCCAGAGAATGCATGGAGAACCCAGCAAGAACCGCGACAACAGTGTTGAGGAGAACCTGGCCCATTTCGAGGAGATGAAGAAGGGTACTGAGGAAGGTCTGAGATGGTGCATCCGTGCTAAGATTTCCGTCGACAACCCCAACAAGGCCATGCGTGACCCGGTCATCTACCGCTGCAACCCGACTCCCCACCACCGCACCGGTACCAAGTGGAAGATCTACCCTACCTACGACTTCTGCTGTCCCATCGTGGACTCCATGGAGGGAGTTACTCACGCTCTGAGAACGATCGAGTACCGTGACCGCAACCCTCAGTACGAGTGGTTCCTGGATGCCCTTGATCTTCGCAAGGTCCAGATTTGGGATTTTGCCCGCATGAACTTCATCCGCACTCTGCTTTCCAAGCGCAAGCTCACTAAGCTTGTGGAGACTGGCGCGGTCTGGGGCTGGGACGACCCCCGTTTCCCGACCATTCGGGGTATTCGTCGTCGTGGTATGACTGTTCCGGCTCTGCGCGAGTTTATCCTCAAGCAGGGTCCCAGCAAGAACATCACCAACCTGGACTGGACTCTCATCTGGGCTACGAACAAGAAATACATTGACCCTGTGGCGCCGCGTTTCACTGCGATCTCTAAGGAGAAGATGGTCAAGGCGACGGTCAAGGGCGCCCCGGCCGCTTACACCGAGGAGAAGCCCAAGCACAACAAGAACCCGGCCGTCGGCATGAAGAAGGTTGCCTACAGTGGCTCCCTGCTCTTCGGACAAGATGACGCCAAGTCCTTCAAGCAGGACGAGGAAATCACCCTGATGAACTGGGGCAACGCCATTGTCCGCAAGATCGAGACCGATGCTTCTGGCACGGTGACGGGTCTGGAACTGGAGCTGCACCTGGAGGGTGACTTCAAGAAGACCGAGAAGAAGGTCACCTGGCTCTCTACGGAAGGCCAGGAAATCATCCCCGTGGAACTGGTGGACTTTGACTATCTGCTGAACAAGGACACCTTGACGGAAGATGACAAGCTCGAGGATGTGTTGAACACCCAAACTGAGTTCCGCGAGGAAGCTGTGGCCGACGCCAACGTGGCTGAGCTCAAGGAAGGAGATATTATTCAGTTTGAGCGCAAGGGATACTACCGCGTTGATCGTCCGTATGCGCCCGGCAAGCCTGCGGTGCTGTTCAACATCCCCACAGGTAAGACGGGTAAATAAAGTGGTGACGGCAGAAGGTTTATAGATTCTTCAAAATCTTAGAGATATGATGTAAATGGTCCTTGACGAATGAAAGACAATTTTTCCATGCTCATGAACGTCCTTGGTCTCATGATGAATTCGGAGTTGCATTGACGCAGTCTATACACCGGTGGTGACGGCATCGATAGCTAGACAGATATCAGGTGACTGTCGTGCTCTTGACTTCACCCGGCTGTACCGTGAGACGGATTCGGTAAGCAATGGTATGTTGACAGTTTTCATAGCTCATAGGATGATGAGAAAATGATTGCATAGGAGGTACATCCGCAGAGGTGGTGGACACGTTGAACTGGAAGTACTGTCGATGGTTGTTGATAGTTGATCATACTAAGCCCGATCGGGAAGACCCTCTCGACTTCTAACCACACCTCTCTATCTCTCTTCTCTCAACTTCCCCCATCTCAGCCAACATTAAAGCACTCGGAGGGAATTCTCGGGAGTGAGCACGGCTAGAGAAAAGCCTAATGCATCAACCCATCTGCCACTGGTCTCCACGGACACCCCCGGTCCCAATCATCTTCTCAGCCGGCCACATCCAGCTCTGATCCCTGGAAATCATCATCGCGTCATACGGTCCAGTCAGAGTCAATTCCCTTGTCTCACCCTCTCACCATCCAAGGTCACACAATCCCTGAGGTACATCTTCCCTTGTACCCTCAGGTTCCGGGTCTTCCCTCTGTATGTCGGGACGGTACCTTCGGCTAGACCACCACGGTCTCATACGTCAAGACACATCGAGGAGTCGTCAAATCAACGAGTCATGCCCCTCACTGGTCGTGGCTTCGCCCAGTGCCAGAGCCGATAGCTTTGTGCCCGTCTCCCAAATCTGCGGGGAAGACGTGGGTTGCTATCAGACGAGTGACTAGCCGGAAGCTTCCTGGACTCGACTACGTCAGCATGATAGTCTTCGATGTAGAAGGACTCCCGGGAATGGGAAAACGATCAACCTTGTCCCTTAGCGGCCGCCTTGTAATCTCTACGTCTCGCTGAAGGGGAAAAAAATCAAGATACCCCTCCCATTCCTGCTTCAACCACCATTCTTCCTCGCGGTCCGGACAGGGAGGTCCTCGTTGTTTTCACGGTGTATCCGGTCGTTTCGTTCCTGCTCTCTCTTTTCCTCTATCTTCTAAATTCACTCACTGTTGCCGGTTCTCACTTTAAACGAGCCGTGCAGAGCGCTCCGCCATCGTCCATAGCTGCTCCTGCTGCCCCACGGCAAGTCACAGAGGGTATCAGTATGGCTGAGCAAAGCGGTGCGTCCGGCGACGCCGAGCGCGGCACTGCGCCCTCTCGCGTCTCCGTTTCGGAGGGTCGCTCATCAAGACGGGTGTCCCGCGTTTCCTACAAGGAGGACTACGCCAATCTCGATGAGTACGGCAAGCTCGTCAAGTATGCCTCAACCTTCCGCGAGGCGGGTGGCCAGCGCAGCGAAGAGAACGTCGAGATGAGACGGGTGTGGTATGCGCCCTGGAAGAAGCGCAAGGTCATCGTCAAATCCGATTCCACCGACGGCATTCAGTTCCCGGAGGATTGGCTTCTGACCGACATCCGCCAAGGTCTGCCTAGCTCCGAAGTCCCCGTTCGGCGTCGTCGCGCAGGATGGAACGAGCTGGTGTCGGAGAAGACAAACCCGATCGCTCAAATCTTGGGCTACTTCCGTGGCCCCATTCTCTACGGTAAGTGACTCCGGGTCTCCGGGTGGACCGGAAAGACCCTAAGGGCGTGCATCTGACTCTGAATAGTTATGGAACTGGCTGTTCTGCTTGCTGCGGGTCTGCAGGACTGGATCGATTTCGGTGTCATCATCGGTATCCTGTGCCTGAACGCCGCCGTCGGTTGGTATCAAGAGAAGCAAGCTGCGGATGTCGTCGCTAGTCTCAAGGGTGACATCGCAATGAGAGCAATCGTTATTCGTGACGGCCAGCAACAGGAGATCCTGGCCCGAGAACTGGTGCCGGGTGACGTGGTATGTATTGCTTAAGCTCGGATTCTATTCTGCGTTTTAATGGTTCCGGTATACTGACTCGCTTGGTAGATCATTATTGGTGAGGGTCAGGTTGTGCCTGCTGATTCCCGAGTCATTTGCGACTACAACGATCCCAACGGATGGGAAGAGTTCCAGACCATGCAGGCTCAGGGTGATCTCAGTAGCACTTCGGAATCGGACATCGATGAGCCCGAGGGCGAAGGCAATGACGACGCGGCGGCCGTCGCCGACGAGAAGCAGGAGGAAGCCCAGGAGACCCCGACCCCCGCTCGGAAGCGTGGATATCCCATTTTGGCTTGCGATCATTCGGCCATCACTGGAGAATCTCTCGCTGTCGATCGTTATATGGGTGGAATGATCTACTATACGACCGGATGTAAGCGCGGTAAGGCTTATGCGGTGGTCCAGACCGGCGCAAAGACATCTTTCGTCGGTAAGACGGCCAGCATGGTATTGTCCGCTCGCGGCGCTGGACATTTTGAAATTGTCATGGATAACATCGGTACCTCCCTGCTGATCATCGTCATGGCATGGATTTTGGCTGCTTGGATTGGAGGTTTCTTCCGCCATCTGCCAATTGCCTCGCCTCGTCAGCAGACCCTGCTGCACTACACTTTGGCCCTACTCATTGTCGGTGTTCCTGTCGGTCTCCCCGTGGTCACCACTACCACCATGGCTGTTGGCGCAGCTTATTTGGCAAAGAAGAAGGCCATTGTGCAGAAGCTCACTGCAATTGAGTCGTTGGCGGTATGCGATCTCCCGTCCATAACTCTCAGACACACGTACTAATCGAATGCCAGGGTGTCGATATCCTGTGTTCCGACAAAACGGGTACGCTTACTGCCAATAAGTTGAGCATTCGCGAACCATATGTCGCCGAAGGTGTTGATGTCGATTGGATGTTTGCCGTGGCTGCCCTGGCCTCGTCTCACAATATTGACTCGCTGGATCCTATCGACAAAGTCACTATCCTGACTCTGCGTCAATATCCTAAGGCACGCGAAATTCTCCGTCGAGGATGGAAGACGGAGAAATTCACCCCCTTCGACCCCGTATCTAAGCGTATCGTCACGGTAGCCACTTGTGATGGGATCAGATACACCTGTACCAAGGGTGCACCGAAGGCTGTACTTGCTCTTACGAACTGCTCTAAGGAGACTGCCGACCACTACAAGAAGAAGGCCCAGGAATTTGCTCACCGAGGCTTCCGCTCTCTAGGCGTCGCCGTGAGGAAGGAGGGAGAAGACTGGACCCTCCTTGGTATGCTTCCGATGTTCGACCCGCCTCGCGAAGATACCGCACAGACAATCAACGAAGCACAACAGCTCGGGATCAGCGTTAAAATGCTTACTGGTGATGCAATCGCCATTGCAAAGGAGACCTGCAAGATGTTGGCCTTGGGTACCAAGGTGTATAACTCTGACAAGCTGATTCATGGCGGCCTGAGCGGCGCTATGGCTAGCGATTTGGTCGAAAAGGCAGACGGTTTCGCAGAGGTCTTCCCGGAACATAAATACCAGGTGGTGCAAATGCTCCAGGAACGCGGTCATCTCACCGCAATGACTGGCGATGGTGTCAACGATGCGCCGTCCTTGAAGAAGGCGGACTGTGGTATTGCCGTGGAGGGTGCCACTGAAGCCGCACAATCGGCCTCGGACATTGTCTTCTTGGAACCCGGCTTGTCTACGATTATTGACTCCATCAAGGTGGCACGTCAAATTTTCCACCGCATGAAGGCCTATATTCAGTACCGTATTGCACTTTGCTTGCACCTGGAGATCTACTTGGTGACGTCGATGATCATTATCAATGAGAGCATTCGCGTCGAGCTTATCGTCTTCCTCGCCCTCTTTGCCGATTTGGCAACCGTGGCGGTGGCGTACGACAATGCCTCGTTCGAACTGCGACCTGTGCAATGGCAACTGCCGAAGATCTGGTTCATTTCGGTCCTGCTGGGCATCCTCCTCGCACTGGGCACCTGGGTGGTTCGCGGCTCGATGTTCCTGCCGTCCGGAGGTATCATTCAGAACTGGGGTTCCATCCAGGAAGTCCTGTTCCTCGAAGTCGCGCTTACCGAGAACTGGCTCATTTTCGTCACGCGGGGTGCTGACACCTGGCCGTCCATCCACCTGGTCACCGCCATCCTGGGCGTGGACATCCTGGCCACAATCTTCTGTCTCTTTGGATGGTTCTCCAACGAGACCATGCCCACGAATCCCGCTACCTCCTTTGTGGAGACCACTAACGGCTGGACGGACATCGTCACTGTGGTGCGTGTGTGGGGTTACTCTCTCGGTGTGGAGATCGTCATCGCGCTGGTCTACTTCATGCTCAACAAGTTCAAGTGGCTGGATGACTTGGGCCGGACCAAGCGCGACAAGGGCGACCTCAAGATCGAGAACCTGCTCGGTCACCTGGCTCGTCTGACTGTCGAGTACGAGCAACCCGGCCAGCCCCCTGGTCGCTTCTTCCTGGCTGCCAGCAAGGAGGAAGAGGATGTCGAGTAAATTTGCTCGTGGACTGAATCAGTCTAGGTCCGTCAAGCAGTTCGACCTGCTGGCCGGGATCTTACGGAGGAAGTTGTGTTGGAAGAAGCGACGGGAAAAATTGAAAGCTACTAGCTACAGATGTTGGGAATGAGGATGATTAATATCGATAACGGGCCATAGCTACCTGTTAATTATTAATAGTTTGAGTGGTTTAATTGAATATAGCTGCGTTTGAGACTCCTGCTCCCATCAAGCCGCATCACTGACCCTGAACCTGCTCCCAGAGGGCCTCCAGATCGCGGCCGATGAGTCTCTCTGCCTCCTTCTCCATCGCCCGACGCGACGGCAGGTTGCGCTTGGAGATGGCTGCCGCAGACTCCTCGCGCGCCATTTCCACTACTCTCGTTAGCATCTATAAGTCGAACCAAGATCACTGGCACATACCATGCATGTAGACCGCCGCGCGCTTGCCGCTAAACATGGCATGCGGCACGTTCGTGCTCCCGTCCGAGTTGGCATCGCCAATAGCAAACACACCGGGCAGACTGGTGCGCATGCCCGAGAAGCTCGAGGTATCAATCTTGCCATCGACCATTTGCAGCCCCAGCTCAGCCGGCAGCGTCGACCGCTGCGCAGTAGGGAAATTCGTAATGAACGCGTTACGCACAAGGGTCGACCCATCCGTGAACCGGACCTCGAAGATATCAAACTGCCTCCCCTGGTCATCCTGGTGCTCCTCGCCGTCCTGCAGCCGCCGGAACGACTCGATGGTGCGGTTGTCGATGCGCACATTCCACGCCGCCAGCTGCGCCTGCCAGTCGGGCTTGTCGGCCGTCAGCTGCGCCTCGACCTCAGGCGTCTGCGTGCCGTTCGCCAGCGCCACGATGTCCGTGTTCAGCGTGTGGATCTCCAGCATGCTGCCCACCGCGTCCACCAGGCTGCCCACGATCCCGATCGGCTGGTCACGGTGCTCGTACCCGTCGCACCACGGACACCAGTACGCCCCCTTGCCCCAGATCTCCTCCAGCCCCGGCGTCGCCGGCAGCAGGTCCTGCAGCCCCGTGGCCAGCACCACCTTGCGCGCGCTGTACACCGTGCCGTCGGTGTCCGTTGCTTCGAAGTACGCCGTCGCGTTGTCGTCGGTAAGCGGCGTGATCGACACGATCTTCTTGTCTACGAAGCTCGCCGTGTCATACCGCGAGATCTGCTCGCGCGCGAGCCCGCGGAATTCGGCCGGGGGCGTGCCTGTCTAGGGTGAGTATGCTGTTGGGCGGGCATGCGCCGGGGCCGGGGGCGGGGGCGGCTGAGGTTACTGACCATCATTGCCGATCACGTCGTGCATGTTCCGGGTCGGCGCGTTGCGGTATTCGCCCGAATCGAACATCACCGCCGTGCGCCGCACGCGAGACAGTCCGCTGAGCGCACTCAGACCGGCCGGACCGCCGCCCACAACGATCACGTCGTAGCCGGTGTCCGGGACGGAGGCCGCGAGGGCCACCGTGAGGGACGAAAAGAGTGTGTACAGGAGGGACTTTGGAGCCATGGTGTATCAAGGCCTGGGATGTGGCAGGAGAGAATGAGGCAGGTGGTATGGAGGATTCATCCGTAGTCCCCTTCCTCGCCTTTTATATCTACTCCTAAACGGAGCCAAGCAGGCAAACACTGCCCGAGAATCGATCTCGGCCAGATCGACGCGTCCTTGCAAGAAGGTAGCTCTCATGGGCTGAACACGCAGGCCAAGAGCTCAGCATTACCCACCGCAGCTGTGGTGGTTCTCCGTGGCTGGCTGGCGCGCAGCGAAACCCAGGTGGGATTGTCGTCCTGCATCATATGCCCCACTGGTTCTCGAGAGATGGTCCCGTTCGTATAAGCGGCATGCACGGAGCTGGAGCTGGCCCAATGGCGACTGCAGATGGTGGGATTGCACTGTGCTTCTCGCGGTCTAACTAGCGGGTGTGCCTGCGCAGGATCGGCAGGGCCGAGAGACACGTCTCCTTGCGCTATTGAATGATCGTCGGAGCAGCTGTTGGCTGAATCGAATCAGTTCTGCAGCCAAGCTAGTGTGTGTGTTGTCAATGGAGCTGCATATTTAATAATGATCAGAGTGATTCATGAGACATGCATTTATTAGCACTAACACATTGTATGCTGTTATACAACTAACCACTGTTATACGGGAATATGGATTGCTGATCTGCTAGCAGTTTAATATTCTCCTACTTTTATCAGACAGAGTGTAGAATTGCGCCCAAATCACCGTTTAACAGCTTTCAGCGAATTGCTTGTTCCAGGAGGAAGCTGTTCATTTAAACACCCGATCCATACGTGCATGATAAACGGGGGCTCATTCCAGCCCTTCAACCTACGATATCGGGCCGCATGGCGTCCGCGTCCCTAGCAGATACTGTTCCGTGCGGAGTTATGCGAGTACAGACCGTCCCTACAGACTCCATCACAGCGGTTGTAGTCGCTTTTAAAAAGCTTTGCTATGTATTGCAGCTATGCGGCCTCTCTGGTCTGTCTAGGCTTACTTACCTCGAGCAGCAGCTTGCGAAAAACACAAGGCAGCCTACAAAGTCAGCCCCAATGCCTGCTGGGATGCTAGGCCTGGAGCTCTAGCATATAGTACATCCGTCAGAGCCTTTCTGCGCACCTCTTCCACAGCCTAGGACTATTTGCTGTACTATATGAATGGCGTCCGTGATTTTTGAGATGGGAACATCATCTTGGGCGAGAAAGACACCACACCCACACGCGCACATTCCGGTCTTCGCCGGCGTGTGAATTGAGAGATGGTGCAGAGGCTGCATTAAACAAGGTGTCGTCTAAGTATGGTGTTCCAGGGGCAGTCACGTCCTCGGGAGGGTATGAAGCGATGAATTGGCGGAGCTGAAGGAGATCGTTCTGCTTGATGATGTTTACGAGGCTGATTCTACGCCTTGCGAGCATTTCATGCGGACATCCTGAGGCGACTGAGGCATCTGAGAGAGAAGGATCGCTCTCTGCCATAGTAATTGATTCTCCTTGACCTCTTTTGTGTTGGTTTTCTTAGAGCGTGTCTGTATGTGAGAGGTGGAGTTAGAAGATGTCTGATCAATACCCTCCCTATCTTAGGGCCGGGCACTAACTGACACTGACCAAGCTTCCGCGGGCCAGTGCCAGTAAATTCAACTTGGCATCGGATAGCCGGATCCCAACTGGTGTCCTGGTCCTGTCCTCCTGAGTACAGGGCTGGTTGTCACGCCGACTGGATGCTAAAGAGAATGAGAAGGTAGACCGTGGAAACACCAAATCTTCATAAGCCAGCAGTAGAGCACGTATATACCCTGCATCGGTAACCGATAAATACTCCGAATATAAATATATAACCACCAACTCCTATCGACCAACCGAAGAACCAGAAACAAACGTGAAACAAAAGAACACTGCAACACTTGAAGTGACGAGGCACTCGGAGCTGCTCATAATTGTAGTCTAGACATAGCAATAGCCTCAGGTTGGCACCACAAACAATCGGAGGGATCAGAATCCCCAGATATTCCGCGACATCCCGTACACCTTTCCAAACAGCGCCGAGTGCGCCTGCGAGACGGCCTTGCGCACCGTATCCAAGAACCCCTTGTTGCCGTACGCCTGCGTGACATCCCACATCATGACGCCGCCGAAGCTCTCAAACGTCTTGCAGTACTCGATGACCGGCTCCAGATCCGACGCCGGCACGTAGCCCGTGCTCGCGGCCTTGGTGTTGGCCGGCACGCCGAGGAACACCTTGGCCTTCTTGTTGCTCGACACGGTCTTGGCCCAGTTGTCCCAGGTCTTGAAGTTAAAGCTCTTCTGGTCGTCCTGGCCCTTCTGGAACGAGTTCACGCCGCAGAAGTTGTTGTAGAACTGCACCCACACGGCGTCGATCGACACGTCCCCGGCGAGGATGTCCTTGTCCGCCGCATCCGGGTACGGGCACTGCGGCGCCGCGGTCAGGAAGTACTGCCGCGACGTGTCGGCGTCCATCAGCTCGCGCAGTCGCTGCGCAAACGGCAGCATGTGCGTCGTCCCCGCTTCAAAGTCAAAGTCGAACCCGTCCACCGAGGCGTCGCCGAACGGCCGGTGCACCTCGCCGTCTGCGGAGCCTCTGTGTCTCGTGCTGTTGGTGTATGCGTGCGGCCGGTGGAAGATCTTGTTCTTCAGGATGCCGTGCGAGGATTCCTTGCTGCCGGATGAGGGCCCGAACGTCTTCCAGATGAGCTCGGCGCCGGCTTTGGCGTCCGAGTCGGATTGGAAGCCGCCCTCGCTGTAGGTCGCGCCGCCGATGGACAGGATGATCGTCTTGCCCTTGCTCTGGCAGGTTTTGATGTCCTCGCTGTTGCGGTCAGTTGTGACTCTCCCGGGTATAGTGGGTTGGTGCGTACCCGACTTCGGGGCAGTCCTTGAGGTTGGTGCCCTCGAAGGTCTTGCATTGTTTGCTGGTGGTGGAGAAGTCGTAGTTGGGGGCCCCGCCTTGGCCGTTGATTGTCATCACGAAGGCGAGGACGATGACCTAGGGAGATTAGGTTGCATATACGGTAATGTAAGGAAGACAGCGTACATCGATATTCTCGTCTTGGGTCTGTTAGTATCATATGCAAAGTGTCTTGAAAGATACTCACCATCACAGTAGTAGCTCAGCCTCTGTTGAGCGAGCTCGCCTTGACCGTCAAACGAGTTTTGGCCTAGAGCCGGTTAACATTGACTTTCTCTCTCTTATATAGACACCTACCCCAGTACACAACGACATTGTTGGAAGTAGAAAGGTCGAGTTTGGCATAGGCTCCTCCCAGCGAGACCAGCCCTGCGCTGAGCGCAAGCAGATTCTTCATGAATGGCATAGTGTCAGCGGTGGCAGCGTCACCAAGGATCAACGAACAGAGAGCAGACCACGCCCCGACAGGAGCGGTCGAACAAAACGAATATATACACCACCCCATCGATGAACTCGGAAACGACGCAAATGCCAGGATGACGTTGACCTACCGGTTGACACTCCTCTCCAGACAGCGCAGACGACCGGAAACGAAGCTGAACAGCCAAGCTTTCGAATGATGTCGCAGGTGAGCCTCCCCGTGATGGTCGACAGCTATCCACACATCCGTCATCGTTTGCATTGAAGAGTGCACCTCCCACGCATTCCCCAGCAGCGACCCCTCCAATCGGCAGACAAGATCTGCATCTTTCAATCTTGTTGTGAAGGGATGATCGTTCCCCAGAAAACTCAGCTGCGGCATGCTCGGTCCATGCGAACGGAGGGCACACATTCCGCACCTGCGGTAACCGGCAGTTGACTCGGCGTATGGAATGCTGCCCGCCCTGCTGGACACTCCGCTGGAACCTGTGACAAGGCGGTGGGAGACGATCTACGGACTCGTCTGACTCGACGGAGAATATTCCGAAGCAGCTGGACGGGTGGTCGTGCACATGCGTGCAAGGGCCCGTCTGGTCTTAGGGTATGTCCTGCTTTCGGCGTGTAACCATCCGGTTTACTCTGGTCAACAAACGAAACATGATAGCAATGAAGTTTGCTGTTGCTTCCCTAGGCAGAAATGCGTAGTGATTTTTGGAAATTGTAGTGAAAATGGATTAGTATGGATTCGGTGATTGCATCCCCGACTGTATATTCAATCAACCAAATCATCTAGACAACGATGAGTACATGTCGGCGTGGGTTACTTGAGCCTAGAACTAGAAACAATCAGCGTTATTCATTACGTGTAGACGGAAGTGAATCCTTACAGGAGTTTCGTTTGCTACGACTCTGTGAATGCAGGAGACCTTCCTTCTTTATTCTCATAGGATTCGTCTTCATTACTCTGTTTGCTTAATTGACTAGGTCCTGATTCAATGAATGCTGAAAGAGCGGAGCTCTACATTAACTGCCTAGATGCAATGAATCCCCGTGGCTCGGCCTTATATAAATCCTCTCTGCTTCCCCCAATGTATATCAACCCTTCTCTCTCGACATCTTAAGACCAGGGACGAGCCTCAGTCACAATGCATTCTCTATATACTACTCATGTCTTTTCATGGCACCTTGTTGTCCTTATAATATATCCGATGACTTTTTTGCAAACCCTAGTTGCTTTGCAGCAAAGTCTCCCAGTCTCCTACACAATATTGATCGATTCCTCGCCAATATGAAGTGCTGGCGGTGTCATTCTTTTCCTCGGAACTTGCAATCCCTGCGGCCGCAGGTTTAGGGGAAAGAATAGCAGGCTTCTCCGGTGATCCTTCAAACCAGTGACATTTGTTTTGATTTCCTCTTAAGTCCATGAGGACAGGCACGACAGCCAACGTCTTGAGTCGGTTCACCAAGGGTCTCAGTATCCTCAACAACCTTAAGATCTAGAGCCCGAGCCAGTCGTTCAAGATGCGGACGACACATAATGTGAGTTGAATCTGAGTCATAGAACTAGTTCTGACCGACACATTGTGTTCTTCTAGAACTAGTTCTAAACTACATGTACTAACTAGTTTTAGGAGGACGGCAAACTTATCATTCATCCCGGGGAAGTCTACTGTCGTACTTCAGGATGCGACAACAAGGTTAGTCAACAACTACTTCTCTGCACTTATGGAAGTTCAGCTAAACTAGTTCTACAGATCCGATTTTCCAACCGCAATAATTTGTGCCATCATATTAGCAAGGCACACCCTGAGGCTGAACTAGTTGAGTCGAAGGGAGGCCGGCCTTCAAGACCTGCTGAGGACGCAGCGATCAGTAGGTAACAACTAGTTCTGGCCGCAAAGATTATTTTAAATTAACTAGTTCTCAGGATTCCACCTTAAGGCATAGTTCCAATCGAAGGTTTCAGCCGGAACTAGTAGGGTCCGGTAAAGGACGCTAGATAATCTCTCTTGACACTCGCAGGCTGATGAACGGGGTTTCGCGGGAGCCTTTGTTGCCTCCGGTTGAGGTACAGTAGGGGCAACTTGGGTCTGATTGCTGGGCGATTCCGTTGTAGGTTCTGTGCTAGACTGCCTGTGCTGCACGTTCTCGGGGTCTTCTGATCCTGCAGTCTCCGCGGCCGCAGGTTCAGGGGTCTTTTCAGTCTCCCCCGCTTCGTCTTCTTGCTCAGCCTCGTTCGATTTTCTCATCAGGTCTTGCGTGGTCATTCGTAGTCTCGCAGAGCTTCTGAATGCGGGATCGTCGTTCTTAGCGGTCTTTCTTGTATCTTCGATCCTAAGCTGGACTCGCGGCTAAACCTAAGCTTTTACATTCAGCTCGTGGACGAGGATTTCGTTCGTGGAAGCGACCAACGAATCGAGCAGCCCTGTCGTGCTGGCGCGCCATATGCGACTGGGAACAGTGGCTGATGCCGACTATACGGCAGCATACCTGGTCGAAGCCGACGCCGCGGAGCTAGCCCAAAAAGCTGCCTGGGAGCAAAAACTAGGGCCCTGTGGCCTGTGCAGCGACGCCGCCCATGACTTGTTCTCCTGCCCTGCGAATGCAATGGCAGTCAGGAACAGCCACGGACCGCCACTTGTGGAAGCGACCTTCGAGACATAACACAACACTACCAGGATTGAACGTCAAATGTCCAATCTCAAACTTCAATGGCCCTCTGGTGGTTCGAAAACTCCACCAAAGGACGTCAATGCGCAGCGAAAGACGACTACTGGGAAGAGTACTTTCTTCGCGGAGCTAGTGATGAAATTCCTGAAGATAGAGGACCAGTTCAGATGCACTGCCCAACATGTGCAGCTAAGTCGCTTGACGTGGAAAGCCCGATTCGACAGACTATGCCGACTGGCCACTCGTCTTAGAAACTGGAATCTGGCTCAGAGACTGGAGCTCCAAACGGAGAATACCAAGCTGGACGATTATTGAGCGTACATGATTGGGAAGTCTTGTACTCTTAAGGAGCGCATCCAGAATTGGGCCTATGACTTCGATAAGGATGCCATTTCCCGGATTGAGAAGAACAAGACTCGAAATGATAGCTATGCCACCTACCACGACATGTATTCAGTTGGGCTGCGAAGAAGGCAGCGGCAACTCTTCCTCTTAGTCTCATTCTTCAGTCATCGTCCGCCTTAGTGGAACCCATGAAGCCTTCTATCGAAGCTTATCGGCTAAGTTTCTTCCACGCAAAACCGAGTTGGGAAGAACATGCTCGCTTTATTGGAGAGCTCAAGGTCCCATGGGTATGGGTTGAAGAGCGAATTGACAGTAAATCAATTGCAGTTCCCCCAATTTACGACTGGAGACGGTTCTGGAGATACTTTGGCGTGTTCGGGCTTTCAGCTACATGCACATATGTGTAGACAGGCGTTACCGACCCACTCATAAGCCCGCATCTAGCTATGAAGATGGCAGTCTTCACATAATATCAAAGGAAACAAAGCACTGTTCTCTGCGAGTGCAGAGATTGCTATGAGGGCCTATACCTCCCACCACACAAGCACAGGAACAGTGCGATGAAGCAGACCACAAGGTCACGGGCCATCAGAAGATCGTCCCAGTCCAAAGCCCTCCAGAACTATACCTGCTATCACTTCTTGGTCTAGCAAGCCTTCGACATTGACAACTCTTCAATGCATCTTCTGCCCGTTTCTGATGGTGTAGTCATTTCGGCACTGGTGGGTGCGTCTCTGGAAATCCTTGGTTCAACTACTGATACCTATTATTAAACAAAGTCTATGCATACCAGTCGAGTAAGCCATATTGCGCCATATATGATGCACGATAGCATCATTTCCTGCATCAGGGTTTTGGTAAAGTACAAGTGTGGTTTTTAGTTTGTCCGTTGCTGTGTACAAGATCCGTAAGGATATCTGCAATCCCATGAGGAGCCTTTGCCTGTGCCAAAATATCGTGGTTTCATTATGGAGCTGAAGCAGCATCTGGGTTTTCCAGAAATGCTGCTGCGATGGAAATCTGACCTCTTTCGTGGTCGCCCTCCGATCCATACGGATGGCGCGCTTCGAATGTCAGGTTGCGACCATCAACAATTATGACTAGATCGAATTCAATTAAATAGTAAGGTCTCCTTCCACGAACCTTGGTGCACTGGACCAAGCCTTTGTCTTTCAGGTAAGTCATGTCCACGTCGATTCGCCCCGCCTCTTCCTTTCCTGGAGCACTGGATGATTAGCTGAACCTTCTCAGAATGAAAGACGTGTATGGAACTAGACAGTGGATTCCTTGACGAGAAAATTTCCATATGGCCAATCGCCTACCTTCGTTTTCTTCATGGTCCTCTCTGTAGCTACTCCTATGGTTGCGATCTGAAACATAGAGGACCTGTGTGAACGTGAAGTTTTGCTTTTCTGTGAAGGTAAGATTCACAGGAAGCGTGTATTCCCATTTGGAGCTGAGAACATCACCCTAGTGGTGTCAGCTGGAAGGGTATGTGTGCTACTGAGATAGAGCATCGATTTACAGACCTTGTTCACAAACCAGAGGATGGTGTCTCTGATGCATGGTTGTCGATCATTCGGGTCAGGCTGACGCGACTTGATTTGTTCCACATGGGCCGGGTTGGCGTTATCGAACGGCTCGGTGATCTTCAGACCATAACTGGAAAATATAGTGCGGGCAGGGGCATCTTCCTTCTTTAGGGCACAGAGTACCGCACCAGACGCGACAGCTGTACCACTAGTAACAATCAGTACCGGCAACAGTTGCTACCTAGCTCACTTCTACAGGGACATACGGGAACTTCGGCACGCGAAGCTGTATAGCCCGGCCCGCCCTCTTTGAATACTCCCCGAGCTCATTGTTTAGATGTTGGGAGAGCGCATGGGACGCGGCAAACCCTCCTATAAGCACTACTTTCTGTATGCTAGGATTAGCACTGGCCTGCCAAGCGTAGGTAGGCCATATTCACCTTGACAAAGATATTGTTTGCTTCGGCTTGAAGAATTTGATCCAACATCAGTTGCGCGGTTCTTTTCAGGCACCCGTCGAACACTTCGGTCATGTCTTTCCTGGTAATAGTATTTCCTGGTCAGCATGATGTACGTCGGCCAACGATCTCTGTATACAATGGCATAAATACTTGGTAATATGCATTTTGTTGGCCTTAAATCCCTTTTCTTTGTTTTCCCTGAGGTTGTCAATCAGAACACGCACTGCGTATGTATTGCGGGCAGGATTGAAATTGCGTTTGATGTCATTCTCAAATTGTTCCATAATCATGTCGATTTTAGCATCGAGGTTCTGCAGGTAAGTTTCTTCACCGAGGCGGCGCTCTATGAACTTCCTGAAGTCCTCATTCAGGTAGCTGGATCCACAAAGGGCACCTATGTATGTTGTGGATGTATTAGTTCAAGGATGCAAATGGAGTTGCATGCAGAATCCCTACCACTTGGCGCTACTGCTTCTCTTTCGAGCCTCAGAGGCAAATTGCTTGCAACCTTGTATGTGATTGCATCGACTGTTCCACCACCAGCGTCAAGTAGTACAAAGGACTCCCCAGCCTGTGTTGCTCAGTAGTCAGCCACCAGTCAACAAGACGGACAAAACACGTCCTCGCGGGCATCTTCATCAGCCTACCAGTATGTCTTTCTCTTTATTATGAGCTAAGACGTATGCCGAAGCCGCCTCAGGCTCATGGACGATAAAAAGGTTACTCACGTCGTGGAACTTGTCGGTGATGAAACGGACGCGGTGCAGCGCAGCGGTCATGGCCTGCTGCATCGTGCGACAGGCCTTTCTGGTCCAAATTGCTGGAATGCACAAAGCAAACTCAACTGGCTCGCCTTCTTTGTACTCGTGTCGGTTCTCCATCTGCTCCTTCGTGTGCTGAAACACCCTCTCCAAGTAGTCGGCAATGATGTCGGTCTCCCGTTTGTTCCCTATGATCTTTTCATTCTGGAGCTGATCGATCTTTGGCGTTAACGTGTCTCGTATCTGCCTTGTCAGGTCTCCTTCGTCCAGCAGCAGTTTGAATCGACTTAGGTGCCGCGACGTCTGCTCTGGTGACTCAACCATCTCTAGGGCTTTCCGGACCTCGTATCCCCAGTAGTAGTCTCCAAGCGGCATGTCTATATCCATGAAGTCCGGCTCGCCATCGGTATGCTCCATGTTGCCATCCACCTGGCAGTCGACGCTACTCTCATTGCTCTCTCGCTTGGTGGATTGCTTGCGCGATGTGCCGTCTTCGTGGTAGGTCATGTTCAAATGCATTATTGGTTCCCGATACGGAGCGCCCGCTGGGTAGAAACACTCGGTTGGGACATCTGCGCGGTTGTCGTTATACATCGAAGGTGAATCAGGATAATCGCAAACGCTCCAGATGTCGAACGGCTGTACCTCGATATCCTTCCCGTCATCAGTCTGCTGCACGCAGGCCACCGAGACTGAGGAAAACGTCGTTCCAAAGTCAAGACCGACGACGAAACGTCTGCATTGCTGGGAATCGGTTTCCGCCGGGCCATCTGTCTCTGCGCGATGGAAACCGACGGGTTGGGGTATTGTGAGGTCTTCCATGTTCATTCACTGATCGTTCTGCCCGTGAAAATCTGACGCTCCTTTCTTTTTAAACCCCATCCTCGCAACGAGAGTAGCTAAAAATATCTCGCAGGCAACAACAAGGCTGTGACGCCGGACTGGCACCTAGCGACCCCTGGTGAGGCTGGGAAGCGCCGGGTGCAAAGACCGGCTTGGGGCAACAGGTTTGACCTCCCAAAGGGGAAATGGCTGAGATGCAAACCTCCTGCGCCGCACTCAATGCGGCACAAGCCCACGTCCATCCCCCCCTTTTCTTACCATCTCGTTCTCCCCAGCCGCGGACACCACATGTACAGACAAGATTTCTCCCATTCTGCCGTGCTGTGTCATCGGTGGGCCCGATATTTGTACCCCATCGTCCATCACCCGTTCATTCGAGAACAACCAACGCTGTTCTCACCATGGGCCGCAGAAAGACCAGATCGAGGCAAAAGAAGCAGCCGGTGTGGGAATTGGACGATGAACACCGTATGCTTGGTTGCCTGGACTGCCATATCGAGAGCGGCACGACCGATCGTGCTGAATTGGAAGAAACGATCCGTCAATATCTGGAGGATGTTAAGAAGAAGAAATTCAGCCTCGCACAAATCGATGCCAGACTCCAGCAGCTGCAAGACATTGCATCGTCGCGCCAGAAACGGCGACAGAGCATCTTCGCCAAGGGCAGCCAGGTGCTCAAAAACATCTCCCCATGGGACACCAAGACAATCAGGGAATACAAAGAAGGCGTGAGAGATCATGTCATCGCCACGATCATCCACTCGGAGGGTCGGAATCTTCGTGACACGCCTCAGCGCATGCAGAGGGAGCATTCCAAAGCATCGACTCCTGCCATGCCAACACCCAACAAGCGCAAATACGGCTCTACTGCCCAGCAACCAACCGAGAGGGGCGAGAGACATAGAAAGAGGTTAGGAAGATCTCGTGCGGCAGGATTACAGCCCGGAGCGCTCAAAGAGGAGCCAAGCTCGACTCGCAAGATTTCCCTCATCCCCAGTCATGACCAAACGGTACCTGATAGCGATGATGGTACCAGCAGCGATGATCAACGCCTGCTTTCCGGTGTTACTGTTGAGGTTGTGCAGGTGCCGAGTTGTCAAAGTGTAGCGGACGCAGGGGGGCTTGCAAAGACGACAATGGAGGAAGCGCCGGAGTTACTACAAAAGGATCACGAAGCTCTCCAACCGCGGCTTCAGGCCAAGTTGCACGAGGTCAGCATCATGCATGTTCGCACCGCCCAAGAGCTTCAAGCTGTTCGAGCCCAGTACGAAGAGGCGGCTGAAACTGTGATTTCCTTAAAAAGGGCGCTATCAGAGGCGGACCAACGCAGAGGAAACGAAGTTACGAAGGCACTTGCGTACCAAGAGAAACAGATTGCGTCGCTGGAGAACATAGTTAAGAAGATGCGGAATAGCGCGTTCTTTGCCGGTTTAACAATTCACACGCCTTTCGGCCCCAGTGAGGCCGACATTCGAAACAGTATGACAAAAATTCGCATCGGGAGCAGAAAGCTCATCACACCGTTACAAGATCGCACCCTTCTGCTTCTCACACTCAACAAGATTGACGAGTATCTTCTGTCTCTCTTACATCGGAGTTCGGGCTTGTGGCTGGATCATGGCGTTCGTCTTAAATCCTTTCTGACGGACCTGAACCAGCTGGGGATGGAGGTTGCCCTCTGCGCACTCACAACGGCAGCATTGTGTGAATGGGTTTTTGCCGATAATTTTGAATCAGATGCTACGGGGCCGTCCTTGCTGCTGGATATGTATCAACACCATATCTCTATGGCAGGTATGTCCCAGGGGCTTGCTTTCGACTCTCGTCGTAGAGTTACTAAACACCCGTTCTGACTGCGTAACAGATGGGAGACTTGCCCTACGAAACCTCGACCTGGCGGCTCGTTCTTCGTTCTTCCAGAGCGAGGACTACCGCCAGATACAAATCCCTTGCCGTGCAGAAGCATTGGCTCGCAGGTTCGTTGACGCAGTTGCGCCCTTGTTCACAGCTTCAGACACGCCGCCGTTGGGAACCCCTAGTCTCGATAGCGAAAACGGGCAGGAACTTCATGATGAGTTGGTAGACATATTCATAGCTGCACTGGGTTTGAAAGCCACCCTCGTGGCCAGTTCTGACCGATTTATTATCTTACTGCCCCGTCCAGGGTCAAAGTTTGACCCTGCTTGGATGCAGGCAGAGAGCAAGGAAGGGCTTCAAATGCCCAAAGTCACTCAGGAGCGTTCGCACGCCCGAGTTTGCACTCTTCCTGGTATATTGGCTTACAATGAGAGCGACGCTGAACCACGGGATTACCGCCTTCAGCTAAGCGACTCGCCGGAAAATAGATCCAATATGCACATTCTACACAAAGCTGTTGTTGTAATCTAATACCAGTTTTTGTTTTAGTGCTCGCAGCTATGTGTGTATAGCTGAGCCTTCCAGATTTGGCTACTTCGGAAGACTTATAACTACTCATTTATACTACACTCTAGCGTGTTTAAACACCATGTAGGAAAGCTTCTTTGAGGAATCTTATTCTCTTCATGCACCATCTGAGGGTCCATCTGCTAGCAAATTTTCAATCCATGATTCGATGGCCCGTCGATCATCGTCCTCTATCCTGTGTCCGCTATTCAGATAGAGTCCGCCATGTGCCAGGACTTGCGAAAGCTTATGTCCCATGGCCACATTGTTGTGAATGTTAGATCTGTCAAAGACTGTAAGGCAATATTTCGGGCATTGCGAGTACCATTCCCATGAAATCGGCCTCTTCAGAATCAACGCGCCGTCGCGCTGCGTTTGTGAGCCTAAATTCACGAGGCTTATGCTTCGCAAGCCCGGTACGGACATTGTGCCCTCGACCACCTTGTAGACACTCGAGTAAAACAATATGGAGACTAGGGGGATGTCTGGAGTGTTGCTGTCCAGGCCCTTCCACACCTCTGCTATGAACTTGGCCTCTCGCGGTGCTTCCACCCAGTCAAAGCCGAGTGGATTCTTCTCCAAGGATAAACAGAGGTTCTTTGCTGCTGCTGCAGTCGACTGCTGGCCGAATATGGCACTGAGTGGTCGCACAACATCCCCAGTCAGATTCGATATGTCGACCTGGGAGCCATCTATGACGGAATCGTACCCCCCGAGCGCAATGCTGCCCAGAGCATTGATAGCGCCTATCGAGGCTGAGATGCAGGATATATCTCTCATCAGTTGCCAATCCGTTGGCCTGAAGTAAGTGGAAAAGGAGATAATAGCGAAGATTGCGCCCCGTTCTCCTCGGCTTGATGGGTGGGATGATCCCGTCCACTGCTCTTCCATCTGAAATACGGTTTCTTCATTCAGTATGATGGGATTCTCAGCATTGAACAAAAGTAGAAGATTATAGGCGGTTTCGTCAGCGTTATCGTTTGGTCGAATTGAAGTCAGGATTGATATTATGTCTGCTTCACCCTCCGGCAGAATCAGATGGTGAAATGTGAAGAAGACTTCATCCGCATTCCGGATTACTGCGGCCTCACTATAATGTCGTGGTCCGTTGTCGGTATTGCTGTCTTCTGTGATGTCATTCTGTAAGAGGATGGAGTCTGTCATCTCTATGTCACTGGATGACTGTCGTGGTTGAGATATCACATCCAAAGGCAAAGTTCCATCTGTTGATGGGCATGAGCCGTGTGGTTGGCTGGCATATGTCGCACTTGTATCATCAACCAGGTGATCAATTTGATCATCATGCAACTGCTCGGCCTGCTGCAATGTACTCAGTGAATGACTATCCTCAGAAGCCACAGACTGTGCAGCTGCCAGGCACTGAAAGACGTCTTTGCGATATACCTCCACAGCCCAGTCGTATATGAAGTCGATGATCAGATAGAGCTGGAGAGCACAGTCATGCCGTAGGATTGTACCATGCCACAGCTCTGTGATTCTCTACGAGATAGTCAGTCGTTTCATTGACACCAATCTGGTCACGGAGTGCTTACAATTTCCGCACCCTGAGAAGAACAGCCATATACCTTCCAGATCTCTCCGCTAAATGCTATAAACCAAAGCAGCGGGTCTCGGTGCATTCTGGCATGTTCAGCAAGCGATTTTTGAATGTTGATAAGTGCTCGGATTGGGAATGCTGTCTGAGTCTCTACCGACTGGAACCCTGGACCAGCGACCTCGGACTTCGCTTCCAAGACGAGAAAAGGAAACGCGATTCCTCGGTCGTCGTCAAATTTATTGCACTGAAGATCTTGGTATTCACAAACCAGCTTGTCAATGCGATCACCATCGCTTCGCCGAAGGCCGATGACAGCATCTGGTTTTCTCGCTCCAATCTGCTCAGGGCGGCCGGAATGATCGAAAACCGGCATATCCAGCCGCTTCCGAAAGGGTTTGGATGTGTCGGATAATGCCTCGATACCCTAGTATGAGCTAGATTCATGTGGTGACTCTCACGGGTAAGGGGAAATCCTACTTCGCCTCGTAGTGTTTCGTTGGGATTGCAAACGCACATCGACCGGGTAGGACGGCCCAACATACCCCGGAACTCAGCAAGCCAGAGACGATTGCGGCACTTGGAGCTTGGTTTCAAGTTATGAGTTGAGAACTGTGTTGCTATGAGGGCATCGCCTTACCATTCGAGCTCATCATCAAAGTGGCGCAGTAGTAACTCCTCGGTGGACCGCCTCCACTCTCCCTCATGCAGAGACGCCTTGCGACAGTCATTAGCGGCGCGAATCAGAGCGTGCACCCGATTTAGGGTCCTAATCTGCCTTGTCTTTCCGGCCGGGGATGGAGGTGTCTGAGAGAAGTATTCTTCGTATTTCACAGTCTCGATCGTGCGAACGGTCTGGTAAATCGCGCTGTGCTGTGCGGGCCACTGTGATGGAAGCACCGGGCCATCAAACCTGATATTGTAGTCAGTCACTAACCGGCGCTCTTCAGCTGCGCTGAGCTTGGTGGTGGCTAGGCGCCTACGGGCAGGCATGGTGTGCGACGCCAGTTGTGGAGGATACCAAGAGTCTGGAGGGGATTCCCAACTCTTTTATAGCAAGGCTTGCTCGCACTAGCAGGGGCCCGGCGGTTAATCATTGGTAGTGGGCGCGCTAACAAGCAGTGATTGTCACCGCAACTCGCGATGAGGCTACAGTAATTATTACAGGGTGGGGGTGCCGGTACAGCATGAGGTCTATCATGACTGTGACGAGAGTATATAGCATGGCTCGTGCTGGACAACCGCTGTCATAGTCATAGATCCTCATCCAAGGTTGGTTCACTTTGCAAACATGACATATACCTACCTACCTAGGGTCTAATGGACTACTTTACTTTTCCAAGCCCACCCATAGCATATCTACATAATACCATCCTCAAGCTCACCGGTGAATGCCCACAGCCCTCTGCACCGCCTCATCATTCGTCATACCCTCATCAATCACACCCGCAACCTTGAGCACATCCACGACATCCTCGACCATCTTGCGGTCGACGCCGCGAACCCCATGCGAAAACCGCACATCCTTCAACCACTCCGTCGCATCCTCCTCGCCATACGTACAGCCCAACTCGCCCGTCCCCAGCAGGCGCACCGCCTGCGCCGTGTCGGCCTCAAAGTCCTTGACGCCCTGGTCCAGCACGCGGAGCAGCTGCGCCAGCTGCTCATCCTGCTGCGGGTCCGGGAAGACCGCCGTCGACGCGACGATCATCCACGACGGCCACGGCGTGTAGATCTCGCCGATCTTCTTGAGCGGCGGGCGCGGAGTCTCCGCCGTCGCGTGGAAGTACGGCTTGGTCGTGAAGTGCTCCCACATGAAGAACTCGGCCGTCGGCTCGCCGTTCTGCTGGTCGTGTCCGGTCACGCCGTTGCGCAGCGCGCCAAACGGGCCCAGCGGCACCGTCGCCAGCGAGTCCGGCTGCCAGCCTTGCTGCTGCGCCAGGACAAAGGACATGATGTGCGAGCCGCTGCGTTCGTCAGCACAGGGATTTCCATACTGGAGATGGCCAGTTGGTATGAGTGGCGGGCGGCTTACCTTCCCAGACGGCTCACGCCCACGCGCTGGTCCTTCAAGTCCGCGACGCTGCGGAGGTTGTCGCGCTCGCGCCCGGTGACTATGGCCCAGCGCAGCGGCGTGTCAACCCACTGGCCGACCATGCGGTACCCGCCCTCGGACGGGTCCTTCTGCGCCTGCTGCTTGCCGGCCAGGCCAGCGACCCAGCCCTCGGTCAGGCCGATTGCGACATCGATTTCCTTCTCGCGGAGCGAGGTGATCATATGTCCCGTTCCCGAGGGAAAGGGGATCAGCGAGACATTGAAGGGGAGAGAGCGGGAGGCCGCAGAGCGGAGGGCCAGATGGAGCGGCGTGAGGTAGTGCTCTGGCGATATATATTTAGTGAGGGGTCATGGGTATAAACATAAACATGTTTGGCATGACAGTGATGGGCCAGGGTCAGGCAGAGTGGAACGGGTCTTGGCAGTGAAGCCACATGGCGTCTCCAAAGGGTCTTGTTGAAGTGGTTGGATAGAGGGAAGCTTGTATAGGATGCACTTACCGGGTACGTAACCGATTCGGATGGTTGGCGTGACTGAAGCCATGATGCGATTCGGGGGCAGCAAGCGACTCGGTTATGCGATAGTGAGGTTCATTTTATTGAACTCTTTGCGGGGTTCTTTTCGGGAATTTAGTGGCCCAGGTGAGCTGACTAAGGAGGTGCATTCATCTGGTGGAGGTCACCGTCACTGTACCTGATCCGCCGCCAGTTTATGCCGCTATCCAAAGTACCAATACATGAATGCGTGAAGAGTATATATACATCCTCAGAATTATCTTGTTATGGCCATAGGAGCCATCTAGGCATTATCTATATCTATCTAGCACCACTCATCTATATACATCACTCATCAAGTCATGCGGATATCCTTCTCTGCCTGCCAGTTCCCGTTCTCCCGAGGACCGCCGGCAGCCCGGAAGGAGGATAGGGACGGCCGCGTATACATCCAGAACTGCGCCCCGAGGTAGAAATCACACACGCACTGGAACATACCACACAGACGGAACGCCCACGGAATCACCTCCTGGCTACCGAAGAAGTAACTCAGCTTCATAATGTCTCCCAGAATCCACGCCACCAGCACCGACACACGGAACCCCTTGCACGACCGGGACCGATGGTTGGAGACGATCTGCGGCAGCGGCAGCGTCGCTTCCACCGCCAGACCTGTGTACCCGAGCGTGTTGATATAGAGCTCCGACTTGGCGAGGAACGGGAGGAAGATCTGGATGAACGAGAGCCCCGCAATCATGTACGCCAAGAACATCCAGTACCTGTCGTTGATGTCGTTTGTCAGCCCATCTTTCATGTTATGTCCTGCATCTATGGATGGGAAACTTACGGCTTGGCGCTTTTCCACTGCCAGAAATCATAGGGTCTGGCGCCGGTCTTCTCACTATCCACGTTGCTGAACGGCACGTGCTCGACGCCGTTCTTTGCCCCCGCCAACGGGCGATTATCCAGCGCAACCTTCAGCAACACCATCTGCACCGCAATCATGATGATGGCCTGCGTCAGGAGCGACAGCGAGTAGTAATCACCGAACCAGTAGAAGACCCTGTGTCCGAAAGTCAACGATGTCCGATGCGCAGGGTTCCGGGTGCAGCTTACTTGAGGATTGAGGCGACAAGCATGATAAGTGGGATGTCGAGCGAGAAGCCAGCCGAGCTCCTGCTGCGGTGGATACTGAGGATCTGGTCGGTGTACGACGTCAATGGCGACGTGATTAGACTGTATTCCATACGATCAGCATTCTCCTCTCTCGCTGGCTATAGTACTCCTCCAGTCGACATACAACAGCGGCGCGCCATATTCAAGAGCGAGGGACACGAGATACATCGTGTATGCACGACTAGACCCTGGGCGATGCGTGAGTAGATGAGGTCAGGGTATAGTGTTTCGTGGCAGTCCGCTGGCGCGTCTCGGCGGAGGGGCGATTGCGGATGAGGGGAGCACGTCGTTCCAAACTACCGCAAGGTGATCGGGACAGGCAAATTCCACAAAAAGAATTGACAGAATGACGGAGGGCACAGACAAGACAGGCAGAGGAATTCTTCAGGCATGGCCGGAAGCGTCTCCTTATCGCGGGCTTTTTTTTTCGGCGATCGTCCCTGGCGCTTACTCAGCGGGTCCGCGTTTTAGTTAACTAATCTCCGTCATACTATCGAGTAAGTCCGAAGTATGGATGAGATCAACAACAGTGATTACACCTGGGTCTAGGCTTTCACGAGAGAAGTCTATTCTTATAGCTCCAGCATACGTCGTATATATCCGTCAACTATCAACTGTCGTCTAAAACTCAATCCTCCACGTCTTGCCAATGCTTGTGTTGGGTTTCTTCACCACAGCATACGAGGCCTTTCCGCTCGCCTGGCTGTAGTACTCCATGGAAGCGGTTGAAGCAGACTTGGCGCCTTCTTCGATCACCGTCACGCTCGTCTTTCCCTGCCACTCCTGTGGAGGGTCAATGACCACCACTCGCTCCACCCGAACATCCGCCATGGTCTTCAGGTACGCGGCCGTCTTCGGTCCGTGGGTACCAATGTCCTCTGATGAGAGGACAGAGTCACGGAAGTTGAATCGCCGGTGGATGTATGCTCCCCGCTCGTAGTCAAAGGTTTCGCCATCATCCACATATACGGTGCCTTCGGCCTGGCCGTTCTTATCCAGAACGATGACCAGAGTGTAGGGATCCCACTTCATAAGACCACTGCTCCGACGGGGACGGTCCTTGCGAGGGATGATGTGGCCACCCTGCATCAACAACGGCACCTTCTCAATGGGCGCAGGTACCGTATGTCTCTTGCCGGCGCCCTGATAGACAGTGTAGTCGAAGTAATCGTAGTACTTCTCATCATCCGCAAGGTAGATATCGACCGAATCAACTCCCTCAGCAACGACGGGCTTCGTGAGAAGACCAGTAGTTCCCAGGTAGAGCTGGTCGTCGATGGCGAACCCAGCTTCATCGGTCGGGTGCACGTACCACTGCGGCCTCACAATGGGCGTGCCATTGACGGACGCCTCATGGAAGGCTGTGTACCAAGCCGGGAGGAGCTGATATCTCAGGCGAATTGACTGAGCAATGATCGACCGATGGGGTTCAGAAATGAGATAAGGCTCTCGCCGACGGGTGTCGATGTGTGCGTGGGCGCGGAAGAATGGATACCAAATACCAGCCTGGTACCAGCGGGTAAGGAGATCCTTGCTCGGGTTGTGGAAGAAGCCACCGACATCGGCACCGGCGAACGGAAATCCAGAGATCCCATTGTTCAAGACCATGGGGATAGACATAGCCAGGTGCTCCCAGGTGGCTTGGTTGTCTCCTGTCCACATGGCAGACATCCGTTGCGCACCAGCGTAGTACGACCGGGTAAGGATGAAGGGCCGGCGAAGCTCACCCTTCTTGCGCTCCAGCATGGCCCCGTATGTGGCATTGACAAAGGTAATTCCATTAACGTTGTGGACGTCACGGTGTTCCCAGTTGCCCCAATGGAGGTTGTCCTTCGGCATCGTGGTCTCAGGACCATTGAACACTGACGGCTCATTCATATCATTCCAGATGAAGACGTTGGGGAGCGTGCCTTTGAACTTGTCGTATTTAAACAATCCAGCCCACCACTTCAGCGCCTCGGGGTTAAAGCAGTCAATCCAGCTCGACGAACCGGGCCAGCACCAACCTTCGTAGATTTCACCATCCTTGTTCTTGGTAGCAAGGTCCTTGCTCTTCAGCTCCTGGGAAATCGTGTATTTATCGGAATTTTTGATGTGGGGGTCGATGATGACCACGAGCTTCCGTTCGGAGTCATCAAGTTGCTGCTCCATGCCAATGGGGTTGGGGAACGTGAGAGGATCCCAGGTGAAGTACTTCCGGTCGTCGAGGTACTCAATGTCAAGCCAGATCACATCATACGGGATCTGGTATTTGTCGAAGTTGCGGTCCACATCCTTGACATCCTCGTCGGTGACATAGTTCCAGCGGCACTGGTGATACGCAATGGCGAAATGCTGAGGCAACTGGGTGTAACCAGTAAGCTCACCATAGGTCTTGCTGATGTCCTGCGGAGACGGTCCCAAGAAAACAAACAGGTCAATTCGTCCAGACTCGGACATCCAGTGGCTCTGAGTATCGGTCTTCGCACCGATGCCCAAGGCGAGTGGGTTGGATGAGCTAGACTTGACAATATCGACCCAGGTTTCAGCAGCATTGAGCCAGAAAACCCCGACGGTTGAGTCTTTACGGTGCGCCTGCATGAGCGGGATAGAGCCATACAGGGTCATGGGACTGTTGAGCTCGTACTCGAACACATCCGAATTGTACATACGGTACGGCTCGTCGTGGTTACCGGATCCACCTCTACTGTCTTATCAGCTCCCAGGTCATGCATACATGAAAATGCAGTGTCACTTACCGGGTCTCCCTCAAGGAAAGTGAGTCGGCATGCTCAGGGATACCGAAGACATGGCTATATCCAGGGAATGTGATATCCATCGCCACACTCTCGGGGCCACGGGGCTTGGAGTCGGTGTTTCCACCAAATGTTTCCTCCCACCAGGTGCTTTGGTCTTCCTGAGATGCATCGGTACCTTCCGGGGCGTCGACCTTTGCCCGCCAGTGCTCCAAATTGAGAAAGCCCTTGTTATTCAATTGCACATGGGTTTCGCCGTCCCTTTGGAATTCCATGGAAAAGGGTGCGTGGCGGATAATGGCTTGAAACTTGTTGTCCGGACCATAGGAGATCTTGGTGTATCCGGCTTCCGATTCCGAGCTCAACGTCGCAGTCTTACTTGCGTCCAGACCACCAACAAGAACCCATTTTTCGGCATCATAATAGCGCTCCTTGCGGGCGGGGCTGTTGTGGCGCAGCTCGATATCTCCTTTCAATCGCTTCTCCTCATCGACGATGACCCGAGCGGCACCAGATTCCAGGAAGGACACGACAAGCGGGAGTCGGACCTTCTCATTGTCGGAGACGGACTTGAGAATGGTTCCCTCCAGTTTTCCGTCCTTAAAATGGAGAGATGACGGTTCGAGCTCGTAAGGAGAGGTCCAAGAGGAGCCTTTTGCGGAGACGTCGTCGGCGAAAGCGCGGTTCCGCTTACAGAAGCCAGATTGCGAGCATTTCTTGAAGTTCTCGTGCTTCACCGCGACTAGAGCAGATTGATCGCGTTAATCATAAAATTCTGTCGTATCACATAGACCTAAGATAACGTACCACCGGGGATAATGAGGCATCCCAGTAGGATGACCAAGGACAGTAGTAGGGTCCAGCGGGGGGGCAATGACCGAAGCGCGGCCATGATGTGAGCTAAGGGACGCAATCAGAGACACTCAACCTCTGAAAGTACAAAGAATTGCGGCAATTGGTGTGTTGACCTGCATCTACCAGAGCTGAAGGCCAGACACACGAAGCTATCCGGAGAAGTGAGGGATGTGAAGGGAAAGGGAGAAGATGGTGGTGGAGCGGGAGTTCCAGCTGGCCAGACCAGTTAGTACTTGTTGTTATCCGAGGGGACGGGGAAAGCTCCCTCGGACGCTATACCCAGTGGGGGAAGCCGGGGATTCAGGCCGTCAGGCAGCCATACAAGACATCAGGCCACAAGGCCGCAAGGCTCTCAGGCATCCAAGCCCCACGGCTGCGGCGGCTCCCTAATATTTTTCACGCCAACTCAACTTCTTCCGTTTTTCTCTTCTTCTTGTTCATCCCACTCTCCCTTGCAGTATTCCAATTGCATCTCTAAACCCCCATCTTCAAGATGTCCAACACCGAGCAGACGTAAGTCACCCATGATCTACCTTACGTCTCTTCCCCATTGTTCTTCAATCCCATTCTTTGTCCATCCCCGCCATAGCTAACAATGCCTCAGCTTCATTGCCGTCAAGCCCGATGGTGTCCAGGTACGACTTGATGACTTTCATCAACATCAATTGGTCAATCGCAACAGCCACTAACGCCTCATGACAGCGCGGACTCATTGGCCCCATCATCACCCGCTTCCAGAACCGCGGCTACAAGCTCGCTGCCATGAAGCTCGTCTCCCCCGAGAAGTCCCTCCTTGAGCAGCACTACGCCGACCTGAGCTCCAAGCCCTTCTTCCCCGGCCTCATCTCCTACATGCTGAGCGGCCCCGTCTGCGCCATGGTCTGGGAGGGTAAGGACGTCGTCAAGACTGGTCGTGGTACGTTTTTGGAGCTGTCCCTGCGAGAAACCGTATGCACTAACTGTTGTGTTCCCAGCCATCCTCGGTGCCACCAACCCCCTTGCCTCTGCCCCCGGCACCATCCGTGGTGACTACGCCATCGTAAGGCTGTCCGACCCTGTGCTCCCCTGCATGTCACTAACAGTTTCCATAGGATGTCGGCCGCAACGTCTGCCACGGCTCCGACAGCGTCGAGTCTGCCCAGAAGGAGATTGCTCTCTGGTTCAAGAAGGAGGAGCTCCAGACCTACAAGCTCGCCCAGCACGCCTGGATCTACGAGAACTAGATATCTCGTCTCGATTTGAAGTAGCCGCCTGAAGGGGCGGTTAATCCAATCCAAATAAAAGATGCGATGAGAATCTAGATCCTCCACAAATCTGCTCCTATAGTACATTTCCAATCCAGGATAGGTGGCTCGCAACCACGCCAGTCACCCACCTACTTTCGTCCGAACACCCTTCGGACCCCTCTGCCAACGGGGCTCAGCACGACCCGGGCGAACCAAGGCGTGGCCCATACGCTCGCAGCAATTCGAATAGGAAGTAAAGCCTTGGTCACCGCGTAGGCCGTCGCAAACTCCAGCACCAGCCGAACGCCTTTTTTCTCTCTGTCTCCGTGGGGGTGCTCAGTCGTAGAACCGTCCGCCGTGACGGTAGCCATATCAATGTCTTCTTCAATCCAACCTTTCTTGCGCAACCATCGTCCAAATCGTCGTGTGCCTTCCTCGAAGGCTGTGCTGGAAGTCAGGTCCGGAAGCCAGTTTCCATAGTGGAATGCAGCGACGAGTCCGAATAGAGGTACGATGGCAGTCAGCTCGTGGAGGATGAGGAAGGACGTGATATGTGTTCCGGGGGCGCCAATCAATGGAGTTGTGTAAGAGCGGAGGAAGCGAGGAAGACGGTCATTCAGTCTGCGTAGACGGGATTGAGCGTCGTTCGGTGGTGACTGCGATGTTGCAAAGAAACGGCGACTGCTGGATTTGAGAGGAGATGTGAGGCGTAGGGAGAAGCGGAGGGTTGATCGGCGCAATGACATATTGTATATAAAATGACGGTTCAGTTCAGATATCCTGAATGATTCTCAGACTGTCTGAGGGAACCTGGTGTTGATCAGCAGTGATGCGACGATAATCCGTTGATGCGCCTCGTATTGCACCTGTTTGTGCTGTTTGCATTCTACCTGTCTCTATCAAATTCTTCAGAGACTTGACATTGTCTAGAGATCATAATGCAGACGACTGAAAGTCCTATTAGGGCATTGCGGTATTCAATGGTTTCGCATTGTCCAAAAGTACTCCCATGAATCGCTGTTGGAGAGTGACGGGTTACAAAGCAGCCACCAGCCAACTCCGCCCGACTTTCCCTCCCCGAAGAACTTCCCCCCCGGCAATCTCCTACAACGACTGCGTCTTCCACTCCCTCACTACCCTCCCTCTCCCCTTCTCCAGAGTCACCCCGGAGACAATCATGGAGAAGATCACAGACAAGATCGCGGCTCTGCCGCCGGACTCCAACTACTTCTCGCTGGAGTTTTTCCCGCCGAAGACTCAGATGGTGGGGTACCCCTCCTCGTCCTCCGCCCGCACTGGAGGTCTCTCGCGATGCACTACTGACAAACTATATGCATTATAGGGTTTTGCCAATCTCCAAGCCCGTCTGGAGCGTATGGCCCAGGCGTTGCGACCACTCTTTGTGACGGTGACCTGGGGCGCCGGAGGAAGCACCGCCGCAAGATCCCTCGAGCTGGCCGAGATCTGCCAGCGTCAACTGCAATTGACAACATGCTTGCATCTGACGTGCACGAACATGAGTCGCGGCTTGGTGGACAAGGCGTTGGAGGAAGCCAAGGTGTTGGGAATCCGAAATATCCTGGCCCTTCGTGGAGACCCGCCGCGCAGTGAGGAGTACAACATGCACGGCGAAGATGATAGCAACAAGGACTTTACGTTCGCCGTGGATCTGGTGCGGTACATTCGTCAACAGCACGGGGACTACTTCTGCATTGGTGTGGCCGCCTACCCGGAGGGCCATCCCGCCGATTCTTTCCAGGACGTCCAGGATCCCGAGAGAGACCTCCCGTATCTGGTCGAGAAGACCCAGGCTGGCGCCGACTTTATAATGACTCAACTGACTTACGACATTGATGCTTATACCAAGTTCGAGAACATGTTACGAAACCACGAATCGGGGGCGTTCAAGACCATCCCCATCATTCCTGGCTTGATGCCCATCCACAGCTACAAGATCTTGACGAGAGTCACCAAGCTCAGTCATGTCAAGATCCCACCCCAGATCCTTTCCAGGTTGGAGGAAGTGCGACACGATGATGATGCTGTGAAGCGCATCGGTGTCGACATCCTCAAAGACCTAGTTGACGGAATGCGCGACATCCCTTGTCCTGGACTGCGCGGGTTCCACTTCTACACTCTGAACCTCGAGAAAACAGTGTCCTTCATCCTTGAGCGGTGCGATCTCATCCCTCCCTACACGGAGGCGGGCGACGAAGATGCGCTCGTGGATGGCGGCAGCCTCTCAGCCCTCGACTCTTCGTCCTATGTCGCTCCCAATGGCATCCCCATCCGCACGCTGGCGAGAAGACGCTCGTCCATCAACTCCCTCCCGCACAATCGAGTCATTGTCGACAGAGAAGTGTCCAACGAATCTTCCAAGGACTCCGTCTCACACGAAGCCCCCGCGACCAGCGCTGGTGTGCCCGCCATGCCCCCAGACCGCACCACCACCCTCCAAATTTCCGAAGGTCTTGGAGCGCTCGGCCGTGAGGCTACCTGGGATGACTTCCCCAACGGACGTTGGGGTGATGCTCGCTCTCCCGCCTTCGGTGAAATCGACGGCTACGGCCCGTCCCTACACGTCACGCCGTCCGTCGCCCATCGCATCTGGGGCTATCCCGTCACGCGTGACGACATCAACACGCTATTCCGCCGCCACGTCTCGGGCGAGCTGCACATGGTCCCGTGGTCGGAGGGTGGCGCCGAAGAAGGAAGCGGCGGCTTGAACCCGGAGACCGAGACCATTCGACCGGAGCTACTACAGCTCATCGATGGCAAGGGATGGTGGACGCTGGCGTCGCAACCGGCCGTGAACGGCGTCCGCAGCGACGACCCAATTTTTGGCTGGGGTCCCCCGCGCGAAGGCTTCGTCTTCCAGAAGCCGTTCGTCGAGTTTTTCTGTCCCACCAAAGACTACCAAACGGCCCTTAAGCCGATGCTCCAAAAACACGGCCACGAGAAGCTTGCATGGTTCGCTACAAATGCCAACGGTGACTTCGAGTCGTCGCTGCCCGCCCAGACGTCCGACGCTGACCCCATCGAAATGAACCCCAACAATGTCAACGCTGTGACCTGGGGTGTCTTCCGCGGCAAGGAGATCGTCACCCCCACCATTATTGAAGAGGTCAGTTTCCGCGCCTGGGGCGACGAGGCCTACCGCATCTGGGACGAGTGGCGCCGTATCTACCCCCGCGGCTCGCCGACGGAGCGCTTCCTCGAGGAGACCAAGAACGACGTCTGGTTGGTGTGTGTGGTCGGCCAGGATTTTGGCGCCGGCACGGAGATGGGGTCCAAGGAAGAGGAGGATGAGAAGAAGTTCATGTGGAGGGAGCTGGTCAACTGCTAAATGGTGCCAATCGCATGTGCTCGTAGTTTGTATACCCGCGACGGGCCAAGTACTTCATGTCCAGGTCACGTCTGACCTCTTGTGGACAATCAAGCATATTTCTATCGTCTGTAGCTATTTCCTGGGGGTTGAATAACATAGAAAAGCAGCCGCATTATCGTTTTGAAAGGTGTTTATTGCATGGTATATATCGTTATATCTTCCCTGCTGTGCAACCCGCGATGATGTGAATAAGACCGTAACTCCGCAGCTCCGCAGCCAAATCCAATATGCATAAACTTTAGTATATGGAATCACCCCTATGCAGACTGCTTCTCAGCAAAACCCCGCTCTTCAAGACCATCCGCCCCCGTATCTGGCGTCGCCACGGCAGACGGCGACTCAGAGAACCGCGTCACCGCATCGTCCAGTCTGCCCCATGCGCGGGCACGTCGCGGTGCATGAGGACCCGTCGCGGGGAGATGGTGTCCCCGGAGTCTGCAACTCGTTAGTCCATGTCGCACACATACCAAGGCGGGTAAGGAGAAGGGAGACGGAGACAGAGCACTCACCTTGGGCCCTGGCCGGTCTTCTCCGGCAATTCGGAAGCATACGTGCGCTGGAAGGCCTGGACGTCGGCTTCGAAGGTGCCGCGCTGGATGCTCTCACGGATAGCGGCGAAGAACCGATCCATGACGTGGTAGTTGTGGAGCTGCAGTAGCGTCCAGGCCAGCATCTCCTTTGCGTGGAGCAGGTGGTTGATGTACGCGCGGTGGTGGCTGCGGCATGCATAGCAGCCGCAATCCTGTTGGAGCGGAGCGATATCCGTTTTATACTCTGAGGACCACAGATCGAAGGCCAGAGGCTGGTCTTTGGGGGTAGGCCCGTCGGAAGAGTGAGGGGGAGGGGGGAAGACAAAGTCCAGGGCAATGCCGGCGTCGGATACGGCGCCGAGGAACGGGATGGTGACGAGGTCGGCGCCCAGGGCGACCTGGCGTAGGATGTCATGCGGTGAGGCGGGTTCGTCGAACAGCACGCGCGGCAGCGTGCCCAGGGTCTCGGGGACGATGGACAGCGAAATGGTGTCGTACAGCGCGAGCCCGGAGACGTGGGGGCGGAGCTCGTCGCCCTCCAGTTCCTCTAGGTACAGCGACTGTTGGGTGTTCTCGAGGGGCAGCACGGGGGCGAAGTAGGCCGCGCTGGAGGGGGAGTCCGAAGAGGCGTATAGTTTGTCGGTGCCGTGCATGGTGTATGCGTGGGTGCGGTCGACCATTTTCCCCTGTCGCTTGCTGCCGGCGCGCTTGCCCAGGACCAGATCGGCCATTCCGACCACGATGTCGGGGCGGAGTTTCTGCACCGCTTCGATATATTGGTTCGCGTCGAGCTGGCGGAAGCCTACCGAGGTGAGGATGGAGATCGAGTTCGGCGTGTTGTCTGGAGCGCAGGGAATGGGAGGCACGCGACGGGGGCCCAGGATCAGGAGGAAGTCATCAGGGAAGCTGGTAAATTTGCGGAGGGCCGATTCGTGCGATGCGGTGGGGATGTTGTATATGGGTACGGTTCGTTTCTTTTCCTGTCTTTCTATGACTGATCTGAGCCCCGGTGGGCGTCAATGTCAGCGTCGCTGGCGGGGTATAGCCCGGGAGAAGAGGCTAATTGATCCATGCGTGGGCTAGTAGAACATACAATCTTCTAATCCGAAATATAGACTGCCAATAGCAGTCTGCTCGCGCATCACATCATGCGAGACATGCGACACAGCGCCTCGCGAGGTCAATGGGACGAAGTTCGGCGTAGAGATGGGTTTTCTGCCCGCAAAGGCCAGAGTGCCCAGGCGTGGTGTGAGGACGGAGGCCGTGCTGGGGGTCAGGAGCGTGAAATTGACCATTGCATGTGGAGTAGACGGCGAGGTCTCCGGGTCCATGGCGGGTGACGAGAGGTTGAGGTGTTGAATGTCTGGGGATTGATTGACAGCGTCGGGGAAGAGAAATAATGATCGCGGCGGTCCCACCATTTATCGCCGATCTGCGGTTGGTGCCTGAGGGTGCCTGGAAAACAGACTCCCGCGTTCCACTCCATCACTTCCTTTCTCTCGACAACATCGGTGTATTGTGAGCCATACAACGCAGATTCAGACTCAGTTCTTGGTAAATATTGCATCAGTTTATACGCAATGGCGACACAACTCTCCGGACAGCGCGGGGCCCTCATTGTGGTCGAAGGCCTCGATCGAGCGGGCAAATCAAGCCAATGCGAAGCCCTTCGCGATGTGCTACAGAAATCAGGTCATACGGTCAAATACATTCGGTTCCCAGGTAAACTTCCCAGATCTATCAATTTGATCAAGTATTGATCAGCGTCAGATCGGACAACTGCCATTGGGAAAATGATTGACAGCTACCTCCGTGGACAGTCGCAGATGGATGACCACTCCATCCACCTTCTCTTCTCCGCCAACCGGTGGGAGGTGGCTCAGAGTATCGAGCGAGATGTCGACAATGGAACCACTGTGATCGTGGACCGCTATTCTTACTCCGGGGCTGTGTATTCGGCCGCTAAGGGCAACCCCAGCTTGTCTTTGGGGTGGGCCTGGCAACCGGAAGTAGGACTTCCACGACCAGATCTGTGCCTTTTCCTCCAGATCACCCCTGAAGAAGCCGCAAAACGCGGTGGGTTTGGTGCTGAACGGTACGAAAACGAGACCATGCAGACCCGTGTGCGCGAACTCTTCAAGACGATCTTCGATCTTCAGCCAAGGGGGGATGTGACTGTCATCGATGCTGGGAGATCATTCCAGGACGTGGCACAGGACATGCGGAAGGCTGTAGAGGACCGCATCGCCTGCTTGGGTCGAATCGGTCCTTTGAGAAAACTCGGACCCATTGCAGTCTGAATGTCATAAATTGGGAATTCATCATAAGAATTCTAGGTCGTCCTCATCGCTATCCTCAATGACGATTTCTACCCTTTGTTGGTCTTTCGAACCTGTCTTTAGCCGTTCGTTGGTATCATCTTCTGATGCACAGTCTAGTTCCTCGGCCCAGTCTTCGTCTAGAACGTCTTGGTGAACGTTTTCATTTAGACGGTCGAACGCTTGTGCAGTCGATTCGAGGGGTTCGTTTGAGGCAGTGTTGGCGTCAATTTCGGCCGGTCTAGCCGCGGCAGCTTTCCGCTTATCACTCCTTGCCTTCTTCCTGAGTATCACCTGCACCTCCTTGCCTCCGCGGGTCCGGAAACTCAACTCCTGCATCATCAATGGCCACTGGACAAGCTTGCTGCACGCTGGGCAAGTCCCAGATCTGGGGACTAACTGGTTGGGGTCATTGGAAGATTTTAGAAACCTGGCAGAAAGACACAATAAATGACTGATACCGAAGCAGCTTGCCTGCGGGCACACAATCACCAGTTCTTTCTCCGGTTTGGCCTGTGCTTCACATACTTTGCAGTGTAGCTCATTCGGGTCGTCTAGTAGAAACACCGCCTTTTCTAGGTAATCTTGTATCTTGCTGTAGTCGGTCTGGATCCCGTCGATGCTGCCCACTCTAGGATGGTCGGTTTCTGGCTCGGGGCTATTGTGAGGACAGTTTCCATCGGGGATGGTTCGGATATGCTCTGGGATGGTGCCATTGGCCCGATCACACCAGACACGCCATAGCTGATACACGTCTGAAGCGAAGATGCGTATGTTGAGAGGCCAGCGTGAGAAGCATGGCGATTGTAGGAGCGAGTGTAGTTTTTCCAAATTGGCGGTTAATGATCGCCGAGGGCGTTGACGCCGCTTTGTGTTTCCGGGTTCGCCTTTGGACATGTGGCGTGAGTCTTCATGTTGCCATGCCCATCTACATCATATCAGAGACAAGCCATGTAAGAGATATTTGTGGTCCATACTCGAATTGTAGTGCAGCAGTGCGGCTCATGAATCCCTCCACCAGGAGGACCATCTCCCAAGGCCGATTTTTGGTTGCGGTCTTCTTCGCACCTCCTTTTGAGAGACCATTGTGTTGAGGAAGTCGTCGGGGAGGGTTAGGGGTGGACCCGACATATAGTCCTGCGCGTTTGTTGACAGTCGATCGTAGAAGATAGCAGCAGTAGTATGCTGGGATGGGTTTAGTCTGGTCTGAATCCACGTTGTCCATGGAGAAATATATATCACGACCAAGTGGGTAAAGTGCGGGAAGTAAAAGACGTGTCAGTTGTTTAGTTCTAGTATTTCATGAAAAAATCCAGCGTTTCTGCTTGAAAGTTCAATGATAGAGGGCTAGATGGCGGAGGAGTGCTGTGAGGTTTGTTGACGTTGAGATGTACATGAATCACCTTACCATTTTGGGAAGTCTCCCACGCAGGGTCACATGATCATCGATGTTCAACCTCGTCTTCCACAGTTAGAGTGCTTCACAGAGGCAAACGTAGATGCATAGAACCATTATAATACTGCCTACTCTACATAGATGAAAAGAATGGCTCACCCAGTGTATTGAGGGAGAGGACAGCATATTTTCCCTTTTGGGAAGAGAAGACCCTTGCGCACTAAGAAACCGGAGGGGACGCCAATCATCGGATCGTGACAAGCATGGGCCCCAGACTAGTTGGGGTTAGATTCAGCCTCCGCTGTTTAATGCCACGAAGGGAAACATGGCATGATCCACGATGAGAAGTGGCGTAAAACGATAGAAAGCTCATACTGTACATGGCATTGTTGTATGACGATGAGATATTCAGGTATGTACCTCGTAGGGATTGAATCTTCATATTCTATACCTCGTTGGTACCGGTTGTAAAAGGACTTAAAAAGATTCGAAGCCATTGCGATGATATGGGCAGATACTTTCTGCCTGCATCTGTCCCAATGCCTTCACGACATTGACTGGATAAAACATCTCGAATCAAGAATGCTCCCGGAAGACTGTGAGACGGATAGGTTGACCGAAAACATTCGATGGCAATGTTCACAGCAGGAAACACTCGGGTAATTACGCGGTAAGACCCATTCATGTGACTGCATGAAATTTACCTAGCGTGCCCTGGATTGATGGTGTGTTCTTCCCGAGACCAGTAAGAAAGACAAGCGAGGATGGGACGATTTTCCTGCTAATGTCCTCGATGACTTGGGATTCTGTGTGCTGGTCGGATCCGGCCCATGGTTGACGTGTCACATAGGACTGCGTATCTTACGTCGTCCATACACCGACAGGACTCTCTAGCTCTCCTGTCAGGTGCAGATCCCAGAAGATAGAACGAGGCTCCTCATTGAACATAGAAAATGCAAAATACGTTCCACGTTGTGTGGGTTGTGTCGGCTTCAGGAAGGGGAGAACTGGAGGCCGTGTGGTCCAAACTAGGTGAATATTAATGTTGAAGTGGATAACCGGGCCCCCCGTCCTCCGTCATCATCATTACTGTACCGCCCCGTTGGACCGATAGTGATGTCTCCTGATATCATGAACCAAGAGGACATACGGAGTACAATGGGATGAGTGATAATGGTGGATATGGTGTTAACCATACTTATCAGTGTTATTATTGGTTAATACTATCATGCCACTAGAATTAGTACCTCCATACTAGGTACCTGCCCAACTGTACAGAGTACTAACCTACAGTATGTAACTACTGTACTCCGTAGAAATCTCATGCAGATACCGACATTGGAGGTATCTTGGCAGTGGCCCAAGTTCGACCGGACCCATTTACATCACCGTTTGCGGTCATTTTCCCGTGGAATGGCACGTATTCGATACCGTAATACAGGGTCTGTCTCCTACTACCAGGTCGAGATCCATTCAGAGTCTTCAACGTGAGTCTGGATGGATTTCTTTTGTTCCGCTTCCACCCCTTCGGGACTCCTTTTTTTTCCTGGGTGGACTCCCCTTTATTCAGAGGATGAATCTCTTGTGCTATCGTTGGTTCCTGCCTAGGTAACGTGCTGGGTACTTACTTGAAGGTATACGCCTTACCTAAGACAATCCTACCTGCAACCTCTATGGGTGTACTGGTACATCTTCCATCAACATACCTACAATAATTAAGAACCGAGAGAAATCTCCAATCCACGGTGACTGACAGACACAATCTACGGGACATCTCCCTCAAGTTGAATAATAATCGAGGTAATAATCCCTTTCGTGTGCCACGCCTTTTGTCCTCTTCCGAGATTCTCCACACCAGCCCTCCCGGCTCCAACTCGGCCTTTCCCTGGGGGGAGCCGACTACTGACTTTCTCTCTACCTAGACTGCTCTCCCCGTCTCCGATTTCCCTTCCCTTCCCTATCCATCCTTCTTCTCTTCCTCCATCTCGACCGGCCTCTCCCACCACCACCACTCTCGGTCAACCCTCCCTCTCTGATCGACGAGACGACCCTCTCCTTACCGATCCCCGTCGTCTCGCCGTCTTATCTTTATCTTCCGTTCCGTCTGCATGTGTTTTTCGCATCGGATGACCGCCCCCTTCCGTCCGCGATAATCCACGCGCAACGCTCCGTCTCATCCCAATTAGGCTGTCGTCACGCCAGACATGGTGGCCCCGGCCTCTGCGGGAGGTTCCTCGACCCCCGGACAGCCTCCAGCGAGCCGTCAGCCCGCCCGATCGTCCAGTACGCATCCATCGCATTCTCATAATGTCCCCTTGAGCGCCCGACGATCCGCTCCCCTCGACCTGTCCACCGTCGAACGACGCGGCCAGCCCAATGCCCCTCGCGAACCTACGAAGCGTGTCCGACCCCATGGCTTGCAAGAAGCCCCGACCTTTCGTCCGACAGAAGAGGAGTTTAAGGATCCCGAGGAATACATTCGCAAGATCGCCCCAGAGGGGAAGAAATATGGCATCTGCCGCATCATTCCCCCCGAGAACTGGCAACCTCCCTTTGCGATCGATACCGAGGTATGTTGTGGTCCTTCGGAGCCCCCCCCCCCCCCCCCCGGCTGCGCCCTACGAGTTCTTTGCGCGGAACGGAGATCAACTGACTCTAACCCCCTCACAGCGATTCCATTTCAAGACCCGTCGTCAAGAGCTCAACTCGGTTGAAGGAGGTATGCCCCCGCGCTCAGCCACATCTGCTGCCGGTGGAACTCCGCAGCCTCGTTCTGACCCGGACCCAGGAACTCGTGCGAACTTGAACTATCTGGATCAGTTAGCCAAGTTTCACAAGCAGCACGGTACCAACCTCAACCGATTCCCCAGCGTTGACAAGCGTCCCTTGGATCTCTACAAGCTGAAAAAGGCCGTCGAGGTTCGGGGTGGTTTCGAACAAGTTTGTAAGATGAAGAAATGGGCGGAGATCGGTCGCGACCTTGGCTACAGTGGCAAGATCATGTCGTCCCTGTCAACGTCGCTCAAGAACTCGTACCAACGATGGCTTCAGCCTTACGAGGAGTATCTGCGTGTAGCCAAGCCGGGAGTGCAACAACAGCTGGAATTGGAGCATGGTGGTCCCTACACCCCGTCTCCCCATCAATCGCCGATGGCGAAGAAGCCCATATTATTCGATAACGGCACTCCCTCGTCGACGCCCCAAGGTCCAGCCTCGATGACCCCGAATCCTCAGAAGGAACCTGAGCCAACTACCGAAAAGCCCACCCCGCCAGTGGAACCGACGCCGCCTCGGCCAGTGGCTTCTGGCTTTACGCCCGTGAATGTCAGCTCTGGCTTTACTGCTGTTAATAGATCGCCCTCCTTTGTAGCTGTTAACAGTGGCCCTCCTGTGAAGCGGGAAGCCGATAATGGTTCCATGACTCCGAAGAGTATCGCCGAACATCCTTCGTCAACACCTGTCTCCAACGGTCATGGAAGCCAGCAGATGAAACGCGCCATCAGCGAGAGTGGTTCGCAAACCGAGAATGGGGATGATCCGAACGGTCGTCGGAGCAAACGTCTCCGAAAAGGTTCGTTTTTTCAATCGCGGGGCTCCTCAGTTTTATCTAATCCTCAATAGATGGTCCCATGCCTACCGTAGCGGGCTCAAATATGAGTCTCCTTCGACCTGCCCCGCCACGGGCGCGCAAAAGCGACAGTAGGAAAACTGGTGATGTAAGTTCACGAATATGCATGTTTGTGCCCTATTGCTGACTTGATCTAGAAATGCGAGACCTGTGGCAAGTCCGACGATCGTGAGTCCATTCTTGTGTGCGACAGTTGCGACAATGGATTCCACAAGTACTGCCTTGACCCGCCTCTTACAACTGTTCCCGAGTACGACTGGCACTGTGCCAAGTGCCTGGTCGGGACAGGAGAGTTTGGCTTTGAGGAAGGAGGAGTTTATTCCCTCAAGCAGTTCCAAGAAAAGGCAAATAATTTTAAGCAGAGCTACTTTGCTTCGAAGATGCCGTTCGACCCTGTCCTGAACACGCATCGCCGCGAGTCCGAGGATGATGTAGAGCGGGAGTTCTGGCGATTGGTGGAGAGCCTGACAGAGACCGTCGAGGTTGAATATGGTGCCGATATCCACTCCACTACTCATGGGAGTGGGTTCCCTACAATCGAACGGAATCCCCTTGATCCTTACTCCGTTGACCCTTGGAACCTGAATGTCCTCCCTTTCCACGGCGACTCCTTGTTCCGCCATATCAAGTCAGACATCTCTGGTATGACAGTGCCGTGGGTCTATGTTGGAATGTGCTTCTCGACTTTCTGTTGGCACAACGAGGACCATTATGCCTATTCAGCGAATTACCAGCACTTCGGCGCCACAAAAACCTGGTATGGTATTCCCGGTGCAGACGCTGAAGCGTTCGAGGAGGCCATGCGACAGGCAGTGCCCGAACTGTTCGAGGGCCAACCGGATCTTCTCTTCCAACTTGTGACCCTCATGCCCCCAGACCAACTTCGGAAGGCTGGTGTCAATGTCTACGCTCTGGACCAGCGGGCAGGACAGTTTGTTATCACTTTCCCTCAGGCCTACCACGCCGGCTTTAACCATGGGTTCAACTTCAACGAAGCCGTCAACTTTGCTCCTGCTGACTGGGAACCCTGGGGTGCAATGGGGGTCGATCGCTTACAGGCCTTTCGACGCCATCCATGCTTCTCTCACGATGAACTCCTGTTAACGGCTGCGGCTCGCGATACTACCATCAAAACTGCAAGGTGGCTGGCCCCAGCGCTCCAGCGGACATACTCGCGGGAAATCGCTGAGCGCGCGTCGTTCCTTGCCCGACACCGAGATGTTGCCCCGCATAAGTGTAACCTTGGGTCTAGTGACCCTGGAGCCGTTGCGGACTGCCAATTGACACTGGCCGTCGAGGACGAGGACCTTCCAGAGGAGGACTACCAGTGCCAGTTCTGCAAAGCCTTTACTTATCTCACACAGTTCCGTTGTCATAAGACTGGAAAGTCTGTCTGCCTGATGCATGCGGATACCTATGACTGCTGTGGAGAATCGCTGGCGCAGCGGTTACTTGGCCCCGACCACACCCTGCGTTACCGGATGAGTGATGAGGACCTCAAGAGCCTGGTTGAAAAGGTCCAGGAGCGTGCCCGGATGCCGGAAGCATGGAGCGAGAAGGTTGACAAGACCTTGGAAAACGAACCCAAACCCCAATTGAAGGTCCTTCATAACCTACTGAGTGAAGGTGAGAAAATCCCATACCATTTGCCTGGCCTCCAAGATCTTGCGGCCTTCGTCCAGCGCTGCGATAAGTGGGTTGAAGAAGCAACCAATTACATTACCCGGAAACAGCAGAACCGGAGGAAAAACGAGAAGGCTTGGCGCAGAAGTACTTCTAAGGCGGCGCAGCTGGAGGAACGTGATCGTGAAGTTCGCAGAGTAGAAAACATCTACGCCCTTCTTGCAGAGGCTGATAAACTGTCGTTCGACTGTCCACAGATGGCGGCTCTGGAAGAGAAGACCCGCGAAATCGAGAAATTCCGCCAGGAAATTAACGTTGCCCTCATGAACCCACATGTCCGATCGGTCCAGGAAGTTGAAGAACTAGTGGAATCATCTCGCAATTTCAACGTGGATATCCCGGAAGTCGAAGGTCTGGAACACATCCTCCGGCAGATGAAGTGGAACGAGGAAGCTCGCCGCAAGCGTGATCAATACCTGACCCTCAAGGAATGTCACGAACTCATCCTCGCTGGCGAGCAATTAGGCCTGTCGGAAACCAATGAATCGCTTCTTCATTTCAAGGATCTATGCCGCCATGGCGAGGCCTGGGAAGCGAAAGCCAAGGAATTGATGTCAGTGGAAGCTGTGCACTACCAGCAGCTCGAAGCGCTCTCCGCGCAGGCATCCCGGTTCCCCGTCTCCCCTGAGACCCTCGCGGCGGTGGATGCCATATTGACCAAGCAACGTGAAGCGCAGAAGAGGATCCAGTCCCTATACGAGAGGAGTAAGGACCCGGATTTGAGGAACCGGCCTAAATATAAGGAGGTCCGTGAACTCATGGAGTCTCTGGAGCAGCTCAACAGCCGTCCCACGGGAGCCCTTGACTTGGAACGAGAGCAGAAACGCCATGAAGACTGGATGCGGAAAGGGAAGAAACTGTTCGGAAAGGCGAATGCACCGCTGCACATTCTGAAGTCCCATATGGAGTATGTGGAGAAGAGGAATTCGTATTGCTTCGATTTGGAAGACCGCTGCCGGCCCCCTGTTGAGCCCGCATCTCGAGATAATAGCCCTGACGGCTTACTTGAGAATAACAACACAACCAGCATGTGGGGCGGTGGAAAGTCACGAAAGCGGGATGTCTTCTGCATTTGCCGACATTCAGAGGCTGGAATGATGATAGAATGTGAAGTCTGTCATGAATGGTGAGCGTTGTTTAGTTCTCCCCTGCGACTTACGAAGTACTGACAGAATCTAGGTATCACGGGAAGTGTTTGAAGATTGCCCGAGGCAAGGTCAAGGAATTTGACAAGTATACGTGCCCGATCTGCGACTGGCGCCAAAAGATCCCCCGGGATGCCGCTCGTCCGAAGCTTGAAGACCTTCAAGAGTGGCAGGCGGAAATCGCAAACCTCCCATTCCAGCCGGATGAAGAGCAAATCCTGGAGAATATCGTCAATCAAGCAACCACCTTCCGCGATTTCCTACAAAGCTTCACGAATGCGGCTTGTACCACGACCGAGGAAGTGCCTACGTTACTCTTCTACTTGCGCAAGATAGAAGGCGCCGAAGTCTTGTTAGCATACGAAACCAACTTCTTCCGACAAGAAATCCATAAATGGGCTCCCGTGGCACCAGAACCGCCTCCGATCTTAGAGCAATCGCTGTCTACGAGAAAGCCGCGGCCAACGAAGCAACAGAAGATCATGGCTCAGCTGGGTGTTGAACGCCCGGAAGACCTCCCACCACATCTTCGTCCTCGACAGACCTCTCGCAAGTCAATGGATGCAACATCAGTCAAACCAACTGGGCTTCAGCACCCACCACAACATCCAGTCGATGGCTCCAGTTCCGATCCGGGCCCGAATGGACCGACATTGACTCCAATGGTCGATACCCAGAATCCCCCTTACCCTTTCTCTGCCAATTATTCTCTGCCTGAGAGTGATCCTACACCCGCCTTTGCTCCCGGCTCTTCAGCTTTCCTTCCCGCACGGCGTTCCCCCTCGTTCCCGGCTCGTTCGCCATCGCCGCATCGTCAAGGGCCGGATACAGCGCTTTTCAGCTCCCCAAGATTTAACCGAGATAACAACGATGGTCCTTTGGGGGTTGATGTCTACAACCCGAACGCCCTCGGCAGCAGTCCTCGACAGAACTTGGACGACATGTTCGCGGACTTGACTAACCAGGACGCGGATCCGGAGCCGGAGCCGGAGTTGGAGCCGATGGATAATACCCATGCTAATGAAGCTCTCGAAGCTCTCGACGTGAGCAACGGTGATCACTCGGAATCCATGGGGGACGAAGAATCCCCCGACGACAAAGAAAATGGGGACATTCATGGTCAGACCGAGGTCGATGCCGGCACTGGAATCGTTTGAGGACATGCATGCGAAAGCTGTTCGACGTCTGGTTTCGTTTCTCACTTCACTGCGATGACAATGTGGGGGTTATGATGTTCAAGATTATTGAAAGATTTTCCTGCGAGTTCTGAGCGACTCGACTACGATTTATCGGCATTCAGCGGCGTTAATGAGTCACTTGGTGACTTTACGAGGTTCACGGAGTCGGCGCGATTGAGATACGTTTTCTGACTTGTGCTTTGCTTTCTGCTTTTCCGTCGTTTATATTGGTCCCATACCACGTTTGAGATCTTTGCTGAGGTGTATTAAAAGGATGGAGAATGCGGCGACCATATGTTTTGTTGACTTCCATTCCGCTATATTTATTCCCGACGGAGATTCATACTCTTCTCTGCTCTGTCATGGGATATGCTATAATTGCGCCTGACCAGCTTCATGTGCGCAGCGAACCTCGCGATGTTCATTTCTATTTTATTCTGATTGCGCGCTGGCTGTATCACTAGTGGAATTGATTCCTATGTACCTTTAATGAATAGAATTTCAAGCTAATGTCGAAGCAGTATGGGTATCTATATCTAGTCTATATCCGCGTAAGCGCTGAGGGCAGCTTGACCACCAGTATGGATGAAAAGGGTATTGACTTCATGATGTCCTTCAACAGCAGGAGCAATCTCCCCCTGCTGCACCAAATGCATCATACCCCGGGCGACCTTGGCCGTATAGACGGGGTCCAGGATAACTCCATCCTGCTGCGCCATCAAACGCAGCGCCTCCTTCGCCTCCGAATCCAACACGCCGTACGCCGTCCCTACGAACCGAAAGTCCAGTCGCACATCATCCACCGTAATCTCCCTCTCCACATTCTCCATCCCAATCAACCTGCCCGCACGGCGCGCAAATTCCAGCACTCGTCCCTCATGCCACTCGCGCGGCTTGGTCGGCGAAATCACCACCCCGACCACTTTCCGCGGAGGCACACGCGGCCCCTCCATCTTCTCCAGCATCTTAAACCCAGCAATCAACCCTCCAACCGTACTCCCACTGCCACACGCAACAAACACATAATTGAATCGCCCGGCACCAAGCACCTCCTTCTCCTGCGCGGCAATCTCAAACGCACACCGCGCATACCCCACCCCGCCGAGCGGATGCAGACTCGCCCCGGAGGAAATCCAGTACGGCACGCGCCCGCTCGCCTTCACCGCGTCCATAACCTCCTTGACCGGGTCGCGCGTGCCGCCCGCCGTCGACCCGGGCTCCAGCACGCGCACATCGGCGCCGAGCAGCCGCAAAATCTGCGGGTTCCCGGCGCGCAGGAACGTATCTTTGTCGCGCGACGCGGAGAGACCGCCGCCCGTGCCTTTGTGGAGGATCGCAACCGCGTCGAGACCTAAGTGTTTGGCGACAGTGGCCACTTGGATCGTGTGGTTGCTCTGCACGGCGCCTTCCGTGACCAGCGTGGTCGGTTTGCCGGGGTAATTTGGGTCGTTGTGCTGGGGGGTCGCGCTGAGGATGTCCGGGATGAGGTATTCAAGTTTGCGGTATTTGTTGCCGGCGCAGGCGAGCGGGGAGGAGTGGTCTTCGCGTTTGGTGTATAGGGTGATCTTGGGGCTGGGGGATGTGCGGTGGTGGAGGTGCGTGGAGAGATTGGGGAGGGCGTGGATGGGGGAGGGATGCGGGTAGGAGAGGGGGTGGCGAGGGAGTTTGGCGAGGGCTTCTGGGAGGGCGAGGGACATGGTGAGGGTAGGATTGAAGGCGCAGGGTTGGTGATGGTGTTGATGTTGTTGTTGATCTGGAGGGCTGGTCGAGATGGCATCATAGGCGGGGCGCACAGCGGTGGTATTCTGCCGGTCAGCCATTGTTATCGATAACCGATTTTCTCGCGGACTTCATCCTAACCAGCCAAACCACCATGACCCATCCCCCCGAACACAGTCTGCTGAAATTTCTCCGGTCGGCCCTGCAGACACACCGTCGCTTTGTTGCGGGCGGCTTGTCCCGAGCAGAGGCCCCGGTCTATGTCATTGGCAATCCCTCCGCAGACCTGGACTCTATCATCTCCGCGCTCGTATACTCCTATTTTGCCAACACCACGTCGCGTCGCCATGTCCCATTGTTGAACCTGCCCAATGTCGCGTCTGGCCCGGAGCTGCGGCGCCTGCGGCCGGAGTTCGTGAAGGCGCTGTGGTTGTCCACCCAGCCACCTGTGAATGGCGACGAGGCGTGGGACGAGACCGCCGAGTCGGCCGGTCCGCTCCTTCGAGAACATATTCTCACTGTCGCCGACTTTGCGACGCATACCAAGCAGCGCGGTAGCGACCAGGGTGAGCGATTGACAGCGGATGCAGTCCTGGTGGACTGGAACTCGCTACCGAGTCGAGCTGCCGACGGCCAGCAGGGCAAGGGGAGCTTGGACGGGCTTCCGAACGTCGATTTCCGCGTGATTGGCTGTGTTGATCACCATGCCAACGAGGGATTTTGTGCCCCGGAGATTTCACCGTTGCTCATAACCACATCTGGCTCATGCGCTTCTCTATTGGTACAGGCGCTCGGCTCGATCGGGGCCTGGCCAGGATGTCAGGAGGGCGACGACGCGTTGTCGACTACGCGTGAGGAAGCGCAGGTTGCCCAGCTCGCTCTAGCACCGATACTCATCGACACGGCGAACCTGACCGCAGAGGACAAGGTGACTCCCCACGACACCAGCGCACATGACATTCTTCACCGCAAGATCAACCAGGCCGGTGTCCAGGCCTCTGCGAAGCATGATGACTTCTACACGCAGATCCTCGAGACAAAGCAAAATAGTCTCGACCTGTTGACTGTAGAGGAAGTGCTGGACCGCGACTACAAGCAATGGACGGAGACATCCTCCAGCCATCCCTCAAAACCTCTCAACATCGGCTTCTGCTCGATGGTGAAGTCAATTTCTTGGATCGTCGAGAAGGCGGGAGGTCCGCAGGCTTTTCTTGACAAGCTATGCACCTTCGCTGCACAGCGGGAGCTGGGGATTGTCGTTGTCATGACCGCGTTCACTTCGAAGACGTCTGACAAATTCTGTCGCGAGTTGCTGGTTTGCGCTCTGGACGATGGCCTTGCCACTGATGCGTTGAAGTCCTTCGTTTCGCAGGCGGCGTCTCAACTGGGACTGGAGGAGTGGTCTGCGCGCGACGATGATGAGAGGGATATCTTGACCATAAAGCGCACGCTGGACAATGAGCCATCCCGGCGGATATGGCTGCAGACGGACGTCACGAAGAGTCGGAAACAGGTTGCGCCGTTGATCAGGGGCGCCGTGGCATCACTCTAGATGTACATATCCAGTTATGCTGAGGCGGTAACGATGACGACTTGGATTATCAACCACGGATCGCATATACGACTATTCATCCTCATAGTTACGCCGCATTGACGCGACAGTATTCTATATAACCTTGACCTACCCAAGTGGGAAATCTCTGCACCATAACTCCCATCACGATACATCTACACAGCGTCAGACCCAGAAGACTCCATCCTGAACACTACATACCACTCTACCATAACACAGAACATATAATCCTGACAAATGTGCACCGCAAACAGACCCGAGTTCAGGGTCCTCGTCCTCGGAGACGGGGGCGTAGGCAAGGTAAGTCTTCCGCTCTAGCGCTTCCCATACGCAGTCCCGCAGTCCTAACCGCACCATAGACAACATTCATCCACCAATACTACTCCAACAACCCACATTACACCCCGACTATCTCCATCCTCTTCAGCGACGCCATCGCCACCCGCATCATCGTCTTCCAGGAGCTCAGCTCCACCCTCCAACCCTTCGAAGACTACAACGCCTCCTCGCTCGGCAACTACATAGACGGCGCAATCCTCATGTTCGACGTAACCCGCCCCGAGACCTACTACCACATCGAGCAGTGGTACGAGGTGCTAGCACACCTGGCGCGGAGAGAGCTGCCCCTCGTCCTCTGCGGGAACAAGACGGACCTCACCTACGAGCGGCGCGTCTACCCGCACCACATCACCTTCCACATCGAGGAAGTGATACCGTACTTCGAGACCTCGCAGACCGCACTATATAACCAGGATGCGCCGATCTGGCAGCTAGCCGCGGATGCGTACTCGGATCGGGCCTGGGTAAGCTTCCCTCCTTCACAAGCCCCAAGAGTATAGAACCCCCCGTCTGACAAGTTTGTTAGAGCCCAGAACACAAGATGATGTGCAGGTCGTACGTGGCCGCAGTAGAACAGCGCCACGAGGCGTCCATGATGGAATTTGACCAGTACAAGCAGGTGCTGGGCCAAACGTTGGAGTTGCTCCGCTTGCCCGGGTGCAGGGTGTACGGCGCGTCGGCGGAGGTAAGGCTCTACCTGGACCGTGTGCTGCAGGAGGAGAGACAGGTCCGCGAGTTCTTCCCGCGCATCCACCGCACATGCGTGCGGTTTATTCTCCGCCCGTGCCCGAGAACGGGCGACGAGCTCCTGCATATGCACGTGTGCTTTGGGCGGGATGTTACTTCGCTTCTTTGGGGTGCAACGCACTTGCGTACGCTGGTTAATGCGCTCATGGTACTGCATGCTGACTGGGAGGGCCCGGTTGAAGATGGGGAGAGTGTTCGGGGGCCTTTGCCGGCGTGGTCAGCTTGAGCTGCGTATAAGCTAGGAAAGCCTTGCGGTATTATGCTGCTATTTGTGGTGATTGTTTTGTTATTGTGTTCATGTTGCACCTAAGTTTTTACGTCACCTGTGCACAGAATACACTCCATTCAACAATGCTCGATCTATGTTCTACTATCTCACAAGATCACCTAGCCCGCCGCGTAATGCAAAAGACATCAGACAGAAAATGACAAATAATTAGACATCGGACACCATTCCAAGACCAAAGCACCCCAGAACTCCATGCATGTAGCAGATATGGTGCAGACGCTGCCGCCATCAAGCTAGCAGTGACAAAGAAACATGTCTTATGCAAAAAATAATGCAAAGCCTCAACCCCGGCGCTGACGATGCAATGCAACCATTAGGCAAGAGGAAACAGACAAAGAGACATGAGAAAAAGTATCCTGTCGCTCCGGCATCGGAATGCCCAAGCGCGCACAGATAGTAACAAAACATAGTTGAAATAATACAGACAGGCATCAGTAGATCGTAAGATTGACCATTCTCAGGTGTGGCCGTGGCGCTCGCGAGAAATATACCAGATCAGTAGCACTCCCATTCGCAGAACACACACCAGCGTGCCACACGGTCAGCCAGAACCAAGCCTCGCCAGATTCCACGCTCACCAATTTTGATGACTGTTTCCCAGACACTGCCATCAGCTGTGGCATCGGTGATGGTTTCGGGATTGTTATTGGTACTGATCATATGATCGGCTTTCCTGGTCAATCGCAGAATCTTGCCCGACGGAGACTGGATTGCCAGCTTGGCGGGCTTTTCACGCCCCGAGGCTGAACGTGTCGAGGAGATTGCCGACGTCGACGCAGAAAATTCGTTCGAAACAGTCGAGACGGAAGATCCGCCAGCCGAACTGGATACCATGCTGAGCGCACTAGCAGGTCTAGAGAATACGGAGGGGGAGACGCGTCCGCTGATGCTAGACTCATTCCCGCCGGGCACCGCCGGTAGAGATGCCGGATGCTGGCGAATCGCAAAGACAAACGTGTTGTTCACGGCAAGTCGTGCGCACTGGGGCTGCATAATGTACAAGTCATGGCGCTGTGCATGAGGAGTGGGATGGCGCTGGACGAAGTCGTAGGGCGGGTTCTCCCCGGTGTGCAGAATTGGCAGGGCGAGTGCTAATGGATGGGGGATGTCACGGCTGGAATGCATCAAGCCCTTCTTACCAGCGTATATCTTGACTGTACCTTGCCCTTCGTCGCCCGGGAGGACAGCCTTCACAGTAAAGCGCTTCTGGCCTTGGACCCAGTCAGGTTGGATCAGAGCACGCTTCCGCACAACCTCACCACTCTCGAAATAGTCACCATCCGCGTCGCACGCAAAAGCAGGAGCTTCCACTTCAGCAACACACTCCACATCGGGAGGAACAAGAAGTCGAAGTTGCATGACCTCCAGTCCTTCAATGTGAATGACACTTGTGTCGTAATCAGGAACTTGCATGTTGTTCTTGAAATAGGCTGGGCATACAGCCGGGAGAGACAGCAAAACATCAGGTGAAATTGGTGGACAGATGTGTTGGTCTTCTGGAGAGAGCGGTACATGCGTGTAGCAGATCTCCATCGGACGCGCAAGAAAGTACCAGCTCTCTGCGGCAGCAGACCCGGTCGTCACGAACTTATTGCGCCAGGGGTTCGTTGGGTTTGCTAACGAACAGTCCATGATCCGCCATTCGCCATCCACAAGAACCGTGTTCCACCAATGATTAGGCCGCGAGAGACTGTCCAGGTCGAACATCTCGCCGGGGGTCTTGAGGAATCCCTTGACTGCGTCCGAATGTAGACCGACGGCGGCACACATCTCTTTAACCAGAAAAGCCACCTCATGAGGACTTCCCCTTTTGGTCTGCACCACCCGCTTCAGGTCCACGCCGAACTCCTCCACCGGCTCATCCCACGCGATTTTCTCGCTGACCCAGGTAAAAATAGCACGCAATCTCTGGACATCACTCTTGTAAGGACGGCAGATATACCCCTGAGCGAGGCTTATGGGGTTAGTCATGGGAGGAAGGCTGTTAACGAAGCGGGCGCTCTTGTCCACGAGATTCAGATTGACCGTGCCAAAGTTGGTTGGCTCACTTATCGGTAGACCATCGATGCTTTCGTCACCTTCAGCAGTGTCGTACAACTCCTCGACCGCATAGATGACGGGATTGTCCATCATCTGACACCGTTCTGCCCGTTCAATCCTCTCGTTTCGACTCGGTGAGCTGGCACGGTTAACATCTCGCCGCACTTGTACCCAGTCTATGGCACTACCACCCGTCCCGGTGTCACGAGCGCTATCACGGCGCAAGGACCTGATCGGAGACACTGCTCTGCCTTTAGTAGGGGAGTAAGAGCCGCCGCTTTGCCCAACGGCAATGCTGCTTCTGGCGTTTGCGGCACCAGTCTTGGCCGTTTCGAAAATCTTTTTGAAAAATCCGTGCTTTTTGGCCTTAGGGGTAGTTAGACCACCGAAAACACCGGCAGTTTCTTCCGTACCACCTGCAGACGATGACCATGGAATTGCAGAAGATGCACCCTGACGGGAGGTATTGTGGCTGGAATGGTATGAAATCCCAGTCAAGGGCGTCTCTGGTCGTGATAGTCGCGAAACATCGCTGAACCCTCTGCTACGAAAAGTGTCCATAGCGGTACTTGGCCTCTCACCTGCTCCAATGCCTCGGCGCGCGTAGCTACCTGCACTTGTTGCGCTGAATCCGCCCGCAGATGGACCGCTCATCAGGCTTTGGCTGGTCCTTTCTGTGCTGACAGTCATGTTTGTGCTGGTGCTCTGCACTCCGCTGGACGAGTTCGTGGTGCTCGATTTGGTGGTGTAAGTCCGATTGAGCATATCATCCCTCAAATCCTGCCCCGACCGCCGACTCCGCAAGTGGGGGTAATGAGCTGGGGTTGAGTTGTGCCTCGCATGATACGGAACGTTTCTCGGGGGCGGTGGGGGCGGCTCCTCGTCATCCTCGGAGGGCTGTATATCCTCTGAGCCCCTCCGACTTTGCTCTTGCATCTGGCGGAGGCGGCTTTCCATTCGCTGCACATAGTTGTTCAGCTGTGGAGGGCCATCAAGGAACTGGTCGTGGGCATAAACGCTGTTCCGATGAGGGGGTGCCGGCGGATATTGGTAGTCCTTATCGCCTTCGAATCCCAAAGATGTCAACGACCGACCAACTGTCTGTGTTGGCCGGGTATCACGAAAGCTATCGTAAGCATCCGGGGACCATGGGTTGTTGAAAGCGGGTTGTGGTGACGGAGAGGTGGTTCCACGAGACATCCCCATATCCTCCAATGAAGTCATTACATCCTCCATAGCGTCTCTAAGAGGAGAAGGAGTGTGCCCGTCGTTGACGTCGGAATGTACAGCAGGCGACGGAGTTCGTGACATTACGACATAGCGGTCGTTCATATCAAAATGTGTTGGTACTGCTTCTCTTGATGGCGGACGGTTAACAGCAATTCGGTGCGGAGGTGGTGGTGGCGGAGGCGGGGACTCCTCCCGCTCCTGGAGCTGGAGGGGTGAGATCTCCCGGGACGAAGGCCGGGGCAATGGCGCGTTGTGCGTCATCGGGGCTGGTGCGACAAAGTAGTTTGATTCTTGTGGTATAAGGGGAGATGCGGCACGCGACGGTGGCCTTGGGCGCGCGGACTGAGTAGGTGGGATGGAAGGCAAGACGAGCTGAGTATCTTGACGTGGACGTGGCGACGCACCACGCGACGGAGGGCGAGATCGGAATACATCATGCGCAGGTGGTATCGGCGCGGGTGGCATCGGCGCTGGTGCATGACTCGGCTCCGGAGGAGGTCGTGGAGAGACCGCACGAGACGGCGGCCGTGAGCGCGACGACGAAGGCCGAGATGTAGAGCTTTGATGTTTGATCGCACTCGTCGGGGTACGTAAAGGTTTTGTCTTGCGGGACAGACTCCCATCTCGAGGCGGGGTTTGGGGGATGGAGCTCGTGAGTGGGGATGACGAGGTTGAGCTTCGGGCAAGCTCAGCTGGCGCAAGGGCCTCCTTGTGGGCCTGGAAGGGTTTCCGAAAGACGGTCTTTTGCTTTTTGGGGGCGGAAGTGGGATTGGTGATGGGAGAAGCAGCAGCTTGAACCATTGGGCTTGCGGTGCGACTGACCGGGACGAAATCTTCCCCAAGGACCTCGACGTAGTTGGAGGGAAACAGTCCCACCATGCGCCTGTCCCGGCGCAAGCGACCCATCCACCATTTTCCATCGCCCGCATTCAAGCATTCGATGAGATCCCCTTCGATAATTCCCAGATCGCGCTTTGTCTCTCCTCCCCATGAGTAAATTGCCCGACACCAGCAGGGGAACCGGGTAGGCAACTGTGGTGCGTCGGTTGCCATTGCAGTAGGACGCCGGAGCTAGGGCGGTGGAGGGATGAGGTGGTGTTGCAGCTCCTGCGCGTGTTGGAGAAAGTGAATGCGAATTGTTTTGATGACTCCTCTCAACGTGTTCAAATGATCTGAATGGATATGCGCCCGCTAAAGAATGGAGCAGACATAAAAGTGAGGAGCGGAAGAGAAGTGATCAGGACCCGAGTAGTGACGAAACAAACAGGACCATGATCTCGGAAAATAACAACTCAGCGGAGCGAAGGGGGGAGGAAGAATAGAAAATGAGATAAATTCGACCAAGGAGATAGCCGAATATCCTGCCCAAGCAAAGATAACACCAGGGTGGGCCGGGGCAGGAGAGAGAAGAGGTTGGAGAAGAAGAGAAGAGAGGAGAGAGGAGAGTGAGAGAGAGAGAGGAGAGCTGAGGTGAACGGTGAGGCCCGATCGCGGCTTTGGGTTGGTTGTTTACGTGGGCGCCTCTTCGGGCCTAGTGGGCGGGCTTATCGATAAGCTTAATGCGCACTGTCTTTGTGATCTCGCGATCCAAACATCTCCCGATCCTCCTTCCTGTCGTCTGTCGGATAGCTTCAATTTCTTGCAGATGGTCTCCCCTCCCCCATCACCCAGGGAGGACGTATGCACTCCCTCGGGGAATATTCCATTGTCGGGGTGACCGTCTCAGCTCCCCTGCCTCCCCCGCCCCCCCGATTCTTTTGAATCCCGAGATCCTGCTACTAAGCAGCTCCCAGCCCCCTTCCAACCAGATCCATGGTTTTCCGTCTCCGCTACCCGCACCAGCTTCCATGGACGCCATCTCGCCGGACTTCCAATCACAGCGTGCTTTGCCCGGTTATAATGCGATTTGATATGACCCGCTACGCTGACATCCCTTGTCCCTTCAACCCAACAGAACCCAGTTGCTTGGGATATCGCTGGTGCAGAAACCTTATTGACGAGATAGCGCGAACGGGCTGTTCCTCCCTTGAGCCGATCCCATGCATTGTTCCAGATTTCAGACATCTGACGCACAACACATTTTGGGGTGTCACATCTAATCGAACATCTACGAGTCTGTCATCAACCGGTTCATAGACCATATGACAACAATCATTCTTAATTAAACAGCCATGACTGTTATCCAGCCTAAGTGGCTTCCACATGTATTGGCGCATTCCCCCCAGTGCGGGTGAACAGGGTCTCATGCATGCCCCTTGCATCCTCTCTCTGGGACAGTCCCCACCCTCTGACATTCTTTGCATTATTTACACGATCCTTGATGCATTTAAGCTCCTTCGATATTTGCCATGACAACCAGGTATTTCTGAAAGAATCACCAGGCTACTGGAGAGTTGGTGCATAAGGACAAGGTGACGAGTGCAAACCGCATCGAAAGCAGTTTTTCCGAGAACAGCTGCGTACTGGCCACTAATGTAGTAGCTCTACCAAAGAGCCACGAGGGTGTCTGTGGGCTTTCGGAGGAATGGTTCAGTGACAGGCACGTTGGAAACTTCCGAATGTCCGCATGGTCTTGTACATGCCATCGAGTTAGACCTATCTTTCAATATGTTCAACCGCAGCCTAGTTCCCTTTTCATTCTCCCCTCAGACGTCTGATACATTAATTCTAAGAACAGTCCTGAGCCGCGGGATTCAAGTTTCAAGACATGACCATACGCCCAAAGCACAGAGTTTTTGCTAGGGGACATGCCAACCAAAAGGACCACCCTGGGCAATGCATGCAGAGAAACGGGGATAATATATTGTTTTTCCCAGTATAGATGACCTTTGCAGCTATAATTCATCAAGAAAGCCAACTTGGACAATATTTAACTATTGGGAACCTTACAGTATGGCCGGAAAGCCTGTGAGTAGTCAGCGGATACCGCATGGCAAGATTTCAGAGATATATCAAACTGACTAGCAACGCCATTGCCGTTTGAAAACCGCCTGATGAGATTGAATTAGACGAATTGACTACATTCCATTCCTTCCCGATGGTTATTTAACATATCTCCCAACGTAATACATGTCCCACTAGCCAGACGGCGTGGGTCCCTATTGGGGATGTTTCGCCTGAAGAGGTGGGCTAAATGTACCAAGAACCGTCAGCGGACGTAGGACAGCGGACAAGGGTGGAGTTAGTAGAAACACCAGCAGTTCCACAGACGCATGAAGAGCATTCGCTTTCCACAAGCATATCAAGATTCAATGATGAGATACTGCTGAATCTGGGAAGAAGGCAATCCCAAAGTGGTTGATGGGGTGGTATGAGGTTGGAGATACTCTATAAACTACCTTTATGGATAGTTCACCCCAGCTGCAAATATACAGAGCCGGAGGCACATTTCTTAGCAACATGAAGTCACAGGTGGTGTATGGTATGTTGCATGACCTGCGCCGTCAGACGCTGACACTGAATTGTTACTCGTCCACCACACTCAACACTAAACCAAAGCTTATCTATGCTAAAAATCACAAATGAATGGTAGCCAGAACAACGCCAGCAGAACATATGTCCTCTATCGTATAACACAGTATGGACATTGCAGAAATGCTCCGCGATGAGCGGACAAAAGCCCTGCCCTCAAAGGGACATTTCAGAACTAAACCTCAAAGCACTTCCCCTGCCCGGGAAACTCGAACCATTATTCCCAAAACCCGGACTCGTCGGACGGCTGCTGCCAGCATTCATTCTGGGGCTGCGTGGCTGGGTACTCGTTGAGCGAGTCGATGGTCTGTTTTTCCGGATCTCGCGCAATTCGTCCTCCTTCCGACGTAACAGATCCTCACGAGACGAAAGAGTTGCTTCCAGTTCGCTGATTCGAGACAAATGTCGGGCATCATCATTCTTCATGTTGAGCTCCCTTAGATGACTGACGTCACCAGCGACTTTGCGTTTCAGCGTCTCATTCTCTTCTCGGAGCTGCCGAACTTCATTCCCGGACTGTGCTGCCACATTGGAAGCGGTCTGGTACTGTTCACGGGTGTACTCGGCTTGCTTGCTCTCATACTCTGCTTTTCGTACGAGGCTAGCATTCTCCTTAGTAAGGCGACGGATTTCTTCTCGGGCGGTCTCAAGCTCTGCAGCACTGCCACCGCCGGCCTTCAACTCTTCTCGGGCTTGTTCCAGGTCGTGCCTCAACTGGGTTCGTTCGTCCTTCAATTTAGCGATTTCCTCCTTCTGCTTTTCTACCCTTTGTTCCGACGTAGCCTTGGACTCAGCCAACCGATCTCTCTCTTGCCGGGTTTTGTGAAGCTCCTTGGTCCGGCTTTCGTACCGATGTTGGAGGGACTCCAGGATCTTTTCCCGTTCTTGTAGACGAGACTGTGCATCGGAGAGGGCTTTTTGCAGCTTCTCCAGTTCAGCTGCATGTGCAGTCCTCGTCTGGACGAGATGTTGCTCCAGTGCCTGCAAATCATTATTCAAATTTTGGCTGGGGAATTTCGAAGACTCAGTGAACTGAGTAGGTTCCTGTGATAAGTCCATTCGTATTCTCTTGGCTATTTGCTCACCAGCCTCCTCGATCTGTTCAATGTTAGTGGTGGGTTGGTAAAGACACAATGACCCCTCGTCGGCGTCACTTACGTATTGGCGCTTTTGTGATTGAATTTCTGGGAAAGGGGCACTGTCAACCGCACTAGGCGGGAATCCACTTCGAAGCGAAGTAGCATCCAACTCTTCAGCGCCCACGATCGTAATTGGTTCGATTGAAGGCAAAGGCCAGCTCGCATGGAAGTTGTCAGAGAGTAGAAAAGATAAGATCTCTTCCACATCTTCCTGTACTCCAAGCGCATCATCCTGTAAATCTCCTACCATGTCTTGGAGACGAATGGTATACTGGATAGTCGTACGGAGCGCCTCCCGGATATCAGGAAGGTTGGAAAAACAGAGTTCAACATGTTCGCTCGAGTTAGATACGACCAGTCGGATCGCTGGAAGTAAAGTACCCTGACGAGCGAAAGTAGTCCGCATATGTTCGACAGGGGGCGATTTGGGATTAAATGATGAATCCAGCGCAATAATTGCGGATGGTGCTTTGTATGTCTCCAAAACACCGTCGCTTTGTGTGGATTGTATGCCCAGAGACAATGAGCCTTTCACCATGGAAACTTCCAAATTTGTACCAAGACCCATTTCCCCACGGGGGCGGGTGTACACAAGTCCCTTCCCCATGAGATAGCGCTCAACGACCTTTTGAGTTCTTTCTCCATTCACCATAATTACGAGGTGGATGTCTCGGCTGCTGGCGAACTCCACAAGATAGCCCAGGAACAAAAACTTGGCGCTAGAATATTCTGCCCAAGCTGCTTCTTTTGCGAAATCTGAGTCGGAGTCTTTGATATGCTCGGCAATGTTGAGATCAGGGTGGGTCGCGACATTGCTGAGATGAGACAGTATCTCGCGGATCTTGGTGGTAAGGGACTCATTCTAATTATCAGTCAGCCAGAGGTCGCAAATTCGGGGTATAGTGTAGTGCACCTCAAGATCCGATATCTCGTGGCCAGATTTTGATCTTACGAGGAAGTCCCGAATGGTATGGGATTCGTTTGTTAAGACTCGCTCATAATCATCTTTAACCCTCGAATCCATCGGAAGTGGCACGCAAAATTCTGCAGGGCCCAGATGAGCAGATCCGGGAGAGGGCTGTTCTGTGTGAGCAAAGCTCAATGCGCTCGGCTGGATGGTCTGCACATCACCCTGGAGGGCCTCTCCAGGAGCTTCCCCTTGCACGACTATTTCAGGATGGGCAGTGGGGTGGGTCGTATCTCTGTCTACCCTGACACTTAGGGGCGCTGCGGTTTCTGGAATTGGCACCGGTACGGAGGCTTCGATGTCGCCAGTGGACGACGGCGTCGCGCTGGGTTCATTAGGCGGAGCCACAGATGCAGCTCTCGTTTGAAACTGAGCGTACGCATTTCTTATCTTCTCTCTGGGCGTGGACCCCTCGAATTGGTTATACCTTTCCAAGGTATCGGCCAGAGGTGGCTGTTGCTTCTGTTGGTTTTGCCCGTCCATGGTTCCCGTGCCCCTAGGTGCGGTTGTTCCCTGGAGTAGTACAGACGTAGTTTGCGACACTGTTTCTATGAAGGATTCAGGAATCTGCGACTTTTCTAAACAAAAAGGTTCCGAGGATGCTATATAATCACTGCCTGTTCAAGAATTAGAACATGAATAGAGACTCTATACAAAGGGAAGAACAACTTGCTAGATATTCGCTGTCGCTCAAAAAGATCTGTGACACGAGGGTATCCGCTTTCGATCGGAGGCTGGCCGAATTCGAAGAAAGTTGCGACCCCGACGCCTTTGAATGTGGTGGAGGCTGGGATGGTTGGCTAAGAGCAGCTGAAGTATCTGGCGGTGTCTCTGCTATTTCATATACTGTTTTTGACCTCCCGGTCTCAACTCCAGGCGAAGGCTTACTAGCCGGAGATGGGGTTTTATTGGCGTTTGGGGCCGCGCCTCCGGTCACGACCGACGGAATATGTTGAGGCAAGTCTTCACAAATTTGTGAGATGGGCGTGGTCGCTCTGGAATTGGCTGAATCCTCCGAGACAAGGAATGGGCCTTGGAATTGCCTGGCGGGCTGATAAACTGAAGAAATCGGACCTCTGGCACTGCGTTGAGAGACGGGTGGGTGGTATGATGATGGCGTCACCGAAAGTGTGGGACGGATGGAGCGTGGGGTCGAAGAGATAGAGATACCGGGCTTTGCTGGGAAAGTTTCGATACCTGTCAATGGCTTTTCCTCGAAGACACCGCTACTTTCCTCGAGAGGAGTGGCGCTGAGTGGAACAAACAATGGAGACTCCGCGCGCGATCTTGAATGTGTTCTTGCTTCGACGATAGCGCTCTCAGTTTGCTCTGCTTCCGGCGATCTGCCGGAGGAGCGATGCCTTTTCTTTTCCTCCCAAGCTTGAACAGCGGCGTCGTTGGCGTGCTCCTTTGGCTCCTATGCTTGGATATAATTATTAGAGAAAACCGGCCTAGTTCCGAGGATTGAAATATTTGTGCACACTAGAGATGATGCACAATGATAATACCCACCCAGGTTGGCGTCCAAGGTCCTTCCCAATCGATTAAGTACTGGGAGTTGGTTTCGTCAAGAATGGAGTTGATAAGCCACTCGTCTTCGCCTAGACTGGAACTCGTTCGGTCGTCTTCGTCGTCGCTGGATAGTACGGTGTAATGTCTTTTCCACCTTTTATTCCTGCGGTTATATGGTGCGGGCGTAGATTCTGGGGAGGGAGCTTTGCGCTTGCGCTCCATTATACGCGTGCCGAGAGCATCGCCGAAACGAGATCCATGGTGCAAGATAAGAGTCAAGACGGCGTCGCTGGAATAGATAGGAAAGATCTATGAAGAGACTCTTAAGAAAACGATACGTAAAGCGTCAGGCACAAGACAGCCCCAGCGTGGTACCGGTCGAGTGGATTGTGGCGTGGATGCGGAGTAGAAAGAGGAAGAGAGATGTATGAACTCGGGCGACGGGGAGCTAGGTCTCTACGCGGATGATCGCCGGCACGTGATATCTTATCAGTGCCCAACTCCACACACCCTCGTCTACTGGTCAACTGGTCCGTTGTAGCGTAACGTCAGACTGCCGCTTTGAGGTCCTCTTTGCTCAAATGGTATTGTATTGAAGTCTAGGTAGGGTCTATCGCGTCTACTTTATCTTTTGGTGGTTACATACAGCGCATCATCATCCCATAGTCAAGCGTCTTGCTCCTGCTGCGCTTTCCATGCGTCGAAATCATATCCGAGCTGCTTGAGGCTGGTGATACCATGTCGCTCCTCTTTCATATCGACAAATGTCTTCCGGATCTCTGGGAAGAGACTGCGGATCCATCTCTCATACCCTCCCCAATAATTCCCTTGCTTACCATTGCCGTCATTAATCAGCCCGGAACGCGGCTCGGCTTTCGCTGCCCATTCATGGAGTAGGTTCATATAATTAGCGTCTAGGGGGAAAGGCAGGAGGTGGAACGAGGTTCCGTTTCCTTTCTCGATGGCAGTGGCATCTTCCCAAGCCTTCATCTCAGGTACAGGAGGAAGGCGAAGTCTTCCAGACCACACTCGAGCGAAGACGGCTGCCTGGTTTTCGGACAGTTGGAAAGGGATGACCCGCTGCGGTAAAACCGGGAACACGAGTGACGTATCATAAATGTAGAAGAGATGTTGGTAAGTGTTCAGGGTTCTCCGGCCATCAGTGATGACGGGTGGATCGAGAGACGACAGAAAGGGAAACGAGTAGAGGTAGCCAGTACAGAAAACGATCGAATCGATCTCTGTCTCGATCCTGCCGTCTGCGAAACGGATGGCCCGATCGTGTTCCGTGGGGGATAGAAATTCAACGATTTCGGGGTAATCTATCCGATCCGACGTATCCGGGTCATGGTTCGACATGAGATAGGACTTCGTGCGTTGCGAGACAAGAAGTTTTCCTTTGCTCACAGTATTTATCTGGTTACCGATGTCGATAGCTGAAGCTGAACTTCCCACAACCACCACCTTCTTCCCACGGAAGTCGTCCGGTGAATCAAAAAGCCTGGAATGGCTTATTATTCCCGGGTATTTTTCATCCCATTGTTTAATCCCAGCAATATCTGGCATATAGGGAACGTCGAAGTGTCCACTAGCCGCAACAACAGCATCATAGGAATTGGTTTCAGTAGTGTTCGTCCGCAGATTCCGCGCGGTGATGCCCCATTGATTGGTGTGTGGGGACTTTCTGACATCCAAGACTTCTGTTTCAAAAGCGACGAGGTGCTTGACGTCTTCAGCGTACTCATCCAAATACTGTTTCACCGTCGAATACGTTGGCAGGACTTGGGAGTCAGCAGGGAAGCGCTTTTCTCCATAGGCCATGATTTCCTTAGGAATGTTTGTATCCAAGGTGCTGTATATAGGGGAGATAAAGACTGGCTCTTCATGCTTGCTGTGAGCATTTTTTGTAGGTTGCCACACAGGCTTTTCCGCTGGATAATTGGGATCAAGTTGTGGCACCGGTGTTGGTAAGCCCAGTTTCAGGTATCCGGGGGTATAATTCCACACTCCGCCAGGTGAGCTCCTTTTTTCGAATATATCTATCTTTTCGAAGTAATTTTCCGCAAGAAGATATCTAGGATGCGATGTTAGTGGCTAGAATCTCACGGCAAGGGGTGCACATACTTTGCAGCACTGAGACCAGCTGGTCCGGCGCCTATAATGGCTACTCGCCGAATTTCCCTTGACATTGCCATTCTCATATCATGTCAACCTGCGAGTGGATGTGTGAACTTGAGAGTATGGAGTGACGGGCCAGGTTTGCCAAGGTGTTTCCTACCTCGGCGTGTGCTGATAACCCCCGCAACGAGCCCCACGGGCTCAGTCGGTCAGGCCACCCTTAAGGTACCACCAAAGCTCCCTGGTATGGAAGTATTATGGGCATACCTTCCGTATATAATATCGTGGCCAAAAGCCACCAATGCATTTTACACCGCGTGGTCTGCGCAATGCAGAGAATGACGTCGATGTCACGGTTTTCGGCATTGTTACATAGAAAAACCAGCTTCACAAGTACATTCCCACATATACTTGTGTAATATTACACTTCCGGTACGCTACCACGTTCCATCCAGCCGGCCTTTCCTATCTAGGTAGGTATGCCTACCTAAGCTTCTGCTGTCACCCGTTCGGTCTCCAATTCTTCAACACAAGTCGACCCAAGCGAGCCACGCTAGGGTGTTCAACGGGGAAATTTCGTCAGAATTTATCCTAAACTCTCCGGCTCTTTTCGAAAATGCGGTACTTATGAGCCGAACTATGTTGATGTTACGTCTTGATCACCGGCCGCAGTGATGGATGCCAACCAGTCGCAACCCCCTGGACAGCGACCAGATCAAATACCCATTGCGCAGCTCTCTCCGGCAGTCGAAAATTTGTCCCGGTGCTCTATACACGCTACCGTCTCGTTGCTTTGGCCCTACTCGTCTTCAACACAGTCTCTCGGTCTATTGCTGGCGGAGCCCGATTTCCGTCTGCGTCGCTCAAATGGGCAAGTCAAAGTACTATTTCATGGCCACATCGCCGAGAGTGTTGCGGCTTCAAAGCTCGGGATCGGAGACTATGTGTTTCTCAGTCTCGATGGGGCTAGGTTTGTGGACAACCAAGCGACGACGCAGACGCCTGGTAAATGTGTGACATGGGATCTTCATTTTGATGATCGCGTGCTCCTCGAGGTACGTTCCAAGGAATCCAAGGGAACCAGAAAACGTAGTAACGAACCCCCAGGTCTTTCGAGCCTCCGAACGCCTCTCGACCGTCAAAGTCGATCGTCCCTCATCTCCGGTACCGAACATCCGCGTCACAAGTCCAACACCCGTCACTCCTGCGCCTAGAAATACCTCCTTCCAGGGCGGAATCCCGTCGGTTACACATGCGGAATCATGGCAATCTCCGGCTTTCGTGGGACGTTCTCGCACCTCTTTTGGCGCCCTCGTCGATTCGGCCTTCGATCCATTCGCAGAGGAAGACGGATATGTCCCTGGGAAGGGAAGGAAACGCACGAGGTTCAGCATGAGAAACAACGATTGGCGCATTATTGATGAGCCAGAGGTTCCGGGGAAGGATGACATGCCACTTGATTGGGCGCATATATTTGACGAAGCGGAAATATCGTCGGACGGAGACAAGGACGAATCGACCGATGCCGCTCTTCCAGCTCCTACAGACACCATGGAAGTCGTACCTACGGACATCGACGTCCCAATAACTCAGTCCTCTCCAGGTCTGAGCCAAGGTGTCGCACATACGAACCAAGAGGAGACGTCTCGTCAACCTGAAAAACAACCCTTTCCCGACCTGTCTGCTCATCTCCCTATCGACACGCCGCGCTTAAATCCCATCCCATCTCCTGGGCTTCCTATTCCATCACCGCTTCTCACCGCACCCAGTAGTCAAGGCTACTTTGGATCGGTCGAAGTCACGAGCCATACCCATTTCGAACCTGTCGCCTCAAAATTATCCCAAGAACTGCCAAAGACGACTAATGAGACTTCTCAATCTCTTGGAGAGAGTGAAAAACATTCGGGGGAAAATGAAGCTGCTGCGTTTACAGAGGAATCTCTGAAGATCAGCACGGCGTCCCAGGCTCTTGAAATCAGTGGACCTGTAGGAGTCACTGAACGAATCGTGGAAAATAATGCGAACACTGGAACGACAAATCCAAGTGAAGGGAATACCGAAAGTGGGGTCATTGAAGTGGTCAATGTAGAGCCACGTGAAGAAAGCGATGTTCAGGAGTTACATGATAATGTCCATGGAGAAGACGCCTCTGAAGAATCTGGAAAGGGTGAAGAGGAGGAAGCTGAGTCACCAGACTCCGAATTCAACGAAGTGCAAAGCGAAGATGAATCGCAGGATCGAAGGAACATTGGGTCAGGGTTCGCTGCTCGAGACCACGGCTCGGCAAACATGCCTGAGGTGATCGAGTCTGACTCAGACGAAGGTTCCGAGGTAGCTGAATCATTGAAAGACTTTGAGACTACAGGGCACCGAAATATTAGACTTGGAGAACGCATTGTCTCGGATGAAGGGGATGAGTTTTCCAGCCGGAACGAGGCTGATGAAGAAAAGAACGAGTATCTGGACGAGGACGAGGACGGGTACGAGAACTACGGAGATGAAGACGAGGATGAAGACAATATAGGGGAGGAAGAATTTTATCGCGTTGGGTCCGGAGACGAGGAGGTGCAAAGCATTGACGAAAACGAATACGATGAGCGTGTCGAGTCCGAAGTCGAATCCGACCAAATGAGTGTCGAAGATAGCATCCAGCCATCCCAGTCACCCAAAACCGGGCCCCCTGAAGTCATTGTGCTCGACAGTGATAGCGAGGATGAAGCACCCCCATATTATCAAATATCTCATTCTGAACAAAGACACATCCCCACCCTTACGCAAAGACGTCAGTCACCCGCAGCATCCGAAGAAGGGTCAGTTTTTGATGAAAGCGAGTCCGCCTCGGGCATGGATGACTGGTCTGAGGAGGATGAGTCCCAAGCAAATGACGAGATAGGACCTGAGCGAGAAGAGCGACGGCCTGACACTGAATCGATAGAAGGCGAAGAAATAGAGCATCAAGCCTCAGAATCTGTGTCTGTCGGAGATCAATGGCCAGAGGACGAGAATATGGAGGGCCAAACCGTTGGGGATGAACAGGAAGATGAGCAGATGGGCTATTCATTTGCTGAGCAGCAGCCCAGAAACGGAGCCAAAGAACCCTCCATTACCTTGGTTGAACATGATGGAGAGGGCTCTGCTGTACAAGAGTCGCAGCATCTTGAGGATGATTCTGCCGGTGTCAGTGCCACCGGGTCAGCTTTATTACCTCTCCAGCATAGTGAGCTCGACTATGCTTCTCCTGCCCACCCTAGCAACCATACCACTCCGCCTGTGACATCTGATCACGCCTTGGCAGTCGATCCAAAACTATACAGTTCAACTCCCGTCCAAGAAGAAGTCGGTGGAGAGACCGACCAGGTGTATCCAGAGCACGAGAGCCAAGGACTTCTGGATGAGGGGACATCACTGAACGACACAGAGCAAGCGAAAGAAGATAAGGCGAGTAAGATGGCGTTTTCTCTGGATGGGGCGGTCCCTTCTCAATTGTCGCACGAGCCACACAATGCAATCAGTGGCGTACCGTTTAATCTGCCACATGGACCTCGGATCATGACACCGAATCTCTCGCAACCAAGTGGCGGACCTGCTCATGTGGATATTATAACGGACGAACCGCTTCCTACCCCGGTCCACACGCAGGAAACATTGTCAAGGGCCCACGACATCTCCGAACCAGCGCGGACGGCGGACTCAGCCCCTGCACTATCTGCAAAGGAGAGTAGTCCGGTTCTTGAGGAGACTGGTGAGAGGACCGTCTTTGTTGAGATTCCTCAAAAGGAACAACAGCAGGCAATCGAAGAGACAAGTGTGCACGAGAGAACGGAAGGTCTGGTGGCTCAAGATGAGGCTTCGCAACCTCAGCGTCATGAGGATAACGACTCCGTCGGAACAATGGACAGCGTCCATCTTCTTAGTGTCGACCGTCACTACCCCGGCCTGCGCAGCAAGCTCTCTTATTTCGCTCCGCTTGCTACACTTATTGACCATTTCGGCGCTTTGACGGACACCCTTTCAGTTGTCTCTGAAGTTCGACCTGTCATACGCGCTACATCAGGGAAGAAGGACTACCTCCTGACTCTCCAACTGACCGATCCGTCTATGGCTGGTACAGCCTTAAATGCCGAAATTTTTCGTCCTTACAAGGGGGCGTTGCCCTCTCCTGAAGAAGGCGACGCCATCCTCTTGCGGAATTTTATGGTCAGAAGCTTCAACCATTCGATGGTGCTTGTCAGTGTTGAAACCAGCTCATGGGCCGTGTTTAACAGCTCCAGAATTGATGCACAAGTCGATGGCCCACCAGTTGAATATGGCGCGGAAGAACAAACCCATGCAACTGATTTACGTCAGTGGTACCAAGAAACGGGCATGGCCATGGTAGCAGACAATCAGTTGCAAGCATCTATCGAAAGGGCTAGTCGAGAGCAGACGCCTGCGAGCAGTGCTGTCTTCAGCGATAGCGGTAGTCCCGATTCTCTCCTACGAGACAATCGTGCTGGGTCGTCCGTGTCGGCGAGGGGCTCGCGACGAGGCCGAAAGTCTCGCCGGAGGATAACAATTCATGAGCTTAGAGACGGAACAAGATACACTGAGGTTGGCTCGCCATCTGGCAGAGATAGTATCCATGAACTTCGCGATGGGACAGTGTACGCGAATCTTTGACGTTTCATGTACTCCTTTTACATAGACCTGACAAGTTTTGATATGCATGGTGGTCCTATAGCTACAACTGCATCTACAAAAACGCTTTTGGAATGATCAATTTTCACGTTTCAGCGCATAGAATAGTTGTGTTCAGTATATTCATAATCTATATATCATTGATCATGTAGGCATGCGTTGTATATACAGGGCAGACCAACCAAGTACATAGGGGCCGAACGGCCAAGTAGGCCGCTGGACAACTGAGATCTAGTCTATCCTCTACATTTTTGAATTCGTGGGCCAAAAGTCGACCGCCGCGCGAATGAGCTGGTTCGCAATGGCCGTGGGAGGAGGCAGCCTCAGTCCACCCTCCTTGTACTCCGGACCGGCCTTGTCACCCAACGCGCTGGTTCCGACCCTCAACGCCTCCTCGACTTCCTGCAAATCGAACCATTTGGCATCTTCCAGTTCGGGGTCATGTTCGAGGTTGATCTTCTCGTGCTCGGGGTCGCTGACCTGCGCAATAGCACCAATCATCAAATTAGCTGGATAAGGCCAGGGCTGCGAAGAGTGGATGACAACGCGGGAGAGTGTCACGCCAGCCTCTTCCCACACTTCTCGCCGAACAGCATCTTCAATGGACTCTGCCGGTTCGATAAAGCCGGCCAGCGTCGAGTACCAGTTGGGAGGAAAGCGCTTCGAACGGCCGAGCAGGATCCGCTTGGCGTCTGCGGAGAGGACGGCGACAATGATGGTGGGGTCCGTGCGGGGGAACGACAGGTTCGAGATGGTGGTACGGGTGTTGCAGCTGGGGCGATCGCCGGACTTGCCCTCTGCTACAAGGGCGGCGTCTGTTGGTGGGCAGGCACGCTTCGTGCCCGAGTTTACGGACACGGTGGGCGAACCGCATGTGCCACAGAAAGTGTTCCGGGTGTTCCAATCGACTAGAGCGCGAGCTTGGGCGTAGATTGCAGCTAAGATTCAATGAGACAAGGTCTTGTTTTCTGGATGATAATGTTCATCCGGAATGGTGCATACCTTCATCAGCCGACAGACTCATAACCACTCTCGCCTGCAAGAAGCTTAAACCCTTCGCCTCCATTGCGCTGATCAAGTCTTTCGTGTTGGTCTGCTGCTCCTCTGAGCCCTTGGGTGTCACATCCAGAGCGAAAAACGGAGCACCCTTGTAGATATTCCAGGTCAGGCCATCCTGTTTACGGCTCTCGTCCATCCCGAGGAAGATCAGCGTTGGGGATGTCTTGTGCGAGTCGAATTCCTTGATCGTATCCTCCTCCGACTTGTCATAGATAGTGTCAGGCACAAGCTTCTTGACTTCATCATGCTGAGCATAGTACAGCTCCGAAGGCGATTTGGTAAGCGGCGCAAGATCCTTCAGGAGAACGAAACGAGTAGCCGGGTGCCTGATTGCCGCCGACAGGAAAGGATGTTCCGTGCGAAGGAACGAAAGCCGGTTCAGTGGTGAGCCTAGGCACCTGAGTAAGTACAAGGTGACATTGAATTGCACGGCATCTGACTTACTCGAGAAGTAGTTGACTGTTTCTCTGCCAAACCGTCGAGACATCATTGTTTCGGCCAGCGTATGCGCGGGGGCGGGGATCTGAGGGTAGTCGCTCATAATGGAGTAGGATCTATGCTTAACCGACAGAATGAATCTATACAATGTTCAAAGAAGTGCAGATATGCCAGAAACAATCTCAACGATTACAGCAAACGAACAGATGATCAAAGGAATGGGAGTTGTCCGCGCCATCCTTTTCCTCCTCGCAGGACCTCCGATTTCCCCTCCGATTAGTCAGCAGCGCGGATGGCCGAGGATCAATGCGGTGGGGGCTGTCGTCACCCCAATACATTTCTTTCACAATTGTACCCGCATATATCCGGTATTGTAAGTAATACGGTGACCGGAGGGGAAGGAGGGGAGCTCCCCACACACGTGATGTGCGTCATGCTGAGCTCTCCCCAATTTTGATCTCCAATTTCCATCTCTCTCTATCGCAACATCGCTTGGAGATCTGAGGCTTTAATCCGGTGCTGCTTCCATCATGGGTCACCTTGTTACTCTGGCGACATGGTTCGTCGTTTCCCCACAACTTCTATCCGCCTGACCGCTAACAATGCATCTGTTCAAGTTCGCTCAACCAGTGGGCCCTGGACTTCGAGGGAAATGCTGAGCGTATCATTGAGAGCATTCGTCAAGCAAAAGCTGCCGGGGCCACTCTACGTGTCGGGCCTGAGCTCGAAATAACTGGTACTTCTACATGATCATAATCCAGCCCCGCCGGAGGTACTGACCGTTTCCCAGGATATGGAGTTCTGGATGGATTCCATGAGGGAGATACCTTCCTGCACTCGTGGGAAATGCTTGCCCGTATTATCGACCACCCTGATTGCCAGGATATTGTGGTTGATGTTAGTTGACCCAAGACCTGCAACTGTCGAGACAGGTGTTAACCTCATGTCAGGTGGGTATGCCCATTCGGCACAGAAACTGCAGATACAATTGCCGGTGAGCCTTAAACCTAACCGCCAGGTGCAGAGAGGAAACTAAATACTTGTAAAGCGTCATCTTTTACAACCGCAAGATTATCCTGATCCGCCCTAAGATGTGGCTTGCCAATGGTGCGGTCTTTTATCCATGTTACGCTAGAGCGATAGGGCAGTGAGATATACTAACGAGCTTGAACACTATACAGATGGAAACTACAGAGAAATGCGCTACTTCACTCCTTGGCAGCGTCCTCAGGAGATTGAGGATTACTATTTGGAGCAGATAGTGGGCAAAATCACCGGCCAGTACAAGGTTCCTTTTGGTGATGCAGTGATAAGCACAAGAGACACCTGTCTGGGCTTGGAGACATGCGAAGAACTGTTCACTCCTGATGGGTAGGTTTTCTCCATGCATCATAACGTCCTGATCCTCACAAAATAGGCCGCACATTCCCTATGGCCTTGCAGGTGTGGAAATCTTTTCAAACTCCTCCGGAAGCCACCACGAACTGAGGAAACTCGATACGAGAATCAACTTGATCACGCAGGCGACCAAATTGGTAACTTTCACAGTCTACTCTCTATATCGCAATACTAACCCCTACCCAGAGCGGAGGAATCTACCTATACGCTAACCAACAGGGATGCGATGGTGATAGACTGTACTACGATGGCTGCGCGATGATTGTGGTCAACGGCAATATTGTGGCCCAGGGCTCGCAGTTTTCCCTCAATGACGTAGAAGTCGTCACTGCCACTGTTGATATCGAAGAGGTAAGGGTCTTGGTCCTCTTCCGAAAGCATGCTTAACCTAGCCAGGTCCGGACGCATCGCTCTAGCTCTAGCCGGAATATGCAGGCTGCTAAACAGTCTCCATTTGTTCGTCTGGACTTAGACGTGAGACTGTCGAGACAAGATAGAGAGGCGGATCCAGGCCTTGCTCCATCTGACACTATCTCGCCGCGCTATCATGCACCAGAGGAGGAGATTGCTCTTGGACCCGCCTGTTGGCTCTGGGACTACCTCCGGAGAAGCGGTGCTGCCGGATACTTCGTCCCGCTAAGTGGCGGTATCGATAGCTGTGCTACAGCAGTTATCGTTCACTCAATGTGCAGGGAAGTTATCAAAGCCGTCTCTCAAGGGAATGAGCAGGTTATCAAGGATGTCCGAAGGCTTTGCGCTGAGCCACCAGATTCGAAGTGGCTGCCTTCTACTAGTCAAGAAGTTTGCAAGTAAGTTGATATCTTTTACGCCAGCGGTACACTAGCTCATTCTCTCTTAGCCGCATCTTTCACACTAGCTTCATGGGCACGCAGAACTCTAGTAAGGAGACGCGGCAGCGGGCTAAAGCACTGTCCACCGATATTGGGTCCTACCACATTGACTTCAATTTCGACACGGTCGTGACCGCTATCACGAATCTATTCACTGTGGTCACCAACTTCCAGCCCAAGTTCAAGGTTCACGGCGGCAGCCGAGCTGAGAACCAAGCACTGCAGAACATTCAGGCGCGACTGCGAATGGTTCTTGCGTACTTGTTTGCATCTTTGTTGCCAACAGTTCGCCAGCGGCCAGGAGGTGGCGGACTGCTGGTCTTAGGCTCTTCAAATGTGGATGGTACGTCTTCTTTTCGATACTGTGGGAAGGTTACTAACTTGTTCTAGAATGGTGTGTAATTTCTTTAAACTGTGTCCCGCAGTGTCAAGCATTCCACTGACATTCATGACAGCTTGCGTGGCTACTTGACCAAATATGATGCCAGCAGTGCAGATGTGCGTCGAAGCCTGCCCCTCTACATATAAAGACTATCTGACATCGCGCTGTATAGCTGAACCCCATCGGGTCGATCAGTAAGGTCGATTTGAAGAAATTCATCGCATGGGCCGAGGTCAATTTCGATCTTCCCGTGCTGCACGAGTTCTTAGACGCCACTCCGACGGCCGAGCTGGAGCCCATCACGGCCACGTACGTCCAGTCGGATGAAGCTGATATGGGAGTGACTTATAAGGAACTCGGCACATTCGGTAAGCCTCTCTCCCTCATACCACAGCAAAGCTTTCTCCCACACATGCACAACATCGAACGGCTCAATACTGATTTATTCCCAGGTTACTTGAGAAAGGTGGCGCGCCTTGGCCCTTGGTCTATGTACGAACGTCTCCTCCATCTCTGGGGTAATGAGTATAGTCCGAGAGAGATCTACGAAAAGACTAGACATTTCTTCTACAATTACAGCATCAACAGACACAAGATGACTGTTCTCACTCCGTCTTGTAAGTGCCGGCCTCAATATCTGGCGGATGCCATTGGCTAGATATCTCTCTCCATATGAATTTCTTGTCATGTCTAATGCCTCGAAGACCACGCAGAACAGTACAGTCCCGAAGACAACAGACACGATCTTCGGCAGTTCTTGTGTAAGTACCAGTTTGTTGGACGAGAATAGTGCATGCTGATACGTTATCTAGATCCCCCTTTTACTTGGGCTTATAGCAAGATGGAGGAAAGTGTGAAGTATTGGGAGTCAAAGGGATGGACTGCGGGAAAGGCGCAGAAGAAGAACGTCAAGGCTGATTAGAGATAGATGGACTGTTCAGAGAATACTGGATATGGGCGGTATTTTGCTTGTTAGATCAATGGCTTGGTGCTTTCAAGTGTCTCCTCTCATTTCTAATAGTATGAGCGGCCGCCGCTGACCGCCAGGACTAGATTCATTGCCTCCAGAACCTATGGCCAATGTATGTAGCAAGAGCTTCATTTTCATTTGGTTACAGTGACATATTTAGGTTGGAGTAAAATTGAAAACTTGACAATCTTCATCAAAGACAGTGCAGATCAAGCGCTTGGGTTTGTCCATTGCAAACTATAACTTCTGTGAACCAGCCGTAGGGACTCTCCAGACTGATTGATTGATGAAATTAGAGCTGTAGATAGTACGCGGTCAGCCTGGTTTGGAAGGGATTCACGCCGCAATCCACTCGGCCCCGCTTCCTGTCGTGGAACCAGAGGGATTGGTTCAAAGTATAACTCTCGGGAGCCTATCCAAACCTCTAGTTAAACTTATCTATAAGGCGGCTAAATAGCTCTATATAGATTTCCTTATGATCCAATAACCATGGCATTTATTAAGTAGACGAAGCGTATGACTAAATATGATAAGCAACTGCCTGGACTACCTTGATGGTAGACGAACCACAAGATTAGGACTGTAAGAGCCTCTAGCTTCTCTGTGACACCACCAGGTGACATAGCCAAGGCTCAGGCTCAGCTCTTGACATCCGAATCAAAAGAATCAGACAAGGTACTCGCCATTGCCATGTTCTTCCTTCAAAGACACTGATTCTCATACCAGGTACTACACCCAGCATGACACTGCGCAGCCCGCCTCTCATTTCGGCGCCTCCCTCGAATACGGCGGCGGCGGTGCCTCATCAATCTCACTCAACTCCAGATCCTGTTGTTGCTGCCGTGCTGGCGGTTGTAGCGGCGGTGGTTGGCCTTCTCCTTCCTGCCTTGTTTGATTATCGACCGCCGAATCACCCCAGACCTGGCCCCGCGTCTCACCTTTGCGGGACCCAATTCGAGCACACAGGAGAATCGAGGTCATACTCAGGAATAAAATGATGATGGGGAGCAAGATCGCAGCCGCGGGCGGTATGCCGCCGCGACCTTTGCGTCTTGGACGTGATCGTTTGAAGGCTGGCCGTTCGCGGGCGAGAAGGGTTAGTGTGGAGGCCGTTGGGGTTGTGTCTATTGCGGAGGGTAGACTAGGGTCGGCTGTGGTGCAGAGGAGGGATGGAGAGGTGGTGCTTGTCGGGTATGGCCGGGCGAGGGTAGCTGCAGAGGGTTAGTACTCTCTGTTGGATTGGATGTACTATGAGATATACGGAGTAGGTATACGAACTGGCTGGTAGGGTCCAGACCCACAGATATAGAACGAATAGAGTCTGGAAGATGCTCATTGTGAAGTTATACTGATCATGGAGAGCACTGCATTCTTGTCAGGTACATTGGAGAACTATGTAGGCTAGGTATTGACGGATGTAGAAATAATCCGCGGTTTATATAAAGCGAGTATGATTCTTTCTGGATGAATTAATCCAGCTCAATCCTTGACAGGTATAATCACGCGGGCAGTATACAGAACAGGGCGTCGCTTGGCAGGTGTGCCCGGTCAGCCCGGTGTGGCGGAGGTCCCTGTAGCCAGACGGGGCGTAGGGCACTAGTACAAGCCTTGTTTGGCTGTTTATAACCTATCCTCTCTCAATATCTAAACACCAGACAAATATAGCAATCCACTGGCAGATTGCTGCAGGTAGCGTCAATTGCGTGTTCCGCGTCTGGAGCTGGCTCCCATCGTGGTGTTGACCATGTAGCAGTTACCTCCCTACTTCACTTGTAGAACAGTTGCTCGCAATTTCGGACATCTGCGGCTGCAGCCCTGTGGTAGGGGTCAAGGCAGAGATTGGGGCCTGCTATCATGGCTGATTGGTTAGAGAGATTGGAGACATGAATTGTAGGATTTCCGCAACGTCTCGCCGGAGGTAAAACGCTTTCTATCGTAGTGAAATCGGCTCCGTGGTAGCTTGAGACTAGAGCGCCGAATCTTGAGCCTTACAGGGCACCCACATCACATGCCAGTGGATCGTTGGAACCGCAGCGGCACTATTGAGAGACTTCTGAACAACTAGCGTACAAACTAAACTAGCCCTGCAGGAGGAATCGACTACGCGATGTTGTAAGCGAGCCAGGTACCGACTGCCAAGATCCACGCCCTGGTGACCGGAAATCGCGGCATCGAGGCAGCATTCTCAGAGGACGGGGTTGGGCAGCTCACTCCCGTGCGAAACCAATTGTTACAAGCAGCAACCGTCAAGGACGCGGAGATGCTAGCTGCCGCGGCAGAGTCTATCTTGATGTTGCAAGGACTAGGCGTCGGCGAGAGATCCGGGTTGACTGCACAGGACGGACCGCCCCATCCTGCTGTTCGTGTCGGCGGGAGCTCCAGAGCACTCGGAACATGTACTGCCTGTGCGAGGGTCCGATTACAGGTCTCCTCCTCGGCGAAGGCAACCAGGTCTGGTGGCGCGGCGCCCTGCTTTGTAGAGAAGGAGAACTGCATGAGTTGTCCTCCAAACACATGCCCGTCGATTTTGTCGATATCCGCGTTATACGAGCAGTTATCCAGGGTGAGCTGCCAGGTGAATTTGAAGGTCCCCTCAACCGCCAGATCGATGCTCCAGTAGAGCAAGTATGGATCGGCAACATCGGTGAGATTGTGCTCAAACAACCGGATCAAATCTCCCTTCCTGATGCGATCAAGGGGACTGACGTTTAGCTGAGAAACTCTATAGCTAAGGATCGGTCTCAGGCTAGACAGGAGGTTCGGATTCTGGACGGCGAAGACGATAGGCATCAGGTGCGAAGGCGAAAAACTCTCATTGCGAGGGAAAATCAGGTCGACTTCGGCCCCTCTGTTGGAGGTAGTGCTCCATGCGGGGCCGGACGTGATGGCGAGAAGGAGCCAACTCCGGAGGAGACCCATGCTGGTAGTGTCTCAGGCGTGGTAGTATGGAGGGGAGATTGCCAGAAGGACGAGTGGATGAGAGGGCCCAAGATGGTTCTTATTCTGTTCATTCTTGCCCCTAAAGAGTGGAATGGGGATGCTTGTCTAGCGTTTTTCGGGGCTTGTTTAGCGTCGACTACCTCAGGAACTGTTACATCCTCGCCGCAGCCAAGCCCTTAAGCTGAAGCCCAGCCCTAATCTAGAGGCCTTGTGGTCTGGGCATGGACGTCGCATCATCATTATACGGAGTAATTGACTGTCTTGCTAAATTGAGATGGAGCCACAATTCTGCACAGCACTCAAGAAACGGCGTTGATACGTCCCATCTAGAGATATCACAGTCATCTTGATATTTCTCTTTGCAGGTGGAGTGCATAAGAAACGAGAAGTATGGCAGACAATTGGCAGTCGATATTGAGCTATTATCATGCTATATCCTGAATGATAATAGATTATAGAATGAAACTTACATTCAATATGACTCAAATAAGATGTACCTTGATTTGTCGGTTTGTTGATATGATAGAATGGCGACAATCGGAATGAAGATAATGGAACATGAGAAATGATAAATAGAATGAAACGCCACCAAAACGCTAGATTTTCGCGAAAAGAATGCAATCGTCGTAGAATGAATGAACATGAAGTTTCGTTAACTAGTTGTCTTTCCAAAACCAGCCACTTCCGCTCTGGTTAGACTCGGAGCCTTCTTGACTACCAGAATCGGAATGGATTTGACGTGGATTGAGGACCTCGACAGACTCGTTGGTCTCCTCGCGACCATCGGAAAAGCGTTTGGTCTTGGTGGTCTTTGTCTGGACGGAGCCATCTTGAAGACGGATACGCTGTGTAGAGGTCGACGTAGATATCACGTATGGCTTCTGTTCTGCGATAGCATCCGCTTGCGATGTATCCACAGGTGCCGGTGTTTCTGAACCGGCCGGGGATTCTTGAGTGGACGTCTGCTGATCCGCAGTTACTTGATCGATCCAGCTGTCCGCATAATCCTTCCCAGGCTCCTTTTCGGATGGGTCGCGTTTGTCGGTAGTTCGGCGTCTATCATCGAAGATTAGACGCAACAAAGGACTTTCGTAGGCACCATTGAAAAACTCCCGCTCACGGGCTTCAATATCTGCCAAGAATCGATCGTACACATCCAGCTCTGTCACCGAGTCACTGTCGTTTTCGTTCCAGCTAAACTCCGCCTTCACGTTGCTGCCAATCTCGCCATCGGTTTTCTCCTTAGAACCAGTGTCGTAGGTGATGGTAGACCAGGGTTTGCCTTCGGTACCAGCAACATACTTCCACCGATCACCCAGACTGCCCCGTTTAGCCAGACCCTGCAGCCATTCTCTTCCCGTCTCCCTCTTGGCCAGGTCCGTCGAGTCGCGATCAAGCATTGGCTTCCCATTTTCAAGTCGCAGGAGATCCTCGAACGCTTCGCGCCATTGGGGTTCCGCAGGGTCTCGCTCAGAGGACGGTCGTAGCGAGGACATGATAGAGGAAAACACACCCCTATCACGATGGGATCGGTACTGAGCCTGGCGCTCGAGGTGTAGGGGCGAGTAAGGGCTGAACATGAGATAATAGACGGGCCAGGCGGGGGATTCATCGTTCACCATGCTGGAGAACATCGGGCGGTGGTACGGCCGGAAGAACCGGTGGGAGAAGCGGTCGTCGAACCAGAATCGGTCGAAGAAGGAGTCGAAGAAGAGATCGATATCGAAGAGGTCGGAAGGCGGGTAGTTAGGGCGTCCTGAGCGCTGCATCCGCTGAGGATCGTCTGATTCCGGCCAACGGGCCCTCGACGAACTGTCGAAACTGCGTGCTTCGCGATCCTGGCCGTCACGGCTCTCATCGTTCCGACGGAATTGGGCGTGCTGGTATTTTGGGTCGTCGAAAATGGCCCAGTGGTCGGGGGGAGGGTTAGAGACGATTGACGGCAGTCCCATCACGGACTGAAGCATGGAGGAGATCTGTTCGTCGGCATAGCGGCGGAAAGCGACGAAAGGATTGTCGTCATCGGGCCAGGCGCGGGAAGACTGGTGCTGACTGTGCTTGGATTCGTCGTCGCCGGCCATAGTTGATGGAGTTTTCAACGAACAGTAACGGCTGGTATAGGAGGTATTAATGTACAAACACCACGAGTCATATGGAGGGAACAAGGGAGGGAGAATGTGGTGCGGCGGAGTGGCGATGGAAAAAGGAAGAAGTAACTATAGAAAGGGAGCTAACGTTGAAGCTGTTGGGGGGCGACCGCCCCACTTGCTCTTGTTGGTTCTTGGGGTGCGGGACGCCACATGCGCCATATGCGCACTTCTGAGTCATCGTCTCCATCCACGTGGAACGGCTGGAGAGATCTAGAAACAGCCAGGCAACTTCTACTGCTACGAGATCGATGGCGAAATGACTACACATGAGCAGTCCTGTACGGTTTCATTATCAGTACAAATTGACCCTATGAGAATATGTAACAACAATCCGTTAACCTCAAAGCTTGGACACATCCTCAACATCAGCCCACGCCTCTTGGAACCCGGCTCCCCGAATCCACATAAAAGGCTTCGTATACGCCGTGGAATCGCACACTATACAATATTAGCACAGACTCGCCTATAATTGCAAGTTCGACTCACCCATATTAACAATCTTCAGCCAATCATCCTCCTTGACAGGAAGATCTAGATCATTCGCGAACGGCGCACAGACCTGCTGGCCATACAGCAAAGCCCTCACCAACTTGGGCAGATGTCCATCGTCCTGCGGATGCGCAACACTATGCGCAAAAACAGCCTTCAGATCCGTCGCCGCGGCATACTGCGGCCGTTTTGGGCGCCCAGCATCGTACACAGGAGGAGCGCCGCCACCCACGTAGAGCAGGAGATCCAGACGGCCCTTCCACTCGAGGAGCCGCTGTCTGTAGCGCACATCCACGAATGGGAGCGACATGAGCTTCGGGAAGAAAAGGGAGCTGTTCACGCCGTGCATAAAGAAGAAGTCGAACTTCGCCTGCTTCCCCGGTTGCTGTGCCGCAGCAAAGTAATAGACTGCAACATTACGTATTAGTCTTTGCCAGAAAAGATTCTCGTTGTTCACGGGGACCACATACCCACGTTGCTGATCATCTCAGCGGTCTTCATCTGCAGGCTGTCTGCGGGGACGCGGAACTTGGCAGCGAAGTCGACCATCTCGTCGAGGCCTCGTATGAGGACGCCCTCATGGATCCGGGTGGGGTCCTCCCAGTGGGCAGACTGAGCCAGTTTCTCGCAGGACCGGATCTGCTTTACAATCTCCGGCAACGACGTGCCCCCTGGCTGACCGATCCCGCCAGCCTTCGTCTCGGCTTGGTGGAAAAAGTGACCAAACCGGTCCCTGTGCACCGCGGCTTGCGCCAAGGCCTCTGCGATGATTGCGGGCTGATTGAACTCAACCCCAAACCCCAGGTGAATCAGAGGGTGAATGAGGCCTAAGGAAGCAAGTCAGAGGCCAACCCGTTCAACATGTAGGTAGTCCATCAAGACTAGACACGGAGGGTGGAATGGAACCTCACCTTCAAACAGCCGAACAAACATCTGTTCCGCGATGCCCGTACCAGAAAACAAATACTGGTTCAGCACACTCTCCACTCCCTTCTCGTCAATCTGCCGCTGGAAGAAAGCCAGGAAGTTGGGATAGTTTTCCTCCTTGCCCAGACACTCCTCGAGAGAGGCGTCTTTGCGCAGCGACTCAACCACTTTCTCATCTGCCGGCATCGCAGGCCTCTGGTAGGTCTTGTTTCTGTCGTAGGCATCTTGGAGTTGTGCTGGAGTCGCACCCAAGGCATAAATACTGAGGAGGTGGTGGACGATATGATCTGCGCGAGTCAGTTAGAAGCACAGCCAGACCAGAGAGCGACCCGTCACGTACTATGGAACCCCCTGTCGTTAAAGTAAATATGATGTTTCTCCATGTTCTTCTGCAGGAGCTCGCTCGCAACCCGGGCGGAATCCTCTCTCACACCGAAAGAGTAGACCCCCGTGTCGGAAGGAGACAGCTTAATTCGCGTTGCAGTTGCCATGATGTTCAGACAGACTCGCAGTAGTCGGCGATTACCCATGGTTCGAGGGGAGGCGATGCCCTAGAATTTATAGCATGTGAAGACGAGCCAAGTGTCGAGCTACCCCACAGTTTATGTCAAGCTCTTGACATGAGGCAGAACTTGGCTGGACCGAGTCTCTGTTAGCTTCATTTGTAATCCGATCTAGCGAGAGAGCGCAAGCTGAGACATCCGTGTTATTCCAAAATCCGGGGTAGCATCGAACACATCGAATACGTTCGGTCTTCGGTGTTTTGCAGACCCCGCTAACTGCAGTCATCTGCAGGGTACATCTCGGCCATCCAATCACTATTGGAATATTACGGCTTCCTCGTGATGCGATATGTAATGGTTTCGTCTATCGGCAAGTTGTCTGTCCCATGTCGTCACGGAGCTTGGCTTGCAATTACTAAGATCCGGTTACGAGGTGGAGTCTGGGTGTGTCTCGACTCGATTTATTGGTCATGCAACAACACGGCCCTACCAGGGCTGCTATAAACCCAAGCTATAGATGCATTTTATATTAACCACAGAATACAACCACTGATTGAGCAAAAGGCCACTCGGGGATACGGACATCCCATAAAGATTCTAAGTCCCAATCACCGCTTCAGGTCTCCACTTTGCCGCATTTCCTCCATTTGGTTCTTTCTCTTCAAGCGGTCTCGCTCAATCTTCCTGAACAGCGGGTGATGGCCGGCCTTGTCCTTCAGCTGCTTATTTCGGCTCTTGTTGTACTCAATGTAGGCCATATCCTCGCCGCCAGCAAGTCCACTAAGCGTAGCAGCACTGCGTCGCACAGCACCCTTGGCCTTGCCCTTGGCTCCGCCCGCAGAGAACAGGTCGTCGGTGACATGCTCCACCTCGGCCGACGTTTCATTCTGCAGCATAACCTCCTGTAGTAGCTCGCGACGTTCTCCGGGAGTTGCATATGCCAGACCTTCCAGGTTCTCGATGCCTTGGAGGTGGGTAATCACCTTGAAGGCATATCCTTGGTCGACAAGGAAGGCCTGGCGTTTGGACGAATAGAACATTTCGTCTGTGTCCTTCGACACGAGCGAGTAGAAGAACGCATTAAAGCCTTCGTCATTTCGACGCTTCGCCCGCAGAATTCGACCAAGTCGCTGGGCTTCCTGACGACGCGAACCGTAATGGGACGAGATCTGGATGAGACAGGTGGCCTCTGGCAAGTCCAGTGACGTGTCGCCAATCTTGGACAGGAAGATGGTGTTGACCTGTTCGTTGTGTTGGAAGTTCTCCAGGATGCGCATCCGTTCATTCTGAGGGGTACCACCGTAAATATAAGCCTTGTTCAGTTTAAGCGCGTACCGTTCGAGGGCATACACATTGTCTGAGAAGACAATGACCTTATCGCCTCGCTTTTCATGGTAGTCGATGAGAAACTGACAGGCCTGGAACTTGCGCGGGTTCATAATGTAGAGAAGAGCCGCCTTTCGAGACTTCTCCCTCATATATTCCGAGTAAAATTCTGTCGTCATTGGACACCAGACCTCGGCGCATTGGACCTTGGCGATATGACCTTGCTCTGCGAGCTCCATCCAATTAGCTTCGTAGAGCTTCGGTCCGATCAGGAAGTTCAGATCCTTAATCTTGTCATCTTCACGCAGTAACGTTGCCGTCAACCCAAGCTTGCTCTGGGTGGCAATGGCCGAGGTGACTTTACGGAACATGGACGCAGGCACGACGTGCACTTCGTCGAGGATCATCAGACCCCATTCCCGTGATTGGATCCAGTCCATCATCTTCTGTGCGTCATGCGAGCGAGCCCGTGTTTGAGAAACCATGGAGTATGTGGAGACGATAATACCGGTTGACCTGCGGAATTTCTCCTTGTTGTCCGAGGTGAAAATGGCGATGTCACCGGGATCAATGTTGGACCACCGCAGGAACTCATTCCGCCACTGAACCACAGACATAGAGCTGGTGCAGAGGATGATAGTTCCCTTCTTGATGGTGCAGGCGGCGGTGATCCCAACGAGCGTCTTGCCCGCACCGCACGGCAGAACGATGATACCACTTTTCGCGCGACCGTTACCAAACATTTTACTCAGACTCTTCTCCTGGTAGCTTCGGATACGAGCGTTGGGTTTCAGGTCGATGTCCAGAGTCGGGTTGATCTCATCGTTCCGGAAATCATACTCCTCCAATGCCGGGCAACCCATAGCCTGACAACGCGCTTTCACCGGCTCCACAGCCTCATTGGGAATTTCAAAACTGTGAACTTGAGCCTGGTCATCGTCGTCGTCGTCATCGCGGATAGCCATGAGTAAGGCATCATCTTGACGAGCTTCTGCATTTTCCTCCGCCGATTTCTGTTCTGAAGCCTCTTTGATGCCGGCAGCATCCTTGGTACCCGGGATAACGAGACCGCCCATTTTGGGAGCCGCCTGCTGAATGATTCCCTCCGACCCTTGCACCCTCTGCGGTCCGATGACTTCGTCTTGGAGCAGCATCTGCAGCATTTGCGGATCGGTACTTTCCACGAAGAAGCGGTTATGCTTCAAAACCACCTTAATCTTGCCATATGATTTCGTAAAGTCGATGATAAACGACTTGATTGTATCGGGAAGTGGCGTCTTCGACAACCGGTCGAGGAAGTTGATGATATCTTGGGGCTGCAAGCCAACAGAAACAGCAGCGTACAAACTGTTTCCAGTCAACCGGTATTCGTGAAGATGGGTAGGACGCGACAAGGGTTCGGCGATTGTGGTGAGAAAGTCTTGGGCTTGGGGCGCCAACGGAGAGAAGCTTTCAAGGGTGATGGTGCCCTTGAGAGGGTCGATCCAGAGGGGACGATTCGCATGGTCGGGCTTCAGTGGGAGGGATGAGAAGTCTTTGTATCCGAAGTTGGGGTCCTGTTTTTGCACCGCACTGTCCTTCTTATGGCTGAATGTTTCGAGCGAGAACTTGTCGACGACCTCTTCAACAGCAGACCAGTCAGCACTCCGCCGCGGAACGAACTGTCAGGACCAACTACGGCTACCTTTTAGGCTGTCATCCTTTGCATCCGGCTCATATTCCGAGTATTCGTCGCTACTGTCGATGTCCGGGATATCAGGAACGGGAGTCGCGCGTTTCGATGCTCTACTGGACCGACCACCTAGTTGGGGTCAGCCTGCCAACTATCTTAGTGAGACGTGCAAAGTCATACTGTCAGTTGCCTTCCGCTTGGTAGGCATTTTCAAAGAATTTCGTATTGTATAAACTTTTAAGGGTGCTGTCTATCGTCTATAGCGATGGGAGGGTCTCGAGGTTCGAGGAACGAGTGAGAAGCTCGAAGGCTACCTGCGCCTGCCGGAGCGTTATGATGAATCGGTGGCGGAAATGCGCATCCCCTGGTGACTTAGCAAGGTCGTCTCGTTGTTATAGTAATCCCTGGGTCTGGGAGAGGCAGGGATAAGGGCCAGGGAGGATCGCGAGATGACGAAGAGAGAGATGAGAGGAGTTGAGATACGATGAGAGATCGACAAAGCCAAAATGATGAATGTTGCTGGCCTGAGGAATCAACTGGTGGCGGAAACGATCTGATTGGCTGGTCAGATACGGAGTAGCTTCGGCGAAAGTGAGAGACCTCCCGGCCGGACGGCCGGACCGTTGACGTAGCTTGTGCTATAGGTGCGAGTTTCCTCCACGAAATTTCCCTTTGCTATCAACCTTCCACTAAGCAATCATGAACACAGTAAGCAATCCGCATTCTCAAGATTCTTTATCTGCAGCTATACTAACTCAGGCCGCCGTTAGATCCGATCAACCTGGTAAGCGGCCGGATCCAAAATCATGAAGCAACATCAGGATGGATGACTGACTCGACTCGATTGCACCAACAGGGTAGGCTGGGGTGCCCTTTGCGTCGGTATGTCATTCCACGTCTCTTCTGAAATGTCCAATGGACCACACGATAGGCGAGGGCACCAATCGCTAACCTATTTGGAACGCCAGCCGGTGGCGGAGCCTACTACTTCGCGAAGAAGTCGATCAACGCCGACCGCGCTTCCCGGTTCGAAGCAGAGATGAAGCGCAAGGCTCAGCTCGCCGCAATGGAGGCCGAACATCGTCGTCAGGCCGCGGTGAATGAGCCCGTACCCACGCCGTCCGAAAATCCCAGCTTGAAGAGAGCCAACATGGCGCGGTACCAGAGTGCTGCGGATGATGTAGCGTCGCCCAGCACAGAGGCTAGCCACGACCCGGCACCGACGCGTCACGAACCTGAAACAGAAGCTCAACGCGTGCTGGAGAAGGGCAAGTACGAGGCGGCTCAGCCGTTCCGGCCTCCTAAAGGAAATCGATTGGGTTAAGTGTGGGGTCTATATTGTTAGAGGTTGGGGGAGGTATAAAAGTCTGGTTTCATTCACGAGGGTGGGATGACTTCCAAGTGTACCATACGTTTTGCAGGGGTATGTTGCATTGTCGCAGCTTCTGTTGCTTCTCATAAATATTACAAAATCAGCCCAAACTGGTGCCAAAACCGTACTGCCATCGAAACATATGCAGTTTAAATCGGTAATGAAATGTTCAGATTATAAATATAGGTACGGATCGGACTTGTACTCCGTGAAAGTGGGCTATAAATTATGAATTTTTTAGCCATGCTGAGAATTGAGGGCGCTAAACATAAGGTAGGCATACAGAAGACATTATTTCATGGTATCAATTAAATCTTCATGTGATCTTCAAGGCCCAGTATCTCGGACCAAGGAAATGCTTTAAATTTTAAAACAAATCAGAACAAAGGGGGTAGAATAAAATGATAAACACCCAACTCCAAACAGATGCCCCTATAACGCGGCTAATTCACCGGGTCAAGGTATGTGTTTACTGCATGTATCTGCGCAACCCCAACGCCAAAACATATGATCCCGAGACAACCGCCTGCGTTGTCGGGGAAGACGGCAAGAAATCGTCATATCAATACGGAGAAAGTTGTTAGAACTGCGTCATCTGACGGATCCGGTCCGCCTGTGGTGTTCAGATGCACGGGATCTAACGGGCGTGGAAGCAAAGTGGGGGATGGGGCCTGCAAGGATAAGATGTTAGCCGGCGCGTCCAGAATAGTCGATAACATGTGGCGTGGTATATATCATGTTGGTACGGAGGGTACACTACGCAAAAATAGTCACGGCAACGTACTTATTATGGGTTGGATAGCCCTGGCTTTTCTCACGGGAGCTCTCCAACGCGGGAGGAATGAACGGCAGTACCACGGCGGAGAAAAGGCATGAGTGGGTGACGATTCGCGAGGTACGCGTGTCTGGCTGGGGACGACGAACGGAGAACCGACGGATGGTCGGGCGGACCAACTGGATAGCGGTGGAAGAGGTCATGTTGTCGGGAGGAGAGCGAGGGTTGGGGAGCTTGATAGTTGCGTATAGCAAGTCCGATGAGTTGGTGGTGTTGATCAGAGTGGTATAAGACAGAGAGGTCGCTGCTGTCTTTGATACGGTGCGGACAGAAGGAGGGGTCCGTGAGATTTCTCAATATAGAATAAAAGAGAAGATCCGAGACGACAGGGTTTGGACGAGTATTTAAAGTATGGCAACACCATTGTATAGAATCACCTCACGCAGGAAGGACTGCGGCGAGTGGAGCGGAGGTGACCCGCCTTGCGGGGTCGCTTCGGTCCACTATCCGATCATGAGGCAGACACCACCACAGCGCGCGGCTAAATTATTTGCAGTCATGACCAGCAGCAGCACCACCACCACCACCACCACATTCCCGTCTGTCGGAAGTTGATCATCTGAGACAGCCCAGGCAAATCGCAGAATGTCCTCCTTTGCACGTCCTCCGGCCGAACACAACATGCGGGGCCAGATACGCCCCCCATCCAGGAACTAGGGCGGGGCTACCTTACTCACCAGAATTCTAGTTGGGGCGTGAAGATGGGAAAGACCCTCATCTCGAGATCGTTCGAGCCCGGGCCGTTCAGAGAGAGAATCTGGACACCACTGTCGTGATGGCGGGAGGTGAGGATCCGAAGGCAGCGGTGTGCCCCTTACTAGACACCTTGTCATGAGTGACTCATTAATAGGGGCACTTGAGGGTCTAGTACCTACAGAGTTCTGGTCGACAGTTCCTCTCCCATGGTGTGCAAAGGCGTGATTGTTGTGGCGCTTCCCGATCGGATCATGCCACCCTCCTTGCCTCACTGGGAAAATATCTAGCCTGGGGCCGCTATAGCCGATGACGTTATTGTCCCTCCGCGCCCCTTGTGATCTCTCAGTTCGGAAACATTGTTAGTACAAATGCTTTCTGATTTGCTGCCTCACCCTCTATTTACCACCTACCTACAGTAGTAGGTCCTATGCCAGGTAGGCAGGTATATAACTAAGTAAGGTGCTATTCCGGGGTACGAAGTACATCTTCTCCACTTATGGAGAATAAACTACCTCAACTCTACTTAATGATGTTCAATGCCAAGTTCTAGAAGCTTCCAATAATAGCTCTGAATGTACAGAGTACGTAGTTAGCATGGTCAAGATTTCGCTCTCATTTTTAGAACCTGAGACACAAGGGGAAATCGATGCAGAATCGGGATATTTTTGGCTACTGGTTGATAGCCATCTTCAGGGGAGATGATACCCCTAACACGTGGCTTTGTGATTAGACCTCAACAACACACGATTGCGTTCCTGAAATATACTGTACATCTCAGGGAAAAAATCATCACATTATCGAGTTTGCTGAATATATCGCTCCGTGGGCTTTTCAGATCGAGCCCCTGAGAAACACTAGATACTACCTCGGTGAAAGTGGTTGAGGAAGAGTGCACTCCTCATCATGACCACAAGCATTTTCTTCAGCTCGCCTCTAGTCACCGCCAAACTTGGATAGGGTACTAGCTCAGCTGTCTGGTTGACTCGTCACCTACAGCAGTGCGTCCGACGTCGCTCTCCATGACTATTGTCTAACGTGGTCATCCCATTCGACCTGACGATTACCAACCTCCTGAAGGTATTAAGGTATGAAAACAGGTTGGGCCTACAACGCCGATATCTCAAATCTAAGTGCTGAGGTTTTGTTTAATTGTATTTGCCGAGAATTCAGATTATTTAGTAATAGACTAGGTTTTGGAACACGCACACGGAAGTGGACCTTTTAATATCCCACAGTGTAATACTTCCACCTTCTCTGAAGAGGAATACTTGGCCTCCCACACACGAATGTGCCTAGTCAATCAAGGAACGGCTCTCGATATTTTGGCGATGATGGTATTATTCTGCCATAGCAATATATAGGGACCGACTCATCTTGGTACAGGGGAGTCCAAGTATCCGGAATTTATTCCCGAGAGCGGGAGTCTGGATAGCGTTCTTTCCGACATCGAAGACTGCGGCAAGATGGTGTGTATCGGTTTATATCGCGATTGCTGCGGTGCTAATCAGACGATCGAGAAGCGCGGAAGGTTAACTTTCGGATCCTTTGTTTCAAGAATACCAGTAGTAGGAAGCTATATAGTTCCCCTGTTACATTCCGATGTATACGATCTGCAATGGAAGCTACTGCAATGGAAGCTACTCCGGATAGAGAACGACAGTTTCTCGCTCTAAAATTTCTTCAAATATTCATATCGTGCTTTTGGAGGTTGCGTTCTGATATAATATCCTTTAATATCCTGTTGAGGTTCTCATAGGATATCTGCAGCTCGTTGAGGCGCCTGAGTTCATCCAACTATCAGCTCGACGAGGCTGTCTGGTATCATTCCTCGATATTCATCAGTATCTCGCATCCCGGATTACTTTTTCAGACCTTTCTTTGACAATGGATAGACAAGTCAAATTGTGCAGACAAGGGTCAAGTCGTTCTATTTATAAAAGAGCTTCCAGAGCCCCAGTTCGGACTCAAAGACGGTGGATATTGCGAGAACTGAGGCTTGGATACGAGCCACAAATTGCGATGGGCATCGTGAATAGGTGATCGCCTGTCTGAGGACCGCTGTGATAAAAGTTATCAAATAAGGGTTACTCCCACGTCTCGTGGTGGACCTCATTCCCGCGGCAATACGAGGATTTTCGCTTCCATGCCTCGAGTTGCTGGCCCCTGAAAACGCAAAAGACATTGATCAGACTTTCGTACCTGAACTAACATCTCTAACTGCAGTTCCGTCGACAGTTTATTGGACGAGATGTTTAGGGCACGTTCAGAGAAGCTCCAGTCTCTCAATGACACCGGGATGATCGATGTCGGCGAATACGAGCCTCAAACTACTCCGGAGTAAATAAAGGTCAAAAATCCCAAAAGACACGATGATTCCGTTCAAAAAGTACAGACGATATCATTCACGCGTCGCATAACTGACGCAGGTGTTGGACATTGCTGTTGTTGTTGTTGCTCACCTATAGCCCAACATGGTGGGCCTCGTGCGGTCATGGCTGGTTTCAAGCCTTTTACTTTCGCTACTCGCTCAACAAGGTCTTTCTACGTTTGTCTTCCGGGATATTGAGCCACCTCAGCTAGCACCCAAGCGCCTGGCCGTTAGAGGGACCGAGAATCACAACGCATCCTACTACTCAGGCCTCGATCCTCAGAGACAGGATTCTTTCTATTGGGGCGGTATGTACACAGCCTTGGTCCTTTTTCCCTCATGTACAGGATCTAACATGTCTGATAGGCAGCAAAGATGGCCATGAAGCTATGGCAAATTTTACCGTTGATACCGCCGAGGACAAAACCAGCATTGTTTCGATCGAGAAGTTCCGCAGGATGCTCAGCTCAGTCCACTGTACGAACAGCAGCTTGAGCATGGGATTCAAGGACCACGCATCGTTTGCATATGTGAGGCGTAAGTGGCAGTGGGTCAATGATGCCGATGAACGTACATTCATCATGGTCGCCGGTACGGGCGACTGTGCTTGGAACACCCATCGTCTCCCCTTCAACGTTTCCGAGATTGTCTTCGACGACCGTGCACATGCTGCCCGACTCCACGGGAGACCGACAGAATGGAAACATGCCGTCAAGAACTATGAGCTCACCGTCGGATACATTCCCGGGTCTCGCTCCGTGTCGAGAAAGCGAGACTTCGATAAGGATCTTAGCGTCGACTTCACTCATTCTTTGCCAATGAGCTCCATGGAATTCGATACCCCCGTGGATGATCTTAAGATCACATACTCTTGCGACGAGTGTGGCACGAAAGGCTCTTTCGAATTCGGCTTCCATATCAAAACCTCATGGGGTATTCCTCAAGAAGCATCGTTCTCACTGGCTCCAAATGATGTTTCTGCATCCTTCATCCCCAAGCTCGGTCTGAGTGGAAATTTTACCGATACATATGAGAAGAAGATCCCTCTTGGTTCGATTCCCATCGGAGGTATCAGTATTCCTGGTGGGATCCTCGATGTTGGGCCGGAGATCGCCTTCGAGCTAGTGGGCAGCATTGGTCCAGTGTCTGGTTCCACCTCGGTCTCGTCCGGTGTTACTGTCAGCCTCTCAAGCTCGGCGGAGCTTGAGATTGATTTGACCTCTCCGGATGTGTCAGCCTCTGGATGGACCCCAGAGGTCAAAGTCGAGCCCTTGACGATCGAAGCTAAGATTGAAGCTAGCTTGGAGTTGGCTCTCACTGCTGGCCTTCAGCTCACAGCTGAGGCACTTGGTAAGATTGGCACCATCAGTGTAGATGCACATGTCTGACTTCTTTTCCAGGACAAGGATTCGAGGCCGGAGTTGAGCTTAAGCCCTACTATGGCGCCACTTTGTCGGTTTCTGAGAGTGAGTTGACTGCAAGCATTCTTGCCATATCTTGAATCGCTGACTCCATATAGAATCCGAGGGCGGTGTCTGTGAGGACGATTCAGAGCATCATTCCATGGGTGTATCTGTGGAACCTAAAGCTGGTGTTAGCCTTGATGCCGAGATTTCAAAGGCGGATGGCGGAGACACACTCGCAGAGGTGAACATTGCGGTAGGTGGAGTCTGGACGTCTATGTTCCACGGGCATTCTAACTTTTGGTAGTCAATCACTTTACCCATGGATAATGCATGCTATGGATTTGGCCCTACTGGTAGCGGAACAGCCAGCAGCAGTGCTTCCCCGACACCATCCTCCAGCAAGATTCCCAGCAGCAGTGCACGGCCGACACCGTCACCATCGTCGAGCAGAGTTGCTAGCAGCAGCTCTGTTATCCCAACATCATCATACCCTTCATCGACAGCCTATGAGTCCACTTCCGCTCCTTATACTACGACGACTACCTATTCGTCGTCGTCTACGTCTGCCACGCCGAGCTCGTCATCTGTTGCTGCTTCTTTGCATCTCCACGGCCATCACAGAAGACATCATGGGTGGCATTAGTGGGTGGTATAGCTGGAGGTCAGGAGATATTACCTTTGACATTCCCTCCGGGCTTGGGTGGCTACTACCTTTCGATCTTTTGACTACTTTGGCTTTTCATTCTTGCCATTTCTCTCTCTTCAGATATGTATTTAGACCTATTTAGTCTACGTGGGATGAGCATACTGTTCCACAGTTTTATTCTAACTCTTCTTTTCTGCTTCTCACAGGATTGGCACACTCTCCTTAAAGTTTTTTTTTTTTTTTTTTTTTTTTTTTTTTTTTAATATTAATCATTGCTAAATTGAGCAACCCTAAGGTAGCTAGCTAGCTAGTAGCTACATAAGTACTCCGTACGTCTATAGAGGTATACTTAAACTTGATTCTTCTAGCTAATAAAGAGCAAACTATCACGTGCAAGGGGTTGTGGTTTAGTGGTATAACGTTCGCTTAGCATGCATCTCAACGCATGCGAAAGGTCCGGGGTTCGATTCCCCGCAACTCCATGTTTTTTGCTATTTGGCTGGCGAGCTTGCTTAATGGCATTAGCCTCAATACAAGACGAAATGGTTCTCTTTGCTTTTTTTGTGACCCAAGAGTGCCTAAACAGAAAGCCATGTTGTGTTGTTGAGGATGTGAAGATCACGTGGAGTACCGCTTCGCCGAGCATCTAATCGCAGTATGGCGATCCACTCCAAACTTCATACGAACAACCACCTTCCCGCGCCTAGTAATGGCCTCCCACCACCTTGCCATTGCGAAAGCGTCGTTTTCGGCCGGACTCCTCCGGCCGGATCCTACGTCGGTCCCGCGCGACCAGATCAACGAATTTCATTTGGCGCTTGACCGGGCACTGTCGCATTGCTCCCCAGCAAACATCCAGGTTTGATCTGCGCGCCCTTGGAGTCGGTACCCCAGAGATACTAAATCTTGCGCGACTCGCATAGACCTGCAAACAGTGGCTTCTCAACAATGTCGTCTCATCATCTAACCGGGTGGGCGTATGGGGCAAATACTTGGTCGCTCTGGCTGCATCATTCGAGGAAGAAAGCAACAAGCCCGAGCGCCGGCATGCCGTCTCTGCAAAGCGGAAACGACTGCACCTTCTCTACCTTCTGAACGATCTATTCCACCACACAAGATACCACCTCGACTCGACCGCTGCGTTTTCCACATTGACTGGCGCACTGCAGCCGTCCATCGTCGAGCTCCTGAGCTACGCTGCGTCCTACGACCAACACAAACACCCGAAACACCACAAGCGCCTACAGGACTTACTGGATATCTGGACAGAACACGGGTACTATGGTAGCGACTACGTCAACAAGCTACGGGAGGTGGTCAAAAACTCGGCGCTCTCTGGACCCGTCAAGACGTCCACCGACATCGAGGCGAGCAACATAGCGGCAAACAAGCTTTCTGGCAAAGATGTCCCGTACATGATGCCGTCGACACACGGCGATCCATCCACGCCGTATTACGACCTCCCCGCAGGCAACCTTGTCCCCCACATCATCCCCAATTCGACCGTCCCTCTCCGTCCCGACTCAATCAAACCACTGCAATTCCTGGCTGGCCCAGCGGATGAGAAGCTTGTGACGGCGCTGAAGGATTTCTTAAAGGACGTGGATCGGATATACGGGAATGACACCCCTGATAAAAAGGAAAACGAAGTGGTCGACATCGATGAACTGGGCCAGACTGTCATCCGCGACAGCGACACAGGCGACATCATCGACGGCGACACCTACTACGGTTGGTCGCGGGCGTTCTGCCAACAGATGAAAAACCGAAACGCCAGATCCGACTCGCGCAGCCGCAGCCGCAGTCCCCGCAAACAGCGGTACAGCGACAGCATGGCCAGCGACGACAGCAGATGGAGCCGATCGAGATCGCGGAGCCGGACACCCCCGCGAAGAAAAGGCCTTGGACGCTACGAGTCTCGATCTCGCTCCCGCTCTCGAAGTGGCTCGCGGCCGAGAGAGAAATCCTACTCTCCACAGGCGCCGTCGGCTCCGCGTCACTTTCCCCCAGAGTACCAGCGACCCCCGTCTCACAATCAGTATGGAAACCACCAGCCCCCAGGGTTTCCTCCTCCGCCTCCGCCGATGCATTTCCTTCCTCCTGCTTCGCAAACGAGTCCACCTCCCCTGTTCCCTCCTGGTATGCCAGGAGCGCCTCCTCCATCCCCTCCGAACTACCAGGGCGCTTGGCCCCCACCGCCACCTCCTCCGATGCCCCAGTATGGATCGCCCGGCCCAAACTCGGGGAACTATCCTCCTTTCCCCCCAGGCCAGTTTCCCCCAGTACATATGGGGTCGGGGCAGCAGATGCCCCCGGGGTCGTATCATTTCCCACCGCCTCATTCGGGAGGACGTGGGGGAGGCTGGGGGCAGCAGCATGGGTATCCGCCCGGACGGTGGCGGTAGTTATGCGCATCTTCATGAAACCATTGGCCCTAATGTATAAGTATATTTCGTTGGTCTAGATAACTGGTATGAATGCCACCTGACGACTTCAGCCGAAATTTATGAACATAGACATTCACATTCTGAAAGTAGAGACAATGCACTGAAGACGACCCAAACCCTACTATACAAAGAAAGACTGGACAGTTTCGAATACCCCGTGACAGGCACCAACGCAGACTTGAATATCCATCCAATCAATAGACAGACGTGTCGGTGCAAGACAGTTCCGTCCGAGCACCCTATACATAGACAGGCAAAACCACGGCTCTGGAATGCATTTTCTTGTTGCGCTCCAACGCCTCGATCGTCTTGTTCATCTCCTCCCTGTAGTCGGTGCAAGAATTGATATCGATAGCGGAAGCCTGTCACAGTTAGGCCCCATCCATCAACAACCTAACAGAAGCAAACAAAGAAAGAGAGAGAGCGAACATACCTCCTTCGGATCCGAGCCACAACACGACGCCTGGTGGGCACACTTCTCCGGCGGATCGCCCGGCGTCATCGGCTTACCTGCAATCACAGAACACTTAGCACCACCCCAAACCGAGCCAAATAACAACACGCCAAACACAAAGGAAGGGAACGACATACACTCAAACGACATAGGCGACGCCAGATTCGCCCCCTTCAGCTGCGGGATGATCTCGCCGATGGGCTTGAAGATGGCGTCGGCGATGTTGGTCAGCGTGCGACAGCACGCCTGGTACGGGTGGTTCATGGGGCACTTGGTGGGATCGGCGGTGTCCTTTGCGTTCTGCTTGATCAGCGCCTCATTCTGGGCTGCCTGTTTGGGGGTCCACGTCGGCGCGGGCTTGGGCGTGAAGAGGTCCTCGGGCGAATGTCCTGAGGTTGCGCTGGCGCTGGACGAGCCCATTGGGACGGCGGTTGTGAGGGCCGCCAGGGCGAGGAGGGCGGCGAGACGCATGCTTGGTTCTTTGGGTCGGCTTGTTCAGGGTGACTGGGTCGATGGGGTGGATGGATGGTGGTGGGTGCGGGTGTATGGAGGCGAGGGATGGGGAGTGGCTGCATATAACAGTTGGCGATGTGATTGAGTTCAGGTGGAAGGTTGAAGAATTGTATGTAGGAGGGTTGAATCGCGCTGTCCGGACAGAACAAGCTTTGTGGTCCTGCTCCCGTCCTCAACATAGGTCCAGGAGGTCGGGATAGGCCTCTGCGAAGGGCAGAGGCGCGTCGTGTCAACACTCCTGGAACTTTGGTGGTGTTGGAATGTAGGATGTGTTTTGTGTCTCGAGATGGAATGCGTGGGTGTGAATAGACCCTGACCAGTATCTGACGCTTGTAGAAGGCAGAGGCGGTTAGATTGAGGGCCCATGATGAACGACTGTCTCCCTGTCAGTATGACTTGGCGTGTAGCTGCGTAGATGCACCTGTAGATGTTGTTGTGGATGACAGAGGTGGTTGTATAAAACCGAAGGGCCCATATCAAGGGATCAAGGGGCGCAAGGGGCTTGCATATCTCCATTGCCGTGATAACACGGGCCACGTTAAATTCTAGAACACGCGTTGATACAGGCCAGAGTCTCAAGGAACAAAAGCTTCAATACTAACATGGATTGTCATTCTAAGAAAGCTACTATCATCAAATCATAAAGTACGTCGTAATACAAACACAGAACGGAAACCCGTCGCACAAGTCGCTGGAGAGCAATAGGTAATACACACGTAGAAGCCAAAGCGCACTGCATCGCAGTCCCGTTATATAGGTAGAGGTCTGAGGGATTCAAAATGTATTGATGCTAACTGCCCGAGACTAATCACGGACAGCAAACAGCATGAATGAAGAAGAGTAAAAAAAAAAGGGCAGAGACGGGCCGAAGACAAGCCACAGCCACATCTAGGGGAAGGCAACTCTGACGGGTATGGTGTAGAGACGAGAACTTCAAGGACAGAAAGCTAGCAGGCCAGGATAAAGTAATCCGAACACATAGCATTTCATGTCTAGAATGTATTCAAGTCACTCCAGTACCATCCAGAATCCAAAGGGGAATGAAAAGGGGAAGGGAAAAATCATATCAAATAACACAAAAACGAGTGACTACCATCGTAGCTCAGCTCAGCTCGAGTACGTCCATGGCGGGGTTGATGAATTGATCGCTTCGCTTTGCCATCGCCTGTAAAGCACTCTCGCTAATCGTCAAACGCCGGGGACCAGTGGCCGTGGCCACTGGTTCCGTAAACTGTCAACACCCTTGCTCGAAAAGCACGTAACATTGTAAAGGGCATCCGGTGCCCTTATGCGAGTTGGTCTTCCAAAGACTGAGAGAAAAAGAGGTCAGGGAAGGCCAACACGGGTGTTGGCCTTCCCTAAGATGTCTGATTGGAATTGCTGTTGTTTTGACTAGGCTTCGCCTTAGTCTCGGAAGAGGCAAAATCGTGATGGCTGATGCCAGCAGAAGTAGGGACGGCCCCCTTGGACAGGCTGCTGACGGACGAAGTGCCACTCCTGCCGCTGGTCTCACTGCCTCTGCTGCTGCGGCTCCGTGAGGATCCTCGGTCGTCGTCCAAGTCGGCGAAATTGGCCATGCGATGGTGGGTATACTCCAGCATGACGCGGCTGTAGTCTTCTATAGACGTACGAGGGTCCGTAGCCCGTTGAGTCTGCACCCGCGGTAGGGACTTCTCCCCCGGAGGACGCCAGCTCCCTCCGTCTGTGGGGGCCATGTTCTCAGTGGCATTGGGCTGTTGCATGGTAGACATGTTCGGGGGCATATCTGGAAAGTGAACAAGACATCAGTCGAAATCGCCACAAATGGTCCTTGAGTCCTTTATGCCGCAGACGCCGGTCGGATCATCGATGTGGACGATGGATTTCAACTAGATTGGAGGCATCGACAAGGTATTTCAAGCGAGAGGAAACGAATATCGCTGGGGTTCGAGTGCGGCAGACTAGGTTGCTCGCTCACCTGAGTACTGGGAAAGTGGATAGAACGATACAGTGGAAGTGGGCAAGAAGCTAGTTTGGGGCGAGAAAGACTTGGTCAAGAGACAAACGGTTCGAAGCTAACGATTTAGAGTCTGAATCGCAGGGAATCCTCCGGACGGAAAACGGTCGAGACGTGTTTCTGGATGAGATAGCTCCCGTCGAGGGAGCCATAATTTAAAAGGATGCATCCCATGGATGGATGGAGCGCAGAAATTTGGCATGAGATCAGAGCAGCAGAAAAAGAAAAAGAAATAAAAAAAATAAAAAAAAAAAAAACTAAAAAGGAACTAATTGGTTAGCATCATCCTTTTAGCCCACCAGCATTGCTGATACCGCAGGCACAGCAGTGTTCGCAAAGTGGCAGGACTATAGCCGACCCATATGACATCATGGGTCCAGGAGCGGAGATGAAGAGGAGAGGAGGCTATTGATGACCGTGCTAAGTCCACCAACGCATCCTTGGGACTGGAGCAGCTCAATGCATCAGAGGACGATCGGAAATAACCGAAGCTTATAGGCTTATGGATCGGGCTTCCCCCCAGGATGGACCATGGGCGTCCATCTGGTGGACTCGGATGAGGTCACTCGAAGATGCCAACTGGGTCATGGCAACGCCGATGGTGTCTGCCGATCAACACACCCAGCGCGCAGCCTCGTCCCTGCAGATCTCCACATCTCATCCCCAGTGGATGAGGGCCTGGAGCTTGTCGGAATGGGTCAGGAAAGACCGAAGTTGTGCGCTATCCGAACAGCCCCGCCTAGTATGCTGCAGCGTCCACTGTAGAACTATAGCCTTGAGGGAGGGTGGGGAGCGATTGTCAATGGGGAATCGCTAGAAGCGCAATGTGTCATGAATGGGCCCAAAACCAGGCTAATTCCTTCGCCTCGCATGCATACTAGGTATGCAGGATGGATCCCGTCGTCTAGAGCTATCCTCTTTGGCCCCCCTGCATGGTCGAGATCATGAGCGACAACGGAAGTTTATTCGGGAGAATAAGATGTCAACCACATTGTGATCACTAGGATGCGGCCGAAGGGAAGAAAAGAACTGAGAGGCCTTCAATCGGCCTAGATTTGCCTGCTCGGGCCCCCCGACCAAACGGGTAATGGACGTCGTGTCACCTCGAGAGAGGGGACGGCGGCGATGATGCATGACTGCTGAATAACACGAGTCAGCCACCATTCAAGACGCTGAGATGACTGATGGAGCCGTGGGAGAAGCGATGAAAGAGGCGAACCAAAGGGGAAACTGGGAGAAGAGTGCCTGAGGCGGGTGACGTCAGGTGGCCGCTGAAGCCCTGATCGATATCGACCGCTCATTTCACTCTCCAAACACCATCCAGGGAGTTATCCTCCGCATCTCAGCGTCCAATGGTCATACCGTCATCTTTTATAGGAGGTGTGGACTACCCTACGAGAGTCATCCGAGCCGACATACATAGATGTGGGAATGTCATGAACTCATGGACCAGTCTCCTATCGCCTTTATCCAACCCGGAATCTTGTTCCGAGGGTCAACCGGCGATGATGCAGATACTTCTCGACACGCTTCGTAAACACGGAGAACGCCAGTTGTACATGGACAGTGATCTGCTTACACCCTCCCGTGCTCCCTAACCTTAAAGAGAGCTATGTGTTCACGCTCAATGGTGCATATCCGCGCCCCCAACGTCTCTCTGACCATCACCCAAGACCACAGGACCAATGCTAGTAACGCCTCTTGCAGATCCGCAGGATTTTTCGCCACTCGGATTAATTTAGGAGCAACGATCGTGGGTTTGCTGGAACATTCTTCACAGCAACGCCAACAAAAGCATCGTCCATCCGTATAGGAGAAAAATAGAAACCACCACAAATGTACGGAGTACGACCAGACCCCGGGGTCGACGTCTGATTCTCTCGCGAGACCGACACTCTGGCTGGCGTGGAAACTACCCATTGCATGCAGTGGATCTCTCCTGCGACTACTGTCAATTTCGAACCCACCATGATCCAGACAAATCCAAGACACTGCGTTCCCGCGTTGAATAACCGCTGGGTCTAACAGACTCCCTATGTAGGTGACCCGTAGGCTCCAAGGCTGCCAACGCGTAGCCTTCCTCACGCAAGGACGTTCAACATGCGGCGATATCATGAGCGGCGCGCTACTGAGCCCTTCCATGAACCACCCTTTCCAACACGACTAAGAGGAGGTAGGCAATTGCCATGGTACCAACAGCTGTAAGTCATAGCGAGCGATCAATTGACTCCTCTATATGACCTCACCCTGGGAACGGATCCTGGGAAAAAGGGGAGAATGTAGCACATAACCAGGAACGGGGGTACCCGTACGCCACGGCTCCAGATGATATCACTCCCTCCTTTCCCACCCCCATTGACACTTGGCCGATAGAGGTGCTGTGAAATCATCCTACGACGCAAACCGAGACGGCGTCCCTAGCCATCGACATTTTCTGACGCCGTGAGACGCCGTCCCCTGCACCTTCACGTCATATGGGATGTCGGAGATCTTCGCGCAGTCTGTGATCCGATCCACACGTTTCGTAGCGCATGTACCGGATTCCTTTAGAATGATGAAAAAAGGGGGTGGACTGAGGGCGAGCATGGCGGCTCATTCGTCACATTTCCAGACTTTTCGGCCTGTAGGTAGCCTCTTAGAGGATGTGATTTTTACGTCCTCGAAAATCGCCCGGTCCTTGCGTTGTGGTTATCGCCGTGACATCCGCCTCGTCTCCGGGCGCTATACGGAGTATAGAGCCGGTCCCATGAGGCCAGTGACGTGGACACGAGTGTCATCTAGGACTAGGTTTGTTTTCGACTAGTATAGCCATCATCTCTTCTCGCTCTTACCTCGAGTGTTTCGCAACCGGTTTTGACCTGCGATCGCGCCGCATCCACATGCGTGCCACGGGTGTGAGTGCGTCCGCGGCAGGCTTAATTCAAGGTGGACAAAAGGGTCTGGCGCGGCCCATCCGACATCGCGGGCCCAGGACGAACGGCCCAGACACGGGAGCAATGCACTAATAAAAGCAAGTTTTCATCGCACTGTGAACTCTTTAATTCAAAGGCTCAATACGGAAATTCTAAATCCACGGGGATGTAGTTACAACATAGACGCCCAAATCGACAATGACATAGCTTATAATCATATTCATACTCACTCGTCACACGTAACCTGCGCCCACCGGTCAGCAAACACACCATATGACGCCGGCGGAGAGAAACGTATAACGTCACCGAGAACGATACGGAAGCGGGGGATGATGGGGGGAACGCACCTTTCCGGGCACCCTGGAAGAAGAACCGGACGATGAAGACCTGCAGCCCCGCCATGGACACCATCATCAAGCCTTCGATGACGCTGAAGTTGAAGATCCGGCGCTCGGTGCTGCGGACGGTGCTGAAGTTGCGGTTCTCGCGCGTGCGGAAGTACTTCTGGTTGCGCGAGATGGTGGACAGTTGGGCGGAGAGCTTGAAGATCGACTCCTCGAGCGCGGAGGCTTGCTCGGGACTAGCTCCCTGCTTGGAAGGGAGCTGCGCGCGCTGTTCGTTCTCGACCTGTCGTCCGTAGAAACACGTTAGTCGTGGGTGGAACTATGACGCTTTTCCCTGCCAGGTGATATCCCCCTATTTGCAGGATGTGGTTCGGCCTACCGCAATCTCGAAGTCCACAATCTTTTCGGCAAACGTCGACATCTCATTGTTGAAGCAGAACTGGTACTCGCCGATGCTCTGCGCAGTGAAAACAAAATCGCCCTGTCGCTCCTTTGTTCCGTCCAAGACCACCTTTCCGCTGGGGCCGATCACCGTGTAGTCAACGTCGAAAGAACCGCCAGATTGGACCTGGGGAGGATGTAATCAGTACTCCTTTGTGTCTATGACAATTATGAAGTAAAGGCATCGGAATTGGAGGCACTCACAGCGAAATAGAAGGCAACCTTGGCATTCTGCTGGTCAACATAGTTGTAGAAACAGGCCTTCTCGTTGGCTTCGAGGCGGTAGGTCAAAGCCGTAGCGGTCACAGTCGACACGATAGTGGCCAGAAGGCCTATTACCAGAGCTGCGAAACGCATTGTGAACAGAGATAGAGACCCAGGAGCTCAGATGGGTGCACTCTCCAGAGGATGCAATCTTTCGACACGCGCGGCTCCGAAGTCCAAGTTCTGGACAGCTGTTGAACTCCGCTGTGTTTGTCATGTTTGCATCCGAAACTCTGACAAACCAAACAAACTGCCATATCAAGACGACAAGGAAACTGTGCTTTTATATACGACATGGATTGCCCTGAATGCTACTCCGGTGGGGATTCTTACTGTTCAAGGAATACTGATGATAGACTCCGCGATGTCTTCCCACCAGTCACAGAACTCCCTCTGATACACATGCTGATTGATCATATCCACCTCCGCGTAAACCTGCCCTTCATCATCAATGCATCTCAGGGACCAAAGAATTGGAGGTATTGTGCTAGACTTGAATACATTCGCCAATGACACTTGCAGCAATTATGCATAGACCTGGACAGCGACCAAACGGAAAAAAGTATGAGAGCGCTCACTATTCAAGACTCCTTTAACAACATGAATCGACTTCAGAATCAACATTTCTGGCCTTTTCTATACTTCGTCACGTATATGAACGAAATCCAAATCGCAAGACAGCCACCAAGGGCACATTGCCCTGGGAACCAAAACCAGGATAACAGAATAGTGAAGCCTACCCATCTACGAAGGAAACGAAACGCGTGAACGGACAGTTTCTCAGACTTCAACACGAATTATAATTTTCCTCATAGCAGTGTCATATAGACAGGCATACAGCACTCCCGTACAAGGCGCCTGCAAATCATAAGGGGACACTCCTCCACCGCCACCAACACTGGAGTGATGAGTCTATCGGATGAAAAACGATTCACTGCGGTTCCAAAAGCTCCGACTCTTATTTACATGGTCGAGACCAAGGAGATCGTCGGCATCGCCAACGATATCAGAGAGAATATCATCTGTGCATCTCATCAGTTTCCACGCTCATGTTTGAGAGGACTGGATTCGCTGAACTCACCGTCTTCGAGGTATCGTGGGTTGGCGTACAAAGACCGAGGAACAACGGCAAACTTGATCTTCTCAAACTGCTTGCCCTTGATGCCAGTCCGCTTCGACAGGCGCTCTTTCGTTTCCTTGAAAATCTCACCCTGTGACTGGTCAGTGACAGTTCCCGTTCCAAATACCTCTAGCTAACTTACAGGCTTCATGACAAACTTGAAGGGAACACCATGCGGTCTGCTGGGCTCCCGATCAAAATTGTAGGCGTTGATTGTTCGTTCGCCCTCTGCCATATTGACTTCATCTTCTGGCATTCTCTCGGCATATAATGTAACGAACTCATTAATACCCGCAATCTTGAAGTCTGGTTGGAATTCCTTGTATATCTTGCCGGCGTGCGTTTCATAGATGCGGACATCGCGAATAGTGTCATCGTCGATGTTCGCTTTCTTCTGCAAACCAGAAAGAAGGTCCGCGATTGTGCCATCCCGAGGCACCAAAACCTCAACAACTTGCTCTTTCGTAATGCCCTCGGGCAGCCAGGTCACCTTGAGGCATGTTTTTGACTCGTAATCACTCAAGCTCGTCTCCAAGACCTCATAGTACAGCGCGTCTTGACGATTCATGTTGTACCCATAGCCGGTCATTTGCCCGCTGAGTATTTGATAAAGGGTCTGGTTCGCCTGGGTAGGGTTCCGCTTGATGAACTGCTTTGCCTTCCCTGTGCTTGCGTGAACGGGAGCGAAGCGCAGATGTGTGTAGTCAACGTTCAAGTGTTCTCCAACCTTCTTGGAAAATTGGTCGTATGTCATCTTGCGACTGAGGGTCAAGTTAAACTCCTCACCGTCGGCTGCCTTAAGAGGGGCAAACGTGATGTTGATCCGGTTCAAAAGGTAGTCGTAGTACTGTCTCGCATCCTGGTACAAGGCAGACTCAGGCAGCTCCGTATCTTTGACCACTCTCTGGAACGTGATAATATCACCATCCTGGATCTCAGACTGTTGGAAGGTCTGCTTAGGCTTCATGAGGTCGATCATGGTATGTTTGATCTCCTCGAACAACATGAACTCTGTACCGACGGGCCAGTCCATCTTTTCAAGGATCGTTGGCCCAAGCTCACCAACCTTCTGGTTGTTGCGAACATACACGGGGCCAACGCCCGTCAACTTTTGCGACGGCACATCGAAATGCTTCAGGAAAACAAGGACCGTATTGGAGCTGTCTGGCCACGAAACCGTGCCATCCGCAGACGGTTCGCCGACTTCCATGAAGACCTTGAAGGGGTTTCCTTTTGTGCCAAACCTCGAGTAGGCTTCTTCAACGGTCATTTCTGGGTCCTTGATGACCTGGTCTGGGCGCGTTGTCTTATTCTGACGATTGACCATCACCCAGAATCGAACCCGGCTGGCGTCGATACCCTTTTCCTCCGCAAGTTGTTGTGCGAACTCACCGACCTTGGTGGTTTTGAGGATCCGGTATTGTTGCGGGAGGGCCGGATCACCCGATGGCAGATCGGCACTGGTTAGATCGAACCCATGGTGAGATCGGAAAGACTCCTCCGTCAGCACGCCAACATTAATGTACAAGTGTGCCTCTTCCCTCTCCTTCTTGCGGCGCGCCAATTCCGCGCGTTCTTCAACTAGTCTGGTTTCTGTGCATTTCGTTAGCTATTCGAGCGCAAAGTCATTTTGAGCGTGCCATACCAATATGAGAGGGTATATCGTCTTTGGTTATGGGAAGGAGGACATCATCCAGCCTCGACTTCCGAATGTAAACCAACATGTAAGCGTTCATCGAGCGCTTCGTGGACAAGCCACGTGTGTATGGTTGTCGAACCCCAGGGGCACCGTTTGCCAGCTCATATTCACCACCATAGTTCTCCTCAAGGACTTCCTTATCCGTAGCGCGAGTCACACGGTCGTCATCGAACTTATACCAGAATCCATCCTTTGTGGGCTTCAAGAAGGCATAGTAGTGGCCTGCATTCAAGTCCCCGCTGTGCACAAGCACTCCGTGTAGTTGATAGATCCAAGGCTCCGACTTGTCGGCGTCATTCGAAAGGTAGGGGGTAGCGTCGAACTCCATGGGGAAAGCATGCCGGTCATTAATCTTCATCATCGCATCGCGGTTGATGTCATATTCGAAACGCTTGAGGTGCAGATGCAGGACTGGTGGGAAGCTCTCAAAGATCTCGCCTTTTTTGGCGTCTTGAAGTCCATACGGCTGGCCAGCGTCGTACTTGTTCTCTCCTTCCAGGGTCTCCACCTGGATGTAATCCTTGAAGCTATCGTCCAGCGTCTTGTTGCCGCGCACATTGAGCTGGATGTCCCAGAAATCTTCGATGCGAGACGATTCGTAATCCACGTTGATGCACGAGATGTAGGTTTTCGATTTCCCAACGAACAGGTCAGGAAGCGCTTTTTCAGCCGGGGTGCCTTTCATTTTTTCTTCCAACCGTTCCATCAGTTTCCGAGAGAGTTCCTGAACATCCTGCTGTTCGAATATCTGCCGCGATTCCCAGCCGAATGATGCCGTTAGCTCCGTGGTTGAAACAGGGCTTTCGCTAGTTTGCAGGTTATAGAAGAGTCTCTGCAGCGTCCAAGCGCTGTTGTCTTTCTTGGCATCCTCCTCAGTCGGAATTTGATACACTGCCTTCCGGAAAGCGTTGGTGAAGTAAAGCGACTGGAGGAGGGAGTTGAGGTAGCATGTTGCACCTTGGTTTTTCAATCCGACCATGCCGGTCTCCTTCTTGGAATCGTAGCTGAACATAATCAGTATCCAAATAACAACAAAGGGCCAACGTGTACATACTTCTGGAAACTATGCCACAAGACGCCCGTGGGGTCCTTCACCACGCGAACGTAGGCCGTGATGTTTGCTTCGTCATTCTGCACTAAGGGAGCCGTATGGCCTTCCCACTGCATGTTGAAAAGTCTCCGCAACTCGCAGAATCTGGTAAAGCCCCAATCTCCTTCGTCTGCATTAAAACGGTGGGTGGCGACTGTATCGAATTAGTGAGCAGTTCAGCTCGGCGGAGCATTGCCATGCATACCATGAGAGACCTTAATGGAGGGATCGTTTACGTTCCACAAGACCAGAGCAAACTGTACGCACGCATACCAGTTTTCCGGAGGCTCGTTCTCCCAGGCATGTTCCAAATAGAAGGATGCGTGTTCGACGTGGTTGCCATAGGGGAAAAAGAGAACGCGCCTGTGCCCTAGTCAGATATTTGTCCGTCCGGCCCAACGGCAGTAAGGGTTGCGACCAACCAAGGAAAACCACCGCATTCGAACGTCGGCCCATGTTCCTTCCGTTTCATTTTCCGCCAATCCTGTATATGCCATGTATGCCACGCCTCGGCTTCGGTCTCCAAGTCAGGGTCCTTCGGAAGGACACGTGCCATCATGGCAGGAACTGTATCACAGAAATACCGGTTAGGACGGGCACAAACAAAAGCGATTGCGAGTTTGCGGGGCCAGGGTTGATTGCAGGGGGCCTGGGCCCCGCGGCGGGGAACAGAACAGTCTCATCCCGTGGGCATCGTAAAATTCATAGGAATGAATTGTGAAGGCGGATGTTTTGCGAGGAGTAGGTCCTTACAGTCGTTTGCGAGAGGCTCTGGCTCCGGTTCCTCCGAACCAGATCGAGAGACCACGACATCATCGGTCCTGTCATTGTGATATTGCTCGTATTCGTCGACGAGCATCTCATTATCCGCGACCTGGAAGGCAGAAAACGGATCGCTGTCAGTTACTGTTGTTATGTCCGGCGGTGTGGCAGGAAGGGATTCCGGTTGAGTGGAGGCAATGCGAGGGATGAACGGCAAAGACTTACGTTGTCCATCTAGTAACAAAAGTGCGCTCGCGCACTCGAAACGAAGGCCACACTCTATTCGGATTTCGATGGGAAGTTAAGAAAAAAGAAGCTCAGTACAAGAGGCAGTGAAGTGAAGCTGGAGTGGAAGCGACTCCGAGGGTAGGATGAAGGGAGTGCGAAAACAAGTTCTGGGTAGGTTGGAGCAGTAGTGCTAGGTAAGAAGGAAAGTCGTGGTAGTGGCGGAGTTCGCAAAGCCCAATAATAACGGTTCACCCTCGGCGGGACTTATTATTAAGATCTCGAGGTCGCCTCTTCACAAGCACTGCGGTTGATACTGCGGTGAGTTTCGATCGCAGATTATATCAAGCGTGCTTCCTTTGTTCCTGAAGAGTTTTCTTGGTACCTGCAATTTCTTTCATTCGAATTGGGCCAAGGGCGACGTGCGTGGGGATCCTCGTTGCCTGTCCGACTCGTTCCTCAGGCATCGACATTCGGTCATACATCATGTCGAGTATTCTACACTATTAGGACTTAGGCACATTTCCACCATTCTTTGTCTATCTTTGTCAACTCGTTGACTCTAAGAGTTGAATCAAAACATCATCGTTATATGTACGGTGAATGTTACGTTGATCGCAATATGCTACACACATGTCGAGACCAGCAATCAACTTGACCTGAGGGACCATGATCATGCCGAGGTTTGACAAGATGACCAAAGAAGCGGTACTCTGGCTATAATAATATTAAGAACGGTTTTCAGGACCTTCTTTTTTATATCTTTGGTCTTTGCTGTTTCAACCGGCGCGGAGTTCTTCTGAAGATGCTATATATATCTAGTCAGATTATGACGACAGTGCTTCCCACTAGCATCAAGTAGTACAAAAACAACCCTGTACTATTAACTACTATGCAAGAAACTCGACTGACCTAGATCAGAATAAGCAACTATCTTATACGAACGCTCCATCAGAGAAAACCGGTCCTGAGCAAGTCACATGCCGAACTCGACACTCACCGCCCGAGCAGAGTCATTTCGATTTCGCCCGCATTGACCCATCCACCACCACGCGCACCCCCTCCGCTGGAAACGAGGAGACAACCCTCGCTGTCTCAATGTGTTCTTCGTGCAAATGATGCATGGAAGCCTCTACCCATGCCTGAAACTGGGTAGAATCTTACGGTCGGAGCTTTCTTTATTCTGGACAAAACAGCTGCAACCCATGAACTGCTTTTGACAGGGTCCTCGACAACCAACATGCTGCGGAGACCAGCAGCTAGGTGCTGGCGCTCTCTCCCACAGCTAACCAGCCGGACCCCAAGCAAACGGTCTCATACAGGGAGTCATAGCGCAGTCCATAGTCCGCCACCATGGCGACCAGTTTCGGCCCTAGATGAGTATGAAGCTCGCTCATAAATCCGGGGAAAGCTTGCTAACACTCTTTCTTGCAGATGGGTTGAACGTGAAATCAGACCTATCAGTTTACGGCAGCTAACTTTCTTCGGACGGACCCTGACCGAATCGCGACTTCTCAGCTCTGCAAACTACGTGCGAACAGAGCTTCCCACCAGGTGAGCTCGCTCTTGAACCCAGAACAACAAAATAGCTCTGTCATAGCTCTTTCTTACCTCTCAACAGGCTTGCCCATCGTCTCCGAGATATCCAGAAACTGCCTTATGTGGTTGTATCGAACCCTCACCTCTCCCTTGTATATGAACTCTACTACAAAGCGTTCGAACGATTTCGAAGAGTTCCAGAGATTAAGACACTAAACGATAATGATCGGTTCTGCGATTTATTACGGAAAACCCTAAAGGAGCATCTTGTCGTGATACCCAAACTGGCGATGGGAGTGTTGGAGTGCCGTGATCTCCTCCCGGCAGATGTGATGGACCAGTTCATGAACACCTTGCTTCGTGCGGTATGGCGATGCCTTGCTCTGCAAATCGACATGGAACTAACCAAGCTTTTGTGTAGAGGATATCCCGTCGGGTGATTGCTGAACAGCACTTAGCGTTGACGGAAACTTTTAATTCGCCATGGCACTTCCCCGAGTCCTTGGATCGGACCGACTTGAACGCAGACTTCGTCGGAGAGGTGTTTCTCAAGTGCAACGCGAAGGAGGTTGTTGAGCGATGCGGAAAGTTGGCACAGGACATGATGCGGCAGGCTTCGGGATCCGACAAGATTCCAGAGATATCCGTGCAGGGCCATCTGGATGCAACCTTTCCCTACATGCTGAGCCACTTGGAGTACATCATCGGCGAACTTCTGCGCAACTCTATTCAGGCCGTCAGTGAGAAATACCACGGTTCGTCCGAGGCCCCAGCGCCCATCGAAGTCCTCATCTGTGAAGCGCCGCAGCATGTGATTATGCGAATCTCCGATCAAGGTGGTGGAATTCCCCGCGAGATTCTCCCGTACTTATGGTCATTCAACAAAGGCCCTCACAGCAAGGCACGGCTCCAGAATCTGGAACAGGTCCCTGCGATGGCGGCCACGATGCAGGAGCTCACGGTGCCCAAAGAGAGGAAGCGCGCAGATAAAGAGACATTCCGCGAGGGGTCACTCGACTCGCTGACCTCTCGGCCCCCCAACCTTCGACTGGGAATGGGACTCCCCATGAGCCGAGTATATGCAGAGTACTGGGCCGGTAGCTTGGAGCTACACAGCCTGGAAGGATATGGCGTCGATGCATTCCTTCAGATCTCGAAGCTCGGCAACAAGAACGAACAAGTCACCACGCGCGCATCGATTGATGCCGTTTGAAGGCCTGGTACATTGCTGTTCATGGAATATAGGCATATACACGAGGAGAGCACCACTTATAATTTATATTATATTCCTTTCCTTCCTCCCTGATACCCCATTATCTCCGGCCACTCGTGCCAAGGTCCACGGAGTACTTTATCCACTGCCGCTAATGAATGAACTAATCGCGCGGAATGACGTCAGCTGGTGGTATGCAATTCCGGCCTTTCCACAACCTTTCTGCCTACAGCCATCAGGCCCTGGCCATCAGCCCTGTTCAGCCCTGTGTGGTGCCCGGCCGTAGGAAATAATAATAATTGCCCCGGCCAGCCAGCTCATCTCCCGTTTTGGCGGCTAGAAACCTAATCATCATCTGATCGTGGTCTGCCTGTGACGTCGACACGACACCGCCACCGCCCTCCCCCTTGATATAGAAAATGCATCGTCTCAATTCTCCCAAAGATGACAACGTCCCTGTCTACATATTCGCCCTTCTCTTTGCGATCCTCATTCTGAGTTTTCTGGGCACTTATCTTGACGATTCAAAACGCACCGGGAGAACAGCCGTGAAGAACCAATCGTAATAGACAACCATTTCGATCATCGCATCCAAAATGGCGGGAACATGTACTATCCTGTGCATGATTCTGATCACTCTTTTCTGTAGGTGCCAGAGCGAGTTCAACCAGACGGATACCTCGGTTGGCTAACTTGAGCTCAGTTCCTCCTCTCGGCGTATTCCTCATTTCAGGCTGCAGTGCGGATTTCTTCATCAACATCCTGTTGACAATTCTCGGGTGAGTCCTGCACCTCTTTAAGTACCCGTTCGACCCATCGCTAACCCACACAGGTACATCCCCGGCCATATCCATGCCTTCTATCTGGAATACGTATACTACAGCCCACGGGACACGGGTCCGATGTCACCGCGACGTGCACCTGGCGTATATTCAGACCGGATCCAGCGGGGTGAACAGCGTACAATGGATTATGGCACTATGGCGTGAGCGCCTGAGACATTGCTCAGGCAACATACCTGGACTGGGAGTGGGCATATAATTTGGACACTAGTCTTACACGGATATCCGCTTAGCCATGGAGTAAGGAGTATATCTGAATGATAGTCTTGCAGCACTACAACCTTTCATCTTTACTGCGCTCCTGCGCCAAACCAACCTTGTCTAGAATCTAGCAGAATGTCGTCATGAAACCAGTGTATTCCCAATATAGCTCACATAAATAAGCGACCAAACCTAGCTCTCCCAATTCTAAACAGACGCCTCCGCCTCCTTAGGCGGCGCCTTCTTCTTCAGCGCCGGAAAATCAAACGGTTTACTCGAGACCACCTGACCCCCGGTCCGGGGCGCCGTCCCCGTCGCAGGGCTCCACCACAGCGCACCGACCCAGGGCTGCACATTCCACCCGACGGAGAGGGTGACATTGGACCGCTCCGCGAGCCGGCCGGTGATATCGCCGATCTGGTACTTTGCGCGCTGGCCGCGCAGACGGAGCACGCCGGGGGCGGCGGCGTCCTTCTTCGCATTCTTGGGCGGGGTGCGCTTCTTCGCGCGGCTGTTGCGGCTGTTGGGTTTCTCGGGGAAGAAGCGCTCGCGCAGCGCGTCGAAGGAGTACGGCGACTCGGGGGCCTCGATGATGGTGTCCCAGATGATGGCTTCGGAGTTGGGGAGGAGGGTGGAGTCCTTGTCGGAGGAGGAGTAGGAGGCGTAGACGTAGACGAAGAGTTGCTTGGTGTTCCAGTTGAAGAGGGGGGTGAGGTCTGGCACTTGTCAGTTTGGGTCCTGGCGGGAGAGGGTGGCTCCAGACGCACCGGCATCCAGATCGAACCTGATCTGGGCGTATTCCTCCTTCTTCGTTGAATAGTAATGGGGCCGTCCCTTGGTTCTGCGGGTCGTTGATTAGATGTATATCTTTTGGCTCGTATGGATGTAAACAACGGATTGGCCTACATTTTAACGTCTTTCAGAGATACCTCGGCCGTCGTGGCATCTGTGGGATATAGCAGCACAGACAGAGCAGCAAAGCCGGCCACGAACAAAGCCACTGTGGTGAAAAAGCCAAAGACGGCCTGCGCTCGATTGAGAGCGGAGTGCATGTTGATGGATGGGTGTGTGTCTAGGAGAGAGAAATGTATGAAGGGGAAGAATCAATGCAAGGTCTAGAAAAGGACGAATGCACTTCTAAGGGAGGTCTCTCCCGATCAGACTGCGGTGCATCAACGGAAGGAGAGCGCGGTTTGTTGACGATGATGGCCGATTGAAGCCACATGGGCCTTTTGGAAGGCGGTGAGCGAAGCCTGGGGCTTATCGATAAGGCTCCCCGTTTGGGACAGCTCAGCTCCTCGGAAGTACAAACCGGACTATATCCTGACCTTCATCACCGCAGAGGTTCCAGCGGGATTCTGTCTTCTGATTGGGAGCGATGGATGATTTTTGCTCTTCATACATACGCTAAAGCTTTTATAACTTGACGCAAGTACGCTCGCGCGGCCAATCCGCTGACCCTACATCTCCATCTACACCCCACCATCGTCGAAACTACACCCAGAAACCTACACAGCTTTGACCTCGAACCACCAGCCCTTCATAGCTCAAAATGGGCGACCACGTAATGTTCTTCTACGGTACGCTGCACTCCTGCAGAATGCTTCACTTCAACATCACCTCTACGCTCAGCGCATCCTTCCGACTTCCCCTCACCAACCCCACACTCCCCCAGCCCGATCCCAGCCCTCCCACAAACCCCCAACCAGCTCACAACCAAACATACAACCAGAAACAAAGACGCAACTAACACCCACAGGAACCCTAATGGCCCCCCAAATCCTCCACCGCGTGATCCACGGCAGCGCAACCCCCGAACCCTGGCAACGCGCGCTCCTCACCTTCAAGCCCGCCATCCTGCACGGCTACCGCCGACACCGGGTGCTGGGCGCCGACTACCCCGGTATCGTGAGCGAGGAGGGCGGCTCGGTGCTGGGGACCGTCGTGTCAGGGCTGACCGACGGCGACGTGCACCGGCTGGACATCTTCGAGGGGGTGGAGTATGAGAAGGAGCGGGTGAAGGTGCGCGTGCTGCGCGAGGCGCTGGGGCAGCATGGCAATGCGGAGGGGACGCACGCGCCGGCTGATACGGAGCAGCACCTGAGGGATGTGCTGGATGCGGCGGGGGCGGAGTTTGCGGATGAGGGAGAGCTGGTCGAGGCGGTTACGTATGTGTATGTGGCGGGGCGGGAGGAGCTGGAGGATGCGGAGTGGGATTTTGAGGATTTCAAGAGGAATAAGATGGCGTGGTGGGTTAATTCGGATGAGAGGGATTGGTAGATGGGTGGATATTAGGTATAGATTGTTTTGTTTCCGGGCTGGTTTGAGTCTTGTTTTGTAAAGATGGTTGCGAGTAGAATGTGCAGTATGTAGCTCGTTCTACTATGATTCTATCACAGTATGATACCACTGTCGACAAGAAGACTTGCGCTTGTAAACCCCGTTCATAATAACCGGATATACTTCCCCAGAGACTGCGGACTACTGCGGACTGTTGTAGACACCACGGGAAGTATATCTCAAGACAGCATGAGCACATAATGCTAACTGCCAGAGCAAATAATACTAACAACACAATTCCTATCAATCAACCTGCCCATACTACCTCGCTGAGAGACCAGAACATGTCGGGGCCATACTAGCTTAGCCCCATACTCTCCACCTCTCCATATAGCCCCATATCAGTCAACCAACTCACTCCCAACACCCACCGTAAGATCCTTAAGACACACAATCATCCATACACACCGCAATTACAAACCGACGCAATGCCTACAAGTAAGCAAGTCAAAGCAATCTTTGCCCCCCTGGAGCGAGGCGAGGGTGCCGCCTTCTTCCAGAACGTCGTGGACGACGTGGACTGGACTCTAAAAGGTACACCCAAGGATTCCATCTACACCGAGGTAGCGGCCATTGCCAACTCTTACAGGAACATTCTGCGAAGTCTCCGGCCACTATCACTCAAAAGCCGAGTTCAATGCCGGTATCAAGGCGCTCAGCGCCACTTGGGCGGGGCCGTTGAAACTTGCCGTTGAGAACGTTATTTGTGATGGCCGGCAGGCGGCGGTCGAGCTGAGGGCCGTGGATATGGTGTGCAAGAATGGTCTGCCGTTTTCTAACGAGTATACCTGGATCTGCGAGTTCAATGAGGAGAATAAGATTGTCAAGGTTAGAGCGTACATGGATACGTAAGTGATTGTCACCAGCATCTCTGACACGAAAGGATGGATTCTAACGGTATCAGTGATTTGGTGACTCGATGCATTCGCGAGAACCAGTAGTTTTCAGATGGGACATGGAGGAAATGCATCCAGATTGTTCGTAGTTCAAGGACAACTTGTCCGAGGTTGATTCTATTTGGCAAAGTATTGTGCTGTATGAACTAGACATGTACATAGAACAACCGCTAAGTGCTGGTTCAATATAGCGCTGATTGAATGCCAATGGCAAGTCTTGATAAAACATTATTTACATTCTCCACGCACACGGCGCTCTCATCGCCATCTTCAAACAATATGCAATGCTTGGTATCTTATGCAGCCACTGTAAGCAGACGCAATAGCAAAACCTCTTGTCCTAACGCCTGAGGGAATACCGATACCCACCGATGACCTCAACAACCGAAATCAAAGGAAAGAAGACATGGAAAGAAAGAAGGAAAACAAACGAAAGAATCTATTCCGCTGCATGCTTTGACTTATTTTTCGAAGACTTTGGACTTCTCTTCGCAGCACTCCGCGTATTAGGAGATGATGGGGACCCAATGATTTGTACCTCTATCCTGCTTTTAGGAGGGCACTCCGTGTCCGTTTCCGGAATTTCTTCCGGCTGATTTTTGCTAGAACAGGCATCATTGTTGGCCCTATGCTTGGAATCCTCTTGTTGCTGGGGTTCCCGCCGAGCCGTAGCTCTGTACTTGATGAGAACCTTCGGTGGTGACGGAGGTGGGACAGGAAGATGATTTTGGTCCTGACTGTCCGGGACCTCAACTACCTCATCTGCTTGATCCAGGGCGTGTTTGTCCAACTCAGGCGTCTGTCGTATTTCCGAGGGTTTATCTTCCGTACCATGTGTCATTGCCTCCTCAGCGTTGGTATGTTCGGGCTCCAAAGCACAGTCGCGACTGTTTTTCGGGCTTTCTGACGGCTCTCTGGACGGAGTGGCTTTTTCAACGCGACCATCATCCGACTTGACTGGTGCCTGAATCGCACTCAACAGAGGTGACTTTTGTGCCTCAACCTCATCATCCTTTCCCTCGGCATCGTGCTCTAAGGTTCCCAGAAGATAAGTGATTGGCTGTCGGTCTACCATCAATGCCTGCTCGCTCGCCTCTTGGGGGCTAAGTTGCATCTGTTCATCGTAAAGATCATCAAGAAAGTTGCGCAACCGGGCACGGAGAAGACCTGGCCGAAGACGAGGCCAGTCGGCCTTTTCCTTCATTTCATCCTTGAGGAGTTTCCGGATAAAATTATCCGGGTCCTGTACGAATTTTTCGACATATGCGAGGAGGTACAACCCACAATCGGAATAATTTGGCTGAAGAGGAATTTCGCGAGCCTTCATGCCTTCGATTAGGGTTTTATTGATCTCGAGACCTTGTTTGGACCTAGCTTCCGCGCGTAGGTATTCACGAAGAGCGCGGATGGTAGGCGCACGAGTCAAGTTGAGCGAATCGAAGGTGATGATAGCAGGTTGGTGGACATCGCCGGGCGGCCTCCGTTTAGACTTCCGCAAGGGCTTTCGAGGTGATGCTTTCAATCCACGGGAATTCTTGGAATCAACCCGACGGGCTGCGCGAGCCTTGGGAAGAGGGCTTGAGAATTTGGCCGGCGAAGATGTCAAATTCTCTTCCTGAGCTGGCCAGTCCGTTTCCGCAGGCTGCGCCTCCAGATCACCGTGACGAGGTAGGTCTTTGTCAGACAAGCTCATCGACGCGAGTCTCTGCCTGGCAGACTCCTCTTTGCCTGGATCCGAATCCTGATGGCTGCTCCCTTCTCTCTCAAGTGAGGGTTGCGCAAGCTCTGGTCCTCCTGGGACCGCTTGCTCTTCGGCTTTGCGCCGTGCAGATCTCTCGTCCACTGGGTCCGGCTTGTCCACTCCCAAATCATCTTTGGAAATACGCTGGAGCTCGGGAAGGGTTGCATATGATAGCGACATACCAATGGGCATTTTCGTTGATAGGGACCACGATATAATCATAGTTGAACAGATTGACGTTTCGGGTCCACTTCTCAACTCCTTCATAGTTGATGCCTTTTTGCTTCCCGGGAAGATTGGTCAGAGTGGCGAAGAAGTATGAATTGAAGAAGTAAACCCTCTTCGAGACTTCTTTATTCCTTCGATCCAGGTGATCCTCCAGGAACCGTATGTAGAAACCAATCAAGTTGTCATTAAGGAATTCCGATTCGCGCAAGCGATCCAGATCTTGGATGTCAACTTCGGCCTTCTTCTTCCCGAAACGCGGATAAACCAGTGGCCTGCCACTTGTCAGCTCGAAGATTATCATGTAGGTGACAGGAAGACACACTTATGCCACTTCTGAAGCTTTCCTTTGGGCTTCGGCGTCGGAAGAGTTTCATCATCATCGTCACTAGATAGATGTTTAGTTATAGCACGTCTCTCGGGCGATGTATACTCACAAGACGACTGTGGCTGGTTCTGCACGGCGAGACATCGATCTTGTTGCTCGTCCGGTAGCTGGTGTTTTTGGGATATACTTCTTCACCGGAATGGTCACTGCGTTGTCCGCCGACTTGGATAATGGAGGAGGTTGGTTATCGTCGGGGGCGGGTGAGCCTTTATGTGTGGATGCACGAGGTAAGGGATCAGCAGGTGGAAGCTCGTTGTCAGAGGGCGAACCTTCTTCCCTGTCAGGAGCTGCAGAATAATCCTTGAGTGCGTCCGCAAGTCTTTTTCGTTTGACGCGCCCACACGTTGGGTCAGTGGATCGTTCGACGTCACTTTCAACTGGGCGCTTCGACCCATTCGGTTGGGAAGCTAACTGCTTCCCTTTCTTGACAAATGCACTGTCCATCCAGTCGCTTCGCATATGTTAGCACTCAATCATATGATAAAGGAAGGGAACGAAGCATAGCGGCAGGCGCGATCAAACAACAGAAATAACTCACCTAGGTCTACCGTGTACCTTGGCCTCCAACTTCTTCTCAAGCACGCTGATGAGACTATCCTTATCCTCGGGCGACAACAGCTCAATATCTACCCGATTATCATCGGTCCCCGACTTGGACATATATAAGGAAATCTTTCGACTAGACTCATCCCCCTTCTTGACGTGGTCAATCTTGTTGAGATCCAACTCGGTGTGTGCCTCGACAGATGGTGTCGCGTAGACTTTCATCATTTTATTTTTCGTATCCACCCCAAGTCGGATGTTCTCACCATTTGGCGGCCGTGGAGAGTCGTGGCCTTTTCGAAAAAAAGTCGCTTGGAACATTCGAAGCCCTTTCCCCTTCTTGGATTTCTTCTTGCTCAATTTATCCCGCTTTTGACGGGGCATCTTCTCCGTAGTCGAGGGCTGGGGCGATTCAGACTGGATCCGAATAACTTTTTTGCGAGCCTCGTCCGTCTGGGCCCCACCGGAAGCGCTTCCCGTACGCTCTTTGGCGAGCTTAGATGGTGCTGGTTTGACCGTTACTTCACCCTGGAGTTCGTCGGAACTTTCCCCGCGATCAGACGCCGGCCGCTTGACGCTCTTCTTGGATCGATCTCGAGACGGACTCATTGGATGGCCTTGTCCAGAAGGGGATATGTTCCGATTGATAGGCGATCCTCCCCTTCCATTCGTTCCAACATCTGGCGACTCTTTCTGCTTGTATATCGTACCGGCTTGTTCTCTAGATGGACTCTTGGGGACATTTCCGTTGAGGCCCGGGGCTTCGGAATCATCTACGTGCTTCACTGAAGAATCCATCGTCGACGGTTGTGATCGCCGCTCTCGCGCGGCATTCTTGGTGAATTTTTCGTCCGTGTCGTCATCCGTAGAAAAGTGCCGGCGTTTAGAAGAAGCCTTGCTAGGTGTTCGCGGAATTTGAACGCTCTTTTCAACTTCACGATACTCAGATGCACTGCCGAGTCTCGGGCCAGACTCCAACATCCGCCGTGGCCGGCTCGAAAGCTGGCTCGAAAGCTGGCTCGACAGGGAAGATCGACGCGCCGAGTGACCCGCCATCGATGAAGACTCCATGCCCGGCGGGCCCGTTTCGTCGTCGGACGGTATGATGATGATGGGACTTCTGGCGGGGTGTGTCTCGGAGCTGTTCAGGCGCTGACGTTTGGAAGGTCTCTCGGATCCGTGCATGCCGGTATTGTCGGAGTATGGCGGGCTGAGATGGTCGACACGAGGTTGCTTTTGCTTCCCATGAGCACGAACGGGGCCGCTATCTCGGGCGTTGTTGGAAATTCTGTCCACTGGCTTGAAGCCAAGGTTCTGCAGGTTTTGTGGTTAGATAGTGTCAGTATGACGACCTTTGTCGCAAGTACGTACCTTGAGTTTTGTCTTCGGGTTAGGGTATGACCCTGGGATAATGGGCACCCCATCCTTAGGTTCCCTGATTTAGACCTCCGATCAGTCTTCTGCCATAAAGCCATATGACTAGCAAGACATTACATACTTGTATTTACCCGGGAACAATCTGCGCTCGTCCTCAGCAGATTTAGGGGAGGGACGCTCCGTGCCGTGCGTCAACTTACCCTTCCGGGATCTGGAACACGTATGATCAGCATCGTAGGACACCATTGTCGACCGAGGAACCATATTTACAAGCGACTCATCCCTAATCCTGGCGCAGGAATGGTCTGGTCGGCTGGTGCTAGTGAACGTACAGATCGGTAGGCGTGCGGCGGTCGAGCTCCTTCTGCATAGCTATGGGTATTCTGCAGGAAAGAAAGGCGTAAGCGCTATCCACCAAGACATAAGGATCCAATATGCAAGAGCACAAGCCCATATCAACACGGATCCCGCAGAAGATACGACGGGCGGAAAGACACAACGTGCAGGAAGGACAACCCACGTCTGAGAATGTTGGACCAGCACCGCTAAAATCTCTCAGACCTAACTGAGAATCTATAGGTGGAAGGGCACGATTCCTCGCAGCGGACGTCTGAGTCCGTTGGATTTGATCGGAGGTCGCATCTGATGGAGGAGAATGAGTTTGCGGCGGATTGGACGAGTGACGGGGTGCCCAGGTGGTGAACAGTTCGGAGATTTTGTCAAAGAATGGCATGTAAACGCGATGGGGGTCATTGCATGACCGGACTGGTTTAGAGGGTCGTCATTCCTCCGCACGAGGGTTGAACGTCAGTTGTGAGGGTGCATGGATCATGGATGGCAAGAAGGCGGTCGGGGGTTTTCTGCCAGGGCGTCATGCGGCCGCCTGCAACCAGCTTGCCTCACAAATTGATACGTACTTCAGGTCTGTCTACACCGCTTGGTTTGCTTGTCTCACACAAACATCATAGCTCAACATTGATTCCCTAAGGGTTGCTTTGGTACACTACATGGCGCCAGCTGTGTTGGACTTTGCCTTTTACCAGCAAAGCATGATCAAACAGAAATCGTGACAACAAAATGGCAGAAAGGAAAGACAAAGTTCATCAAACCCAATTCGAAATCAGACGCAGATGTTCGCCCCAATGCCCCGATCCCAAATGTGTCCCAATTATTTTTGGTTTTCTTTACTATACAGGACCATAAAACCCAGGCTCATGCAAATCACGTAGACGCCCCTTTGCCTTTATCCCCCGTAGAGTCATCGTTACCCGTAGCCCTTCGTCGATCGACGCCTATGTTCTGCTGGTTGTGGTTGTGATGATGATGGTGGTGATGGTGGTGGTGGTGACCCGCGTTGTTGGCGGCCTTCTCCTGGCGAGCCTGGTCGATGGCCGAGCGCTGTGCGATGCTGTCATCGTGACTCTTCCAGACGATGTTGGTGTCGGCGGGGAAGGCGAGAAGACGCTTGATGGTTTCCCTACGCAACGTTAGTTCACTTGTGCTATAGAAGCGCATCGAGCAATAAGACACGTACCGGATCTTGATGTTCCGCCCACCGTCAATGCGAGTCCATACGCTCAGCACATCCTCCCCGCTGCGAACACTGAGAACCGCACCGCAAACCTCGTCACCAGCCTCGGCAAACTGATCTCCAATCATCGCCAAGAGAAGATCCTCCCAGTACCGGTCCGCAACCCCCTTCTTCAACCGCACAATCCACTTCCCACCCTTCTTGTTAGCGTCATCTTCCCATACGGGTCGGATCCCCTTCTTGAATATATGGTAGTCGGAGACGGTGGGGAGGAGCGAGGGCCGTTTGAGGTGGGCGTATATCGACCAGAAGCTTTCGACGGACGAGATGGAGGCGAGGGGGGCGGTGGATTTTTCGTAGTCGGAGTATTTAGGTGTCGGGGGGCGGTACCAGATCACCCAGGTATTCTTGAGTGGATGCTCCCTGGAGGCCAGACCCTTCGATGTTGTCGAGTCCTGTTCCAACGCAGAGTCCCGTTTTTCCCCCGGCGTCTTCACGTCGGAGCTACCGGGAGTCTTGGGAGCGCCGAAGGAAGCGAATGCGCCGGATCCCAGACCGAAAGCAGAGGACGCGTTAGTCGACGGAGAGGACACGCCGCCGGAGAGGGGGGAGAGGGCGTTGAAGGGATTTGATCGACCGTGGGAGCTGTCTGGGCCAAACCGCTTCGCCGTGCGGGGAAGGTCAACTCTGGCGCCGCCGTCCTTACCGTCTGTCCCCGACATAGACAGAGACAGCTTAGAGGCGCTGAGGGAGGGATTAGCCGAACGAAAGTATATTGGGATGGGATGAGGAATGAGAGCGGTAGAATGAAGCTAGGGCACATGCGGAGCGAGAGGGGACGCCACGTACTTGGATCGACGAGTCCACAAGTTTGCGTTATCCATGGAGGTAAAGATTGCGACAGCTCAGAAAAAGAGCGGTCATCCGGCGGAGGGAACGGAGCGAGTGGCGGGAGGAGGATCGAAGGGCCGAATCCTTATACAGGGAGATCGGTGACCGGTGCAGGCGGCGTTGCAAAACAGACTAACCGAAGGGAAGGGGAAAAGATGCAACAGAACAAATAAAAATTACTAGAGACTAAAAAAAAAACCTGGAGACCTCAAAGTCGAAATGCAAAAAAAGGTCAATTCCGGTTGGAGAGAAGGAGGGGAAAAAGTCGTGATCGTGATCGTGAACGTAAAACCGAGGGGAAGACAGGAGAGGAAAACTGGATGGGTGGGAGAAATTGAGCGGAGGAGATGGAAGAGTGATATAGGAGCAGGCAGCGAGGTCGTTGGAGGAATGAAGAGTACGGTATGTAGTAGTAGTCGAGATGAGGAGCGAGGAGAAAGAGCGAGAAGAAGAGTTCCGACTGTTCATCACCGATTTCCACTCGCGCCCGAGCTCAGGCCAATCAGCGCCTGTCCCGCCGGACTCGCCGCCCGCACCGTCGTTTTTCCATCTTTTTTCCCTTTTAAAGCCCGCCCTGCTCGCTCTTTTTTCTTCTCTTCTTTTTTTCTTCCACAAAACCCAAGACCACCTACTCAAATCATCGCCAGCTGCAACCGGTCTTGCACCTTCTTCACTGCACTGGCGACTCCGATGCGTGTGTCGAGAATAACCAATGACCTAACCCGCTTCTAAAACCATCATCACGAGGGCTCTACCAGGCTTCCCATGATGCGGTGATGACCTGATAGACGGGACACTTCTTTCTCGGACTACTATATCTTGCCAGTCAGCTAGACGATCAATGAGATTCTTATCTTTCTTCCATGCATACTATTGCGTGCATCCATCGCAATCCTCGTAGACTTTTGGTGCGTTATCCTTTTCCCAGGCGTTCGAGCTACACGCGCTCCCCTGATATCATTCCCCTCTACCCTCCTGTCCACATGATGAAGCTTCATACTCTGGTAAGCCGAGTTGCTCAACCGCTGTCTACACTGGCCTTGAACATGGCTTTCTGCTGGTCGAGCGTGAGGTGCAAAGGCAAAGTCTGATCCATCCTACTTTAACAATCTGTTCAACTTCTTCGCGTGCCTTGCTTCGGAAGCCTGCTAACAAATCAAGAAGTAGTGTAAGCATTGTTCGCCTTGATTTCGTATCCGATGCCTATTTCAAAATTGCCAAATACCTCGAACGGACTGTCGTGGTTGATGGTCCTCCCGATTGTTGTAACGGGGACACAATCTCCCTCACGGTTGTCCGAATACATCTGGCACCGCCCATCCACACTCATACTGCCTTAGCTACGAGCCGGGAAAATACACAATAGACGAGAAAAGCGAGATTATATCTCAGTAAATAAGGTCTATACACAAGACACTGCAATAACATGCTGCCCAAGACGCCGTCGTGACTCTCCGCCAACCCCTTGAACATGAATTTCAGAAGTAAATTGTTCGTGCACTGGTCCCGCCACTCTAGCTGAGAGCAAATCCAGAAAGAAATGGTAAAATCGACATGATAGAAAGAGAAAAGGGGGGGGGGTTCTATTGCGGTACGGGAGCAGAAGGTTGCGAATCCTCGGTTCCATCAGGCCTCACTCGCTTGGGCTCTCGGTCACTCTGAGGGACGGAAGACTCGGCCTTGCGCTTCTCCTTGTCTCGCTGGTATTCCGCACGGCGGGCTTCCCGATCCCGTTCTTTGCGGAGCGCCTTGGATTCAAACTCATGCCAGTCGCCCTCAATATTCTCCAACCTAGTGTGTGTCAGTCAGAGCTACACGGTATTACAAACAATCAAGGTAAACTTACTCGACGGCCTGCTGTGGTGACGGCTCCTCCTCGACAAAGTAAGGGTGTGCGAGGACTTCTTCAGCTGTTGGTCGTTTCGCTGGATCGTAGCGGAAGATTTGAGAGACGAGGTCCAAGGCAGCGGGGGACAAAACATCCCGGTAGACATCTTCGAAGATTCGTTTCTTCCGCTCCGTGGGTCGCATCAGCTCGAACCAAGGCATCTCTGTCAGATCTGGCCATTCAGCCCGGGATGGCGTTCCGAGGGAGTTGTATAGCTTGTCCAGCTGGCTAATCTCCCCACCCTCACCAGGGAAGACTGCCTTTTTCGTGAACATTTCCACGTACACACAAGCAGCACTCCACACGTCAACGGCGGGACCATACCGAGTCTCACCCAGGAGTAGTTCAGGGGGTCGGTACCATATCGTGATGACACGGTTGGTGTAGTCAAGTTGGCGACTCTTGGAGAAGAATCGGGCCAAGCCAAAATCGGCATATTTCAATTGACCGCGGTTACTGATGAGGATGTTCGCGGCCTTGATGTCACGGTGCAGGACGCCCCGGTGGTGCAGATAGCTCAGCCCTTCGAACATCTGTTTCGCGAGGTCTTTCTTGTGGGCCGCAGTAAGGGTGAAAGTCGGATGGTTGATGAGCCCAGTGAGGTCATGGGAGAGATATTCGAACACCATGAAACATTCGTTTCTCTCAACCATCACCTCCAGTAAGCTGACCACATTGTGGTTCCGTAGATGTTGGAGCAGCTTGATCTCCCGTACAGCTGTAACCGGGAACCCGTCCTTTTCGCCCTCCATACGGATTTTCTTCAAAGCCACCTTCTTCTGCGTATAGACGTGGATCGCTTTGAAAACCTTTCCATATGTACCGGCACCAATCACGGACTCGTTTCCGGGCTTTCGGTGGTACACAGAATCCGACTTAGCAAACTCTTCTGGGAGCGTGGGACGCGGCTTTGGGCGAGCTAAGACCTTGGTTTGTTTCGCTGGTTCGGGAGAGCGTTCACGGGGGCGCTCGGGAGGGAGGTCTTGCCGACGGTCTCCTCTTCGTTTGTCGTTGCGGCCATCAAACCGTCGGTCATCCCTTCTGTTATCGCGCCCATCCTTAGGTTCACGGAACCCGCGAGAATCACGGAAGTCCCCTCTCCTGTCATTTCTGCCTCTGTCTCGGTCCCTATCACGGCGCCGGTCGCGGTCTCGACGGTCAAACCGGTTATCAGACTTGAACTTCGGCGGCGGACCGAGAGGCATGCGGCTGCGAGGGGGAGGAGGGGGTTCAGCGGCACGGGGAGGTGGCTCGCGAGCTAGCATCCTCTGTGCAAGATCTGGAACAGGTTTAGTTGCTGGGGCCGGCGCCGCCTTTGCTTTAAAGGCAAAACTGATCTTGCCGCCCTTGTTTGGTGGCGCGGAAGTGTTTGTAGGGCCGGATTGAGCAGCATCCCGAGGTCCTCCATTTTCGGTATGCGGATTTAGCTCTGAATTCTCATCTTGCTGGCCCATGGCTGCAGGCTGGAAACGACGAGAGCTATCCTCAGAACCATGTGGTGCCTGGTCGTCTGGCGGAGGTGGAGGTGGAGGACTCTGCGATAATTGACCACGATGTGAAGGACTATGAGGAGCGCGGTCCCAGGAACCTGGACCACCTCGTTGAGAATTGCCCATATGAGCTCTATCCCGTGGAGAAGGCCCATTGCTGTACAACTGGGACTCGGTGCCGGAAAATCGACGACCACCGGGATAGCTTCCACGCCGACCAGAACGGCCACCTCTGTACGACGGTCCAGAGGCGTAGTCCGGCGGCTCATCATATTGGTCTTGATGATAGGAACGATGGGGTGATGCGTTTCTGGGGTGTAGAGTATCAGTATCATCCATAACAATCATGCATAGGCGAGCTTACCCCTGCTTTCTATGATACGAAGAGCTTTGACCACCCCGGCCGTCTCGTTCAGCGTTATATGGAGAGGGAGGTTGAGACGTATCACGGTATGAGTTGGATGGGGTGGCGCGCTGAGGTGATGCGGAGTACTGGTTTCTCTCACGATGCGACCGAGGTCGCGGGCGTCGGCCACTGTGGTCTTCAGACAGTCGCTGTCCCCGCAGCGGAAATGCCTCACGTAAAGGATCACCGTCTGCCGAGACACTGGCATTATCGGCCTCAGGGCGAGGCGGGGATGGGGATCTGAAAGAGCCTTCCGGCCCGGGCCCTGGTCTGGGTGCATCCATCGTGATTGATCCGCGACGTGAACGGCTAGAATATCTCGAGTCTAGAGACTGCCTAGAATGGCGAGAGGGCGACCGATAACGTGGTTCGTCGTCGAAGTCATCCTCAGGATGGGGGCTGTGAAATCGTCGACGTGGATTGTAAGGCTTACGGCCACGAACGGGAGACCGAGAGCGTCGCTGCCTGGAAGTATTCCGCCGACCGGGGTCGTTTTTGCGGCGGTCCCTCCCTCGTCGAGGCGATCTTCGACCCGACCTGCCGCGATTAGGAAAGCGACCTCGACCTCTTTTCGGCGGCGGGCCACGATCAAAGTCATCACCATGCTTGAACGAAGGGCGGCGGATGGGCTGATGGTTGGGATTTGAATGAGGATAATCCCGAGGTGAGGGACTGCGTGTTCGCTTGCGTTTGAATGGTGGAGGCGCAGACGGGGAGTCCCCTCTTCGACGGTCTCTGTCGAAGGATCTGTCGACGTTTAACGAAGGCGACATCTTGGGATTTTGTGAGGGAGGATAGCCAGGGGAGCCGCGAGCCGAAGCAGCACTCGGCGAAAATCCACGATGGGGACGCCGTTCTTCGTGGTTAGGATTGGCGAAAGCACGCGGTGGCGGCGACCGTAAGGCGGGATCAGGTCTGCCTTCTTTCTGACGGCGACGACGGTCTTTGTCGTGGAATCTGTCTCTCCCTCGGTCACGGTGTGAACCTCGAGGCCGGTGTCCTTCCCGGTCCTTGTGGTCGTTCGCGTCGCCGGTGGGACTCCACTGGTCTCTCAGCACCGGACTCCTACGGGATCCAGCCATGTAAACTGATTCGACTGCATTTGGTTTGGAAGTGAATGAAACGAAAAGACAGTAGGGATCTAACAGATCAACCCACTGGAACACGAAAGGGGTCGCATGGAATGATAAGCGTGAGAGAAATCAATGTTCTTCGGGCCAGTCAGTCAAGGCGTGTGCTCGGCCGCGTTTCTTGGAAGGCTTTCTCTGTCGGGGGGCGCGGAAGGCTGGTTTTTCCGAGGTGAATGCAAGCGATCTGTATGCAGCTCCCGATGAAATTAGCATGACAATGTAGAAAATCGAAAAAAAAAAGGAAAGTAAATTAGTCTTGGAAGGGGTGACGCACCTGTGCCGTGTCTATTTGTGAGCTTTTCTCCGATACCTTTTCCTGTGGTTTGTTTTATCTATGCATACGAAGATTTGGTGACGGGAATCTACTCTGCGGGTAATCTCCAGTGATGGTCAAGTCAGTCCGTTAGTCGGGCGCTTGACCAATACTCGCCACGACAGGTCCGGGTTCCAAGGCACTTGGAAGGGCTGCCTTCCCCAGTTTCTCTTCACCTTGTCTCCTCTACGAATGAGGCTCAAAAATTGCCGAACGAGCCATAGAACAAGGGTGACCACTGAGTGGCACCTAGTCAAACTGGAGCTGACACCATCCAGCCCGTGATGAGGCGAACGGTGGAAAAGCATTCTCCAAGGCCCCTCTGACATGGACATTATGTCCCAAGCCATTTCTCCGTCTGAACTTGCAGAGTGGATAATGCGCACGCCTGTCGCTTGATATCGTCGGGGCAATCACTCCGCTTCTCTGTCCGATGTCTCTGCGCAGTTGCTGCAGGCGTTAGATGGCGCGAAATGACGCTATACCAATCATCTCATCGGGCTTTCAGTGTCTTTTGGATGCAAGATGACTTCCCGCCTTTTCCGAGCCCCTTGCCTTGATAAGGCGGCATGAGCAAGCTCCGGCTCCAAAAACGCACGGGCTATCTACGAAAGCTGAAGTCGAAAAACGAGAGTAGACCATCGCGAGGAGGTCGACAAAACTGGCCTCAGGTGCCCACGACGGTTTATAAAACCCGGGGTATAGGAATCACCAGAGTCCCGGCGATTTCATCAGGACCGTCCACTGCGGAGGCGCAGTGACGGTCATGGGAACTGGGCGGACTTCAACTGGAAGGAGCCGAAGACTCCATGACATGGAAAGGTGCATAGACAAGGCGACTTATGACAAGATCAAGAATCATTAAAGTGCCGTATGGGTGGTGGTAAGTCGATGATGGTGTAGCCATTTCATAAGTTGCCAGGCAGTCTCCAACCGGATGCATCTCGCTTCACCCAATGACAAAGAGTCAGACTGCTCAACTTTGTTTTACTTGAAGATAGTGACAAGTCGAAGCACACGCCCGGCGGAGTTGCCGTCTTCCATAAAGAAGGAAGTGGGAGACAATGAAGTAAGATCTACCAAGATCGACAGCTATCCTCTCGATGGAGAATAGCCGGATATGTCCATCCAAGCAATCACTGCTTGCCTGCGCTCCATGCATCCTGAGGTTAAATCTAAAGGGACTCACCTGACAAAAGATGACTAGATCCCTGACAGTGTTTTCTCCACTCCCATACGCTGTTGAAGGATGTATGTGGGTTTGAACATTGGGGATCCGTTATCGTGTAGGTAGTTTGGTGGTTGGTGGAGCGAGGAAGTTCCGATCAACCTCAGCGACCGTCGGACCGGCTAACTGACCTGGTCGTAAGGCACCACGCAACGCCTGCCAGGGACCGTAGAGAGCATCATAAAGTCACATTCAATGAGAAGAGTTGTAATGAGCATCTATAATCCAGCGAGGAAGCGGGACGAAGCATGTGATGGTCTGTTCATCTCAAGCAAGTACGATGGTGGTGTTGAGAGGTCGAAGTTCCCGCAGCCTGCCGTAACGTCGGTTTGGCGGGTGATAGCACGTGATATGCACGCTGATTACATAATTATCTACATCCACGTTAGTTAACTACTACATTACTCACTGAGAAAGAAAGAGGGAAATATCACAATGCCGTTCATTAATGTATTGTAGCTGGAGTATGGAAAGTGCGGGATTCTATCTCCATATTATATCCGAACATTCTGTAGCTCATACAGTTATTGTATGTGACTGAAACGGAGACATCTTGATTCCTTCATTACCCGCGCAGCTGCATCCCAAATGGTTCTCCCAATGCCCAATGTGGTGATTGATTCCATGATAGCCATCAGGTCAGGCCTCCAAGCTCACCTGCAGAGCCTTGACCCAGTCGGGAGCATCGTCATCTGCGGCCTGACATCTGACCTCGTAATCCCAAGTGGAATTCTGGACGGTGACATTGTTGTAACGATCCCCTTCGCCGTAATGAACATCAATGTACATCTGCTGCATATTGATATTGCGCCTGATTAACTCCTTCATAACGCACGTATCAGGACGTTCAAACTTGACAGTGCGTTCGCCGCGACGACCGTAGTTCTCGTACTGAAGCAGGCCGACCTCGTCGGGGTCCACGCCAAAGACGATTCCGCCGGCTTCGTGGGGCTGGGGCTGGTACTGCCAGCGGACAAAGGTCTGCAGGATATCGAGCTGGGTATCGAATCGTCTGTTCTTCAAGACTTTGAGCCAGAAGGTCAGGCTAGGCTGGGCCATCGCGAGACGACGCAGACCCCCAGTTTGGTTGTCGTACTTGGTGACAACATACTCGTCGACTTTGATGTAGAAGAGCATGAAGTAGTAAATGGAGATATCCGGCCAGATGTTAACGTTCTGCACGGTCCACACGCGACGTTTGTTGTCGGGGATATCGAACAGAAACCAGTACTTCTTCAGCATGTCTGCGCATTCCCAAGGCAGCTCGTACCCAGCTTCGCACATGGTGCGCACAATCTCCTCGGCCGCGTGCTCACGGAAAATGACCATGGCTAGCCAGCGAAGCGAGGGTTCCTCGGTGGAGGGGACGCAAAGACTGGGGTAGCACACGGGGGGACAGGCACGCGCGGCTTGGAGAGCTTCATTGTAGGCCTTGCGAGTGGCAATAGCTGACTCGTGGGTCTGAATGAAGCTGTGGAAGGGCTTGAAAGTGACCATCAAGTTGATGATGTCCTCAACGTTGAGGTGGTCAGTCAATGCCATAGCGACCTTGGTATTGTCAACGAAGCCTTGGAGGAGGTTGAAACCCGGCACCACGGGAATCTCGATGTTGTCGCTGCTGCCAAATTCAGTGCTCATTGTGGCGGGGGGCGACGTAAGTTCGGATTCGGTATCGTCAGCTGCGAGACCTGATGCGGCAGCCTCAAATTCGCGGTAGGGACTCGACGGAGCCAACTCTTGGTTGACTGCACGCATAGTTGAATCTGACATTGCTTCAGACTCGCAAGCTTTTATGGGAGACGACACAGGTGGAGTGGACTGGGGAGGAGGTGGAACGCCTTGCAAAAGCTCATCAACGCTCGGTAGGGTGACTCTGGCTTGTTGTTGTGAGGTCGAGGGATTGTTTCTGATCGGAGAAGAATGGCGAAACTCAGCGATACGGGGAATCCGGCTCTCCCAATCTGGTTGGGTGCCGGTAAGAGCGTTCAAAGGCCTCGCAGGCTGAGCAGATTCACGGAATGGAACCTGGGGAAGCGTCCGCGAGATTTGGGGGGTTCGCGCTGGCGCAGGAGGTCTCGCGGCCCTGGTAGTTCTGTTTGTGGGTGGTGCCTGGTCGTTAGGAACAGGGAACCTGGCATAACAGAGCATATTCACTGGAGGAGGCCGTATGACACCAGTAAACCTGGCAGGGGGGACATTGCTAGGAACGAAAATGCCCTCGTTGTTAATTCTCAATAGCGTAGGCTGGTTCGTTCTGGGCACGACAGGCTGACCCCTACGCTGACCTCTCATAGGGATCACATTCTCGGGTGCAATTCCTGCTAGAAGCTGCTGGTGGATGAGGTACGCCTGAAGGGCCTGGTCTGGAGTCATTTCGCGTGCAGGCTGGGAAGGCGTCGATTGGGTGGAATGAGCGGACTGAGTGTGTGCTGCGTGGATTCTTTCACTCAGTTCCTGGCGACTCCCGTTGCGTACTTGTCTTCTGCGAGAGACGCTTGATGAGGCTGGTCGCGCTGGGGGGTGTTGATCCTGGTATCGTTCGCCTCGGTCTTCATCAGGAGTGTCGATATCCATTGGGTCTTCCATTGTGATAGTAGAATCTGAGGATCTCGCTGAATGGTTATCGTCGGTATCTTGTTGACTTGACACTTTGGAGAGTCGAAGAAGACTTTCTGCAGCGTTCACTTCCTCGGCAGTGTCAATCTCCATCACAGGAGTTTACACGCAAGAGAGGGACTGGATGCTGTAGGCACGACGATCATCAGCCATGCTCTATATATCTTGATATTCTCTTTCACTCTTCAAGAAAAAGTGAAACTTACCTTGTTGACATAAAGGTCTCTAGTATTCCAACATTGGTAGTATCGATGAACGAAAGAATGAAAGAGAGTATCGATAGGGTGTGCAAAAAGTATTTATGAATAAGGCGTGTATATGATAGTCGCGGGAAGAAAGAGTATAAGCAGAGACGCGTTACCAGTGAATAGTCGTAGAATGGCCCTCGCTAAGCGAGCACAGGAACAGAAAGACCTACATGGCATTATCTGTAGACTTCAATGGAGACCGCCTATAAACAATAGGGCTCAATCATGGGACTCTTCATGATCGGTGAGGTTTGAGAGGAACTTGAGAAGATTCTAACGTCATAATCAAGAGTGAAGCTAGACTTCTATAGACAAGGCCATCCAGTAGAAGGTACAGTCTTCCGGGAGACTTGTCCAGCTTCATTCGAATCATTGAATTAATCGTGCTATCTAGACAAAGTCCATTATCTCAAAGCTTCATAGATTGGAAGCTAACAAACCACCCTCTGGTGAATAGGAACTTGTCTTGTAGCCTATGAAGGCCTATAGCGACAGTGCTTTATGGATCAATGTACAATGCGATTGTTGACAATGAAACGAGAATGGTATCTATTGTTTTTCAAATATACCCAGACAAGTAAAGTGTTGAGTCAACTCCAGATGGGTTGTTTACATATTTAGAAGAACAAAGGTCGAGACGTCTTTCAAAAGCAACAAGACACAGCGTATCAAGACCAATTGTAGTTCGAGGTCAACTTCGTTGAGTCGTGTTCCCTCTATCCAGTCGCGTCCAAGTTGATGGGTGAGCGGATGTCAAAGTAAAGGCGATGAATCAGAAATATCGCATCAGAAGATGTATACAAGCAAATCAACAATGCATACAACGGCGTACGCCAAAAGAAAGAAAATCATTAATCGACGCCGGCACCGGGCGTTCGAAGCATGCAGTATGAGGGAAAACTCGTTAAACAGCAAAATGCCCAAGAACCTGTTGAGAGGTAGCCGCCAAAAACTCCTGAGAATCAAGTAAATACCGTCCACTGTTAAACCGGGGGTAGAAGCATCAATGCGTCACAGATCAGTCAAAAACTGAGATGAACATTATCTCCGATGGAGGAGGGTCAGGAACTCCTCGCGGGTCTTCGCGCTGGACCGCATGCAGCCAAGCATGCAGCTTGTGGTCGTGGTGCTGCTCGTCTTCTGCACGCCGCGCATCACCATGCAGAGATGCGAGGATTCCATGACGACACCAACACCGAGAGGCTTCAAGACCTCCGAGATCGCCAGAGCGACCTGTTTCGTGAGACGCTCTTGGACCTGGAGTCTTCGGGAGAACATCTCCGCAAGACGAGCCAGCTTCGACAGACCCAAGACACGGCGGTCGGGGATATAGCCGATATGCATCTGTAGGTGAGATAACATTAGCAACCATCACGTCGCTGAAGATCAACAATCGTAACCTGCACATACCTTTCCAGTAAACGGAACCATATGATGCTCACACAGAGAGAACACCTCGATGTCCTTGACAATGACAAGTTCATCATGGTCCTCATGGAAGACCGCCCCATTGACCAGATCTCGCACGTTCTCCTCGTAACCTTTGGTGAAATAGAGCATAGCCTTGGCGTATCTCTCGGGGGTTTCGCGCAGACCTTCTCTCTCCGGATCCTCTCCAACGCACTCCAGGATCGTCCTCACAGCTCCGGCCAGTTTCTGAATCCGCTCTTCCGTCTGTTCGGGGGAGGACTCCAATCGAGCCCTGGTACCGGGGCCTGTGGTGCAAGCGTTAGGCGATATCGTCCCAATGGAGACTCTTATATCACTTACAAGGCCAGCTCAGCCCATCAAAGTCAATTGGTGGGTATAGAGTGTAGGGGCTTGCCGGTCGACTGACAGCGGACGGGGGAGTCAAGGCACCACCCTCGTCTCTTGGATCGCGCGGAGGATCATTCAACGTCGGCCTAGAGATTTAGTCAAGTCAGAAATCTTGCCCAGGCAGTTACGAATATATGCGAGAGACAGACTTGGCAGTGTCAGCGCCGTGGACAGGGCCATCCGCATTGAGTAAGGAGGCGCTGGGGGGTTCAGCGGCTGACTCCGGCAGGTCGAACTCAGCCGGAATGCGCGGCGCGAAGGAAGAGCGAATGGAAGAGTTGAGGCTCTCCCGTTCGCGAGCATCACGACCGCTTGAAGACGGGTGGAGAGGAGAGCCCCCATTCAGCAGACGAGATGGCACAGCCGACTTTGGCTTGGGGCCATGAGGGGGAGAAGATCCAGAGACCATGGTGGAGAATTGATATGAGTAATAGTTCGGAGGAGGAGGGGTGTCAGAAAAGAGAGATTCTTTGAAGGGTGGCTGGGACCGATCGAGCGGATTGGATTATACAAATGAGATTGGATGAAGAAAGGGCGAAGGTTATAGTGAATGGGACATGGCGATTGGGATATGTTGGAAGATAATCACGAGTAGCAGCACATCATCAGCAAAGAAAAAGTCGGCGGGGAAAAGTGAAATCAACGGCGGGCGGCGACTCTTTTTTCGGGGCAGAAAACAGAACGGCCTGTGGATGCCGTGGCTCACCGCCCGGGAAACCCCACCATGTTTATCCCGCGGGCTCCATCCTTTACAGAAGAATGCAACTAATAACTACTCCGGTCTAGAAGTAGAGGGAATTCATGCAGCAAGTCATACTTCAGGTTATACTTATATACAATCGATTATACAATGCAAAAACGCCATAAACATTTCAATCAAACAAGCAAGTCTCGAGCCAAAACGCTCGACCCATCGCCCTTCTTGCAAGCGCACGCATTCGCCCCTGAGGCGATCTGGGATGGCGTACGGGCATAGCTTGGAGGCACATCCAAGACCGGGTTGCGGGTGAAGAAATTCCGCGGCCGCAAGAGTAGAGTCATGGGTTCTGCTGGCATGATAGGATAGTCCTCAGGCGAGGGGAAGTGCGTCAGGCCAAAAGTATGCCAGAGAACAATGTCCTCGTTGTCAATGGAGCAATTGGGATCCGCTTCAATCCATGCAGGCAGACCCTGAGAGGGCTCGCCGGAGGTCTGAGGAACGTGGCGACCGGCAGGATGGACCTGGTCGTCGGAATCTGAATCAAGTTAGAACGACTTCTCTAAATACCATGTACGGTGAACTCACATTTGGTGACATGGACAGCATGTCTGGCGAAACCGGCGCGCTTCCACACCAGCCCACCCTCCTTCGGGAGGAGAGGAGGCACCTCACGACTGACAAGCTTGTAGCACACGGGCTTCTTGCTGTAAGGATTGAGCTTGTTGGTGTTGGCCATTTCCCAAGTTCTTCCGGTGAAGCCGTCGTAGTCAGACATGGCCTCGAGAGGAGTGGTATACTTCGTCTTCTTGGCGTAGAAGGCATTTCCGTACTTATTTTCGGCGCTACCGACCTCCCCGGGGCCACGAACTGCATCAACCTGGAAGACAGTGTTATTGGGGCCGTCGATGTTGGGGTCCACGCGGAGACAGAACAAGTGTTGGTGGTTGTGGGCGTTGACACCCGGGTAGACTTCGGTACCCCAGCCCTTGGTATCCTCACCAGGGTTCATCGCGTAGGTGTTCAGAATTCCGGTCAGCTTGATGTCGAGCTGGACAGTTCCATCCTGGTGGAAGATCCAGTACACGCAGTACTCATAGTTGGCGGCAGTGAAGATGTGGGAAATGACCAGCTTCCGGCCACGGGTCACAATGATAGACTCGTCCCGAAAATCGGTGTGCTTGAACAGGATACCAGCGTCCTCTTCGTGAATGCAAATCGCGTTCTTTACAACGGTGCTAGCACCAGCACGGTTCACAAATGCAGCATCCATGTAGTGGATGGCACCCTTGCAGTCGCAGCCCAGAGACAGACTGTTCGTCATGTAGCCGCCTCCATACTCGCCCAAGTCGAACGCGTGTTTACGCTGATGAGGGTGCTCCGGGTTTCCGTAGGGAACCACCATCTCGGCGAGAGACAGACGGTAGAACACCGGGCGGACGTTGCCCTTGTCATTATATGTGATGTTATTGAGCACGATACCCTCGCGGTAGTTGAAGCCAACGTGGATGTTCCAGTTTTGCCAGTCGATGACGCGTCCGTTCATCTTGAAGGAGACACCCTCGGGCTGGGTTATGTTGATAGGCTTCAGATCGGTTCTGTAGCCACCTTCCTTCTCGACAGATTCGGGGTGGTAATTGTTGGGAGCGGCCTTGCTGAGAGGTCGTCGCACAGGCGGAATGTCAATGTGAATGATCTCCTTTGTCTCGGCATTGTAGATCGGGCAAAAATCCAGGGGAAAGGTGTACTGAGAGTCATCGACATGGGGACGGTAGTACATGAGCGCCTGCTGCAAGCGAACATCCGTTCCGAACCGCTCATCGTATCCGATTGTCCAAGCTGCAGGTATCTATAGTCAGTGATTATCCTCCCAGGTCATTGATACGCTCCTGTACTTACGATCGCAGTACACCTTGTCCATATCCTCCTTGGGAATCCCAATAATCTCACACTGCTCGATCACCTTGGGGTCCTTGCGGACAATGTGTTCGACTTCTTGGAGATCTTCCATGGTGATAAGAGGCTGAACCCCAGGAGTATGCTGCCACTGGATGATCTTCTTCTGGTTGAGATCGACGATTCCATCATAGACTTTTCCACCAGGCGCAATGGCAACCACATCGGCCGCACGTGCTGGACGAGGAGCATTCTCAGGGTCTGCAAGCCATGCCATCATCTCCGCTTTGCGGGGCTCATAGAGACTGACGGCGTTAAAGTTAACCTTGCCATGTTCCTTGCGGACGAGTGCAACAACAGTATCGATTTCGGTAGTAGAGAGAGGATCAAAGGGGTGAGGAGGAGGCGAGGTCGCGGTGACCTGATGAGTCAACTGTTGGAGGCGGTCGAGGACCATGGTGGTGATAAATAGTAGTGTAACAACGACGAGGAAATGCGAGTAGATCCAAGTATACCGAAGTATATATTGTGCCGTTGATAAGCCGCGATGTGGTCTTGTTAACAAGTATAACCACTTATATGGCGTACGGCTTCCGAGCAGTGCAGAAGGCGACAAACTATGATTTTGAGGACAATACAGATCCTACTCCAGCGAGAGAACTTTCCTGTTTATAAGGTGCATCGTGCAGCTTCATCGCAAAGCCGCTGCCACCAGTGATAACCGATAGGTCGATAAGCCCGTCGCATTTCCTTTCCATTTGGGGCCTAGCGGCTCTGCTGCCCTCCTTCCATCCCAAACGGGCAACGCAAACCCTCCGACTCGCGGAGATGGAGATTCTGGAGAGCGGCGGGGTAAACGCGATCGGATGTCTTTACCTGGAAGACGGTAGCTTGGGATGGTCAATTATCCCGGGATGATTAGGTAGGATGATCCTTACGTGCTTCTATTACGACAACGTAGATTCTATGCGAGGCCGAACTCGGCTGCAAGGAGATGATTGACCGCAATTACAACTGTCAGTAATCGCAGATCATATTCACATCTAATCAATTGGCAAATCTCATGCCCACAGCAACAGCCAGAGGACTTCTAATCAGGAAGAAAAGCAGAAATCATATTCCAGCCGTAGAGAACACCATACACCCTGCGCAAGCATCCGCTTCCAAGCGATGGCACGGAATTCAGGCGATGAACCCCAATCACTAACCGGAATGAGGCACAAATCAAAGAAAAATGCAGAAAAATAGAAACCAACAAGACACCCGAACAGTGCCGTATGCTATGTACATCCGTCATATCGTATCGCTTCCTATCCCTCTACCAAAAGAAAACAATACCGTCGCCATAAAGCGAGACAGCGAAAAGGAAACGGAGATGGACAGCCCATCAAGACAGGCCTTTGAGCATTCGTCAGAAGGCCCAGTCAAGGAGAAGACTATACAGCCGAAGACAGGACAGAGAAACAAGATTCGCAAACAAAGCCTACCATGACTCCAACAACCGTATCTAACACCCGTAGATGAGTTAATACACTGGTGGTCCCAGCACACCCTATGACTTTGCCATCTGGAACTGTCCCAACACCCCGCCGGTGGCACCGGGTGTCAGTGCATGCTGGGGTGTGTGGCTGCCCGTGACAGAATGAACAGCATTGGGCGTACTGGGGGTGCCAGTGGCCGAATAGATGGTAGCCCCGTTGAGATTGGGGGTCTGATGGGGCTGCATAGAATACAGCAGCGCTGGCATTTGGCCGTTCAGCCCCCAGATCTGACCGGAGTATTTCGCTTCGTCGATGTTTCCGTTGAAGACCAACTGGCGCATCTTCCAGTAGATCTCGCCCGTGACGAGCGAGTCCGACCCGGCCTGATGAGCAATCCCGACACGCTTGACGCCCAGCTCGTCCGCAATATCTTGCAATCCCGACTTCTGTCCGAGGTTAGCCAGGATCTGTGCAGCAGCTGGTGTCAGAGGCGAGTCGTTTACGGCTTGATTGCGACCCGCATGCTTCATCAGGTATTTAATATCGTATAATGACGGGAAGAAGATGTTGAGAAGCCTGTGAAATTCCTCTTCGTTCTCCGGGAGAGGTTTGCAGAGCATAATCTTCATCAAGTAGCCGAAATCGTAGCCGGAGTGGAACGAAACCCAGTGGACGTCATCGAGGAGGACGAGGCCCGAGCTGATCAACAGGGCGCCAAATTCAAAGGGATCGATTCCATTCTTGTCGTGCATGGCGAAATCGATACCGGCCTTCGCCAACATCGCCGTTGATTCTTGGGCGTACATGTCATCCTCCAACGAAAACCGGAAGTTGAACTGCCAGGTGCAGGGCGCAGGTACCAGACCGTTTCCGAGCGGCTGTCCATTCGCATCGGTGGCATTGGGGGGAGGAACTTCTCCTTCGGAAGAGAAAAGGGTGATTCCCAGCTGGATCATCTTCAACAGGTCGACGTTACATCGAAGGGTTTGGTAGTGGTAGTCCGCTTTATTCGTAAAGGCGCCAATGGGACGAGCGACGATGCCGGGAAACTCGGTGTCCTGGATTATCGTTAGTCGATTCGCAGGTCGGATCGATCTGTCGAGGGAGCTACATGAACCCCCAACGACCGGAGCCTCACCATGCTGATGTAGGGATACTTCTCCACCAGTTGTCTGAGGATCGCCATTTCCTGAGCCAGATTATGCTTCCATACGTCTCGTATCCGCGTTTTGACGCCACCGGCTTTGGTCTCGAGGGCTAGTCGGCCGTCGTGGGCCTGATGTAACTGCTGTTGCTGCATCTGTGCCCCTCTCGCGAACCCCATCTGCGCGGCATGACTGGCAAGGCCCGTGCCTCCACCGTCGCCGCCAAACGCAGCGACCGACATGCCATTCGCGATCCCCGTGCCGGATAACGTGAAGGGGTTCATGTTGGTGTTGGTGCTGGCGGCGAAGCCGGGATGGCCGCCAAGCGAGGGCGGCGGAAGAGCTGTGTTGGCCGACTGGGCATGGGGATGATGCTGGGGCTGTTGCTGCTGCTGGAGATGGGCCTGTTGCAAATGAGCGAAGGGGGCGGCGCCCATGCCGTATCTGCCGACAGGAGGTGGCATTGTGTGGAGTGTCTGTTACGTGGGGTATCGGTCATGCATCTGAATATTGGAGATGGATGGGATGGTGATGGCGGCGAGGGCTGCGAGAGGAATCGATCCTGCGCAGGTCCGAGACCAGAAGGCGGACAAGCTCCGTATGCGGTTTAGCGCCGCCAAGCCCTCCTCTCCAGCTTTCGACTTCGAACTTCGTTTCGCTCCCGCGCCCTGCGTATTCTGTCTCTCGCGATTGTTCCTCTCTCGTCTCAATTGTCAACCGGTTTCGACGGATTCGAACGTCCTCCTCTCCTTCGGCTCACTCCTCCAATCTCTTCCGTTCATACCCACCCTGTTCCTCGCACATCCGCCATCATGCCCTCCAACCCCACCGGTTTCGACCTCAACGAATTCAAGGCCGCCGCTTCTCCCCGGTCGGTCTGGGCCAAGCGCGATCCCTGGGCCCGATAGTACGGACTCCCAATGCATTGCTCTTGTTGAACCAGAATCATCCTACTAACACCTCGCAGTGAGGCCTGGAGATACACCGGCCCCTTCAGCCGCTTCAACCGCTTCAAGCGTATCTTCCCCGGCTTCGGTATCGCCAGCGTCGCATTCGCCGGTTACTGCGCCTACGAGCACTTCTTCCTCAAGGATGACCACCACCACGGTGACGGCCACCACTAAGGTCATTGATGTCCGAGTTTGACGAGCGGTGGGGGATTCGAGGATAGTCAGCCACATACGGCCGGAGAGCGATTGACGCACCAATCTCCGATACGCTTCCCACGGGATATAGACAGAAGGGATGGAATGCTGTCGGCATTGGTTCTCTTATAGACGTGATTCCGGTGGTGGTTATGTCGATGTACTCTGTACTGTACCACGGCTGCTATCTCTCGTTGGAAGACAGTTTTCAGATGAGCGGGCCCACGGGCCTTGTTCTGCACACGGCGCCTGGGATCTTTTCATTTGTGTGATGTACATAGTCTGTTTTTTATTCTACTAAAACTTGCATTGTATTTTTGATCAGCCGATCTACAACCCACTACCTACCAGGTAGGTAGGCATCTATGACCAAGGAGTGTACCGATCATAATCTCATGTCATGAAACGTCCCATTTTCTTTTGCACAGGCATATATACAAAAGCTCTATCTGAATTACTCCTCAAAAACCAACGAAATACCATCGTCACCGGCAGTCACAATCCGCTTCCCATCGAAGCCCTGCACAAAACCCATAATTCCACCGGACTGTTCACCCTCGGCATTCTCAATCAGGCCCAAGTGCCCCTTCCACTCCTTTAGGAGACCGTGCGCCGCGGCAGCCGTTCCACCGCGGGCGTCCCAGCGTCGCACGACGCCGTCCATACCCACAGAGGTGAGGAGATATGACCGGCCCTGCTGAGCCGCCGTCGCGGCAATGGGCCCGGGGCGAGCGAGCGGCGTCGCAGATGTGCGGCTCTGCAGGAACTCAACCTTGACGACGGCGCCTTCATGCGCCTCGCGGATGTGCCGACGGACGGCGAAGCGGTGCGCGGTATCAAACAGGGCGATCGAGCCATCGACCGAGCCCGCCGCCAGGAGGTTCAGAGGCGGGGAGGAGAACGTGAGCGTCTCGATGCCGTCGGATTGCGCCTGGAGCGAGGCGAGGAGCGTTCCCGCGGCGGACGCCTGCGACCCGCCCGACTTCGACTTGCCAGCCGCACCGCCGGCCGCGAGGCGCGGCAGACCAACCACCTTGATGTGGCCCTCTGCACCTCCGACAGCGGCAAACGTGCCTGACGGCGCCACCGCAACCGAATACAGGCCTCCGTCAACGGCGAACCGCTGGTCTTCAGCGGTCAGGCCGACGACGGCGCTGGTGCCGGCCGAGTACGAGATGCCTGCGGCGGCGGCCGCGCCAAACACGTCGAACACGTAGAAGCTGCCGTCTTCCGAGACGGTCGCGAGGAGGTTTCCATCGGGCGACCAGGCGCCGGCGGTGCAAGACGCGGTGTGCTGGAAGAAGGTCTGGATGATGCTGATGGGCTCGGCGGAGTCGTTGTGGTCGATGCGGAACACCCAGGCGCTGCCATCGTTGGCGCCCAATGCCACGACGTTGCGCTTCTCCTCATCATCCTTCCCACACGGGCACACGGCCACCCAGTTGATTTCCTCGACTTCCTGCGTCTCCGCGACAAAGTCCCATTTCTGACCGGTCTGCTGCGGGGAGGCGTCGCGCCAGGCGCGCAGCTTGCCGTCCAGGCCAGCCGTCACGAGGTATTCTCCCTTTGGTTCTGTGAAGGCCACCGCGTTGACGGTGTCCGTGTGTCCGTCGAGCTTGGCGAGAGGCTCCAGGGACTTGCGCTCCTGTTTCGGTTGGGGGTTGGACTCGTAACTCTGGGGGAGGAGGGGGCGTTCGGTCTGCGGGGTGGAATCAAAGATGTAGGCGGTGTCGTCGCCGGAGCCGGTGACGATAATTGCGTTATGAATGGGATGTTGAGCAATGCAGAAAACGGAATCGTTGTGGAGGTCGAAATGTGCAGAAGAATCGTTCTCCAGTGTGATTTCTTGGTCCTCGAAAGTCATTTCTTGGTCTTCTTCGCCGTCAGACTCCATCGGGTGGTCCTCATCACGCTGGAAGACCTCCTCCGCCTCGTCGGCTCCCACATAGGCATCTTCTTCACCTTCGCGGTGCGGATCTTGTGAAGACGACATCTCGGGACTTGGGATAGGATAGAGGTGATATGGAAGGTAGAAGAGAGCGACTATTCGGGGACAATTCGAGATATGTGACGAATGAAGGATCAAGAGACCCTTTATTAAGCTCTGAGAAGTGTAAAAAATAACTCACAGGGCAAAGAATGACCTGGAAGAGACCTGAAGGAGGTTTTCTCAGCGCAAGAAATCTTGAACTCCCCCGCTTAGAAATTCATTTCTCCCCCGCGCGGCTTTCAAACAGTGCAAACATAGTCTCTCACCGCTTTCGATTCCTAAGGCGTCGGCAAGTAAGCACTTTGTATATGGAATGGAACCGCTCCTATTCTGTCATGTCTAAATACTCTATATAATATGAGTTGCTGTAACGGGCTACTCTGTGGCAGGGGGACACATTAAAGGATAGCCTGACACTCCGCTCTACAGCTTGACTCCAGCCCGCCGACGCGCCTCCTTCTCCTGGTCGCGAAGTAAACGACGGAGAATCTTGCCGCTAGGGCTTTTAGGGACAACATCGACGAAGCGGACTCCTCCCTTCAGCCACTTGTGACGAGCCTTGTGGTCTTGTACGTGTTTCTGGATAGACTTGATGATCGCCTCGTCGTCCGTGCCCGCCGACGCGGACTTGACCACAATGGCCTTGGGCACTTCGCCAGCAGCCTCGTCAGGGATGGCGATCACAGCACAATCGGCGACGGCTGGATGGGTGAGGAGGTGGGCCTCCAATTCAGCGGGAGCGACTTGCATGCCCTGATGGTTCGGTCAGCGCTGGTGAATATCATTGCTTTAGAGATCATGTACAGACCTTGACCTTGATCAGTTCCTTGATACGGTCCACGATGAATATGTGCTCGGTGCCTTTGGGACTGAGGCGAACGACGCCCTCATCTCCCGTTCGCATCCATCCATCTTCGAAGGTCTCCTTGTTGGCCTTTTCATTGTTTAAATAACCTAGGACAACGCTTGGGCTGCGTACGACAAGTTCACCGGGCGTGTCGTACTCTGTGATCTCTTTGCCTTCTGGGGACACTAAGCGGGCTTCGAATCCTGGAACGAGGGAGCCGGAAGACCCAAGGAAAACGTCAAAGGGATGGGTTGTGGAAACAACAGTGCATGTCTCTGTAAGGCCTGCACACTCCATTAGTATCTAGTACTTTGCGATAGGAGGGGTCCTCTTACCATATCCCTGACGAATGATCATGTTGGGATAAACCTTTTGGAAATCTGCTGCTGTCTCTTCCCCAAGTGGAGCTGCACCGGTGAACAGCGTCCTCGCAGAGCTAAGATCATACTTTGCGCAGAGCTCTTGGTTTCGCAGCATGTTGATGATGATGGGAGGGACCTGGAAGAATCAGCAAGGACCCAGTTTTACCGGGAATGGCATCACGAACCAGGAATAAAGATGCGATCTTGAAATCCTGAATAGCCCTGAGGTACGAGTTGATCTCGAACTTTGGAAGAACAATGGTCTGGTCACCACGGAACGTTCCCGTATGGCAAATCACGACCAAGGCATAGATATGGCTCTGTGGGAGGAGACCAAGTCCGACATCCGTATACGGCTGTCCAGGCGCACCTAGAGTGTCTCTCCACGACTTTTCGAATGTCGCGATCTGCAGGACATTCGCGATGACGTTACGGTGGGCGATCATGACGCCTTTCTGCATTTCGAAGTTAGCTTATCCATCTGCAAGTATTTCAGCATCCACCCTACAGGCAAACCAGAGGTTCCGCTGGAGTAACAGAGGAAAGCGGTTTTACGAGCACCATCTCCAGGACCCCATCTAAGCTTCTCCAGCTGCGGAAGGGCTTTGCCCTCCTCCACAAACTGAGAGAGCGTCTTGTACCCCGGCGCCTTCGCATCGCCGACGATCTGGGGAGGCATATCAATCAAATAAATGCGGTTCTTGGGCAATCCAGCCAGTGATGCAGCCTCTAGCGCGGTTGAAAGCAGAGGCAGACAGGTGAAGAGGGCTTTTGCGCCGGAGTCGACCAGCTGGTGCTTCAGTTCTGCGGGGGAATACGCCGCATTGGCCGGGGTGACCAGGCCTCCCAGCTGATGGACGGCCCATGATAGGGGTAAAGTATCAATCTGGCAGCATATCATGGTGAGCGATGACTGTATTATCCTTTCCGGTAATCCGGTGACATACGGTGTTCAAGCTGAAGATAGCCAGCGTCTTATCCCATTCCGTGCCAGTGTTGGGAGCCCATCCGAACTCTTTCGCCAGGGCGCGCGACAGACAGTTGACCCGGTCCACTACCTCTGTAGTGGAGTAGCTCTTTCCGGTGATGCCGCAGGTGTAGGGATCTCTCGAAGAGCGGAGAGGATGGCGTCCGTAAGCATCGTTCAGCATGAACTCACTGATGGGAATGTTGTCCGGGACAGGGGGCAGCTCGCCCAGGTAGCTCGGTGGCGTAAAGACCATGATTGCAGGACAGGATACGTGTGAGCAAGAAGAAGGTCGATTCTCACGGAGAGAGAAGAAGAGACAAAAGGAGAGAAAGGGGGATCACCGAGAAGAACATAGACCCAAGAACATGGGGAGTGCGAGCCTGACCCCAAAAGTCGCCGGAATGCGGGGAAAGCTCTCTCTTTCTCTTCCCTCTCCCTCTGCTTCCATCTCCGAGGTTCACGAGCGTCCCAGTCTTTGCTACGTACAATCCGCCAACAGTGACCATCGCTGGTGCTTAAATACAGTAGCCCCTCTTGGATGTTATTCTCATCATCTTTTTCCTCTTGGCTTTCCCCTTCTTCTCTTTCGTTTCGTGGTCGACAAACTATCGACTACCCAGGATGTCCTCTCGGATATCCGACAGCCGAGGTGTTCCCGCCCTGTTTTTTGGGGACAATGATCACGCCGACCACGTTAGTCTCTCCGATTCCGGTGCCTCCGAGCCTGCATCGGCATGGCAGGTACAGGCCAATCTTCTGGTGACTCGGACTTATTAAGAGCGGCCTTGTGAGGTTGAGCCATTCCCAGACATACTGTACTTGAAATGGGGAGTTCAATTTGACTTTCAACCAGGTTTGGAAAATCTCAGGAACAAACCTAGCCATACTTATTAACCATTCGTTCGTACACCGGTATAAGTATGGTGGTGGTCATCAGGCGCTGCTTGGGCGGCTTGCCACTCGATCCAATCTTCCTTCAGGGCACTTCAGGCCCCTCTCTACTCGCCCGAATACCATACCTCAGAGCGAGGAAGAAGCAAGAGTGAAAACCCGACGTTGGAAATTTAAATCTTGCATTCATTTACTCATGGCCTGAGAAATCTACCCTTAATTCAAAACGCGACATTCCACGATCACCAATTCAATATCTGCCGGGGATCATCAGGGTCACTAAGTTTACGTGTACCAGGATGGCGTGGGGTGCTCATGCAGGAGCACATAGCGCCCCAGCTCGCGATTCTTATAGGCCACAGGATCGTGCAGAGTGTGGGTTCGGATGTCCCTCCAAAATCGATCGAGCCCCACTTTGAGTGCAGTGGCTCGAGCACCGGTCACTTCAAAGATGCCAGAGGTGACCCGAAGTCCAACGTCTGTGGTGACGACCTTGACACTTGCAACCCATTCGGCAACCTCCCCGCGAGCCTCTGCAGTGAGAGCAGGCCGATTGGCAGAGTACTGGCTGTAGAGTGCAGCCAACTGGTCACCTGCACGGTCAGCCAGGGCTTCGGTGGCTCGAAGGTGTGCGAAGAAGTTCCCGTATCGCTCGAGGATGTAGAACTCATCGGTCGCGGATTCTTTGTTGTCGCCTCCAAACGGCCAGGCACGCGTCGAGGAGATGGTGTATTTGGATGCAAATTCCAAAGCACCAATGGCGATACCCAGGTAAAAGTTGCTGAACACTAGTTGGATGCTACTGATTGTTAGCCTCTTGACTTAGGCAGAGGTCGCCAGGGTTTCCTACGTTGGAAGAAGTAGAGTTGCAAAGGGAACCGTGAGGACCTCTTCGCGCGGCCGCTTAGTAGCTTCATCCCAGCCCAGCGCATCTGTCCAGGGGACCCGGACGTTCTCGATCTTCACTCCTCCGGACTCGGTCAATCGGAGGCCGATATTGTGCCAGTTGTGGGCGAACTGAATTCCTGGCTGGCGGGTCGGAACCAGAGCAAAGATGTGGCCGTCAGTGCCTTCCAGAACACCTTCTAGGACTGTCAGGTCTGATACGACGCCACCGGTATTGAAGTGTTTGGCTCCGTTGAAGACAATATGGTCGCCGTCAGAGGTGATTTTGAGATCATTGTCGCGGGGATTAACTGCACCACCAACGAAGTAGTTGTTGGAGATGATCAGCTGCTGAGTGCGCTCAATCTGCTCGGCGGTGCCGACAACGTTCGCCGTCGTGGACCAGAGGAGATGGTAGCCGAGCAGCATGCCAATAGAACTATCAAACATGGCGATATTAGTTATACGAACGACAACCAAGAAGGCAAGTGTCTGTCATACCCATCTGCCTTGGCGACCTCGCGAATTGCCTTGTACCCAATGTCCCAGGACTGTCCACCACCTCCATACTTCTTGGGACCCAGCAGCTTCAGCAAGCCAGAATGCTTGAGAAGCGCAACTTCGGCGCGCGGCGACTTGTTCTCTTGGTCTCTCTGAGCTGCATCGTTGGCCAAGACCTGAGCAACCTCGCGCGCTCTAGCCAGCCATGCCTCCGCGTTGTCTGGGAGAGTTGCCCATTTGGACTGATATGGCGCGTAGACAGCAGGGTCTGTTGCGGGAACATCTGCCTGTGCCATGTTGAGATCGGATAGAAGTAGCAAGTAAGATAGAAGCAAAAGGTATGTCTTGTTTTTGGAAGCAGGGACGGAGAAGGCGTCAATATATAGGCCCTTGGTGGGCAAGCAAACGCCTCAAGACGCACAATCCGTCGCTGTCGCCATCCAGCAGCCTGAGCACCACATCAACCGCCCGCGTTCCACAGCGGGCGAGCGGAGAACGACGTTCTTGAACAGCAACGATAGTGCCATGCGATAGTGCCATGAATTAAGTTTATTGCGCAACACTCTTCTGTACTTAAACCATACTTAGTCGCAAGCCTATACACATCGCAGCATCCAATCACCTCATTCACCCTTGCCCTTTTTCTTCCCAAAAAGTCGCGACGTGTCGCCCAAAGGTAGATCCAGGAGAGAATCCGCCAGCAATAAATGGAAAACAATGTACCATCCCACTAGTCCAGCCAGAAAACAGAAAACCCCGCCCGCCTTTTTCAATGCGGTTGAGGATGCTGGGTGACCATCTGCTGCGGCGAAGTAGCTCGCGGCAACCATCAAAAAGCCCAGATCCACCAACAGAAACACCAGAATATAGGCAACGTTGCTGGGCAGCGATGCGATCAGAAACGTGAAGACAAATACCGTCCACAGGATCATGAAAAATCCGACAGCGTTGTTATATTCTGCCGTATTATCGCCGCCGTATGCCTGCGCAATTCCAAATGCAGGCGTCAACAGAGCACCGTAGCCTGCATAAAAGAGACCTATTTGAAATGCGATCAATATTGGGCATTTTCGGTATGATGTCGGTTGTGAAAGGAGAGGCTCACCAAAAGCACTAAAGACAGTATAACTGAAGCCGTTACCGATGGACAGCTCCCATTGCGCGGTAATGACCAGGCCAAATGCAGCGATGAAGAAGAAATTGGCCACGAACACATTGTTGGTAGTGACGCCTCGCCACTCCATTAAGCTGAGCGAGAGAGTGGTCAGAGTCGTTCCGAATGCGCCCAATGCCAATGCAGACTGTGGACGGTATTAGTACAGGGCTGGCTGAGTTGGGAATGAAAGAGCTCACCCCTGCCCCGAGAGATTTCACCCTTTCGTGTCTGAAAGGTACAGCTTCGACCTGTTGCTCAATATCCACTGGATCTGCGTTCTTCTGGCTGTCACTGACAGCATCGTGGGAAGTGGTAGATGTCATTGTCGCGGGTCAATATGAAGCGCTGGCGAAGTGGTCTGTTGATGCTCTGGTAGTAGAGGACAGCGACATATGATTGCTAGCGGTTGGCTTTCAAAGCTGGCTTATGTCCATTGTTATATTTTGAGGTAATGACACCATCAAAATTGTAGATTGCATCAAATTATTCGCTAGTTCACCCAAGGACTGATCTACATCGCCGGGCTTTGGGCCGAGCCAAGCTGAAGATCGCGTTCCTCTGATATGGGCAAGTTAACTTTCACGGATGAGCGCGGAGTTCATGGTCATGGCACCATCAACCATGTGATGATGTGCTTTTGCTTGGATAGCGACCAATCTAGAGACGACTTGGAGAGATTCGGCAGTTGACCGACGCGGTAGCCGAGTAGTATATAGTTATGCTCAAAGAGCGGCTGAAGTACTTTCCGATGGGACGGCGGTCGGGATGACAAGAACTCAAAAAATCCACGTATCTGAATGATGATGAACGAGAGAAAACATCTGTCGAAAGAAAGGTTGCTTTCGTTCTTGGTCATTGGAGTTCCAGGAACAGGGCATCGGTACTCAGAGTGCTGACTACCAGCGATTGTGAAAAGGTGACAATTCCATTGTTCTAGAACAATGCCAATGTAAATTAGATAGGCTAGATCTGACCTGATGTTACCTGTTCTCTCTCACTCCGTGCGGAGTCAACATAATTCCCTGCATGTGGGTAGGTGGGAAAAATGCCTCTGGAACTCGGTACTATATTCCAATCCAACTGTCTCAGATGACAATCGAGCGCTGCTAGACGAAAATTCTATACACCGTGTTATACCTCAGAGCCTCAGGCTCCTAGGTTGCGTTTTTAAGTCTGCCTGCCTTGTGACATCTCGGTGTCTACCGAGATATTACCCACAAACCAACCCAACGATCCTTCTTGATCAGTTCCAGTCCCCTTGACATATCACTAGAAACTACCCATCGTGGAATCCTCATAGAGGCTCAACAATGCTCTGACATAATGAAAAGGGATGTGAAACGTCTTGTTCTCCATTGATCTGGACCCTTTTTCACATGTGAGCCCACCGGCTTCTTATGGGGCTGCTCCCTGAAGCGCCTCCGATCCATTTTTCCTGGGGTAGTGAGGCGTTTCATAGGAGTCAATTTCCGCCCTGAAAGCCAATTGCTAACATTAATCCATAAAGATAGGGAAGGGTTGTTCTCTGTTATGCAATAGAAACGACAGGGTGCGATCTGACACGCCAAGACGTCACATCTACTTCCTCCGGCTCCTTAATAAACTCCGTCGCCCTGTCACAACGGGCGATCACGATGCTTGGCTTCGATTCCCTGCATGCGGACTGGCATCTGTATCACCACCAACTCTTGCTGGGAAAATTGTCCGTTGCGTCCAGTCCATGACTCTCTATCCCGCTCGTTCCGGTTTCAGATTCCTGCCGGCGAACTCGACTGGAGATGGAGTCAACAATATCAGCCAACAGGCGGGATAATCCACTCTCTTTTACTGCATTGGAGTACAACGGCAGGACTCGATAATGGCTCCCCGCCAAGTCAAACATGTCTGACTGGGCTGCCCAGGTAGCACCTTGTCGGACAGTTGCATTGTGATGGGCCACATGACGATCGCGAGAACTCCAAGTGAAACGCCTAGGAGTTCATCTGCTGCCCAAGGGCTGATAGAACTGGGTATATAGACTGATATTGCCCCCAGGTATAGCCCTCACCTTGGTCAAACCGCTCGTTCAGTTCTTTCCTTCCTTTCTTACCCCCATTTACATTCTTCAAAATGTCTTTCCTTCTCTTCTTCCAGCTATTAGCATTTTTGACATTGGCTGCTGGCAAGCCAGTTTTCATTCCGAGACAGGTTCCGGATACACCGCGGGTCGGTCGCAGCCTCCAGCCTGTTGATATCAGGCTGTCATCCTTGGGAAACACGACTGTGAAAGCAGAGGTCACGAATGTTATGGGTGAACAGCTTCGTTTGGTAAAGAGTGGCGGTATATTTGATCGTCTCCCAACCAAGAAACTTCGCGTTACCGCAAAGGATGGTAAGTGATATACACTCTTGTGGCAGTTCATGGGCATGTCTAATGAATCACTAGGGAAACAACCCGAGTTTACCGGTGTGGTGGTGGAATATATCACCACCCATCTGGCCGAAGACGCCTTCCTGGACTTGGCTCCCGAGCAGACTGTCGAGACTGTCTTCAATGCAGCGGACTCTTACGAGCTCTCTCCAAGCACAGAATACTCCGCAATAGCCCAAGGATCGATGGAGTATTACCTTGGAAACAACACCAATGCTACCTCAGGGTCTGCCTACTTCTCTTACGTCTCCAACACCATAACTTTCACTACCCCTAAGACACACGAGAATGCTCTATCCACACGTTCAACCCTTATGTCCTGCACAGACGAGTACAACAAAATCGTGCAGGACGCCCTCTCCCGCGCATCAGAGATGGCCCTTGCAGCGGCATCCGACGCTCGCAACGGCACAAGCTCGCTCTTCCAGAAATACTTCATGACCAACGACCAGGAGTCCCGCAACTCCGTCGCAGATCGCATGGAGGCGATTTCAACCGAAGCCACCACAAAGGGTAAACTGTCGTACTTCTGTCAGCCCACCACAGAGGACTACTGTGCCAGCAACGTCGCCGCCATCACGTATCCCTCGTTAAACAAAGTCGTGAACTGTCCGGGATATTACGAGTCGCAGGGTGTGTCGAACATGTGCGGGTACCTCGACCAGGCTGCCATTAGTCTGCATGAGTTCTCCCACGCCACGGCGGTTTATTCCCCTGGTACGGAGGATGTCGCCTATGGTGAATCGGCGGTCTTGAGTTTGAGCGCGTCCCAGGCTATGAACAATGCGGATTCGTATGCGTATTACGCTAATGGTGCGTTGTGGTCTTGTCCATCTCGAGATGTGTTCTTTATACTGACTGGGTCTGTAGCTGTTAATCTCGGCTGTGGCGATGGTAATGCAAGCTCCGGAGCTGGAAACGATAACGGTAACCAACAATGGCAGTGATACCGGGGGATCTATTGGTATGCCACTGGCACCTGTTACTGGCAACTGGCTCTAATACTGCCACTGGTACTGACACTGGTACTGGCACTGGCACTGGTACTGGTACTGGCACTGATACTGGCACTGGCACTGGCACTGGCACTGGCACTGGTACTGGCACTGGTACTGGCACTGGTACTGGCACTGGCACTGGCACTGGCAACGACAACGGCGCCGGCGCCGGCAATGATAACGGAAGTTCCAACGGAGACAACAACGGAGGTGGCGCGGGCAACGATAACACCGGCGCTGGCACGGGTGACATTGATTCCCAGCTCCCGCCGTGGCTCAGAGACTGGCTTTCCCAGATTTGGGGCAACAGCGGTTCAGGCAGCACAGGCACAACGGGAGGCAACCAGGTAGGGGGCAGCTCTTCGTTCGATAACTGGTTACAGGGGAAGATCGAAGAGCAACAGGACCAAGGAAGCTCAGGATCCCAGCAGGATGGTGGTCCCATCACTATTACTATTCCAGTGGGGAACATGCCTGCTCCAACTCCGGCTCCAGCTTCTTGGGCCCAGGACGGGAACTCAGTTCATGGAAGCGAGGGTGGCTTTCAAAGTGGCACTGGGGGTGGCGAGGACTGCGATGAAACTACGCAGTAGGAGGCATGGCCATATTACGTATATACCGTCATAAAAGCAGGAAACGAGATTAAACTAGGCAGATTGGCCAGCTAAGTGCTGTCTAGCGCATCGCGAAACAATGAATACTTCAAAAAAGCTATATAGGAACCCATGGAAAAAGGAAGTAGATAGTAAGAAAAGAAAAATTCCTCTGCCACGGCCCAGGCGCTAAGATATGTTTTGTCGGTCTTAATTCCCATCGTATATCTGGTCAGGGGAGAGAGCGAACTCCCCCTTCTTGAGCTCCTTCTTGTCAACATGCTCCGGTTTGATATGTCGAGCGGTCAGCGCAAACCGGAGCTTCTTCTCAGGAATCACCGAATGCTGTACACATTCTATCAGACCACAAACATCAACATACATCGAAGGGGACATACCTCGTAGTACTTCTGCAAACCCTCTCCATGCATTACCACCAGGTCACCATGGTTCAGCTCCATTTTGATGATAGGAGGCGCTTCCGCATTCCTAGCCTTTTTGAACGTACTCCACCGGAGCTTGTCATACTCGGCCTGGCTTATTTCGCCATTCTGCAGTCGGCCCTTAAGCTCCTTGCGCTCACAATGCATATGACATCCAGGGAGCACCGGGTCAACATCCAGGAGTTTCTTTGCTTTGCTGAAGCCATGGTAGTACTTGTGCTTCATGCGTATGAGCATCGTTGACTTTGTGCCGAGCGAGAGCGTGGCAATCGTGGGACCGAGCGAGGATTCGCCGTCGTCGTGATACTAGCAGTGTTAGAGTTCACTTTAGACCACGAACGTATTTCGACTATACATACCCCGATTTTCATGTCCTCAAGGTATCCCAGGATAAGAAGCTCATTAGGTGATAGAAACGGATCACCAGAGCCCTTCACGGCTTTCTCCGTGGCCCATGTTAGGCGCCCCAGAGCCCGCAGAACGACGTCTGGGGCATCGTCGAATCCTTTCGAGTCTACCGAGACGACGTATTTATATGGCATTCCCTGTTGCCCTGTTAGGCTGTCTCATATTGAGCGAAATGGGGGCAGTATACATAGTTTACCGCGAAATGACAAGTGAGAGTTCCGGCAACTATCGACGCGAGATTAGAATAGGCTAGTAAAGGATTAGGACGCCACTTACCCACGCTCTGTTGCAAGGGATACCGTCTCAGTCCGAGATCAGTAGCCTGCATCTGACCAAAAAGGTCGTCAGGGCCGTTAAGACGGCTGTTGATCGCTTTGTTAGAAACAAAATGGACAATGTAACCGACGCCCGGGATATGGTAAGTCATTTTCCTATACGGATATAGCGAGGCGTCATCGATTTCCGGAATAGCGAACTTCGGGTCAAAGTGGAGGACCCTCTTGATCGGAGATAACTCCAAGTCTTCTATCACAGAGCGTAGAGATATGGGGCGCATTTTGAGGAACTTCTCGTATGAACACGGCTTGCCTTTATGCACTTCTCGTCCCCCGAGATCGTCAGTGCATTTCCATCCCCGCCAGAATCGCCGCGATATGCACTTCTGGCACCGTGGGCAGACAATTCCCTTCCAAGCTATACGGAGTGAGCTGAGGGTTGGGTCGTCTTCATCCATAGTGGAGAGTAGGTCCGGGATGAGGCTGTGATGTGGCTGCATTTCAGGGTCAAAGGGAGTCCGATAGTCCAAGAACTTCTGGTGGAATGTGAGATCTGTGAGGGGAGCGGATCCATCAATGGTCCAGAATGATTTGCAGGACGGCTCAAGGCACATCCATGCTTCGCTATATATACGCAGACTCTCGAATCCACAATCACGACAAACGTTCTTCTCTGGTGCTGTGCAACTCCTTTTCTGGTGCGGAATGGGAAAGGGTGAACCTGTCGCAGCCCACCAGCTCTTAGAAGAGAGGTCCAGCTTCTCGAAACGCACTTTTCCGCCTACTTTTTGTCCGATCTTTTCAAACCAGATATCGGTGATGCGGAAGTACGCCATGACGTTGTATCGGTGCGGGAGCTTTCTCCCAAGAAGTGTGTTGCGGTTTCCTGGAATTGTTCAGCGTATGCCATCTCGATGGTTATACTATCCCAGATCTCACCTATGATGAGGCCGACGGGGACCTTCAACTCCTTGCTTTTGATAACACTGTTTACTATCGAGTTGTCGCTGTCTTGATCCCTAAGAGGGACGAGGTTTCCCGCCGCATCCTTGGTACAACCGCCGCCACTGTGAATGTTAGAAAACTGCAAACGAGATTGTGATTTGGGAACAGGTCATTCGTGGACATACATCCTGGTTATTACAATCTCATCATCGATATAAGAGCGAATTCCACAATCAGCGTCAAGGAGGAATCCCCAGCAGATATTTCCATTGTGATAGGCGCCGCCTTGGACAGCCCGAAACCACGGAAGCGTATCAGAGAGCTCCGGGCGGTACTAAGGTAAGCCCGTTAGAAACACATCCGAGGTGTAGATGTCTGAACACTCACGTCTGCCCAGGCGGGTGGTTGCCCGTGAGTTTCTGATGCAGAAGAACCATCTGCGCCGGTTGTGTCGATGGTTGTATGCGTTCGAGAAGGTAGGACTGGGCGTGTTAGTTTCTGCTTATGAATGAAAGTAAAGATGAATTGTCTGAGGACTGAAGTACGTCGCCATTGATCACAGCTGACAGCTGCGGCGTGTCCAGAGTCATCTCACGTTTGGGAGGGAATCACATACTCGGAGAATGAGAATGACTGCGGGTCTTGATTACACGGCCTCTCAGAACGCGCGATGCCATATTGGCCAGTGGTAGTTGGTAGAGTCTACAGTGTAGGAGACGGTCACTGCATGAGAACTAGGTTGCTACAAATCCTCCGACATCTATGTAATGCTGAGGTCACTATGTTGAAAAGTGAGGCTCAATTAAGGTCTTGGTTTGTCACCTGATGATTCTTTATCAGGTATCTTCAAGATGTGCCACAAAAATCGCATAGCAAGGAACCGCCTTGACTTTCTTTGGAAACAGAGAGTTGACCAGGAAAGGCTCTCCACCTCGGACAATGTGGTCAGCGACACAGGCCTCGCGGAGTACGACATCACTCGCCTAGTGCGTAACTTCGAAACCCTCGCCGACGAGGTGTCCAACCTCAGTCAAACTTCTCCCATCCTATGCTTTCGTGCCTCTGCCACTTACGAAGCTCCGTTCTCATCCTACTGAGCCTGAGTCCCTCGAACTGGTGAAGTTCCATGACTATGTTCCCGATGGCAGTACTTGGTCGAGGCCGTCGCATTGTGCACGTAATGCGGCCATGTACCTGGAGAGTTGTATGAGACGTTTCAGACCAAGTCTTGCGGAAGGGAGTGCTCGTCCCGATTTTCTGGCGGCGGAAAACTTGGAACCTCTCTGGTCAGTGAGCTCGCCGCCCTGCATCCTAGTATGATTTGGCGATACATGGTGACAGGTACTTGCTGATTACATTTTTCTTCCAGCCTGCCCAACACTTTCTGGATTGGCTGGGGACTCGATGGACCGAAATGGGAAACCCTAAGCGCCATTTCCCCTGGGCAGGTAGATGGCCAGGATGTCTACGCAAACCTTACCTTGCAAACGATTCATTCGTTTAACGGCGTCGAGTGCGCAATGCACTATCACGAGCTCGTGGTCATCATATCCGCGATGAGAAATCGAGCTCGCCAGTTCAAAGCAGGTGACATGGATATGGACGATGAAGACGAGATGAGAGAGCTCGAGGATACTATGAGCGAGGAAGAATGGGATAAATACGACCGCGTCTTCCCAAGGGAGGCACGGTTCCCGGTCCTCATGACCTCCTACTTTGGGCTACAACACGGTAGGGTGTTTTACGCCTGCATGGACGGTTACCGACTCATCCGCCAGTCGAAGACCTATAGTTTTGACGAAAGATTCAAAACCGCGCCTATCGAGTTGTTCACCCGACTTCTGCTAAGTCGTCCTCTCGCAGACCCGCTTCTTCGCTTGCCATGAACGGTGACTTGCTCTGGGGATTTTTTGGACCCCTTCACATGTTTGGATAAAGTCTGGAATGACGGTAACATCAAGGAAACATCGGAGAGTGCGGGAAGGAGTTGGAAGAATGATTGGCATACGATGTTTGCGTAGGATTGAGGCAAAATTCTGATGGCCCTGAAGCCAAAGAGCTAGCTAGGAAGACAAAGTGGGAATAATCAAAGTCTCAGCATCTATGATATTGCCGCCTACCAGGGTAAAAGCTAGCACAGAGATTCAAGGCCCAGCACTCGAATACACAACTATATGTAGCCCTTACTGACGGGCGACTGCAAGCGAGCCTAGGGACCCTGGAACAATCCTGTGTTCTCCAGCATCATAACTCGTCGACGTTCCAGTGAGATTGGTGCCGATATACCCGGTCACAACTGTGCTGGGTGACACCCTCAGGAAGCGAATATCCGCTGGATTAAGCCCAGCCTCAGTCAGGAAGACGGACGAGAACTGGCCCTCCGCGAGCGCAACACCCTTACCCGTTGGGTGTTCAGCGGGAAAAATGGAGGCGCCAAACGGAAGCTGAGGGACAGGAATGTACTGCTTGAAGCTCATTTTGAGGACATAGGCTGGTGACGCTGCCGGCTGTTGTGGGAGAGAGATGACAAGAGCATCAGTAGTCTGCGTCCAACCAGCAACATCAATAAACTCGCCGGCCTGATCCCCTAGCAGCTGGATCGACACGAGGCCCGACAGGCTCACTAAGCTGCTTCCGCCGAGACTATTCACAGAAACGTTCCGACCAGACGGCCAGCCGAGTACAGTAACGTAGAGGACATTGCCGTCCTTGTTGCGGGTGAAGCGCACATCGCTGCTATTGCCCAGCAATGGCGCGGTGAAGGAGCCCCCTCCGGCCTTGTTGGGCCCCTCGCCGTAGATATCCCAGGCGCGGGTGCCGTAGACGGACTCGCCGTATCGGCCGAGGTAGGTCCCGATGTCACGCAGGACGCGCTCCTGCTCGACGGGCAGGACGCCGGCGGCCGTAGGCGAGATATTGAGCAGCATGTTCCCGTTTTTACTTACGCGGTCAATGAGCGAGTGAATCATTTGCGTTGAGTTGTAATACGCGATGCCCTCCGTATAGCTCCAGCTAGACGCGCTGATGGCGTCGTCCGTGAGCCAGTACGGGCGAGTGATCTCGGCAGGCCCGCCGCGCTCGAAGTCGGAGACTGCCGATGTGTCATGGAAACCTGGGTCGAAGTGCTTGTGCGTCGTGAGGACCTCCTTGTTCCACTCAACGCCGCGGTTGAAGTAGTAAGCTAGATACTTGAGCCGCTGGTTCTCAGCGATGGAGCAGTAATCGCTCGCGCCCTGGCACCAGCCGGGGCTGTTGAGCGAGAAGTCGTTCCAGATGATATCCGGCTGCACGTGGTCGATGACTTCCCGCTGCTTGTCGAACCACAGCTGGTCCGACACGTTCTTGGGCAGCTGGCCGAAGAGCTTCTGCAGGCTGGGGTCGGTCTGCCGCGGCGCGGCACTGAAGAAGCCGTTCGTGTTGAAGGCATGGTGCATGGCGACAAGCAGCTTCATCCCGTTCTCCCGGACTAGACCGGCAAATATCTTGAGCAGGTCTAGCTCCGGGCCACGGTCAACCGAATTCCACTCGTTGACTTCGCTTTCCCACATCGAGAACCCGTCGTGGTGCTCAGCGACAGGACCCGCGAACTGCGCGCCGGACGCTTTGACGACGCGCATCCAGGCCGCCGGGTCGAAGCTCCCACCCTCCGAGGCGAGCACAGGCTTGAACTGAACGTGGTTCCCCTGCAGGTCCGGCGCGCCGACAATGAAGTTCTCGTAGCCCCATTCCTCCGGCGGACCATACCGCCGCGTATGCTCGACCCGTTCCTTCGTGTCTGGCAGGTACATGTTGCGGCCGTACCACTCGCTGCCGAACTGAGGAGTGCTGAAGGCACCCCAGTGCCAATATACGCCGAATTTGGCGTCGCGGAACCATCCAGGCGCGGCAGTGTGCTTGTCTGTCGATTCCCAGGTGGGCTCATAGACCTCTTGCGCTTGAGGGAGCCCTCTAGCGGGGACGACGACGCTGATAGCGATAGCGATGGGAAGGGGTATTTTCATGGTTGCTAAAGCGTGTGATTTGTGATAGGATTCAACTTACAAACCGCTGTCCTCCAGTGGCCTGGCAGGTGCAAGGCCCTCCTCTTATCCCCATGCTTCACCATTCACCAGAGAATTTTATACTTCTTATCCGAAGGGATTCTCCATCAATCATCCTCAGACTTTACCGATTTGCCCCATCTTGGACAAGGATCTGAACCCTTACGGCATGCCCAAGTGGGGAATGGCGTTGCGGAGAGAGTCCGGAGGAGGATCGTCGTTACTTGCGGGGTGGTGAGTTGGATGCTGGGGTAAGGATGTCGGTTAATTTCCATAAAAGCCGTCGGGAAGATCCAGGAGACCCTGGAGAGAATGACGGGCAGCACCCGCACCACAAACGTTACTCTGTGGTTGGTAGTCGTTCACGCAGGCACTGAATTGGACATGCAGACCATGTCTTGTGGATACAATGAGCATTAGTCGGGACTAAATCCCCATTCGCTGATAGCGACCAGATGATTGCAACGATACTTCATTTCAACTGGGAAATGCTTGTCCAGGTACCAAGAACTCATGGTTGTATATACAACAAAGTGCCAATGTTGGAAGAGAATGTATGACGCATGTACGCCCTTCATACTTCAGCCAGTCCCCCGGCCTACATATTTCAGATCTTCAGGTTGTATCTAGGCCCCGGTGAAAAACTCCCAGGTCGCATCAGGGGCGAGCGGGTTTCCGACCCCAAGAGGCGCACCCTCGTGACCGCCGTCATAGGCAATGAAAGAGACCGGGCGCGAGCAGCCCTGGAAGTCCGTGCGGACTGACTGGCCGCTGCCGGAGTTCGGGCGTCCAACGTCGGCCGACTGGCACCCGTTGTTCTGAACAAACTTGTTGGCCATCTCGATGCCACCGTCGATAGGCAGGACGGGATCATTGATACCGTGAATGCCAAGGTAAGCAATGGGGTCGTTGCCGCCGTCACACCCGCTGATCACGCCACCAGACAGGACAGACACGGCGCGGAACTTGCTGGCACGAGCGCAGGCAAGAGCATACGACATGCCACCGCCGAAGCTAAAGCCCGTGGCGAAGCGGGAGCTCTGGTCGATGCAGAGGTCGGCTTCGACGGCCTCAATGATGGCGTCCATGAGAGCGGTGTCCTCGCCGCCATTGTTGGCCCAGCCGGCGTTGAGGCCGTTGGGGGCCACGAAGATGGCGCTGCCCTCGGCGCGCGACTCGAGACCGTACCACGGCTCGATGCTATTGCCGGAGACAACATCGTTCATACTCCCGCCCAGCCAGTGCAGGCCGAAGATAAGCTTGTATTGCTTGCTGCTGTCATAGCCCTCGGGGATGTTCAGGATGTACTCGCGGCCGTTGATGTTCTGCACGCCGTTGGTGAGAGTAGGCTGCTTGCCGCAGCCGGACGATTGGGCCACCGCTGAGGTGAGCAGAGAGCCCAGCGTGACGGTGGTGAGCAGACGAGAGAGGATAGCCATTGTGGACGAGGAAAGGAAACGGGACAAGCTGGAGTAGAACGATGGTGAATAAGACAGTCAAGCCAACAGCATTGGATGTGTGCTCTTCTTATATACCCTCAACGGCCTTTACACCTTTGATGTTTGATGCCTCCTTTCCGGATTCAGAGCGGAGGATAGAGTGCCCTCTTGATATGTAATAACTGCCGCCGATCAGTACTTCTGGAGGTCACCGCAGGGTCCTGAAACCGTGTCCCTCTCTTGGCGTGTATGGATTTTAGCCAAGCCAAGTGCATGTTCCAACTTCCGACAGCCAAGAGCGGCACCCTGAAGATGTGCACCCCGTATGAACAAGTCGGCTGGTGACAAGAGCCAGGGTTTGCTCCCTCTGGATGCTCCTCCGGCCGGCATCTCGGCAAGAATCCCTTCTTCGCAACTGCCGTTGGCGCGGATCGTGCGAACATCTTTGCTGAATGAGGGCTCCGTGTGAAGCGCCAAGAAGGTCGCTCCGGAATACATCGTCTCACATGGAGTCTCAGCCCTATCGGAGATTAACCGCCTGCCAGGCTGTCAAAAGACGATTATACAGACTTATGCATATCTGTCACAGCTAGATTGGACTGCACAACTCCATGTTGTAAGGGTTCACTTGTTGTTCAGACCTTTCTTTCAACCTGCCGCTCGTGGGTGGACAGAGACAGCGGCTACTCCTGACCTAATGCTATCTACATGAGATATCCAAGAACAAGAATGAAAGCGTACCTTAGACCATATCGTTTCAAGCTGCTATCTTACTGTACCGCTCGTCGCAGACCTACATGCGCCAAGCCGTTCCATACCATCGTTGTCACGGTTTGAGAGATTTGCGGGATACGAGGTGCAAGACTGAAGACAATACGGGCTCTATAACCAAGAGGACGGATGGATTCTTGGAGCATGCCCTCCGCTACTTTCCCTTGCGGAGCAGCAGTATCGACATGTCGACGCAGCCATCTACTCAAGTTTCTAACGCCGAGAAAATCGACAGCGCGAGTTGAAACAGATCTATGCTGGGCACATGGACCTAGAACAACCATTGGCAGAGGAAAGGAGGGAAAAAGGATGGAGACCATCAGACAGGTCGTCAGGTAGTATTAAGGCATATCGGACTCTCAAGCCAAGTAGGATATAGAAAATGATATATAAAATGGCAGGAGAGGCCCGTCATTCGAGCTGGAATTGATTCTATCATCACCTCGCTCAGCCCAAACCATCAGATCCAACTCCCTCGTTTGCCTCCTCTTTCAACACCTGCTCTGTCAATTAGAGTATCATCATGAAGTACGCACTCGCTCTTGCTTCTCTTGTTGCCGCTGTTAGCGCGCACTACACCTTCGATGTCCTCGTCGTCGATGGCCAGGAGACTTCGAGCTGGCAGTACATCCGCGAGAACACCCGCGCGGAGAAGTACATGCCGACCAAGTTCATCAACTCGCCGTCTATCACTCCGCTAGATTCCGACTTCACCTGCAACGAAGGCGCCAACACCAACGCCGGCAAGACCGAGGTTGCCACCGTTGCGGCTGGCTCCGAGCTGGCCATGAAGCTCGCTTATGGAGCCCGCATCCAGCATCCCGTACGTACCAGCCTCTTCACTATAACGAAACAGAACGCAAACTAATTATCTGCAATCCAGGGTCCCGCCCAGGTCTACATGTCGAAAGCCCCCGGCAACGTCAAGGACTACGACGGCTCTGGCGACTGGTTCAAGATCTACCAGGACACCGTCTGCACCCCTGGCGTGGAGCTGACTGAAGGAGGCTGGTGCTCCTGGGACAAGGACCGCATCAGCTTTACCATTCCGGCCTCCACCCCTCCGGGCCAGTACCTCGTCCGTGCTGAGCATATTGCTCTGCACGGTGCCCACGGCGGTGAGGCTGAGTTCTATTACTCCTGCGCCCAGGTTGAGGTCACGGGCTCCGGCAGCGGAGAGCCCAGTCCTGTCGTTAAGATCCCCGGCGTGTATGCTCAGGATGACGAGGCTGTCAACTTCAGCGTCTGGGGTGCCACTGACTATCCCCTCATTCCTGGCCCTGAGGTCTGGTCTGGTTAAGGACATATTGTAGTTCCTTCTCGATGATGATCGAGTGGTTGCTACAGGCGGAAAGTATCGCTAGATGCGGCTAGTCTGCAGGGGTTTCTCTACTTGGTTCGTTGATGGAGAGCGGGTAGCTCGTGGTTAACTACAAGATGTCTTGCTTGTGCCGTGCAAAATATGTATTTTAGCTACTGGTATTTAGAAAGTTTACATTCTTTTGAAAATGACAGCGTCTCTAGCCTAGATAGTATATGGCCTACAAGAGAGTAATCATGTTTTGGTCCTGGCTATACTAACTTTAGGGGCGTGGTCATGGAAAGGGCGTAAATGCTAATTGTTGTGGGCTTACCCGTTAAGGTTAACTGCACGCGGATGAACGCCCACTATGTAATTCAAGTGGTACCCTGCCTCTACTTACCGCGATTCATCCCTTGTTTCCTCAACATGTCTCAACGATTGACTGCCCTCACCAAATTCCTACCCAACCCCAGCAAGCTGGGCAGCGTCGCCGCCAGCTTCAGCGGCGGAGGCGTGAGTATCATGTTTTGCGCTCGAATGGAAACAACATGCTAATCTCCTGTAGCCACGGCCAGGAGCTGAACGAGGGCCAAGTTCGCTTCTTGATTATGGGCTACGCAAGCATCTACAAAGTGGTTTCGATGGCGTTCACATTACGGATTGTAGCTCGCAAGCGACAGCTACTGACAAGGACATTGATCGACAAATCGGGATGAACAGGGCAGCCTCTGTCAGTCACTTTACCGAACAGTTGAGCCATGCAGTGTACACGCATGCACGACAGGGCCAGCCAGTCTTGACACTCGGCGGTGACCACTCCATAGCCATGGGCACACTTACCGGCATGGCGAAAGCAGTCCGAGAGCGACTTATGGGCCAGGAAATGGCAGTTATCTACGTTGACGCTCATGCGGATATCAACACACCGGAGACCAGCCCAAGCGGAAATATCCACGGCATGCCATTGGCTTTTGCGACCGGTATAGCCCGCAGGGCCGAGGGTCCCCTGAGCTGGATCAGCAACGAACATCTGATCAATCCAAAAAAGATTGTTTACCTAGGACTGCGTGATGTGGATGGGGCAGAGTGGACAACAATCCACAAACATGGGATCAGAGCATTTGACATGCGCGAGATTAGAGAGTAAGCATCTAGGCTCTGAAGCAAGGATAACACTGATGATATGTAGGAAGGGGATTGAAAGAGTCATGGACTTGACGTTGGAGTACATCGGCAACGAGACACCCATCCATGTCTCGTACGACATAGATGGTCTAGATCCGGAATGGGCTCCTTGCACGACCCTCCCTGTCGACGGAGGGCTATCACTGGCAGAGGCCACGTACATTTCACAGCGCATACTTGAGACTGGTTCTTTGGTTGGGATGGACCTAGTAGAGCTGAATCCCAGCGTTAGCCCTGAGAAGTTGGATCTGACTCTGCGAACCGGATGTTCTCTTGTTTATAGCGCATTTGGTATGGAACAGGACTGATTACTGGGAGTCATCCATTGTGACGAAGAGGTTTGTTTTGTTAAGATGTTTTGTGTTGGGCAGATATATATTGTTGCCAGTGAGTGAGCATTACTCTGTTCCAGCACGTCTAGCAAAGCATTAGATATCGACGTCACCTGAGAATACCACCATACTGCCCCGTTGGGGAAATGCCACCATCAAACGACAGTAGAATTGCCGAATCGATCGCGTCATCAGGATCGGCAGTCGGCAAAGACTAGTGAAGCGCGGTAGCAAATCCTTCGCCGCACCCCAAGCCACCAGAATGCTACCCCAATATGGGCGGGGACGATGATGAGCAGTGCTCTTGATGTCAATATGTAACGTCAACAATGCACCCCCACGCGATGCAACGGCCAAGATCTGATGTATGCAGAGTGTGTGGCGTCATCAATACTTATAAGACCTGTCAGACAGACAGGAAGAACCCTCTCGCCGGACTCAATTTCCATCATGCGGTCTACAATACTCCTTGCATCGATCACAGTCGCATCGGCCTTGCAGGCCCTTCCACCAGTGCAATGGACGCATTCGAATCACGGCGCACATCGTGGACTTGATATCGCGACTGTCGACCGCACAATCTACATCCAAAACGATTTTGCATCGCAACGAGATCAGAATGGGCTGACTCTCATTCGGCCCGCTGCGATTGAGTTCGCAGACACATTCCGCCAAGATCTGGAAGAGGTAACGGGGCATACCTGGGCCGTACACACTGTCGATGCTTTCCCGAAACATCGCTCGGGAATCTTCCTCGACAAGCTCAAGACGTCCCATCGGCAGTTGACCTACGAGAATGGAGACCCCACTGAAGAAGGGTATGAACTGGAAGTGGAAAGAGATCGAGTGTTCATCCGCGGCTCCGGTGCTCGGGGAATGTGGTGGGGAACACGGACTTTGCTACAAGAGCTATTGATGGCGAACAACGGTCGTATTCCATCTGGACGGGTGGTTGACGCACCGTCGTTTGCTACTAGAGGCTTCCTGCTGGATGCCGGAAGAAAGTGGTACTCGCCGTCATTTCTTAAGGACCTCTGCACGTATGCGTCGTTCTTCAAGATGTCTGAATTCCACTACCACACCAGCGACAATTACCCGCTGAACCGGGGACATAACGAGACCTGGCAAGACGTCTACGCGCAGTTTTCCCTGCACCCCGAGAACCCCGAGCTGCAGAAGCTCGTCCAGAGAGCCAACGAGACGCTCTCCCGTGCCGACTACGAGGCCCTTGAGCATCACTGCGCTCAACGGGGTGTCACTATCATCCCCGAGATTGAGTCGCCTGGCCACTGTTTGTTCATTACAAAGTGGAAGCCCGAGTTGGCTCTGGAGACCAAAAAAGACCTCTTAAACCTGACTCATCCGGATACCATTCCTCTCGTCAAGTCGATCTGGTCGGAGTTTCTTCCGTGGTTCAACACGAAGGAAGTTCACATTGGGGCGGATGAGTATGACTCGACGCTTGCGGACGACTACATCGACTTTGTGAATGAGATGGCTCAATTTGTGAAAGAGACGTCTGGAAAGAAGGTTCGGATCTGGGGAACATACGAGCCCTCCGAAACCCGCACCATCTCCAAGGATGTCATTATCCAACATTGGCAGTACGGCCAGTCCGATCCCGTTGCACTGGCCGACGACGGATACGAAATCATCAACTCTGAAGACTGGTGGGCGTATATGTCATTGAAAAATGACCACATGCCTATCCTGCCGGCTCCCTATCCATACCTCTTTAATAACTCGCGGGTGCTCAACTTTGCCAATAGGGACGGCTGGCAGTGGTCTCCCGACCTCTTCAATCCATATAATGTTACTGAGCAACCGACGGTGAAACCAGTTAGGGGCGCTATTTTGGCCGCATGGAATGACAACGGGCCTGATGCAACGACCCAGCTGGAGGCATACTACGCCATCCGCAACGGTATCCCGACTGTCGCGTCCCGCTCATGGTCTGGAAACCGTGGACCAAAACTCGATCTGTCTAGCCTGACATCTTCCATGAACTTGCACACCTCGAATGCCGTTGCACAAAACCTCGACCGGAAACTAGATGGAAACGCCAACAAAACTCACGAATTGGTCCACTGGACTGCCTCTGCGAAGAACGCAACCGGAGAGAAGATATATCTGGGATACGGCAGCAAAGGAATGAATTACACGCTGGAATTGGATGTTGGCGGTCCATTTATCCTCTCTTCTGACGACTCAACCCTTTCCTTATCCTCAGAAGGTGCACTGACCTTCACCTCGGATGGCTGGGACTATCCCCTTCGCTCCGTGTCTGAAACGGACGGCTTCGAGGCAGGCTACCCAGGCCGAATCTGGGCAAACGAGAGCTCGTCTACCCACGAACCTGTCGCCGTCCCATTGAAGAGCCATATTACCATCCGGACCGACATTATCGGCGGCAGTCGTGTCTGGGTGAACGGGCAATTCGCTGGCCGGTTCGAAGTATTCGTCTTTGGAGGCAAGAACACCCTGTTCTCATGGAGCCAGATGGCATTTGTTGCCCCTCTCCAGTGGGTGCAAGGGCAATTGAATAAATTGCGTCTGGGTGGATACAGCGGGGCAGCATTAGCCGGCCTGACTTATACATACCAGATTCCTTTAACGGGGTACGGGGGATCTGGATAAATTATTACTCGGCCCGCTCCATTTGTATAGATCATAATTACCCATTTATCCAGACTTCTCCGCATCCCCGCATCGATGTCTACTAGCGTTAGCTGATATCCCGGACAAACGGAACAGAAGAATAGCAACTCAGCTTGTTTATAACCAGGCAATGTCTACAATTCCCCTGTAGATCCGAAACCAAGCACTGTTGCATCCACCCAAGACTGTCATCATGCGCCAAGCGCAGCTCGTAGCCCTGCTCGCCCTCGGCTTAGACCTGGCCCTTGCACTTCCAGGACAAGGCTGGGGACTACGCAGGTTCAAATCACTTGTGACATTCGGCGACAGCTACACCGACGACTCGCGGCTGAACTACTTTGGTAGTCATGATGGGGCCGCACCACCAGTGGGATGGGAACAGCCAGTGGTACGTACCATGACTCATTGCGCACCTAGACAGGAATCCACTACTGAGCAAGATACAGAACAACAACTCGGCTTCGGGCGGCTACAACTGGGGCTACTTCGTTGCGCAATCGGAACATGTGAACCGATACAACTACGCCGTGAGCGGTGCCGTGTGCTCAAACAAAATCACACCGCGGACATTCTCCACCATCAACGCACCATTCCCATCCGTGTTGGAATACGAAGTCCCAGCCTTCCTGGCCGACAGCAGGTACACGACCCCATCTGGAAGGAAATTCCTCGACATCCCCTCGCAGGAAACAGCCTACGCTATCTGGATCGGGACCAACGATCTGGGAGAAAATGCCTTCCTGACTGACTCCCAGGTTGCTGGGAAGACGATTCCGGACTACGCCAATTGCATCTACGAGGCTCTAGACCAGGTGTACGGAAACGGTGCACGGTACTTCGTCATCATGAATAATGCACCTCTACAGCTGGCGCCCATGTACGCGACCCTCGAGAATGGGGGCACTGGGAAGTCGCCGTATTGGCCTGATAAGCCCAGTAACGATACACTCTACAGCTACCGTATGTGGGAACAGGTGGCCACCGTCAACCAGGTCTTTGAGTACAAAACGCCGTTTGAGGTGATGGTTGCACGGCGGTACCCTGGAGCTCATTTTGCCGTTATGGATATGTATGGCCTGGTATGTTTGCTCTCGGACACACATATGTGGTGGTCGCAAGCTGACGCAATATAGCTGTCTGATATATACTATCATCCCGTGAAGTACTTCCATGGTCCGGCGAATGTGACTGGGTATATCAATCACTGCAATACCTCCGGCGGAGACTGTGTACGGCTCCCCGATGAAGATTCCTTCATGTGGTACGACACGCTGCATCCGTCTGAGCAAACCGATAAGTTCATCGCCGAGGAATTTGTGCAAGTGGTCAAGGGGAAGAGCAAATGGGCGACGTACTGGTGATGATAAGTCGGCATCTACATTGTCGTTTGGGCACTCAAACGATAACACCAATTTACCAACCCAAGATAATATTTCGAGCATGGGTCTTAATCGGGAACCTCATTCACCATAGGTCAAGCAGAACACAGCGGCGTGTGGTCAATGGTCCAAAATCTCACAATACCTCGGAACCTATTGGCAGGACATTACGGAGTAGACGGGTCACAACACATCGCCCCATATCAAACCCGTGTCGTATATTGTCTGATGCATAACACAGCCTTGCCCTACTCCGTACCCTGAGGCTAGAATGAAGCCCAACCATATCCCATAGAGAGGCCCGAGTATCCACCCGTAAGCAACGAAGAGATGGCACGGGGCTTCTGGAAGGAATCACTATCTGCAATTGGCAATGCCGACTGATCCTTCAGCCCAGCAGCCCCCTCCTGGATCAAAACCCCGTTAGAGCACCTCCACCGCGCCGCCGGCGGCACAAGCCGAAGCTCCAATCAGACCCTTGAAAGAACCAACACCTCCGACATCAAGCCTCGCCAGGGGCAGCATAAGGCAGAGAGCAATTCCGCCTTGAGGCAGCCAGCAAACATCGATATGGGGCACATATGTGCCGCATATCCACACGCAAAACACCTTTCCATGTCGCCATTGCCATGTGCCATGAAGTGTCCAGGGCAGAATGTCCTCGCCCCAACACCCGGATCATCTCAAACCGCCCCCAAGGCCGATAGCCATCCGGCGGGAGTACATCGCAGCCGAGGAAACAACGTTGATCGTGACGAACCGCGCGGAGCCATGGCATTCGCTGGATTATTCGGTCGAGCTCGAGGGAACCACTATCCTCACCGTGTGTGGCCAGCCGTGGAGTCTCGGCCAGCGGAAGGTGTTCCATGACCGGTCGGGCTTGCCCCTGTTCGAACTACAGTGCCCATGGTACGATTCGTCTATCATGTCTCTGAGGCTCCCCGGTGGCACGGGGAGGGAGATACTGTCCGCCAAGTTGAGGGTTGCGGTACAGTCCCCTAGTGCGGTAGTGACATTCGAAAATGCAGTGGGCTATGGAGAGAGGGATTCAAAGCCCAAGGCTGTCAGCGAGAGCAAAGCTGTCGCACCAGATTTTGTCAAGATGGAGGTCCACCGACTGGACTTTGAAAACATTGTCCAAGTGGTGGTTTTGGAGAATTGCCGTGTGGCGTATATCAATCGCATCACAGACCGAGGAGAGCTCACTGAAGGACAACGGCCGCCGTTTCGCTTTCGGCCCAAATGGAGGGTGACAGTGGCACGTGGAATTGACGTTTCGCTGGTATGTATGGACTTGTTGATGAGCTACCATGTACCTGCTTACACACGTTAGATCGCTGCCCTCGTGGTTATTGCGGGCAGACGCACAGGAGCAGTCATGGAATCAACGAACTGATTGAGATGCCGCAAAAGAGATGCCTTCTATGCCTTCGAGTATGGCAGGGCCTACCATCCTGCCCGTTCTCTGTATTATATTTTATTCTAAGTCACATCCACGCTTTGTGTTAAAGGCGATCTTCAGTTCATATGTAAAATAAGCAGGCTATCTTGCCCCACCCCCAAGGGGCAACATCCGGGAACATTACGTATATTGCAAATCAGGACCCTTAGTACCTTGCGTAAACTGCCCCATAGGACTTCCCATCCCGTGTCAGCTCATATAAAATGGACGCTGACTTGGGGGTCATTAGGATTTCATATTTCACTACATAGTACTCCTTGCCTTCCGAATTGGCGCGCTTCTCGAAAAGTTCCACAGGAATACTCCTAAGATCAGTCGACATATCACAAGACTTGAAGACCTCTTTTCCTATATGTCAGCAAAGCAGACCCTCAGTAATCTGATGGGGGATCTAACCTGTGTTGAGCTTGTTAGGAGGCTTATCAGTATAGCATACATATAGCACGTGGTCAGACAGAAGACAGTCTGGATTGGATTTGACCTCATCAACTTCGCGAGGCATGTACCAGGACATCTTAATTGGGCTGCCTTCAAACAAATCATCGCCCTTCATTTGTTGTGAGTTCATAATGTCCCGACAGTGAGAGGGTATATGATCCAGAGGGTGAATACCTTGTGAATGTACCATTCCATGCAATCCCGCATTTTCCATACTTCTTCCAACTCGCACCAATATATCCGAGTATCATGTTTCTTAGGGATCTGGCTACCCAGAACTCGAGAAATTGCGATACCATAGTTCTTCCTGGCGATCCGTTTCTCGACTCGGTTACCACACAAGCCATATTGCACGGCTCCCCTGTAGTGTTCTTAGCCGACAAAGATGTTTATATTTCTTGAAGAATGACGTACTGGACAACAGCAGACCATCTGTAGTGTATCAGCTATGTTCGTATATAGACTGGAACTGTCTTACGCATTCGATGGCTGCAAGATATCTATATTGCTGTACCTCTTCTTCAACCGCTGAAAGAGATACTCGGACGAACCGAAACCCCCAACTAAAAGCAGGGCCTGCAGTGATGGATGAGCTATTGGACTACTGGCAATACAGCAAACATACCTTTGGTAGTGGATTTCCACAGGAGCTGAGGCCATGTATCTGATGATCGACCAGACCTTGAACTTGTTGGACGACAGGATCAAATATCTTTTTGACGGTATCCCTTGCGCGTTGTCAGTGTCAAAAGTAAAAGATGAAAAGGGAAGGAATTCTCACGCTGAGATGGAAAGAAAACCGTTATCTAAGCCCCTGGCCCATCTGTCCGAGATTCCTGGGATGGGGATGAAGTAGTCTCCCTCTAGTTTGCCGTTTTCGCTCCAGGAATAACCAGCTTGTCCTGTGAAGTTTGGTTTGATAGTCTCCGTCCAATACTTCATCGCCATCTGTTTGGATTGCCGAGGTATCTTCTCGAACTTCCTACCAAAACGCTTTTTCAGATGTTTTTTGTATCTTTCATCCAACGAGGCAGAACCGCACACACCACCTGGAGCAGTTAGTCTTCGCCGGCAAAACGGGTATCGAGGCTACTTACCAGTCCCTTCTGTTTCTTCCTCCAGTCGCAGTGGATTCGTACTTTTTACACGGTATGATATCAAATCCTATGGTTGTTACCTTACGGAATCAAGCATGTAGGATGGATGGAAAAACACGTACCACTGTCCCTCCCCCGGCATCACACACTACCACCACATCTCCTTTCTGTAGGCATGTGTTAATAAAAGGAGGTGAATGACACGTGTATGATCCTGACCTCGATGGTATTGGGCTGGATTGAATGCAAACAATGGAGAGCCGCAGCCTCTGGCTCAGAGACCAGAGTGAGATGTCGTTCGGGAATTCCTGCTTCTTCGGCAGCAACGATAGAAGCACTTTTGGCCATATCAGACCAAACGGCAGGCACGGTCAACACATACTCCAGCCCCAAGGACTGGACGGCACTGCCAAATCGTTGATCCAGCGTGTCCTGGGCATGGGCGACTAGTTTGCGAAGATAATCACTCGCCACACGCACGGGTGTGGTTTCCCGTTCTTTGATAAAATCACGGGCCTCTGCAGCGGGTTGATATTTTGGCTTATGGGAATCATCTAGGAGTAACTTGACGCCATAGATGGTGCCAGCCATGTCTCCTGTCTGGTAGCCCCAGTGGATCGCATTGTTCTCGTAGAGGATGGTGCTTGGGGCCTTTGGCGTGGTGCCTGATGTAGTTAGTTAGAGACCATTTTAACTCGTAGAGATTATCCAACGTACGGCTTCCTGCTCCAGGCCAGGTAGAGATTACTTCGACATCTTCTCCGTCACGAAGAGCCCAGGCGACACTGTGTCGGATCAGCAACTGCATCCAATGACAGTGGAAGAGTGCATCAGTACCCGCTGTAAGTGGTCCCAAAGTCGATACCGACAACAATGGCATTCTTGGATTCCATATTAGATGAATTCGTATTGCACTGGATTATGTGGAAGAGTGTGAGCAAGAGAGTAGATCAGAAGAAAGGTGAGCTCTTAAGTATTTCGTACAGCACTGACGATAGAAACATTGCCCAACATTCATGCAATTCTTCATCTTATCCGGATCCTCTATCTATTAACTGTTTTCATTATCCCCGCGCGGATGACGAAACGTCACTACCATGTCTATTCTTCCCAGCCAGTCTCACCTCAGCCTTGACACAATTCATGACAACAACTCCATTGCCATGAACCTAGACACGCCATCTCTTTTCCTACCCCATTATTCCCGAGTCTAGCCACCTCGCAATCAAAGCCTGGCTGAGAGAAATCTTCCCGACCAACCAATTAACCCACCTGACCTGACATTTGTCAGTGAGACGACGGACCTGCCCAGACAGCATCAGGTCATCGACTAAATCACACGGAAGCACGAGTCGCCGATGGAGGACGATGCGAAGGACGCAGACGCTCTTCGCGAGGAAGTCAAAGATCTCGAATTACGCTTGCAGCATTCGCACAGGGAGTATATGGTGCTGAGCTCTCACTTTCAGGCCCAGGAATGCGAGCATGAGACTGAGCCGCGCCGCGCCAATGAACAAGTCGTGGAACTGACAAGGCAGCTCAATGCATTGCAGTTCACGTCTGACATATTTTGCGACGACGAGGCAAGCGCGCGAATGAAACATCTAAACTACCGATTAGAGAGATGGGTCGCAACACATTTCAATGATAGGGACGCTCTGAAAGAGCTCGTGTTGGAAGAGGCCAACGTGTCCTCGGATGAACTATGGAGCGTACCTGCACAACGGGCTGCAATCCATTCTCGAGCCAGTGGTCTGATATGGGAGCCAATATTGAATCAATTCATGCTGGGGGCCATGGAGCACGCTCCGGGCCTCGACCAATACCTAGCCAAGCTCCGGGAAGCCGTGTTTCACCGATGTAAGCAACCCAGCATTATAGCTTGGAAGGCGGAAAACTAATTGCTGGTCAGGCCCCCAGATATTCTCACAACAATGGGATCTGGCGACGAGGATGGGCGTGGAGCATATGATGTCGGACACCTTAGACACAATATGCATGTCTCTGGCACAGGAGATCGACTTAAAGCTCGCAAAATACAGCAATACAGATAGCCAGGCCAGAACTATGGGCCTGAAGGGGCTTATGCTGGACTGTCATAAGTTAAAACAGCGCCTAGAACACCAAGACCATGCCTACTACTTCGCGTACAGCAAGCCCGGCGGAGCATATGACCCGGACACCATGCAGAGTCTGACGGATTGCAAACGAGGAGGTCTTTTGGTCAGGTTATCAATGTGGCCAGGGCTACGTAAACTGGCAAGACATGGCGAATATGTGATTGAACGGGAGGTCGTGTGGACGGAGAGTATGGAACGTTGTTACCAGGAAAGTGAAAGGTCATCTACAGAAGAGAGTGAAGAGTTGGATGAAGAATAGCATGGAGGGCTAACATCAGATGAAAGTGAAGTTGTTTCTTTGCCACTGAGATAATAAATTGCGTAAAGGTGCCAGTGGTTTCTGCTTCGTGACCCATATATTACTTAGGTATCATCCGGACGACATAGGCAACCGCTTGCTCAACAGTGCAATACACCCCCATAATATTCCAAAATCTACTCATTTAGAGCCACAGCCCACTTCATGTCATCCCAAGGTTATTTGAGCTGGCTGCTGGTATTGTCGTCCCTGGTAGTCACGTGATTGTCCCTGCGGCGCCGAATCCCTGTCGATATGCGTATCCAGATTCTGCCATTATTCTTATACCAGAGATGCTTCATTGTTCATGGGGATTCCTTCGTGGAGCAATATCAAAAGGGCCAGTCACCTCATGTCGCGTCCATTCACCATCCATCTCGCACTTTTCCACTTCACCCGGAAGGGATCAACATCAGTATTCTTGTCCGATTGATGCGGAGCCCCTCGATCGCTACAGAAGAGGAAGCTATCACCCAATCTCATTGGGGTGCTTTTTGGACAACGGGAGATACAAGATCCTACACAAATTGGGATGGGGAGGGTACTCGACAGTTTGGGCTGCGAGAGATCGAAGTGCAGGAACTTACGTTTCCATTAAGATATGTGTTTCAGAGACAGATGATAATCGGCATCAGCGAGAGCTAGACATTCTGAAGAAGCTGAGATCAGCGCCCGGCAGCTCTCAACATGTCGTGCATCTACTTGATGATTTCGAGCTAGAAGGACCGAACGGAACGCATCGCTGCTTAGTTTCCGAGCTTTTGGGACCAAGTGTTCCCGACTTGATAGATGCTCGATTCTCGGACGAGAGACTGCCCGGAAAACTTGCCAAGGCTATTGTGAAGCAGGCCCTTTTAGGGCTTGACTTTCTACACGACCAGAAGATTGCGCATGGGGGTAAGTGATGGCCAATTGTTGCATTTCTGCACTAGTATGGTATTTCTCATCTGGTATAGATCTTCACACCCGCAACTTGGTGTTCACCATAGCCCCTAAGGACAATATACCAGAGCAGGATTTCATCAAAAGATTAGGTACACCAGACATAGGACATGTTCGCAGAAAAGACGGTTGCCAATTAGATCCTGGTATCCCCGAATACATCGTCAGGCCTGCTAGGACACATTCGTGTCCTTTGTCAGGCAGTATCAAGATAGTCGACTTTGGCGAGGCCTTCTCGCAGGAAAATGTCCCACAAACCCTTCACACCCCGCTAAGCGTTCGGGCACCAGAGGTCATCTTTGGGGGCCAATTGGATTATCGGGTAGATCTGTGGAGCCTGGGATGCATGGTAGGCCTGACAACAATAATTGTGTTTACTCATACTAACAGCTGCGCAGCTATCCGAGCTTTTTGTCGGCCAGCCACCATTTGACAGCTTCCTGATAACGCCCAAAATCCTCGTGGGCCAGATGCAGGAGATGACAAATGAAACACTGCCTGAGAACTGGCTAGACCAGTGGAGAAAGATGAGCGGTGACTACAGCGGAGACAGTGCGGGACCTGGGCTACAGGACTGGCTGGAAGAGATGTATTTTGATGGTGAGCGCAAAGCAGATTTGACTGGCGATGATATCGTCCAGCTAGGGCGTATTATCAGCAAGCTGCTGCAGTTCGAGCCGTCTGCGAGGGCATCGGTGAAAGAGATCGTGAACGATCCTTGGCTTAGGGGTGAAGTATGAGTCCATGTACATGGGTCTCAACTATCTGAGTTGTTTTAAACATGACTCTCAGCATGAAATAGCATTCAAGCCACACCATCAGAAAGGGAATCTACGGAGTATGATGCCCACGTTGGAAACACCAAATACGAGGACTAAGTAGCCCCTCGGGATGTACAAGGGAAGCTAAAACACACAATGGTATTCTTCTACTACTAGACTCGGACAACATCCGCACAACTCGACTTGGCAGCCATATAGTCCACCATAACGGATTGGGATAAAAAGTGCGATTGCCCTGGGATTTCTTCATGGCAGTCGGCTAACGGGACTCCGAAAGCCTGGATCAAATGGACTTTATTGATATTATTACACGTGTTGTTACACTGTGATGATGAACTTACCTAGACCTTCCTGGCATCCAACTGCCGAGAGTACTAGTGCTTACTGTAAACACCAACTGTCACATCATCTCGGAATTCGCTCGGAACGGCCCACCTACCCCCCACTGACATCGGAAGGGCGGCGGAAAATGCGGAAAGTCCCCGGCGGATTAGCCTGCATGCCCTAGAACTTATAGAGCGCATCACCCCCAGCATGTGGCATGATTCTCACATATCTCGCAATTCTGTAACATCGCCATGTCGTCAATCACAGTCACCGGTGCCGGAGGGCGCCAGATCGAGGGTACGTACAATCTACAACTACAACAGAATGCAAACTGACAGCTAGTATAGTCCCCACCGGCCTCTTCATCGACAACACCTTCACCCCCTCAGTCTCGTCCCAGACCCTGACGGTCGAGAACCCCACCACCGGCGAGACTCTGGGCACCGTCGCCGCCGCCAGCCCCGAGGACGTCAACAAGGCGGTCAACTCCGCGGCCGCAGCCTATCGGACCTGGAAGACCACCCCGGGCGCCGTCCGCGGAAAGCTGCTGCTGAAGCTGGCCGATCTGGTCGAGCGCGATGCCGAGATCTTCGCCTCGCTCGAGGCCGTTGACGCCGGCGTGCTGTACACCGACAGCATGGGCATGAACCTCCCGCAGACGGTGTCGTGCCTGCGCTACTACGCCGGGTGGGCGGACAAGATCGACGGCAAGACGCTGGCCATGGACGGCGGCATTGCGTACACGCATCGCGAGCCGCTGGGCGTGTGTGCGGCCATTGTGCCGTGGAATGCGCCTTTGTATGTATTCCCTTCCATGCGGAGTGCGAGGACGAAACTAATGCGTGACGCGCAGGATGATCACGATCTGGAAGCTGGCGCCGGCCCTCGCGGCGGGTAACGTGCTCATCATCAAGCCCTCGGAGCTCTCCCCGCTGTACGCGCAGAAGCTCGCCCAGCTGATCCAGGAGGCGCAGTTCCCCGCCGGCGTGGTGAACATCATCGCCGGCGATGGCGCGTCCGCCGGCCGCACCCTGTCGGAGCATATGCTCGTGCGGAAGATCTCGTTCACCGGCTCCTCCGCGACGGGTCGCCAGATCCTGAAGGCGGCGGCGGCGACGAACCTCAAGCGGGTGAACCTCGAGCTCGGCGGCAAGGGCCCGTCGATCGTCTTTGATGACTGCGATTTGGATAACGCGCTGCTGTGGACGCGCATTGGTATCACCGCGAACAACGGGCAGATCTGCGCGGCCGGATCGCGCATCTACGTCCAGAAGACGATCTACGAGGAGTTCCTGAAGCGGTATGCGGAGATGGCGGCCAGCTCGCCCACTGTTGCGGGTGATCCGCTCAACCCGGCGACTACCAAGGGGCCGATTGTCAGCGCTGCGCAGCACAAGAAGGTCCTCTCGTACATCGAGCAGGGCAAGCAGTGTGGCGCCCGGCTGCTTTTTGGGGGTGAGAAGGTTGGGGACAAGGGATACTTTGTGGAGAATACTGCGTTCGCCGACGTGTCTCAGGATGCGACCATCATGAAGGAGGAGATCTTCGGTCCTGTCGCGGTACGTACGATTACCCTTCGTTGTGGCTCCATAACTAACAGTCTGTAGAGTATTGCCCCCTTCACGACAGAAGACGAGGTCATCGCCAAGGCCAACGACTCCCTGCACGGTCTGAGTGCAGCCGTCTTCACCAACGACATCAGCCGCGCCCACCGCGTCACGACCGCCTTGGAATCCGGCCAGGTCACGGTCAACGCGTGGGCGATGCTCAGCGCCAACGTGCCGTTCGGAGGAGTCAAGGAGAGCGGATTCGGCCGCGATATGGGCGAGGACGCGCTCGAGGGATGGACTACGGTCAAGTCGATCAAGTATGCCATCCTACCAGGCAAGTTGTGAGCCTGTCGCTATGTACATAATCTGGTATCATGCCATAAAATCGAGACTACGCACTCTTGGGAATAGCATGCATCTTGTGGAACACGTTGGTCGGGTCGTATTTCGCCTTGATCTCCTGCAATCGGCCCAAGTTTTCTCCGTAGATGTTGTTAACGACAGAGTCGCCGGCTGATACAGTCAGTACCATCGCATACTACTTCAAGGGATTAGCAACTCACGCTCCGCATAGTTAATATACTGCGGCACATCGGCCGTGCTTTGCCCCGCCGTCTCCACCTCATACTGCGCCTTGAACCGCGCCTGGATCTCCCGCGCAATGCCCCGATACACCCCGTCCTTGGCAGGGTCCGTCCAGCGCATGTTGACCGCGCCGTTCTGCGTGGCGCTGCGGTTGGCAAACGCCGTCGCAGACAGCGGCACGTCGCAGATCTTGCGCATATCGTAAAACTCCAGCAGCAGCGCGGGGATGAGCTCCGGATGCTCGTCATTGATCGCAGTCAGGTACTCCAAGATGGAGCGCAGAAACGCCGTGTCCAGCGGGGTCTGGAAGAACACGCCCTTGAGCACCTTGCGCCCGCCGTAGGTGGCCATCGGGTTCTGCAGCGAGTTGAGCAGCGAATACGGGATCATGTCGATCATGTTGACGACTGGGCCGAGCGCCAGCAGCCCCTTGTAGTGCGTCTCGCCCTCCGCGCGGGTCCCGTTGTAGTACACGATCACGTTGACCATGGGCACGGGGGCGCCGGGCGGCGGGGCCAGGATGCAGATGGCGCCGGCGCGGGGGTCCGGCGGGCTCATCAGCGCGTTGAGCTGGTCGATCACGGCTTCGAGTTTGTCGGGGGTGAACGAGACGAGGCCGGCGTAGACGGGGTTCGTCTGCTCGTACGCCTGGAAGACGAAGTCGACGACGACGCCGAAGTTGTAGCCGGCCCCGCGCACGGCCCAGAACAGGTCTGCGTTCTCGGTGGCGGAGGCCGTCACGACGCGCCCGTCGGCCAGCACAACCGTGGCGGATAGCAGGTTGTCGATCGTCAGGCCGTACAGCCCGCTCAGCCAGCCGTAGCCGCCGCCGAGGGTGAGGCCGCCGACGCCGGTGTGGTTGACCGTGCCGCCTACGGTGGCGAGGCCGTGCTCGGCGGCCTTTTCGTCGACGTCCTTCCAGACGGCGCCGCCTTGGACAGTCAGGGTTTTTGAGTCGGGGTGCACGGTGACTTTGTTCATGCGGGAGAGGTCGATGACGAGGCCGCCGGAACTGGAGCTGGTGCCGGCGACGGAGTGGCCGCCGCCCTTGACGGCGATGTCCACGCTGTGCTCCTGGGCCCAGAGCAGTGCTGTACGGATGTCATCGACGTCGACTGGCATGACGACGACGCCCTGCTTGTGTCAGTGGTATATCGGCATTACCCGAGGGGAACGTACTGCTTGTTTGACGCCGGTGCCGGACCATCGCACGATACTAGCCTCGTAGCCATCCGACCCCGGTGTATATACGTTGGACGACTTGAGAGCACCCTGCAGGGTTTGCAGAGCGGAAGCAGGGATTGAAGACATGGTGATGCCGGTTGTGTTTTGGGATGAGGGGCAAGTGGGAGGAGGCGGGGAGCTTTAAATACGGGTCCATATTAAGTGGGGGAACACTTCCGCCCGCCTCGGTGGATGAGGAACGCTTCCGACCGACTTGGCGGATGAGGATCCGAGGTGGAAGGCGATATACGAGTATATAAGAGGGTGGTTTTATGTACAGGATGATGCTCGACGTCTGGCAGAGGGAGTACTGTGCGCTGGCCAGTACATTGGTGGCTTCCGTCTACTTGTAACTATACAAGCCGAGCAAAACATACGGAGTATATATCCAGCAACAGGCGGCCACCTATTTTAGAACTTGCTTGGAGTACCGCTCATACAGCTCTGGATACCACTTTTGGCCAACATCCGGGTGGCTCAGAATGCGGTTGCGGAGATAGGCCTCGCCAAACTATACATTCCTGTTAGAAAATGGTTCAAACGCAGGGACTGTCCACATACGCAAGAGTATAGCGGGGATAGAAACTCGCTAGGGACGTCAACCGCGCGCTTTTTGCGATCGTCGGATGCCGGGATGCGCTTCACAATGTGCGCGGCAGACTCCTGCAGCTCACTCAGGGTGAGATCCAGTCGTACACCGAGGAAAAACGGAATGCTGTAGCGGGTTTTTGTTGTGGGTGCCTGTTCTATTAGCGATATGTAGTGATATGAAGTGTAGATCTACGAGACACCTACAATCACGCGATGTGTCGTTGCGGTGCAGACGCCACCGGTAATGGCCTCGAAGCCCTGCTGGATATTCACCACAAGACTGCCTTCAATCGGCGGGGCATCCACCCAGTCTCCGTTCTTATTCAGCACCTGCAGACCGCCAGTGTCGTCCTGGGAGAGGAACGTGAAGAGTCCACTTGAGTCTTTGTGTGGACCGACGCCTTGGGAGCCCGGCGGCGCCTGGGGGTACTTGATGAATTTCAGACGGTCCATGTTTCCTTTGAACGACTCAAAAGTATCTGGAGGAAGGGACAGACACTCGGAGACGTATCGCATGAATTCTTGCGAGAGCTTTGCAGACTCCGAGATGTATTCCTCGACTAGCTCTTTTGCGCCTGGACAATCAGGATACTAGAGGGGTTAGATTGGACGAAGAAAACATAGATTACTGCCTACCTGACTTTCGCCCTCCACTCTTTGCCAGAATGGATCGTTCTCCGTCCAGGCCTTTAGCCCGGAGGTCCCGAAATCATATTGCTGCCCCAATTAGCTGGTAGCAATGCAGCAGATATGATACTGCGCACCTCTCGCAGATCGGTCTTAGCGGCGGTGGTCTCCGCGCCGAGACGAGTGTATCCCACGAATGACGGGGAGTTGATCATATTACACTTCTCCTTGACGTCGTCAGGGAGAGCGAAGAGCTCCGGGAGTTTCGCATGAGCGCGTTTGGTGAGGGACTGAACAAGTCAGGCGCGTTGTTCGTACATGCATGCATCGGGACTTACCTCGAGGCCATGGTTGGTCAGATAGAGAAACCCTGCCAGGAAAATGGCCTCTCGCAGCCCGGTTAGTGCCTCCGCCTTGGTCTGGGGATCCTGCAGACGGCGGAAGTCGATGATGGGAATGGAGGAAAAAGTGTCGGCCATGATGGGACAGTGGTGATGGGGATGGGATGCGGGGTGTGTTGGATATGGTTCGGAGGATGAGCCGAGGTCGATTAATGGAAGTGAATAGTGCCATTCTGAGTAATTCTGCTGCTACAGATGGCGCCATCGCATAACCGGATGAGTCAGCTCTATACATCTAGACAGCCATAACTAATTATATCTTTACCGCGATCGAGATGAGGTTCTAAAGCAGAGTACATAGTCACACGATGCTAGACGGTCCTTGTCGTTTCGTATGGCTTGGCGGTTACTACTTGGACTGCATGTCTACAGATATGTTTGTACCGCAAGATATCAAACTGCATACCCGAGTGGAGGGATATTCTTATATCAACCACAGTCACAGGGTACACAATACCATTCTTCATGAGACAATCACATTATAGAATCAATCTTCCAACTGGTGGATGCATGTTCTCCCAGTCGCAACCCCAAATCCGCCTCTCGTATAGCTTCCCCCCTGGTCCGCGAGTCAGTTGACTGCCACGACAGTCCCCGGACCATCCCAAAGCCAAGTCCCCCGTAATTACACTATCAACCGGAGGAACTGCCGTGGAATCCTGGTCGATATCCCTTGCCCCTGAAGCTGCTCGAAACCCCGGGGCTCTTGGCATCCCGCCTGAAACGCACCGGTCATTTGTGGAAGTTTTACCTGTCTCAATCATTAAACATGGCTCGACCTCTGCAGCCCTAACTCCCTTTTCATTCCGGATCGTCGCCAAAGACAGAGCGCCCATAGACCATCATTCCCGACTTGGCCAAGCCTTGTGGTGGTTCTTCACTCCTCTTGGCGGTTGCAGGACTCTCCCCGGCGCGGACGGAGAAATATCCTGCGAGAATGCTCCAACCATGACGGCGCATGGCACGTCTGTAACGCCGATCTCTCTTGCCATCCACCTATGGTACGGAGTATGTGGATGCACTACAGGGTACTTTACATTACGGAGTACACCCGGCTGGAGCTCTGCGGACAGACGCCTCGTCAGAGTATATAAACCCCAGATTCCAGCGTCCCGGCCATTCTCCCCATTACTCCCACTGTGCCTTTCTTTCATCTGCCTGCCTCGACTTCAATTCTACTCTCTGTATATATTCTTCGTACTCTGTCTTCAGAATGCTCAATCTCAAGTGGATCGCTGCACTGGCTGCATGCCTGTCCGGACAGGCGCTGGCGGTTCCCACGGCTACTTTTCCCATGCACAAGCGTGCCTCCAACAGCGTGAGCCCATCCTGACTCTACACCCTATCAACCCGTATACTGACACACCAAACGGCCTTTGGCTACGCCAGCTTGAATGGCGGCACCACCGGCGGCGCCGGCGGAACCACCACCACCGTGTCGTCGTACGCCCAGTTCACCCAGGCCGTCTCCGGCGATGACCCCAAGGTAGTCGTCGTGAGCGGCAACATCAAGCAGACGGCCGACCAGGCGCGCGTCGGCAGCAACACCAGCATCATCGGCAAGGATGCTAACGCTGTTCTTGAGGGATTCGGAGTGTATGCCCCGCCTTCCCGGTTCCTGCCCCGTTATAAATAGTGTCTAATGAATGCAGCCTGGTCAAGGAAAAGGAGAACGTCATTATCCAGAACCTGGGCATCAAGAAGGTGCTCGCTGACAATGGCGATGCCATTGGCGTTCGTACGTCCCCTCCCTCATCCTCTCCAGATGTACCTGTACTAATGGTAATAGAATACTCGAACAACGTCTGGATCGACCACTGCGACGTCTCCTCAGACATGGACCACGACAAGGACTACTACGACGGGCTGATCGACGTACGCCCTCCCCCTCTTCCTCCACCCACACCAAACTAACACTCCAGGTATATAGCTCACCCACGCCGCCGACTACGTCACCGTATCCAACTGCTACATCCACGACCACTGGAAAGCCTCACTGGTGGGCCACTCGGACAGCAACGGCGACGAGGACACGGGCCATCTGCGCGTGACGTACGCCAACAACCACTGGGCGAACATCAACTCGCGCGGGCCGTCGCTGCGCTTCGGCACGGGCCACATCTACAACAGCTACTACGAGAACGTCAGCGACGCGATCAACACGCGCCAGGGCGCCCAGGTGCTCGTCGAGAGCAACCAGTTCGTCGGCGTGAAGAAGCCGCTCTACTCGACCGACGGCGGGTATGCGGTGGCGCGGGACAATGATTTTGGGGACGGCGAGAATGCGGCGCCGGCGGGTACGTTGACGTCTGTGCCGTATGATTATGAGCTTGTTGGGGCGGATGGGGTGAAGGCTGCGGTTGTTGGGGTTGCGGGGCAGACTTTGTAAACTGCAGTAGTCTGTAAGATATTGATGTGGAAGGGGGGGGGGGGGGTTCGAAACGGGCCAAATTCGAGTGAGCGTCTACTGGGCAGCGATCTCTCGTAAACAGGATTTAATCAAA